TTTTTTTTATATATATAAATTATATTTACAAAGGTATTACTCTTGCTTGTAGGTAACTTAGCCTGTACTTATATTATAAAAAGCTTTTAGTTTTTTATTATAATAATATTTTTTTTTAAATACTTTAATATAAAAATAAATATATAAGCTATTTAAGAGCTTGCGGTTTAGTAATAAATAATATTTAACTTAATAATAATATTAAATTAATTATATAAACACTAACCAGCCTTTTTTTTTATTTATAAGTAAAGACATGGCCTTAAAAAAAGGGCTTTAGCTAACTAAAGGCAGCTAGTAAAAATCCCTAGCTAAAATAATATTTAAGCTATTAAAGGGTTTAGCTTTATAATTTAAAAAAATTTTATAATATTATTAGTTAATATAATATAACTATTTTAAACTTATTATAAACTTTTTATTAATAATTAAATATAACACGCCGCGGAAACTTGCCTGTAAGGCTAATAATATTAAAGGCTATAGGTAATTATAACCCCCCTTGCCCTTTAATATAATTAGTAATTAAAATAATAAGTATAAGGTTTAGCTACTAATATTATACATGGTAATATTAGTTAAAGTAGCCTATATAATAATAAAGGTCTTATAATTACTAGCGTAAAAAGCTATATATTTTAAGGTTATAAATAATAAGTTAATAATATAAAATTTACTAGTGCCAGCCTTGCTATTTAAATTAATTAATAACTACCTTAATAAAAGTAATAAATATATAAAAATAAATTATTACTTATTACCTATATAAAAAACCAGTAAACCGCGCGATTATAAAATGCTTTTATAATATTTAATTATAATATTATATAGCTAGTGTTACTTAACCTTTAGGCTATTTAAATAAGCTAATAAATAAGTTAATATATTTACTAGGTAATTTGCCTTTGCTAAATTTTAAAATTTTAAATTAAAACTAGGTTTTTTTACATACTAAGTTTAATTATATTATTAATTAATATCACGCTGGCCCAGGCTATTAAGTTTTATAAAAAAATTATTATTATAGCCGGGCTACTAAGCTACCATAATCTCTTAAAAAAGCACCTTAGTAATTAGGCTAGTATTATTATTCTAAGTTAGTAAATTAATTTTATTTTTTATATTTTTATTATCCTACATGTAGCTATTTTTTTTATAACCATAATATTCACAGCAGTATTTATACACGTTATAAAAGCTATTAAATATTAATTTATTAACTATACACAGGTTATTTATCTTAATAAATAAATAATAAAGTATTAACTTAATATAAGTAAAGTTTTTTAAGTTTATAACTTAACTATATATTAGGTAGTACTAAATAACATAATTTTTTATCTTACTTTTAACCTTTTTATATACTTTAGGCTATAGGGTATAGCAGCGCATGTAATATAATAATATTAAATTAATAAGCTTTAGTAGCTATTATATATACTTTATTATTATATTTAAACCCTGTTTAATACCACCTTTTTTATTACTAGTATTATTATAGTCTATATTTAGTAGTAAAAATAGGTTATTTTATTCTTAATTTATAAAACACGAAATAATAACCATGCTATAGCTTAATATTTAAAATAATAGGCCTAGTAAATAGTAATAAACCTTTTATATAAACTAATCTTGCTTTATAATTAGGGTATTTATTATTTTTTATACTAGTAATAGTAAAAAATGGCATGTATTAATATACTTAAAAACTAATTTTATAACCTTTTTATATAACCTTATTTTTTTTTAGGCTTTATAATATACTTAGTAATATAATAAAGTAAAAAATACTTATTAATATATATAACTATGTTTAAGTTTATAAGCCACCCTAAGCTAATAATTAGGTTAAACATATTTAAGGTTATATTATTATAAGCTAAAAAAAAATAGTAGTATATATTACTAGTTAGTTTTATTAACTAAGAATTATGCCGTGTTATTATAAAAAAATAAAAATAATAAATAACTTACTTAATTTACTTATTTTTTTATTAATAATAATTTATACTATAATAATAATATAATACATGGTTTATAACCTGCGCAAGATAAGTAAGTATATTTTTTTATTAAAACTAGGGTAGCTAAATAGCCTTATAATTTATATTAATAATAATAATCTATACACGGGAAGGGTTTATAACCATAATATATATACCTTAATAAGCCTTAAATAATTACTATAACTTGTTAAACTATTAAAGGCTATTAAAAATAGGGGTGGATTATATTTAATATATATTATAATTATAAGTTAAACCTTAACCTTGCTATTTATAGCAAAATTAATTATTTATAATATTAAACTTAGGCTTAATAACTATATTAAAAAACATGTGGTAATAATAATAAAACCATGCTATAATAATATAAGGGTTATTTTATAAATTATACCATGTAATTTATTTATAAATAGCCTTTATATTATTATACCATGCTTTATACTTAAGTAATTACTATATTAGGTTATCCTAGTATAAATTAATTATAAAAAATATTAAAAATAAGTAAGCCATGCTTATTTAAGAAATAAGTAATTAAAATAACACGCATGGTAATAAAAAACAGGCCACTTATTAATATTTTTAATTATGGCTTTTAAGCTATTTTTCTTACTATGCTAAAATAGCCGCGTACCACAAATAGTTTTAAAAAAATTAATAATAAAACTTAGTAGTATAAATAATTTAGCTATATTTAATTAAAAGGCTGCTTGTAACTTTTTTATAAAAATATCTTGCTAGCTAGGCGCGTGGTTATAAATATAAAAATTAGCTTGTTAATTTATTTATTAATAATAAATTATATTAAAGTAAATATATTAAAACTAGGAATGCCGTGCAAAATAGCCACTTTTATATTTAAGTAAGTATTTAATATAATCTATAAATAACACCTTGCGCGGGCATGTTATAACTAGCTTTATATTATTATAAAAAAAAGGGTAAAAAATACTAGTAATAGTAATTATTATAAGTAATTAAACTTAAATAATAATATTATATAAAATAAAAAAAAAGTTAAATAAGAATTATTACGCACTAGCTTAGTAATATTATTTATTATAGCCTGTAAAGCCTTAAGCTTTATAATTATTATAAGTAAATTAGGTATTATAACTATATTAGGCGCCTGTATATTATTAAGATTTATTTATTAATTATTATTTAAGGTAATTAGCTTACTAGCTAGTTCCTAGTTTAAAATAAAATAATTAACTAGTTTATTTTTTAGTAACTATGTAAGGTTATAGTTATTTTTAACTATATTTTAATATTTTAAATAGTTTACCTAAAGGTAATCTAGTTATTATTTAATTACCTAACACTATACTTTAAAGTTATAATAAAATTATAGGTATATTTTCTAGTTTATACTAAAATTAAATAGCTATAATATTAATACCTTAAGTTTTTTAAATAAAAGCAGGAGCTATTTATATACTTAATTAGTATTTTATAAAAAGTTAATAATATAGCCTTTATATAAATACTAATAACCTTAAATATAATAAACCTTAATAAATATATAAACTTTTATAATTAATATTTTCTTAATTTATATTAATTCTAGGAGGTAAGAAGGAATATTACTAGGATTTATTTTATTTTATAAATTAAATTTAAAAATCTTTTAGTTTTAGTTAGCTAACATGTAACGCCTGTAAATATTATTTTTTTTAAAGGTTTATATTAAATTAATATTTTTAATAATAATTACATGTTTTTAGTTAGTATATATTAAGCTAGTAATAAAAATTATTTAATAGCTTTTAATTATAGTCCGCAATAGCTAAATATATAAAATTAATAAGGGGAGATAAATATAGTAAGAAAGCATGGTTTAGGCCTGCATGTATAAAAAGGCTAAAGTTAACTTTAATAGTTTATAAAGGTAAAGGTAATTTATTTTTAATAATTAACTAGGAGCTTACAGCGGTAAAGCTATTAATATTTAATTTAATATTATTTTTATTAATAATAATAGCTGGCTGCGGGCGCCTAGCTAGTAAGTAAGGTATAAATAATAATAAAAACATGGTTATTACAGGCGTGGAAGATGGTATAGGAATAATAAATATTATTAATAATAATAATTATATTAAAGGTAAATAAAAAGGTTAAGGTTTACTAAAAATAATTATATAAATTACTTAATTAATTACTTACTAGGCACGCTGTTATTTTATATTTTTATAATATTATTTTACTTATTATAAGTTATTAAATAAATATACACTATAATATTAATAATCTAGCTTTAGTTATAATAAGCACGGTTATTATATATTTAGGTTAGTTTTACTAAAAGGGGGGCGTTAAGTAAGTAAATTAAAAAAATTAATAATTATAGTAAAGTACTTTTTACTTTTTTAAAGTTATATTAATAATAATAATATATAAATAAAGCTATATAAACTTAAAATACCTATTAATTTTTATAATTAATATAAGTTTTAGCAGGCTTATAGCCTGCAACACGCTAAAATTATATTATTAAAAGCTAATAACTATATTTAATATAGTAAGTGGTTAATATTATATTTAACTTTATAAATATAGGCTATATAGTATTTAAATATAGGAATTAAGGCCAGGAATAGTAAATAATAATATTATAAAAATTTAGTAGTAAAAAAAGATTATATAATAGTGTTTTTTTTTAACTAATTATAATAACCTTAATATTATAAGTTTAGGTAGTAAGAAGAGGTTATATAATAATATTTTTTTTTAACTAATTATAATAACCCTAAGTAATTTTACTATTTTACATAATCCCTAATAAAGCTCACGTGACCGGGAGCCGGGACCTACGATTTATCGTGCGCGGGCCTCCACTTTGTTCCGGCCTCGCGCAATTAAGACCAAGACTAAGGCTTCCCGGGGACGGCAACTATCACTGCATCCACCATCTCCTACAACGTAGCACTCCGTGATCAATGCTGCTGTGCCATCTTTGCGCTCCCTTGGAGCCGCCCTTCATATGTCTATACGATGCCATCACCCAAGCGGCTGTTCTTAGCCGATGAAGAGCTTGGGAAGAAAGACGACGACCATCGGCTGAAGAACCATCCGGAACAGCGATGGCAGCCAAAGCCATGGAAGCTTGTTCGACGCAGGAGAGTCTTTCTTATTCCAGTCATACTCTATCTTATTTATATGTTCTTCAAGAACATGCCAACAGACGTCCCTCCTGCCAGAGATCGGCTGCAATCCAAGTTGCCGCCAACACACCATGTCATGTCTGATACGCCTCTTCCGCCAGGGTTATCTCGGTCTGACCCTCCTCCACGCGCGGAGCCTGATGGCAGGGACAAAGATGATCTATACTACGAAGGGAAACTTCAATTTTATAACCTGGCAAGGACCCTGAAACTCTTTTCCGGCCATGGTGGGAAGAGCCCTTCTAGCGCAACAGTATTCGCAGGTGCAAGCCTAGGGAGCGTGTCGGACCTGTTACCCCTCGCCTGTCGTATGGCGAATCATAAGAAAAACGCTGTGCATTTCGTACTTGTGGGAAGGGATGATGTTTCCATTGAGGGAATCCAACGCGTAAACGGGCTGAATGGGGAGACTTGCCCGCTCAACTGGCATGGTGCGTTCGTCCTTTGATCGACATACTTCTGTCCATGGCTACTAACCTCTAAATAGATGCCCGAGTTGACTACGCTCGTTGGTCCACTGATGGTCGCATGGAGCGAGCAGTAGCTGCTGTACTGCCATACGTCCAGGCATATCTTCGACCGCGGGTGCTGATTACCCAAGGAGAACCCCTGGAAGAACAATTCTTCTTGAGAGCCATGCGAAAAGCCCAAGAATATGGATTGTCACATATTATCCTTCCCCGGGCCGCAAGGGACTTAATGTGGATAGCTGCTCTTGACAGCCATGCTCTTCAAAGTACGCACCGCGCTTTCAATCTATGATTTAGTGCTCTTATATTGACCTTTTTGACGACAGATTGGAATGATATTCATGTCGAATTTCTCATAAATGCAGCGTCACACTCCACTGGTTCGCTTCTCAGGTTAATCAAATCCCTAGACCGGGCAGATTTTCTCGGGTTCAGCCCGGGTTTGACAATTGAGCTCCCTTCTCATGCAGACCATGGCCTGCTACAATCTCTTGAAGGAATGAAGTGGCTCTCTGGTACATCCAGCAAAATCACTGTGCGTCGGCGGATTCAGTTACACCAGATGAGCCCCAACGAGGCCTCTTTACGTACAGTCGAAGCCTTTTATCCCAAAAAGCCGACTTTCTCGCACGTTGTTATGCTCTCTCCTAATGTTGAACTAGCACCTTCCTTCTTCCACTACTTGCTGTATACCATGTTGAAATACAAGTACTCGGCCCAATCTACCATGCCATATGACAAGTTGATGGGAATTTCCCTGGAACTTCAATCGTCGCCTCTTACCAACAACAAGCCTATCGAACGACCGGATATTGAAAACAGTTACTATCGGAACAACAACGCGCCAGGCACACTGCCCATGTTCTTATGGCAAGCACCTAATAGCAATGCTGTGCTTTACTTTGGTGATAAGTGGGCGGAGTTGCATTCTTTTCTCAGCCGTCGACTGGCAGCTAAAATAGACGCCGAGTCCCAAGTGGAGGGGGATGAGAGAGTTATTTCGAAAATATATCCTGCCTTCATGGAACATTTGCTTGAGCTGCTTCGTGCCAGGGGATACTACCTGCTATATCCTGCGTTTTCTGATAAAGGAAAATTTTCCCTTGCAACTTTCCACAACGAATTATTTCAACTACCGGAAGAGTTTGACCAGAGATCTGACACGGATTCCATTTCTGAAGCATTCCGTGGACCCGCGATGAATGAGAAACCTCTAAGCAGGGCTTCAACCTTGATGCCACTCCTTAACACGTTCGCGCTAGAGTTACCTGACATCAAAGCTCTACCTAAACTGTCATACCGTGGCGAAGAGCTGACTGACTCGCTGGACCGCCTAGCAAGCGAAGAATATCGGAGGGAATTCAGTGTACGTTATGGAGGCTGCCAGGGCTCGGTGGGCGATGGGACCGCAGATCTGTTCTGCCAAGCATGAGCAACGGATGAAATACACACCGCACCTATGAACAATTCTGAAGTAGATAGGATTTATACTCTTTCATATATTTCTCTAACCATGCCTCTAAACTTTCAACCTACCAGGGATTGTAGCCTTATATGGCCTTGGTATACTTCCAAGATGCCGACACGTGACGTCAACTCGGCGTCTTCTTGGCGCGGCTTACTAAGGCGAGGAAGCTCCACTGGCGCAACCACCGAGCGGCGACGAGGCAGAGCTCTCCCATCAACAAGCTTATGAATCATTCTCTACATCACTGATTGTACAGAGACATACTGGCTCTCCTACTCTTCTCTATACCCCTTTATACTCTACTTTTCTCCCGCCCTCTCCATTCACCCATTTAGCACCACTCCACAGGTCTCCAGATAACCGTCGAACATGGCGAAGGAAGGCGAGCGGTCAGCTCCGGCCGACAAGGGCAAGGGCAAAGTTGATAATGTCAAAGATCTCGGAGGAAAGAAAGATAAGCCTGAGGAGAAGACACAAGTCAACGGGAAAGAGAAGGATGACGGGCCGCAGGAAGGTAGGCAGCTCGTTCCTGTGATCTTTTGATGGGGGCGTCAATCGACTCCCAGCATCATCTGTTAACAGATCACTAACCATGTTATTTCCTGCAGAAGAGCTCAGTGAGGAGGATCAACAGCTGAAGAGTGAACTTGAGATGCTCGTTGAACGGTTACAGGTATGATGGCGGGTGCGGCCTACTCTTTACCTTGCTGACGCTGACCGATTTGCCGCACTTTAGGAACCGGACACTTCGCTTTACGGGCCCGCTTTGGATGCAATCAAGAATTTTATCAAAACCTCCACCTCCTCTATGACTGCAGTTCCTAAGCCTCTGAAATTTCTACGACCGCATTACGATGATCTGGCTGCGCTCTACGACAAGTGGGCCGCCGGCGCCATCAAGGTGGGTTCAAGACGTTTGATAGCCAAAGCCGGAAACTGATGGTTGGACTCTACTGTAGGATTCTCTGGCAGATATGCTTTCAGTCCTTGGTATGACGTACGGAGACGAAGAGAAGCTCGAAACCCTCAAATACCGACTTCTCACCAAATCGGACGACCTCGGTTCATGGGGCCACGAATACGTCAGGCATCTGGCACTGGAAATTGGTCAAGAATATCAGAACCGATTGAATGACGAGAAGGAAGTACACGATCTGGTTGGTCTCGCGGTTTCACTTGTGCCCTATTTCCTCAGTCACAATGCAGAAGCCGATGCGGTTGATCTTATGAGCGAGCTTGAGATTATCGAGGATCTCCCCGAGTACGTGGACGAGAACACATACTCAAGAGTTTGTTTGTATATGGTCAGCATGGTTCCTCTCCTCACCTACCCTGAGGACCAATCATTCCTTCGCACAGCACACAACATCTACGTCCGGTACAAGGAGCTCACTAAAGCTGTCGTGCTCGCAATTCGCCTAAACGACGTTGACCTCATCAAGAACGATCTCAAGGCGACGTCAGATCGATCAATCAAAAAACAGATGGCTTTCCTGGTTTCCAGGCAACAGATATGGCTCGACGAGCTGGGCGATGACGAGGAAGACGAAGCGTTTATGGAATGTCTGAACAATACCTCGATTCCGAAGCATTTCAAGTCTCTTGGCAAGGAACTCAACATTCTCGACCCGATCATGCCAGAAGACATCTACAAAACTCATTTGGAAAGTAGCCGTGGAGCAGGCCTCACCAATGTCGACTCTGCCAGACATAACCTGGCAAGTGCCTTTGTTAACGGTTTCGCGAACGCTGGCTTTGGCAATGATCAGATGATGATCGTTGAAGGCGACAAGGGCCCTTGGGTCTGGAAGACAAAGGATGATGGCATGCTATCCACCACTGCGTCCATGGGTATGCTACTGCACCGAGATGTTGACACTGGCTTGGACAAGATTGACAAATACACGTACGCCTCGGAGGATCAAATCAAGGCTGGTGCTTTGCTCTCTATAGGTATACTCAACTCTGGCGTGCGGCTTGATTCCGACCCGGCGTTGGCTCTGCTATGTGATACCGAGAACTTGGAGGCGAAAAGTATTTCTATGAGGGTTGCCACGATCATGGGTCTTGGCCTAGCATACGCCGGAACCAATAAGCAGGAGATCCTTGATGCTCTGCTGCCTATTGTGGAGGACTCGTCTGTCGATATGCAACTCGCTGCAATGGCGTCTGTTGCGCTTGGTCTTGTCTTTGTTGGATCATCAAATCACCAAGTCAGCGAGGCGATTGCGACCACTCTCATGGATGAGGAACGTCACAAGCAGCTTAAGGACAAGTGGACTCGCTTCATGGCCCTTGGCCTGGCGCTTCTGTACTTCGGTCGTCAGGAAGAAGTCGATGTGATCCTCGATATCCTCAAGGCTGTCGACCATCCGATGGCTAAGCCCACCTCAGTCCTCGCATCCGTCTGTGCTTGGGCAGGTACCGGCAGTGTTCTGAAGTTGCAGGAGCTCCTGCACATCTGCAACGACGTCATTGAGGAAAGTGACGAGAAGCAAGGGGAGGAACTTGTTCAATCTTACGCCGTGCTCGGTCTCTCATTGATCGCCATGGGTGAAGATGTCGGACAGGATATGATTCTCCGGCAGTTCGGTCACCTGATGCATTACGGCGCCAGCAACATCCGAAAGGCGGTGCCCCTTGCTATGGGTCTTATCAGCCCTAGCAACCCTCAGATGAAGGTTTACGATACTCTATCCAGATACAGTCACGACAATGATAATGACGTTGCCATCAACGCCATTTTCGCTATGGGTCTCTGTGGTGCGGGTACGAAGAACTCGCGTCTGGCCCAACTACTGAGGCAGCTGGCCAGCTACTACCACCGCGATCAGAACTCTCTCTTCATGGTGCGTATCGCTCAAGGTCTACTGCACATGGGCAAGGGCACCATGACACTGAACCCCTTCCACACCGATCGCCAGGTGCTGAGCCGGGTATCGGCTGCTGGCCTGCTGACTGTGCTTGTGTCTTTGATCGACGCAAAGCAATTTATCCTCGCCGAAAGCCACTACCTTCTTTACTTCCTCATCACAGCCATGTATCCGCGCTTCCTTGTTACGCTTGACGAGGACCTCCAGCCACTTCCCGTCAACGTCCGCGTCGGACAGGCTGTTGACGTTGTTGGACAAGCTGGACGTCCTAAGACGATTACCGGCTGGCAGACACAGAGCACTCCGGTGCTGCTTTCTTACGGTGAGCGAGCAGAGCTGGAGGATGAGAAATATATCCCTCTTAGTAGCACCTTGGAGGGTTTGGTTATCTTGCGCAAGGTGAGTCATCTCGATTCAATTTGACTGTAAACAAACACCGCTAACATGATCATAGAACCCTAACTGGCAAGGGGAAGAGAGCTCTGCCTGAGCAACTGGTATTCTTCTGACTGGCATGTAGTGAGATAGATTGGACGCAACGACCAGCGTCCCTATACAGTTTAGGTCGAATGTACTCGGAGAAGTCTAAGTAAAATAGACAACGTCTTCTAACGAGTATGTCTGCTTGTATTGGCTCCAATGTTCCCTGTAGACCGTTGCTGGACTGGAGATAAAGGCAGGATTCCCAAAACCGGTTAGGGCATAGGGCACGTGCGATAAGAAATAATTTTGCCGCATCATAGGCCCGACGAAGCCTTCGACAGAAGAAAGTTACATTCCAACTGGTTGCCTGCATTATATTCAGTTGCAACCCCCGAAAATGAAGCTCGATCCCAAGGCGATCCGCTATCTTACGTCGGAGGATTTCCGTGTGCTCGCAGCAGTATGCTATCACTTCTCCTCGCCCCGCAGTCTCGGCGCAAGTTACTCGAAGATATAGCAGCTAATCCCCGCGCGTCTCAGGTCGAACAAGGCAGCAAGAACCATGAAGTCGTACCGACACCCTTGATTGCCCAAATCTCCGGCCTGCGCGGCGGTAGCGGCGTCAACCGTTCGATCTCAAATCTGGCAAAGACCAACCTCATCGCGAAGGTGAAAAACGCGAAGTGTATGCTTATCCATTCTCGTCTCTCTGCGTCGCCTTTGCCTAACATTGTTTTTCTCCTGATCAGATGACGGTTACCGACTGACCTACGGCGGTCTCGACTACTTGGCTCTCAACGCCCACCAAAAGCAAAAATGCATCTACTCTGTTGGCAACCAGATCGGTGTCGGTAAGGAGTCAGACATTATAGTCGTTGCCAACAACCAGGGTACACAGCGGATTCTGAAAATTCATCGACTCGGTCGTATCTCGTTCCGAACTGTCAAGACCAACCGCGACTACCTACGGAACCGGAGCACGGGATCATGGATGTACATGTCGCGATTGGCCGCTATGAAGGAATTCGCCTTTATGAAAGCGCTACGCGAGAACGGCTTCTCAGTACCAGAACCAATCGCGCAAAACAGACATACCATCGTGATGAGCTTGATTGATGCGTTTCCGCTCCGACAGATTTCCAAGGTTCCGAACCCAGCCCTTCTCTACTCCGAGTTGATGGATACGATTATGCGATTGGCGCGCTATGGCCTGATCCACGGTGACTTTAATGAGTTCAACATTCTTATCAAGGAGGAAGAGGACCCGGAAGCGAAGGGGAAGGGGCGCGAGGGAGAGGATGACGACGCCAACCTCATACTGACCCCGGTCATCATCGATTTCCCGCAGATGGTGTCGATTGACCATGCCAATGCCGAGATGTATTTCGACCGCGATGTGAACTGTATCAAGCGGTACTTCCAGCGGAAGTTCCACTTCGTCAGTGATGTACCGGGGCCTTTCTTCGCAGACGCCAAGAAACAGATGACCAAGAACGCTGGGAAGAGGCTTGATGTTGAAGTCGAGGCCTCTGGATTCTCGAGGAAGATGGCGCGCGAGCTTGAGAAGTATATGAAGGAAGTTGGTGTCGATGGGGATAATGGGGAAGATAAGAACGAGGGTGCTGAGGATGAGGGGGAAGAGGGGTCAGAGTCTGAGGATGACTCTGATGCGCATAGCGAGACAGACACAAAAGACGAGGGGTCAGATAATGCCCTCGATGAGAGTTCTCAGAAGCTCAAGGACTTGCATGTGTCGTGAACTTGCCGTATGCCCCGGTTGAGCAACGGTTGATGGGCCAACTTTACATGATATAATATTAATGACCGTCATGATCAAAAATAGACTTTCTTCTTCCGTCATTATAAGCCAGACTAAATTATTACCCGAAGACCTGAAGAGTAGAACCCAGATAAAGTGCAGCCAATCTATACCGGTAACCCGACTCCGGCAGCCGAAGCGGCCAACCGCGCAATTCCAATCTGCAAAAGTTCCGCAAATCCAAAAGACCGCCCGAACCTCCCCATCACCGACGAACCCCCAATAACACCTCTCAAACACCCTCACCCCCTCAATCCGGACCCGATACCGCCAATATGGTCCGCAAGTGGTCCAAATTCCCCAAGAAGCCCGCCGGCTGGGTCTCGCCCAGCGCACCACTCTCCGAGCGCAAGCAAATCTACCTGTACGTCTTTTCGCCAATCCACTCCATTTCACCCCATTGGAAACATCTCTAACACAAATGGCGAATACAGCCCCGACTTCACAATCGCCCTAGTCCGAACACCCTTCCTCCCACCCCGCTATGCCTCCTTTTACGTCCCCTTGAACTTCAACAAGCTCGACCTGCGCGACTACCTGCAGCGCCTGTACGGCGTTGGCGTCCTCAGCATCCGCAGCTACGTCGAGCAGCAGAAAGTCACAAGACTCAAGTCAATGGGCCGATATGGCTACGGCAAGCTCCGACGACCCCGCTCGCGCAAGAGGATGACGGTTGAGATGAAGGAGCCATTTGTCTGGCCCGAGGAGCCGGCGGATATGGAGAAGTACGCATCCTTTCCCATCTACATTTTGATTCTGTCGTTTGTGCTGGTGTGATGTTGTGATGGGTGCTAACATGGACCTTTTTTTTGCGAGTAGGTGGGAGAAGGACCAGTTCTACAAGGCGGCGAAGTACCAAAATAAGGTCTCGAAGGCGATGCAGCCAGATGCCGGTCAGAAGGCGGATACCGACGCGCGGGAGGAGTACGAGAAGGCGGCGCAGGATATACTCTCTGGGAAGAAGACATGGAGGCCTACGTGGCAGGCTCTGGGGTTGAATTATGATCGGTCGGCGTTTTCGAGGGGCGCGGGGAAGGGTTCTGCTGAGAGCTCATGAGGTTGGTAAGGGGAGTTAGCGATGTAGGAATGGTGACGGTGTAGAGACCGGATACCTTTTTGGTTTGGGATGATTGAATGGTCTGTCCTATTTGAGATCTTTTGTGGGGGAATGAAACCCTCATGGTGTACTTCTCATGGTGTATTAACTGCCTTGTCATGTTTGTATTATATTGTTCCATAAATATGCATATCTGAGATCTATATTTGTTCAAACTTACGTGAGTTGTATACCAGAAGAGAGTAGCGAGTCATAGCCGAGTCCGTTAGGAAGTACGGGGAACCTCAGTCTTCCAAGTCAACCAGAAACGATATGTAATTATATAGCTATGGTATGGATCATCCTAGGTATATGCTTTGATATATAGAGCGGAGCTGTGCAGGTCGAAAGGTAAAAACAATCAAAGGAATAAAGGCTATACATTCATGACAGAGAGGCTAAGTGACGAGCAAAAAGACAAGACGGGAAAGAGGGCAAACATCATAGACGACTCTCGACGAAGTTCATGTGGTGCTGGCCCGGCCAGTGGGCATCAGGCCAGACATGTCGGATAGCCTCCCAAATGTGCCTAGTTCAAGTTAGTAACATGAAGAGGGCGAGAGGACGGGTACGGGAACATACTTGACATATATGATTTCAAGGCCATTGCTAACCTCCGCCGGAACGTCCTTGACATCCTTACGGTTTTGATAAGGTAGAAGGACAGTGGTTACACCGGCCCGCAGTGCCCCAATGAGTTTTTCCTTGATACCACCAACAGGCATTACGCGTCCACGGAGAGAGACTTCGCCGGTCATTGCAAGCTTTGGCGGAACTTCCTTGCCCGAGAATAGCGAGATCAGACCGATGGTGTGTGCGAGACCAGCAGAAGGACCGTCCTTGGGAATGGCACCCGAAGGGCAGTGCACATGCAAGCTGCGGTTCTTCATGATGTTCTCGTTGGGATCGGAAGTTAGGCCGAGCTCGAAGGAGTGAGCCTTGACCCAGGTAAGAGCAACTTCGACACTTTCCTTAAGGACATCTCCTAGTTTGCCAGTGAGTTGGACGCGGCCGTTTCCTGGCATGTCGGCAACCTCAATGAAGAGGATGCTTCCTTGTCCGCCGGTCGAGTAGGCGACTAGGCCGGTTACAACACCTGGGCGGCCGTGCTCCTCGGCAATTTCCTCATCGAAGCGCTCGATTCCGAGGATCTCTTCCAGGTCGTCAACGGTAACGACAGGATTGTAGGACTCGGCCTTGGCACTGTCAGTCGCGTCTGCATACTGAACAGCCTTGTAGCGGCAGATCGAACCGAGCTCCCGTTCGAGGTTGCGGACACCGGATTCGCGAGTGTAAGAGGTGGTGGTCTTATCGATAACATCGTCCGACAGGACAATCTGGGCATCCGAAAGTCCATTCGCTCGGACTTGTTTAGGAATAAGATGTCTCTTAGCAATATGCCTCTTCTCGACAGTTGTGTACCCGGACAGCTGAATTGTCTCCATTCGGTCGAGGAGAGGAGCAGGAATGGTATCCAGCGAGTTAGCCGTCGCTATGAACAGGACCTTGCTCAAGTCAATGGGGATGTTGATGTAATGATCGACAAAGGTATGGTTCTGCTCAGGATCCAAGACTTCAAGCATCGCTGCTGAAGGATCTCCCTGGAAATTAGCACCACCGATCTTGTCGATCTCATCGAGCAGGAACACCGGGTTCGCAACGCCGACTTTCTTAAGACCATTGACAATTACGCCAGGCATGGCAGCAACGTATGTTCTTCGATGTCCCCTGATTTCAGCTTCGTCCCTAACACCACCAAGGGAAATCCTATGGAATTTGCGGCCCAAAGCAGTCGCAACAGACCTCGCCAGACTGGTCTTTCCGGTACCAGGGGGTCCAACAAGAAGCAGAATGGGAGATTTGTCTACCGTCCGCCTAGACGTTAGTGCATTCAGCTTTGACTCAATTGCAGCGCGATCCGACTCTGGGAGAGACGGGATATCCTTCTCGATGTCGCCACCAGAATTGTCCAACTCTCTTGTCAAAGAGCTGATTTGCTGCTCCAGATCTTGGTTCGTCGACTGCTTCAACCTCAGAACAGCAAGATACTCGAGAAGCCTCTTCTTGATCCTTTCGAGACCGTAATGGTCATCATCTAGTTGCTTCCGCGCTGCTTTCAACGTCTCCGGTCCGAGTCTATCTTCAGTCGCCTTGGTCCACGGGATATCCGCAAGATTTTCGAGGTACGTCCGCACAACTCCGTATTCCTGATTCATAGGCATCATCTTCCGAAGCCGCCGCATCTCTTTCTCCGCAATCTTCTGAGCCTCCGGACTGAGCTGGGCCTCCTTTAATCTCTGTTGCAACTCGTCCAATTCGCTGGACTCCTTTTCATCCGCCTCATTATTTCGTCCTCCAAGTCCAGGAGGAGGGGTTCCTGGCGCGCCGGAGATGCCCCGCCTCGATAATAAGTCCCGGATTCGAGGGTCGATTTGGCTAATATCGAGCACTGATCCCGGTGGAATAGTGTCCGTGGAGATAGTGGTAAACTTGACATTGCCGCGGATGTTCTGGTTCTGCTTGGTTAGGATATCAACCACTCTTTCCAATCTAGTCTTGATGTCGAAAGCTGCAAGGACACGAAGCTTGTCCTCAAGGCCAGTCTCTGCAATATCAGCCATGACATCTGCAAGCCTTCCTGCCTGCGACAGGTCAGACTTCGTAATAATCAACTCAAATTTACGAGCAATTAGAGGCGACAAGCGAGGACCTCCTGTATTAGGTATCAATGAGGTATATTTTAAAAGGGTGAGCAGTTCTCGGGAAAGTTGTCTTAATTGCTGGAAGAGTTCTGCGCTTTCTCTGTCGTTCGGAGATGCCTCTATAAATTTTGCTCAACGTTAGTAAACCAGACGTTAAGACGGAGAGATTGCTCATGAACCAACCTATTTCATCATAAAGAATGCACTCTGCTTCGAAGAACGGGCGCTCCTTAAGCACGCGCCTGACTGTGAGGCGCTGAACGCCTTGAACTAGTAGATGCGGCTCCGAATAGGCGCGTCGTTGAACTCCGATGACTTTACCGAGGGTACCGTATCGGAAAAGGTCCTCCTTTCTCGCTTGACCGGCATCAAAAGATTCGAATTCGTCTTTCTTGTCTTCGTCAACAGCACCATTGTCAATGACGTGTTGACCATCCTTGCTCAAGTAGGGCGAGCACAGAGGAATGCAGCCAAAGGTTATCGAGTTCGCATCCCGCTTGGTGGCATTCGTCCGGTCGAGAAGCGAAGAAAGCAGGTTGGCAAGGTCTGGTCGGTTTGAGACTGGGATTCGGAGTGTTGCGCCAGGTAACAGGACGGAACCTTTGGGGAGCGGAACAAGAGATATCTTCATTGGTCTTCCCCCGTTGGAGCCCATCTTGGATAGTTAGGATTCCCGATATGCTGTGAACTGGTTCTTGAGGGTTCAAGACGAGAGGTGATGATTGTGAGGTTGGGACTCGGAGGTGGGGATGGATGGGGAGCCGGGGTTGGAGGCGGAGGGACCGCTTCTTATAAGGTTGTTGGCGCGAGGTTCCAGAACTCGGTGGATGAGTCCGTCGGGGATTCTGGGGAATCGTGATGATCTGAAGATAAGGCGCTTCCGAAGCCGAGGTTCGCTTTGTTACGTCAGTAAGCTCACTTCTCCGCATGACATTTCCTTGGCGGATTGGGGTAGAAAAACAATAAGATTTAGGTCAGGAAGTCATAGCCCATCGATATCATTATTCTTCCTACTAATGATATTTGAGCCAACCTTTTACGATGGCAAACATCCTTGAGCGGTTCCGTTMGTCTGACCTGTCTCTCCGACGCCGGCCCGCACCGTATTGCCAGTGTATCATCTCGGGATCTGTCGCCTAAATGGGCGTAATGACGCGTCACGAAGCACATGGCGCGTAATTAATTCTTGGGAATGCGGATTGCGGAACCGTCTCCGATTCTCAAGCCATACCATCGCAAACTCGGCTTCCTATCCTACTTTTTCCAACAACTTGACAATTCAACTGATTCTTCGGCCATACAGCGCTTAACAATAGACTTAAACACATATTCCTTCTCGAATTGCGTACTTCACAGACGCCCGAATTTTCGCTGTCAACATGGCCACCCAAGCCCCGCCCCCCTCCGCTGACCCCGCGTCTCAAAAGATCTTCACAATCGGCACGCGCAAGTCGAAGCTCGCCCTTCTACAGACAGATCTTGTCCTTGCGGCACTCAAGGAACGATTCCCCGATTATACCTTCAAGATTCACTCGCGCGAAACTGCTGGTGACCAAAACACAACCATTGCGCTCAAGGACTTCACCACCAAAAACTTATGGACTCAAGAGCTCGAGGAACTCCTAGAAGCTGGGTCTGTCGACCTTATTGTCCACTCACTGAAAGGTATATTGTTTGCCATATATCGGCATGCGCCCCTCAATGCTAATCGTTCTCCACTCACTCTAGATGTTCCGACCCTGCTCCCCTCCTCTTGCACCCTTGGCCCCATGATGAAGCGGGAAGACTCAAGAGATGTCCTGGTTATTAAGAAAGATCTTCCCAATATGAGTTTGGCCGAAATGCCAGCCGGCTCGGTTGTTGGAACGTCTTCCATCCGCCGTACCGCGCAACTCGCTCGGAAATACCCGCACCTGAAGGTTATGGACGTTCGTGGCAACATCGGCACTCGACTAGCTAAGCTGGACGCGGAGGATAGCCCGTACACCTGTCTTATCCTTGCTGCCGCCGGTTTACTACGCCTAGAACTTGGAGACCGCATCTACCAGTACTTGGACTCGAAGAACGCGGGAATGCTGTATGCCGTTGGCCAGGGTGCATTGGGCATTGAAATCCGCAAAGGCGACAAAGTCATGGAGGACATGTTGAAGACTGTTGGCCACGATGAGACAACGTTTGCTTGTCTGGCTGAAAGGAGTCTCCTGCGGACTCTGGAAGGTGGTTGCAGCGCTCCGCTAGGCGTTGAGACTGAGTGGATTCAAGACACCGATGGCGCGTCGAAGTTGAGAATGAGGTCCGTCGTGGTGAGCGTGGATGGTAGCGAGCAAGCTGAGATTGAGGTTGATGGGGCTGTTGACTCACCCCAGTCAGCTGAGGAGTTTGGTGTCACGGTAGCCAAAGCATTGGTCGAGAAGGGAGCTGGAAAGATTCTCGCGGAAATTCAACAAAACAAGCAGCTGAAGGTTCCCGTTTCCGAGTCGACCTAAAATTTTGTTTAGGAAAGGAGTTGCTGGCCTCTCCTATACCTGGTTCTTGAGTTGGGTACTTCTTGTTATATTGGAAAGCTTAAGGGCTAGGTTGTTTTACCCCTAAATTAGCCCTCACCTGCATTACTGTATGTATGAAAATTGTGCATAGATCATGGTACATAGTATGACATTGTAAATGTCTCGCATGCAAAGTCGTATCAACCTCTATTCAATGTATTTCCCGATCCTCTAGGGTTGGCTTCCTTGAATTCATCCCACTCCCGCGCTTTCATCGTCTCCTCATCAGCCTTGTCAAGATCATCTTCATCAATCTCTACAGGCTCCGGTTCACCCCCCTTGAGTACGTTACCCTGCCTATGTTCTTCCGCCAGGTACTCTTCAATCGTCATGGTGGGCAAATTATGCCCCGACCGGAAAACGCCGTCGCGGAGCTGCGTGCGACGGTCGAGGAGTGTGAAAGGTTGTAGGGGCTTTCCCTCCTTGCTCAATATCGGTCCATTCTTCCCTCCCTGAAGTAGCTGAGATATCGGCGGGTCCAAGCGATCTGAATAACCTTCATCATTGCCCTTAGCTCTTCCCCGTGCGTCAATCGCCTGCGGCGGCTCAGGCCTAGGCGGCATCTTCCTAACCATCGACAGCATGGAAAGCTCCTGGGCTAACAGGTCCAGGGACTGGAAAGTCTGGTGTGTATATAGATTGATCTCGGCGAGATAGAGTTGCCGTACGTCGTCGTCGTCGCTTTGCAGCTTTTTCTGGTTCTCGGTATAATACTTCACAGCAACGTAAGCGAAGTCCGTCCAGAAATTGTTCAAGGATCAGGCGTTCCCACCTCGAGTTTTTGTTTCAGCTCCTTCTCCTCTCTGAACCTTGTTATTTTCACGTCTCGGCGGGTGGCGGCATCGTTTGTTTGCGTCAGCGAAAACGAGGACGGGTTTGCGACGTATCGCTCATATAGCTTTTTGTCTTTCTGGTTTAAGAGCTCGTAGTCTTCGAGGCGTGCTAGATACTTCTCATATGAACCCAGCGCTCGTTGTAACGTAGCTTCGCGATCTGAGCTGTATGACCTCTGGAGGAGCTCGGCGATGTGATATTCAACGGTTAAGTACCTATCGCAGAGGAATGATTAGACCAAGATGCTACAAGAGAAGTGAGCGCAGTACTGTAGATCGCCTGTAGAAATATCCTCAAGAAGCTCATTCGAGCTGAACATGGATAGCGCGCCGACGAGCCGCTGACATTCCTCGAACTTTGCTATCGTCGCATTGACATTGCTGCGGTAGGTGTCGGAGTTGGTGTCAGGGCGGGTTCCTAGTGCTGTCTTCTCTCGCTTCGCGTCGGTGAACACGGATCGGAGGGTTTGAGGCTGCTCCATTGGGGATCTGGCGCTGAAAAAGATTGGAGAAGTTTGGATAAGGTAGGAATCAAGCTCGGAGCTCCTGGAACGACGATCCAGATTCCGTCGGGGCGGCCACGAGTTTAATTTCCAGGCTGCCCCGCATTCCCCGCCACTCTGTCCAGTCTATAAATCATGTCAACAGTCCCGGTATGGTCTAAGCGGTCCTGGTGTATTATATGCCAATATGGGACACAGAACTTACCAGGCCTTGGATTGGAAACGACTTGATATGGTGTTCGAAGAATGCGCAGGTAAAAAACCTGATTGCTGAAATATATATTTGAGCGAAGGAGAATATTTCGAACCCTTTGGATTAAAGAAGAGTAAATATAAATGGAGTTGCGTTTGTTTCAGTGTTTGCTGCACTTACCCTTAAGCCTCTCTTTTGACTCTGTGAAAGCTTTCTGTCACTTCTATCTCTCTCACTCTTTTCATCTCATTTACCACACCCTTGCCCCATGTGTTTCTAGGTCTCGAGGACAAATTCCACGCCAGTTTGGAGCTGCTGGGCCACTGCGGAAGCTCTCACTTACAATCCACTGCCGACACATCCAGTGTTGCATACATCATGGGAGATGCTTCGTCTGCTGCTGCTTCCTCGTCAGTGGTGAGTCCGTCCTTACCCACTCTATCGAGGGAAACACAAGCCTAGGTGGTACTTAGAGTATCTAACTAACAACTTCACCCAAGACCAGCCCGATTGAGAGGGAAAATCACTTCTCATCGGATGAGTCTGAGGTTGAAATCATCGCGCCGGCCCAGGATGCCTCGCATCGCAGACAGGCCCAGAAAGCGCACTTCGAGGCACTGTCAGTAGCTAACTGCTGTGAGCGCTACTGTTTGAAGGCTAACATGTCGCTAGCCTCGCCAATCGTGCTGTTACCTGTGATGAGAAAGTCGAATTCCCCGAAGAGGCCCAGATATCTACGGCTCGGCTGTTCTCTTCCAAAGGCCAACAGCAAGGCACGCTAGATCCTCGAGAGTATCAGATAGAGTTATTCGAACGCGCGAAAGCTGAAAATACCATCGCCGTTCTGGCCACCGGTATGTATACCGTTGAAGCTGTGTTCCGTTCTCTAATCAGATCATAGGAGCGGGAAAGACCCTAATAGCTGTGCTTTTACTCAAGTACACTATTGAGAAGGAACTCAATAGCCGTGCAGATGAAGAATCACAGCGAATATCTTTCTTTCTAGTTTGTGATACACAGTCTCTTACGAGTGGACGGTGCTGATGTGGACGACAGGTTGATAGCGTGACCCTTTCCTACCAACAAGCGGGAGTCTTACGGAACAATCTCGATGCAAGCGTTGGTCACTTATTTGGAGCTCTTGGCCCTGACCTTTGGAGCCATCAGACTTGGAAGGAATTCTTTCAAAAGTACATGGTCATTGTTTGTACAGCGGAAATCTTACACCAATGCCTACTCCATGCCCACGTTAGGATGGAACAGATCAACCTTCTCATATTTGATGAAGCCCACCATACCAAGAAGGATCACGTCTATGCCAGGTCAGCCCCTTAATATGAGGACTGTGGCTCATGTGCTTACGAAGTTATAGAATAATTCGGGACTCGTATCTCTTAACGGAACCATCGAAACGGCCAAGGATTTTTGGCATGACAGCGTCTCCGATTGACACGAAAGGCGATGTTGCGGAGGGCGCTATGTATGCTACGACAGCTCGCGCCTATATGCTCAGTGGCTAATCGTGTACAGGAACTTGGAGCTGTATCTAGACAGCAAAATTGCCACGGCATCGCAGCTATCTCAGCTACATCAATTCGTTAAGCGTCCTACCGAGGAAGTCTGGATCCATGATAGACTTGACCGTCCTATTGGAACTAAGCTGTACAATCTCATGGAAAGTCGGTTTGGCGACATTGAGGATCTGAAGCCTGTCTTCCGATTTGCATGGCAGGCAAGTTCGGAGCTTGGAAGATGGTGCTCGGATGGAGTTTGGAAGCAAATATTTTCGGCAAAAGTGCTACCGAAACTCCAAGGAAAAACAAATCAAGAAATGTCTCGATTACAAGATGCTAATGAGATCTCTAGTGGCCATACCCTCAGCAGTCCGGATGAGCCGGGCCAGTTAAGCCATAAAGTCGAGATTTTGCGAAGGAAACTCAGGGAGCATTACCAGAGGGACCCAGATACAAAGTGCATTGTCTTCACCACAAGGCGCTACACTGCCTTGATGTTACTGGAGCTCTTCAACGTTTTGGATATTCCAGATCTAAGACCTGGCTTGCTGATTGGCGCCCGGACCGATGATTTGACTGGGGCAAACATATCGTTCCGGCAACAGTTTCTAGCACTGGTCAGGTTCAGGACTGGAGAAATTAACTGTCTGGTAAGTGCTCTGTCGGACTACTGAAATCATGCCGTTCTGACTAGGAACAGTTCGCCACTTCGGTGGCTGAAGAAGGTCTCGATATCGCTGATTGTAACTTGGTTGTACGGTGGGTCAAGCGTTACCAGTATTACTGGACGATGTTAACTGTATAGATTTGATCTATTTAATACGATGATTCAATACGTCCAAAGCCGTGGCCGTGCTCGGCAAGCCTACTCTACAGTAAGTCCTAGAACGAGTGTATGAAACATGCATGCCTCTAACAAGCCCTAAGTATGCAAATATTGTTGAGAAAGACAACGAACTCCAGCGGCAGCGTATTATTGAAGTACAGGAGGCAGAGGTATGTTTCTCCTGACTCAAAGATGTGCAGCTACTCATTCTTTAGCACATTATGCAAAGCTTCTGCGAGACTCTTCCAAAGGATCGAATTTTGGAGGGAAACGACGGCCCGATGGGATCATCGTACATGGGGGAAGAAGAGAGAGCGTATACCATCAAAAGCTCAGGAGCAAGACTGACTTATCACTCTGCCCTGGCCGTTCTCGCACGGTATGCTAGTTCTCTGGTAAGTGTCCTGTCCACGAACGGACCATTCATCATTGACGATACTGTACGATGTAGCAATACGAAGGAGACATGATGGGTCAAGTTACGTATGCGGTACTTCCAAGCAACAATACATATGTTTGCGAGGTGATACTACCGGAGCGTTCCCCTATTCGAAGTGTTACCGGCGCTCCAGCCATGAACAAATCAACTGCAAAACGATCTGCGGCCTTTGACGCTTGTGTTATGCTTAGGAAACACAAGCTGCTTGATGACCAGTTCAATTCCGTCTACCATAAGCGACTACCGGCTATGAGAAATGCGAGATTAGCTATCACCTGCAAGAAGACGAACCAGTACGACATGCTGCAAAAGCCGGCTTTGTGGGCCAAAGACCGTGGTGTGATGCCGGACATTCTATACGCGACGGTCATAACGTTCACGCCCACCAAGCCGCTTGCTCGGCAACTTTCAAGCATAATTCTGCTGACGCGAGGGAGGCTGCCAGTGCTTCCAGGCTTTTCCATATATCTCGAGGAAGATGACGTGCAGACCATAGTTCAGACTATTCCCCTCGAGAAGGCTTGCACATTCTCAACCGAGGAGCTCAGTACTCTCACTGGCTACACGCTCCGAATCTTTCAGGATGTGTTCCAGAAAATCTACAATCCCGAGCCTGAGAATATGCCATACTGGCTTGTTCCAGCAAACACACAAACTGCCCTAGAAGCCAAGGCTGACCCGACAACATGTATCGACTGGGGTACTGTCGCCTTGGGGAATGAGACTGACCAGTTATCTTTCCCAGATGGAACAGATCCAGAAGTCCTCTGCAATCGTTTTGTATACGATCCGTGGGATGGCCGTTGTCGGTACTTCACTGTATCTGTAGAGAAGAGCTTGAAACCTTCGGATCCTCCACCACCTTCCGTGCCCCGCCGTCGGCATATGAACGATATCATGAACTACTGCATCAGCTTGTCGAAAAACTCACGGGCGAATTTCCTCTCGAAGTGCAAATGGGACCAACCAGTTTTCCGAGCGGAATTGGTTCGCCTTCGACGAAACCTGCTGGATACAATGACGGATCAAGAAAAGCAAACGGAGACTGCGTGCTTTGTCTGCTTGGAGCCTCTGAAGATCTCTGTAGTAAGCTATCCATAAAGTCCGACGGTTCTAGTTACTGACAACCCTGGAAGATCCCTGCTTCAGTGGCAGCATCCTGCCTCGCTTTCCCTGCTGTGGTTACTCGGCTCGACGGATACTTGATTACCTTGGACGCTTGCAAGGAGCTTGATCTCGTCGTGACGCCGGAGCTTGCGTTGGAGGCATTCACAAAAGACTCGGACAATACCGAGGAGCACCGTGCTCAGCAAATCCAGTTTCAGCGGGGAATGGGGAAGAATTATGAACGTCTCGAGTTCCTAGGCGATTGTTTTCTTAAAATGGCAACGTCAATCTCGCTGTTTGCGCAAAACCCTAATAATGATGAATTCGACTTCCACGTCAAGAGAATGTGCTTGATTTGCAACAAGAACTTGTTTAACACTGCAGTGAGGAAGGAGATCTATCGGTACATTCGCAGCCAAGGATTCTCGCGGTACGAAAACTGTTCGATTCTAAAGTTTACCGCAACCACTGACCATGATCCATGATAGACATACTTGGTACCCGGAGGGTCTTTCCTTGCTTAAAGGTAAAGACCACAGTAAAAAACTTCTTAAATCGGCAAAGCACCACCTCGCGGAGAAGACAATCGCGGATGTATGTGAGGCGTTGATAGGCGCTTCGCTCCTCTCTGGTGGACCTGATCATCGGTTCGATATGGCTGTTAAAGCTGTGACTATACTAGTCGACAACGAAGACCACAAAGCCTCGTCTTGGAAAGACTACATCTCAGTTTACAGCCTTCCGCCATACCAGATTGCGGCCGCAAGCGGCTCTGAGAAGGAGCTTGCTAAGACAGTTGAAGCAAAACTTGGCTATCACTTCAATCATCCCAAGCTTCTGCATTCTGCATGCACCCACCCTTCCTACCCTTCAGCGTGGGCTACCGTTCCCTGCTACCAACGCCTGGAATTTCTGGGCGATTCCTTACTCGATATGGCCTGTGTGGAAGACTTGTTCGCTCGCTACCCTGATCGAGATCCGCAGTGGCTTACGGAGCACAAGGTAGACCTTTCCCTGACCAAATTGTCAAGACGCTTGCTGACATGGGTATAGATGGCGATGGTTTCAAACAAGTTCCTAGGAGCCCTTGCGGTCAAACTCAGGCTCCACAAACACCTTCGGTTTTTCAGCACACCCCTGATGTCCCGAATCACCAGGTATGCCGAAGAAATCGAGGCTGCCGTACTGGAGAACGAGGCTTCAGTCGATTACTGGACGGGCACAACTGATCCACCCAAAGTGAGCTGCCTGCTGTACGCCTGTATAGCCCGCCTCCAGCTGCTAACAACAACAACAGTGCCTGCCAGACATGGTAGAAGCCTACCTTGGCGCCATATTCGTCGATTCAAACTTCAACTTCACCGTAGTCGAAAAGTTCTACCAGCGCCATGTAAAGCCCTTCTTCTACGATATGGCTATCTACGATACCTTTGCGAATAAGCACCCTACAGTAAGCACGGACTGACCCCTCTTTCTCTTTATAAGCCCACCGAAAGCTAACGCTAAATTAACTAGACCTTCCTGCACAACCGCCTGACAAACGAGTATGGCTGCACAGACTACTGCCTAAAAGCAGGCGAGATCCCCAGCGTCGACGGCGAGCCTCCCCGTGTCCTAGCTGCAGTCATGATCCACGATACCGTCATCGCCGAGGGCCTCGCCTCGTCTGGTCGCTATGCTAAGGTCAAGGCGAGCGAGAAGGCGTTGGATGTGCTGGGAACAATCGGGCCGGCTGAATTCCGGGAGAAGTTCAAGTGTAATTGTCGGGAGGTTGAGAATCCGCCTGAGACGGCTGATCTTGGGACGGCGATTTGAGATACGTGATTGTGCTCTGTCATTCCGTAGATACTAGAAAGCGAGACACTGCTAGCGATCGGGTTTGCGAGATGGATTTCCTGGGGCTCTGGCAATTGGTACTCAATAGAGCCTGATGAAACCATGCTTACTACTTGTTCAAGTTAAAACTCAACAATAAGCTCACGGCGTTCCAAATTGTGGATTGGTTGCCATTTTCTGTAAAATGACAGAGACCAGGAGTTGAATAAACAGTGATTAGTGTATCTAAGCAGTGCCCAAGCATGGTTTGCGGCCACAGGCATAAGATTCCCTCTTCTCGGCAAGGTCTGTCTGTTTGTGGAGCTATGTGCCGTACCTAGCCCTAACCTACAAGTCCAGCTTCGCACTTGACAGCAGCCAGCCACATGGGGTCATAATCGGCGTAGGTCTGATCCCAAGGATCATTGCCGCCAAAGGAAATCAAACGCGCTCTCTCCTGGAGCATCTCATCCGAAGGATATATACCTGTAGCAATCTGCTCCTGAATATAAGCTACGAGTTCACGGTGGAGATCGGTGTAGCGGTTGAACGCGTTTGGGATGGCATTGCTGCTCCACAATGGCTCGTCATCTTCGCCTTTGTTTTCTGTATGTATATCCGAGGACTTCCAGGGGTCCATTGTATTTCGCTCATGACCGATAAGATAGGGCAGCATGGCGTTTTCGACCAATTGCTGGACGTCCGGTTCGAAGCCCCAATCTCCCTTCCATTGAGTCATGTCGGCGCCGTTCTTGAAGTGATTTGCTAGATGGTCTATGCGCTCATCCCACGTGGAAAGAGTGGTATCGCAAAAACCACACCGCGATACCAAGTGCGTTGTACTCGATTCCCACTGACTCATCGATCGATGATAGCTAGTGTTATGGGTTAGTTTCAGATGCTGCCGTAAATGATCTTTGCGGGTAAATGTCCGGTGCTCCGGTGTCTTCTCTCGACAAGAGGAATAGTTGTGCTCCTCGAGATGATCATCATCAACAACAGGGCATTGACAAAACACGCAAATCCGGATTCCCTCACACTCGACAATGCCGCCTTCCGGCGCACACCCCCATCGCTCGACTGGTAGATGAAGCGCCTTCTCATGACGCTGCCAGTCATACCTGGTACGAAACGAGTCTGCGCAGAACGTGCATTGATATGGGCGCCGTCCCTGCCTGATTTCCTTGTTCCGAGCTTTCATGACATGTAGTGGTCTTCGGCGTCGACGTTGAGCAGTATTTCTAGGCATCGGGGTGGATGGCCGTTCGAAAGCTGTATGTGGATAGCTGAGTGAGGCCTCCGAATTCGAGGAGTGACTGAGGTCAAAACTACTCATAGAAGGTGCCCCTATTATAAATGAGCTGCTTGAGCCATTGCTCGAGCCGGTGATGCAAGCCGCAGAGTATGCCATGCTGCTATCGGACTGGTACGTAGTATCCTCTAATGCTCGCAGGATATCAGATGTTGCGGCCGCTTCGGTCTCCGGTGGGGAGTTCTTCCATCGTTCCAGCGGTGATAAAGGAGAGTCGATGGCTGCATCTACCAGATGATCCTTCTTGAACAGTTTGCGCCGTCGGGCGTTGACAAACCAGTTGGATATTTGCGTCTTATCCAGCCCGGTCTGTTCCTGTAACTCTTGCTTATCTTGTTCGCTAGGATATGGGTGATCTAGTCGGGTATAGAACCAAGACCGTAGCGTTTTGACTGCTCTCGCTGGCAGCTGCCGGGCTTTCTTCGTTTTCGGCGGCCTGCTGCTGATGGAAGAGAGCTTCAACTCCGAAGTCGTTGCTGAAACCATGACCTCCATGGACACAGAACATGGGAAACATGCAGATGGCACTTCTCCATCTACTGTTGCCGCGAGCGCTGTATCGTTGACGACTGACCCGTCAGAGCAACTTGCCGGCAAGGCATCTGAAACGAATCCATATACCGAGAGATCCAGTTCTTCTATTCCTGGACCATTGTGTCGTTCTGTGACTGCGCCGTCGGCGGAATAGCCAGGAAGTGCCGCTGAATTGTCCCATAGCAGTTCAGGATAGCCTGGGACGCCAGCAGTAGCAACATCTAGTGAAGGCAAGTCAAGGACATCGTCCGTGAGATCAGGACCCACAAAGTCGAGCACCATCTTCAAGCATTGACTGTTCTTTCCATGAAATGGTGTCCAGGTCCAGCAAGAGAGGAGGGAGAGCGCGAAAATTAGTCATCCACGCCCTGTGTCACTCGGATCGCCACTAGAAGAAAGAACTGTGGATCCCTGCTGAAGACTACGCCGTACACACCTGGGCACCACCTGCAGAGCCATGGCCCTACCTAGGTAACTAGCCTGGTGCTTGATGCTTGCTCGGGGCTCGTACTGTATCCCGGCCTAGGGCGCTCCACCCTCTGCACTGGCCCAGCAACAACACTGAGCGAGAACATTCCACATCAAGAACTAACGCCTTCCGGTATATCATCAATCCATCGCGAGTTCCTGTGTCCATTGTCCAGAGAGTGGGCCGCGCCCTATGTCAACCGCGGGTGCGGTTTTGGCCGATTATAGCCGAGTATAGCATATATTTACAGACTCCTTCAGAAAAGGATGGGATATCAACTGCTCACCCGAACATCTTCAGTTAATCCGATATCACTGGCTTTGAATACAATAGCCCACAGAAGCCCCGTTTATATCCTTGATCAAACCCTTATTGTGAAATCAATAGACAATGAAGATTGGCTTCATCGGGCTCGGTGTCATGGGGACCCCCATGGCCCTGAACCTCTCCCGGAGATTTCCTCTGACTGTTTGGAATCGGACTGCATCCAAATATCCTCCTTTTCGCCAGGCCGGGGCCATGGTGGCCGAGACTCCGCAAGAGCTTGCTGAAAGCAGCGAAGTTATCTTCACAATGCTATTCAACGACACTTCCTTTGAGTCCATTCTCACTTCTTCCTTCAAAAATGCGCTGCGCGGGAAGATCCTGGTCAATACCAGCTCGGTCTCAGTCGAATACAGCCGTTACCTGGCCGAGGAGGCCCAGAAATCCGGCGCCCGTTTCATTGAGATGCCCGTGAGTGGCAGCAAGGTCCCAGCTGAACAGGGCCAACTGGTCGGTATGGTTGCCGGAGATGAGGTTGTTGCCAACCAGGTTAAATCCATAGTCCAGCCGGCTATGGTTAAGGAAGCAATCTACTGCGGTTCTATTGGCAGCGGACTAAAGACGAAGTATGCCGTCAATCTGTATCTCATCACGATGAGCGCTGGGTTAGCGGAGTCGATGGCGCTTGCAAGGGCACAGGGCCTCAATATCAAGGCATTCGGTCAAGTGCTTGATGCTGGACCTATGGCTTCAGCATATTCCAAGCTCAAAATCGCCAAAATGATAAGCCGGGATTATTCCCCACAGGCCGCTGTTAAGGACTGCTATAACCTTACCCAACTCATCACATCGGCTGCTCAGGATGTTGACGCTGAGACACCGTTGATACAGCTGAGTGCTTCGCTGTATCATAAGGCTCTCACGCAGCAGCTGGGGGATCTAGACATGATCGCGCTGGAGAAAATACTTGGCAATTCTATGGCTGAAGAGCCAGGAATGCGAGCTTAGTCTCCGTACACAGATCCCCATTGTCTGCAGGTATTGCCATCAATGTATTTTGGAAAGTATGAGACAATGGGAGCAAACATTAGTCAGAGACACATCGCCAGTTGCAAGTAAGCACCTTTCTGAATGAGAAGCATCTGGTCATCCAGCATGTACGGGGTATGACTGGGAGAGACTGTTAATGACAGACGCTTGGACCAGCCGAGAAATCGGCCCGATCACGTGAAAGTAAGAACCAAAGAAACGCCCACGGGTGGCAGGCGGCTAGTCCAGGATAGGACTAGCGTGAATTACCCCCTGAGAGCAACCAGAAAACACGCCTGGAGGCCGCCGCGTCTCTTATCATACCCCGTGGCCAACTCAACCTCTGGACAGGTTGCAGCTCAAATGAACGCCCGGAAGGCTTCTTGAACGGCATACACTTATTTAATCTACTGTTCTATACTTCCGATTCTTTCGATCCCAGCGTATTCCCCGTTCGCGTCGTCTATCCGGTCTCGTTATCACCGCCTCTAGCCCGCTCTGTTATTGTTGCGGACCAGCGTCGCATAGCGTTCCTTGCCCGCGATCTACCTTTTTCTTCTCCAGAACGTTCTTCCACCTTTTTTTTTTCGACTATCCATGATACAGTTGGGTCACTTCTCATAGAAAATAATCGTGATGGAGGTTGCACCTTCCGGGGTACCGGACGGTGTCCCCACCGCCATAACCCAAGGGCCGTTGGTCGATGCCGACACTGTGGTGGAATATTTGGTCGATGTGCTGCGGGTGACTCTAGGAGCGCTGAAAAGCGAGCTGGAAAACACCGGTAGCCTTTTGTCAAAAGCCAAGTATAGCGAAACTGCGCAGAGATGTTTGCGGTTTGCGTCGGAGTCGCAAGTCGCCCTCTATGTGCAGAAGGACCTCGTGGCATCAGAGCATGCGAACGGGACTGCTGGTGGCGAAGGTACGTACCTTCAGTATATGCGGAAATGCATAGACGCAAACTGACTTGTGCTTGTTGTAGAATCCCCCGCCGAATATGTTTACAGCCTCTCTACCGAAATCTCGTCTTCTTCTACAACCATCGCGTCGGTGGCCTTTATCAAACGACCGGCAGCTATCGACCCCTCGCTTCCTATATCGTCGCAGATCCAGGTTATGAATCTTCCCGGTCCGGCTGCCCTCAACAACACCCAGGCGCAACAAGGAACTTCGCTGTCGCCCTACGAGATCCTACATTTACTAGTCCACCATGGTCTTAGCCCGTACTTTGAAGCCAACACCCGTAACCAGGACGGCGTCGCGAAGGCAAAGACGGACTCAGAGGTCAAAACTGGAGTTCCCGGGACTAAGAAGAAATTCGCGGAGTTGGAACTCGGGCTTTTGCATCTCCAGCAGAACGTCGAAATTCCTGCATTGAACTTACCCCTCCATGAAGTGGTTCAGGCGGCTCTTGTTGAAGCAGAAAAGCGAGGCGTTAAGCCTTCGGTGGACCTTATTGATTCGACACTTCTAGAAAGCAGTGCGTTTATCAACAGCATTCAGAACAATGTTAACGCTTGGATCAAGTCAATTCAGACCATTACAAAGATGTCTCGCGATGCGGATAGCGGGTCGGCAGCGCAGGAAATCAACTTCTGGCTGTCCATGGAGACTGCGCTGGAAGGTATTGAGAATCAGCTACGTGGCGATGGTGTTCAGTTAACCATGGACATTTTACGTCACGCGAAGCGTTACCAGGCCACGCTCAGCTTTGTTGCAGACACTGGATTGCGTGAAGCGACGGATCTAGTCCAGAAATACAACCAATTGATGCGAGATTTCCCCCTCGATGAACTCCTCTCCGCCACGTCCTTGCAGAAAGTGCGGGAATCCCTCACTTTGATATTCAACCATCTCAACAAGAAACTGAAGATTACCCCATACCCAATCAAGCGCGCCCTTGCGCTTGTGGAGGCTATCTCGGGCGATCTTGACGCCCAAATCCACTCCTTACTTAACGGCCGGACCATCATGCACCTCGAGTACCGTGAGTTCCGCACGCTGATGAAAACAGCTGGTTCAATCTGGCGAACTTGGGACGACAACCTCAAGGAATTCACCAACGTTGCTCGCGAATCTACGCGGCGACGAAATGAAAAGTTCATTCCAATCAAGATCAATTCGCGCCACGATAAAACTCTTGAAAGATTGAAGTACATCAATACCTTCCGTGTTAACCATGAGCAACTCCAACGAACCATCGCCAATGTCCTTGGCCCAAAGAGCTATTCTGCCGGTGATGCTGCCGCCGGTGCCGCCGCGGATGGCGCCGCCATTGTTGAGGAGATCGGCGATGTTGATGCCGTAGAGGAAGTTGCGCAAGCCTACGCTGCCTTGAAGGACGTGGATGTGCTAGATGTTTCCCCAACGGGAACTCAGAACTGGATTAAAGGGGAGATTGCGTATAACGAACGCACTTCTAGAGTTGAGAACTCCATCATTGCCCGCCTGCGTGACCGTCTTGCTACGGCCAAGAATGCCAATGAGATGTTCCGTGTCTTCTCCAAATTCAATGCCCTGCTCGTCCGCCCCAAAATCAGAGGTGCTATTGGTGAATACCAAACTCAGCTCATTGATAATGTCAAGCAGGATATATCTGCACTGCATGAACGTTTCAAGCAGCAGTATGGCCATTCTGAAGCGCACGCAATGGCTCAGCTGCGAGATCTCCCTCCCGTTTCTGGTGCCATCGTTTGGGCACGCCAGATCGAGCGTCAGTTAGACGGTTACATGCGTAAGGTTGAGGATGTCTTGGGAGAGGACTGGCACCTACACACTGAAGGACAGAAGCTCCAAGCAGAAGGCAATCTCTTCAGGAAGAAACTCGATACGCGACCCGTGTTTGAGACATGGTTACACGATGTTCAAAGGCGGCGTATCACCATTTCTGGACGTCTTTTCAACATTGTCCGTAACCGAGCCGCGGGCAACACGTTGGAACTCGCCGTGAACTTTGATGCTCAGATTATTGCCCTCTTCAAGGAAATCCGAAATCTGATCTGGCTCAATTTCCAAGTCCCTCATGCTGTCAGCAACATTTCGAAGGAGGCCAAGCGAGTGTATCCCTACGCTATTAGCTTGATGGAAAGTGTCCGCACGTTGCTCCAAACGAACCGTTCCATTCTCTCCATGACTGACGTTGCCATTCTGCTGAACGGGTACGTTAACGATGCCCAGAGCATGATTGGGAGAGGTATTCCCCTCCGATGGGAATCTTTTGTTCACTCGTATGAACTACATGTGAAACAAGCGGCCCTGGTAAATGGTGCTCTCGACTCGGTAATTCCGAGCACCAGGGGTGAAAGCAAGCACGTTCAATTCGTGCGAGAGTTCGCTGCCTCAGCTGCCGTCCTGCAACATAAAACTGCGGTCCTGGCATCTATCAATGATACCATCCAGAAAGCCACTCACGAGCTCAAGACATGCCCGTACGAGTTCTCTGCATTCAAGCAGCGTTTGGACACCATTCAAGCTGCCGTAGACAAGCTTAACCTGGAGAACTACGTCAACCTCGGACACTGGGTGCACGGTTTGAACCAGAAGATTGAGGGTATCCTTAGCGAGCGGCTGCACAAGGCCATCCGCGAGTGGACAAACTCATTCCAGGAATGGCAAAGCGGTCAGCAGCCTATGGAAAAAGCCAATGGAATAGGCGATGCGGACGCTCCAGCATACAACATTGAGTTCCCAGGCCTTACTCACGAAATTTCTATGCGTAACCAGGTCCTCCATCTTGACCCACCTCTTCAGTATGCTCGGGCAACTTGGTTTGCACACTTCGATAACTGGCTCGGTGTAATCTGCAATCTCGAGAAGATCAAGTCATCCCGCTATCAGATCTCCATTGAAGTGCAGAAGGTTCAGCTTTCGGAGGCGTGCTTTGCTGATCTCCCACAGTACTGCACAAACGAACTGAGCTTGGTTTACAATGCTGTAGAAACTAGGCTCAAGGAAGTCTCCGAGTACGTCGACAAGTGGCTGCAATTCCAGTCCTTGTGGGATCTGCAGTCTGAGCAAGTCTATGACATTTTGGGTGACGACCTGTCTCAATGGCTTCAACTTCTCCAAGAAATTCGCAAGAGCCGGGCCACCTTTGACACATCCGAGGTCAGCCGGTCGTTTGGCAACATCAAGATCGATTACGAGCAGGTTCAGACGAGAGTCAATGCGAAGTACGACCAGTGGCAACACGAAATTCTGCTTAAGTTTGGATCTAAACTCGGAAACCGCATGCGCGAAGTGCACTCCGAAATTGCTACTGCTCGTCATGACTTGGAAGGCAAATCTCTGGATTCTGCTTCCACTGCGCACGCCGTGGCTTTCATTACCAGTGTGCAACAATGTAAGCGCAAGGCTAAGGTATGGGAGCCTGAGGTGGATCTTTTCCGGCAAGGTCAGGCTACTCTTGTTCGTCAGCGCTACCAGTTCCCCGGCGATTGGCTTCACGTTGAGAACGTCGATGGCGAATGGGCGGCTCTTAATGAACTACTCAGCCGAAAGGGAAAGATTGTCGAGGAGCAGACCGAGGCGCTACGTGCGAAGATTGCCGCCGAAGACAAGGTTATTAGCGACAAGATCACTGAGGCTATTGCGCAATGGAATGAAGAGAAGCCTGTCTCTGGTACTATTCCTCCCGAGGAAGCTTCTCGCTCTCTTAGCATGTTCCAGACCCGACTCGAATCTCTTCAGTCCGAGTTCGAGATGGTATCAAAAGCGAAGGAGGCTCTTGACCTACCTTCGAGTGCCGCATCTGCTCTACCCGCGATCCTGGAAGAAGTTCAGGACTTTATGTCAGTGTGGGCCGCTCTGTCTACTATTTGGAGGAGTCTCAATGACTTGCGTGACGCGCTCTGGACGAGTATTCAGCCAAGGAAACTTCGCCAGTCTATTGACGGCCTTATTAAGATGACCAAGGAGATGCCCAGTCGAATGCGCCAGTATGCTGCGTTTGAGCACATTCAGAATGTTCTCAAGGGACTCTTGAAGGTCAACCCTCTGCTCTCGGACATGAAATCTGAAGCCGTCCGTGAGCGACACTGGCTGAAGATCTACAAAGCTCTCAAGCCAGGGAAGCGGTTCTCACTGGTCTCCCTGACCCTTGGCGATGTCTGGGATCTTCAACTTGCGGCTAGTGAGACAGTAATCCGTAATATCATTGCACAGGCCCAGGGTGAAATGGCCCTCGAGGAGTTCTTGAAGTCTGTGCGCGAGACCTGGCAAAACTACTCGCTGGACCTTGTCAACTACCAGAATAAGTGCCGCTTGATCCGGGGCTTCGATGACCTCTTTGCTAAGTGCAGCGAGAACCTGAACTCCCTGCAGGCCATGAGGCATTCTCCTTACTACAAAGAATTCGAGGAGGACGCTTCGTCCTGGGAAGACAAACTTAACCGTGTCCATGTCCTGTTTGACGTCTGGATTGATGTCCAGCGCCAGTGGGTTTACCTTGAGGGTGTCTTCACGGGCAATGCCGATATCAAGCACCTGCTACCCCTCGAATCGAGCCGCTTCCAGAACATCAACTCCGAATTCTTTGCCGTGATGAAGAAGGTCTACAAGTCGCCATTTGTCCTCGACGTCCTCGCTATCAATGGCGTTCAGAAATCTCTTGAACGACTGGCTGAGTTGCTCAACAAAATCCAGAAAGCTCTGGGTGAATACTTGGAACGAGAGCGTGTTTCCTTCCCTCGTTTCTACTTTGTTGGTGACGAGGATCTTCTTGAAATTATTGGAAACAGCAACGACATCTTCCGTGTCGCGAAGCATTTCAAGAAGATGTTTGCCGGTTTATCAGGTGTTCTGATGGATGACGACAACAACATTGTCGGGTTCACCTCTAAGGAGGGTGAAGAAGTCAGGCTGAAGAAGGAAGTCAACCTGGTCAAGACGCCTAGAATCAACGACTGGCTGACTGCCCTTGAGAGCAACATGAAATCAACCCTTGCCGAGCTCCTGACCGAGGCGATTGAACAATTCGAGCCTCTCTACAACTCCACCGAGGTCGATCGCACTGCATTTGACGACTTCATAGCCAACTATCCTGCTCAAATTGTCGTTCTTGCTAGTCAAGTGGTGTGGACTAACGAGGTGCAGAAGTCGCTGGAGAACGGCGGCACTAGCCTCCCCACACTCTTTGACGCTCAGGTCCGGGTCCTCGAACTCCTCGCAGTGACCGTCTTGGGAGATCTAGACCCTATCAGCCGCAAGAAGTGCGAGCACCTTATTACGGAGTTCGTTCACCAGCGTGACACTATTTCCAAGCTCGTAGCATCGAATGCCACGAGCCCAACACACTACCTCTGGCTGCTGCAGATGCGCTACGTCTACCAGGCCGATGGCGACTTCCTGCAGCGCCTGTACGTCCACATGGCCAACGCCAAGTTGAACTATGGATTTGAGTACCTCGGTGTTCCTGAGCGCCTTGTTCGCACTCCTCTTACGGATCGCTGTTTCCTTACTCTTACTCAAGCCTTATGTCAAAGGCTCGGTGGCTCGCCATACGGTCCTGCAGGTACCGGAAAGACTGAGTCTGTCAAGGCCTTGGGTCTGCAACTCGGTCGTTTCACTCTCGTCTTCTGCTGTGACGATACCTTCGATTTCCAGGCCATGGGTCGTATCTTCCTCGGTATCTGCCAGGTTGGTGCATGGGGTTGTTTCGACGAGTTCAACCGTCTTGAAGAGCGTATCCTTTCAGCTGTCTCGCAGCAAATCCAGAACATCCAGATTGGTCTCAAAAACAAGGAGACTGACGAGAAGTCTCAGATTGATCTGGTCGGTAGACGCTTGAGTGTCAACCTTAACACTGGTATCTTCATTACCATGAACCCTGGCTATGCTGGTCGTTCCAACCTGCCAGACAACTTGAAGAAGCTCTTCCGAAGCGTTGCCATGTCGAAGCCTGACAAGGAGCTCATTGCCGAAGTTATGCTGTTCTCCCAGGGTTTCAAGCAAGCGAAGCGCCTCTCGCAGCAGACTGTGCCGTTCTTCGACCATTGCTCTACTCAGCTGTCTAAGCAAGCTCATTACGATTTCGGTCTTCGTGCGTTGAAGAGTGTCCTGGTTAGCTCTGGTGGCCTTAAGCGTGCCCGTATCGCCAACACTAACGGCGAGCTTGGCCCTGATGACATTGTCGAGCCCCAAATCATTGTCCAGAGTCTTCGTGAGACAATCGCTCCCAAGTTGGTACGTGATGATGTTGCCACGATGCTGCAGATCCAGGAGCAGGACTTTGCTGGAGTCGAATATGTGCCAGCCAACTACGAGGCACTTACTGCTGCTATCAAAGATATTGCGCGTGAACAGCACTTCGTTGACAGCGAGATGTGGATCACAAAGGCTCTCCAACTTTACCAGATTCAGAGCATCCATCACGGTGTCATGATGGTCGGAAAGTCGGGTGCTGGTAAATCGTCTGCATGGAAGATTTTGCTTCAAGCTCTTCAGCGAATTGAAGGTGTGGAGGGTGTTTCTCATATCATTGACTCCAAGGTCATGTCGAAGGAGGCTCTTTACGGTAGCCTGGATAGCACTACCCGTGAGTGGACAGACGGTCTGTTTACTGGTATTCTGAGAAAGATTGTGGACAACCTCCGTGGTGAAGACACAAAACGCCACTGGATCGTTTTCGACGGTGATGTCGATCCCGAATGGGTTGAGAACTTGAACAGTGTGCTCGATGACAACAAGCTGCTAACTCTACCCAACGGAGAACGTCTGAACTTGCCTCCCAATGTCCGCATCATGTTCGAAGTTGAAAGTCTCAAATATGCTACTCTGGCTACTGTCAGTCGTTGCGGTATGGTCTGGTTCAATGAAGATACCGTGACGCCCTCAATGATCATCTCGAACTACGTCGAGTCGCTCAAGACCAAGACTTTCGAGGACTTGGATGATGATAGTGCCCCTGCTGGTCAAAGCCCTGTCAAGACTCAAGACTGCCAGGAAATGCTCTCGTCAGTCCTTTCCCAACTACTGCAGACCGATGACCTCGTTCTCAACACGCTCGGGGAAGCCAAGAAGTACAGCCACATTATGGAGTTCACCGATATCCGCGCTCTCAACACTCTGTTCAGTCTCTTGAACAAGGCTTGCCGGAACGTCCTCGAGTACAATATCCAGCATGTTGACTTCCCGCTTGAGTATGAACAGATTGAGTCCTACATCTCGAAGAAGCTCCTTCTTGCCCTTGTCTGGTCTTTTACTGGAGATTGTCCCTTGGCAGACCGCAAGTCTTTCGGAGAGTACGTGTCTGGTCTTACCACAATCGATCTCCCTATTGAGACAGATTCCTCCATTATCGATTTCGATGTGACTCTTCCCAAGGGAACTTGGTCGAGCTGGCAATCTCAGGTGCCGACTATTGATGTCAACACTCACTCCATCACTCAGACCGATGTTGTTATTCCTACCGTGGATACAGTTCGCCACGAAGATGTTCTCTACTCCTGGCTCGCAGAGCATAAGCCACTGCTGCTTTGCGGTCCTCCAGGTTCTGGTAAAACCATGACCCTGTTCGCCGCGCTTCGCAAGCTGCCCAACATGGAGGTTGTTGGTCTCAACTTCTCCAGCGCCACAACTCCCGACCTTCTTATTAAGACCTTCGAACAATACTGTGAATACAAAAAGACTCTGAACGGTGTCGTTATGTCTCCTAGTCAGATCGGTCGTTGGCTGGTTATTTTCTGCGATGAAATCAACTTGCCGGCTCCTGACAAATACGGAACACAACGGGCAATTTCGTTCTTGCGCCAGCTTGTCGAACAGAATGGTTTCTGGAGGACGTCTGACAAGACCTGGGTTTCTCTGGACCGCATCCAGTTCGTCGGTGCTTGTAACCCTCCCACCGACGCAGGTCGTACCCCTCTGGCTGAACGATTCCTCCGCCACTCCCCTCTGGTTATGGTCGATTACCCTGGTGAGATCTCGCTCAACCAGATCTACGGAACGTTCAATTCTGCCATTCTCAAGATTCTTCCGTTACTGCGCGGTTACTCTGAGTCCCTCACTAAGGCTATGGTGCAGTTTTATCTGGAGTCTCAGCAACGATTCACTCCCAAGATCCAGCCCCACTATGTGTACTCTCCTCGTGAATTGACTCGATGGGTTCGCGGTGTATACGAGGCTATTAAGCCACTTGAAAGTCTCTCTGTTGAGGGCCTTGTTCGCATCTGGGCACACGAGGCTTTACGTCTGTTCCAGGATCGTCTTGTTACCGAAGACGAACGCGCTTGGACTGCCGATGCTGTTCGGCGAATTGCCCTTGATAACTTCCCTACCATCGACCAAGAGGCTGCTCTAAAGGGCCCGATTCTCTTCTCCAACTGGCTGTCCAGAAACTATGTTCCGGTTGAGCAGGAGCAACTTCGTGAGTTCGTCAAGGCCCGTCTCAAGACATTCTGCGAAGAAGAAGTCGACGTGCCTTTGGTTCTGTTCAACGATGTCTTGGAACACGCCCTCCGTATAGATCGTGTCTTCCGTCAACCCCAAGGTCATCTCATCCTTATTGGTGTGAGTGGAAGTGGTAAGACAACGTTGTCTCGCTTCGTTGCCTGGATGAACGGTTTGAAAGTCTTCCAGATCAAGGTGCACGGCAAGTACTCGTCGGAAGACTTCGATGACGACCTCCGGAGCGTTCTCCGCCGCGCCGGTTGTAAGGGTGAGAAGATCTGCTTCATCATGGACGAGTCGAACGTTCTGGACTCTGGTTTCTTGGAACGCATGAATACCCTCCTAGCCAACGCTGAGGTTCCTGGTCTTTTCGAGGGAGACGAGTTTGCTTCTCTCATGACAGCTTGTAAGGAGGGTGCCCAACGCCAGGGGCTTATCCTGGACAGCCAAGAGGAACTTTACAAGTGGTTCACCCAGCAGATTGTCAAGAACCTGCACGTTGTCTTCACTATGAACCCGCCTGAAGAAGGTCTTTCCTCAAAGGCTGCAACAAGTCCGGCCTTGTTCAACCGTTGCGTCCTCAACTGGATGGGAGACTGGTCCGATCAGGCTCTTTTCCAGGTCGGTTCTGAACTTACCCAGTCTGTCGACCTTGATAAGCCTGGCTTTTTTGCACCTTCCAGCATCCCTGTGGCGTACCGTGAGCTTAGCCTGCCTGCGTCACATCGCGACACTGTTGTCAATGCAATGGTGTACATCCATTACTCGCTACAACGGTTCAATCAGCGCCTGCAGAAGCAACAAGGCAAGACCACATTCCTTACTCCCCGCCACTACCTCGACTTCGTTGCTCAGTATGTTAAGCTCTTTAATGAGAAGCGCGAAGATCTGGAGGAGCAACAGCGGCATCTCAACGTCGGTCTTGAGAAACTTAGGGATACTGTGGAGAAAGTCAGTGATCTGCGAGGCAGTCTAGCGCAGAAGAAGACGCAACTGGAGAAGAAAGACGCCGAAGCCAACGAAAAGCTGCAGCGCATGGTCGCTGATCAACGAGAGGCGGAGCAACGAAAAGCAACCTCACTCCAAGTCCAAGCAGCCTTGGAGAAGCAGGAGGAGGAAGTCGCTCTTCGCCAAGAGGTCGTGCTTCACGATCTAGAGCAGGCTGAGCCTGCAGTCGCAGAAGCCGCCAGGAGTGTCAGCAACATCAAGCGTCAGCATCTTACTGAAGTCCGTTCCATGGGTAACCCACCCTCTGGTGTCCGACTTGCTCTCGAAGCCGTCTGCACCCTGCTTGGGCACAAGGTCGATAGCTGGAAGACCATTCAGGGTATTGTGCGCAAGGACGATTTCATTGCCAGCATCGTCAACTACAAGAACGAGAAACAGATGACCAAGAACCACCGCACGAAAATGCAGAACGAATTCCTTTCGAAAGAGGACTTTACCTACGAACGCGTCAACCGTGCAAGTAAGGCCTGTGGTCCTCTGGTTCAGTGGGTTGAAGCGCAGGTCAACTACTCTGCAATCTTGGACCGAGTTGGACCTCTGCGCGATGAGGTCAAACTTCTTGAGGACAAGGCGCTGCAGACTAAAGCCGAGGCACAAGTTATCGAGGACAATATTAGAACACTCGAGAATAGTATCGCCACTTACAAGTCCGAATACGCTGCACTTATTAGTGAAACGCAAGCAATCAAGGCGGAGATGGAGAGAGTGAAGTTCAAGGTGGACAGAAGTATGAGCCTGCTCAAGAGTCTGTCGTCGGAACGCACGCGTTGGGAGGAGGGAAGCAAGTCTTTCGAAACTCAAATCAGCACACTTGTCGGTGATGTCCTCATTGCGGCCGCTTTCCTTGCCTATGCTGGTTTCTACGACCAGCAGTTCCGTAAGGCCATGACTGAGGATTGGGTCCAGCATCTGGTCCAGTCTGGCATCAGCCTGAAGCCGCACAACCCTATCACAGAATATCTGTCCAATGCGGATGAACGTCTTGCGTGGCAAGCACACTCGCTGCCAGTTGATGACCTTAGCACGGAGAACGCTATTTTCTTGAAGCGCTACAATAGATACCCTCTCATCATCGATCCTTCCGGTCGTGTCACTGAGTTTTTGCAGAAGGAGAGCTCAGAGAGGAAGCTCACTGTTACTAGTTTCCTAGACGATTCGTTCGTCAAACAGCTTGAGAGTGCACTGCGTTTCGGAAACCCAATCCTTATCCAGGACGCCGAGCATCTGGATCCTATTCTCAACCATGTCCTTAACAAGGAGTACCAGAAGACTGGAGGCCGTGTTCTCATTCAGCTTGGCAAACAGGAAATCGATTTCTCGCCTTCGTTCAAGCTCTTCCTTTCGACGAGAGACCCCTCTGCTACTTTCGCTCCGGATATCTGCAGTAGGACCACGTTTGTCAACTTCACCATCACGCAGAGCAGTCTGCAGATCCAGTCCCTGAACGAAGTTCTCAAGTCTGAGCGTGATGATGTGGACCGTCGCCGTTCTGATCTTGTTAAGGCACAGGGCGAGTTCAATGTCCATCTTCGCCAGCTTGAGAAGCGCTTGCTGCAAGCCCTGAATGAGTCTCACGGCAATATTCTCGATGATGACAATGTCATTGAAACACTTGAGACTCTGAAGAAAGAAGCTGCCGATATCTCCAGGAAGATGGCTGAGACTGAAGGTGTCATGACTGAAGTCGAAGAGATCACCCAGCGCTACAGCATCATTGCGCGCTCATGCAGTGCTGTGTTCGCAGTGTTGGAACAGCTGCACCACATCAACCACTTCTACCAGTTCTCGCTCCAGTACTTCACGGATATCTTCGAGTCCGTTCTGCGTAACAATCCAAATCTCGAGAGATCTGGTCTTCGGAAGATGGAAGATTACCAACAGCGCATCCAGATCATTCTCCGTGATCTATTCGTCACTACTTACCAACGAACCTCCTTGGGAGTCATTCAGAAGGACCGAATTACTCTGGCCATGCTTTTGGCCCAGGCGGCTCCTTACCCAATGGACAAGGGCATTATTGACACCATTTTGGATGAGTCTGTCCAAGGTACCGACTTGTCAGCCGACCCCGAGGCCAAGGTCCAGGTGATGAGCTCGTTTGGCAACATGTCGCTGTTCAAATCGCATCTTCCTTCTGTTACTGCAGAGCAATGGGATCAGTTCCTAGGCGAGGAGCTCGCGGAGAACTTTGTTCCCGCCGTCTGGGATGAGAACACGTCGGAGCTCGACAAACTTCTCCGGTCATTGCTGCTTGTCAAGCTCTGCAGAATGGATAGGTTTGTGCCGGCTGCTGAGCGGTTCATTGTCGCCGTCTTTGGCCGCGAGTTATACGAAGGGAGCACCGATCTCAAAGACATCGTTAATCAGGTCACTGCAACTGCCCCGATCTCCCTCAGCTCCAGCCCTGGCTTCGACGCAAGTTACAAGGTCGACGCACTGGTGGAACGCACGCACGCCACCTGCGCGAACATCGCCATGGGTTCTAACGAAGGTCTCGAGAGCGCCGACAAAGCAATCAACAACGCCGCCTCCGCCGGAACTTGGGTGCTCGTCAAGAACGTCCACCTCGCGCCATCTTGGCTCCAGAGCCTCGAGAAGCGTCTGGCCTCTCTCAAACCTCATAAGGACTTCCGCCTCTTCCTCTCCATGGAGTCCTCCCCGAAGATTCCTGTCAACCTCATCCGCGCCTCCCGCGTCCTGATGTACGAACAGCCTGCTGGTGTCCGCGCCAACATGAAGGACTCCCTTTCCTCGCTATCCACCCGCGCCAGCAACACTCCTGTTGAAAAGGCCCGCGTCTACCTCCTCCTCTGCTTCCTGCATGCCGTCGTTCAAGAACGTCTCCGCTACGCACCCAGCCTCGGCTGGAAGGGCTTCTGGGAGTTCAACGACAGCGATTACGAGTGCTCGGCTAACATTATTGACCACTGGGTTGACGTCGTTGCTCAAGGCCGCTCAAACGTCGCTCCCCAAAAGCTCCCCTGGGACATGATCCGCACTCTGATTACGGAGATGTACGGAGGCAAGGTCGACGACTCGGCGGACTTCACGCAGTTGCAGCGCCTCGTCGAGAGTTTCTTGACCCCTGCTGCTTTTGAGGTCGACTATAAGCTTGTCAATGGCGTTGAGGATGACGAGTGTCTTACCCTTCCTGGAGAAACGGGCCTGAGTGCGTTCGTGGACTGGGTTAACAAGTTGCCTGAGCGTGAGCCACCTACTTACCTTGGATTGCCGGCAAACGCGGAGAAGTTGTTGCTTGTTGGTCATGGACGCAAGATGATTTCGGATTTGTCTCGTGTCACATCGTTGTTGGATGAGGGTGAGCAGCTTATGATTGATGCTTAGGCTCTTGTATTATCCACTCCATTCCGTTGAGGGTTGGTATGGGTTATTTCTGACATCTATGTGTTTTGACGCCCTATTACCCTGTATTAGTTAGGTCATTCAGGCGCTTCTACTTTGCTGTCTACGTTACACTTTACACTGTATATTTCAATGATAGACTTTGTTCATTCAATCATGATTCATTCCCTCTGGGTCTAGTGACCAGCACCAGATATGCCCTCCAACTGAACGTCGGTAATACCAACACCCCACACGAACCACGAGGATATTAACAACTTCCTCGACCAAACCAAACGCTTGTAGTGCACCACAGAGCAACAGCGCGGGAACAGCGCGGGAACAGCGCACCACCAAGGTATTCACAAGCTAAACGGCCATTTCACTTCCATCCCATTCTTCAACATGTCCTCCAAACAACGAGCTTCTTTCCAGTACCATCGAGACAAGGGAGTGGCTCTAGGTTCCCCGTTCACCAGATATGCCATCGAAGCCGTAAATGGTTTGCCCCATCTATTCATCACTCAAGAACTATTGTTAGCAATCGGATACTAGCAGGCACCGCGAGTAATGACACAAGCCGATGCCGGGGATAGGGCGGCACGTACTCGCTTGAGCGCATAGATGACCTGCTCAACCCAATAACCATCGAGGATAGCAAGTCAGCTTCCATCCATATTCTGTATGTATGCGTTCCGCTCCATCATGACTTGAAGACGTAGTAGGGAAAGGGGATGTGAAAGTTCATGGAACTCACATCTCGGGTCGTAACGAGCTAGGCAGGGAACAGCGTCAGCGTCAGTTCATGTTGCAGAAAAGTGAGGTGAACAGTCTTACCTTTCTCTCATTCGAGGGAATCGTGCCCGAGTCCATGATGAGTATGACCTGGCGTATCGTCTATATACTTATTAGAGATATATATCTTATCGACATGGTACGTCTATGCTAGGAGCAGATCAAAGCCAAGCCTGGGACAAAGGAAAAGGGATATACCCAGCGTACCTCTGTTAAGCGCTTCTTCAGCACAATACGTGTCTCTTCGTAGATCTCCGCACTGATGCGGTACACCCCTCCGCGGCGAGCGAGACGACTATAGCTCGTATGTTAGCAGAGGATGTACCTCAGTCATTCGATGCGATTAGAGCCGTACCGAATTGCGGGGCGGGCTGTATCCAGAGAATATCAGATTAGCAACGCTTTCTGGGGCTTCTCGGCTTCTCAAGATGGATAGATGGGTGCAGCTGGAATCTTAGAGTGAGTGGTTGAGAAGACATACTGACGCCCATAATGTTATCTCTCACTATTCTGTAGACCTCATCAGTATCGGAAAGCTGTATATATGGAAAGGAGACAGCATATAGCGATTTGAAAGTGGAAGACGTACTTGTGGCGCCGTCCTTTCACGACGCCTAAGCCGCGAAGGCCGGTTGGCTTGGGATTATTAGAAGCGAAGGGGGGCATTTGGGCGATAGTGGAATACGAGGGGATGAAATGTTCGTTTGAGGTGAGGTGAAGTCGTCAAGAGGTGATTGGTATCGAGAGCCAGAGGAAGCGTGTGTTGAGTAGGAATGATCTGTATCAAGAGAGGTGGCTGGCATTTTGTGGGAGAACACTTGGTTTACCTCGCTGACAAGAGCGTATAACACAAGATGTCGATGTTTGGTTGAGCGCTTGAGCAAGTTATTGAGTCAAGTGAAGATAGAGTGAGAAGGTTGGCAATGAGTGTTTGAGAAGCGGAATGGCATTAAACTATACACTATGCAGTATTAGACTCGGCTGCTTTATGAATATATAATGTAATTTCGTGGCACATATATTGAGTAAGCACTCAACGCCGTTGAAAAGGAAGCAATGTATGATGTATGTACGTAGAACATCTAGGAGATGAAAGTCGCTTCCGAGAACATGCTTCCCTCCTCTGTAAACTCGTCGTTGCCGACCTTGAGCTTGAGGGAGAGCTTCTGTTGAGGAGAGTACTAGCGAATTGTGAGCTTAGAGCAACTAGCTTCAAGGAATGATATTTTACCTGGAAGATGTATGGCCGTGCACCCGCAACACTGCCAGCAATGGTCTTGATGAAGCCTGGCACCTCAGCCATGACGTCGATACGGTCAAGCTTAGGACCGAGGGCGCCATCAACCTCTGCCTTGACGGGTTTACCGTCCTTCGTCTTGCCCTCCCAAACCCATCTGATAGACTTGGGTTCCGGCCAGTCACTCGTCTCATCCTGGGATGCCTCTGTGTGGGTTGCGGTGTTGGTCGTGCCAGCGTAGATAATTTCGCCGTCCTTGACGATACCGCCGACGTTGACCACCGTTGACCCGTAAGATGGCGGGGTTGTGAACTCCATCATGATAGCGGAGAATGAGGGTGTCTGGAAGTTGATAAAGTTCCAGCGGGAGGCTATTCTAGTCAGAGATCTGCCATCGACTACCCTAACCACATATTTGACATACCTGCATGGTGGGGCTTCATGCCCTGGAGAGCTTGGGAGAACAATCCCCGACCCGTCATATCGTGAACCTTCTCCTTGGTGGTGATGGTTCCAGTAACAGTGCACCTAGGCCAGAACATGTGGCGCATGGATCCCCATGGGTTCTCGGGGTCGGTTCCGAAGTATGTAGTACCATCTTTGCCGATAGCGAAACCGGGAGCGGCACGGTTGAAGGTCAAGTCCACGAGGCAGCCCTCGTTCACAGCGGACTTGAGTGTGTAGGCATTGCCCTCTTCGTTCAGGGACAGCGAGATGTTATCCGCGGCAAAAGAAGACATGCTCTCGTCGAACATGTGGTTGTACAGAGGGTCCGAGAACCAAATATGAGGGGTACCATCGCCAGAGGTGTTGAAGATCTTGCAGTTGAACTGGGCGGTGGTGTGAATGCCACTTTGTAAAACCACACGGTTAGTGCATTTACAAATCATACTATGGTAGTGATGATATGACGGTGGAGACTCACGCGATGTTGCTGTAAATGATCTGGACCATCACCAGCGTCCCATTGTCGGCCATGACATAGTACGTCTGGGTTTCTACATTGGTGTACTGGTAGGCACGCCACCGCAGGTCGTGCTTGGTGAGCTCAGTGTACGGGGCATCCTCAGTTTGTTGCTGGGAGACGGGCTGGATGGCTTCTGGGCCATAGATCGGTTCCTGCGTGCCCGCAACGGCGGAGAGACTATACGCAAGTGATTAGCGAGCTGAAGATAGGGTTGCAGTCAGGGAGCGAGGATGAAACAAGCAGGTGAAAGCTTACGTCGATTTGAGCCAGTTCATGGTGGATAGACAGGAAGGGGAGTAGTTGAGGAAAGTGGAAAGAGACTAGGGAAGAGCACCGGAGGAGATCTGAAGATCAGGGAGAAAACGATAGCGCGCGGGGCCCAAAGGGGTCTTCCAATCGACAATACAAGCTTTGGGCAGGGGTTCGGACGCGGGTCGAGCAGAAGGCAAGACCAGACCAATATCGACTGCCAAAAAGAACTTCTTGGAGCTACTTTTATACATGGAAACTACGGCTACAGCCGGCCCTCAAGCTCTGATCGAGCGTTGAGCAGGAGCAACAGCGATGGTTCGTTATGACGTCCAGCATTTTTCCGGCGAGACTGGTCTCCCGGAACGGACAGAAACGCCGGTCCCGGCCGCCCATCAATCTCGAAAATCTTGGCCGCAAATGCAGCAACAGACCGGTTGATGTTGACGAATTGAGCCCTCCTTGACGCTCCTTTTGATACCACTCCTTCACCATGGCCAAGAAAGCGTTAGCCAAAGATCAGATTGTCAAGCTCATCGTGGGGGCCGGACAAGCCAGTCCCAGTCCGCCCGTCGGTCCGGCTCTAGGTTCTAAAGGTGTCAAGAGTATGGACTTTTGCAAGGTTCGCAGCGCAAAGCTACTACCCGGGTAACTTGCAAGAATGGTCGCTGACTTTTCATAGGAGTTCAATGCCAGAACAGCACACATCAACCCCGGCGTCCCTATCCCCGCCCGCGTCACCGTCCGCCCTGATCGCTCCTTTCACTTCGACCTCCGAACCCCCACGACGACATACCTACTGCTGCAAACTGCCAGGGTAGAACCGCGCAAGGCCCGGATTCGTGGTGCTCAGAAGCCCGGACACGAGTCCATCGGGCGGATCTCCCTGAAGCACGTTTACGAAATCGCGAAGATCAAGCAGTCCGAGACGAGATTATCGGGGTTGAGCTTGGAGGGGCTCTGCAAGTCTGTCATGGCGCAGGCCAAGTCTGTTGGCATCAAGGTTGTTCAATAGGGAGCACGCAGGCGACGCTTGAGTGATGTGGTGTCATTGCATGTGCAGCAACTTAGGATATTATGATACACACTGGCGTTCTCGGAGATGGGTCTGTTATACGATGTACTATAGCTTTTGATGCGATATAGGAGCGGCTGGAGCGCAGTTAACTCGAAGCATTCCGCACTGATCAGAGGCGTCAGCCACGGCGCTCTGTATCCCGTATAAAACAAGCAACGAATGTCTGGCATCCAGCAAGTGGCCAGGGCCAGCACCGGGAGAATCTGGGGACCGGGGAAGGTCAGGCGAAGAAAGTGCCCAGGAGCCAAGCAATATATGATGATGTTTTGACTTTTGTGTCATGCTATGGTTACCTCCTACTGAAGATCATCGCCATGTCCAACCGCTTGGCGCAAGAACAGGAGAATCAAGGAGGAAAATATGCATCGCAGGCAATGATTGTATGCTTGGCGGTATTCACCGGGAGCGAGGCTAGACGGGGCTAGGAGCTATCTAAATTGACCCCAGTATCTGGAACCCCACACGTATCTTGAATTCTGGATGACGGAGTAAGGTCCGGAGACGTACTGCGCAGTGCGTATGGACTCGAGAACAGCCTGAACAGGAGATTCAAGGGAACGAATAATAAACGATAATTTTGCCGGAAAGGGAATAGAAACGATTGCCAATGAGAGCCACAGGACTGGATGATGTACCCCGTATTCGGCATGCAAGGAGGAATGGGACCCGGCTGCTTCTGGAAGACCTCACCGATCTGGAGAAGCGATACAAGCGACCAATGCGGACCCCATGTTCAGCCACCGACTCGAATATAATAGCATTATTATCATTAGGTATAGACTAGATACTGCACCAGTGCACTGGAGGCCCTGCTGAGGCTGCTGTAACATGGCGGGGCAGAGCTCGTCAGATGGACAGCCTCGGGCTTGGTGATGACGGATATAACGGCGCGGTCGAATGTAGTCATCAGTGCTGCCGCGAGATTCCGAATCGTTGATATCTGAGTGTTATTTCACTTGGCGAGCATTCTCTCGGCCTGTTTCGTCAGCTGTTCTACCGGTATTCGGTTGTCATCATCATCCTGTCCTTCTCTCTCTGGCCATAATACAGTGACTGCAGTCAAGTCTGCGTCAATCTAGACCAGCCCCGACGGAGTACCTAGAGCAGTGGATCTCGCCGCTATTGCCGCCGCTTGTTTTTCTCTCCAAAGTCGGAGACGCCGCCGCCGCTCCTGCTTTCTCTCTCCTCCGGTTCCCTGTTCTGCTCTTAGTCTCACCCCCTCCTCTCCTCCATCCTCTCTTTCTATCTATCAGACTCTCCACTCCTTGCCTCTCCCGCTCCTTGCTCTCATCTTGCCGGCCAAGGTAAACGGAACCCGTTGCTGCTTTGGGATTTTCTCGGTGGGCCGAAGTTCACCCATCCGTTTCTCTCCGGGTCTGTGAAGCTCCCGGACCGTTGTGAGTAACAACAGCAATCGGACTTGACGAAAGATTCGCCCCGTCGACCACGCGAAACCCCCCGTCCATTCGCACCCTGTCCGCCTCGATTGGTCGCCGTCGTCACGAAAAAGCAAAATTTACATGGACCATATTTGCTTTACTTTCCATCTTCCATCCTCCGCTACGACTCGCTGATTATTACGTCTTTGGAGGGGCATGACTCGGGCCCGCAATCCTCGACACCATGACGTCCAAAACGACTGACTTTGCCGATGGGAGAAACCCTGCGCAATTCGGTGGGCAGCAGCACTCCGGTACTCCAAATGCATCTTCTAACATCGTTAGCTTCTGCAGGAAACCGAGAGCTCCAAAACGTAAACCAGACGCCTACCGGACGGGATTCTGACGCGGGAAATAATGACGCCAAATCCAAGCAACAGCCTGCCCAGGTTCGATTCTCTTCTGTGAATGAAGAATACGAGCCAAAGGAGTCGCCTGCTGCACCTGGGAATGATGGGAAGCAGGAAGACGATCTCCGGTCTCTTGCCGCTTCTCTTCAGAAGTCCCAGCTGCAAGAAGCTAGACTATTCAACACTTCATACGATCCAGTGTCTCTTCCGACGTCAAGAGTATGATTAAACCTTCGGCACCTCCGGGCATCTTTGTTTCCCGGGGATTCCTTGTGCTGATCAGTTGCTTATCGATCTAGGTCCCATCTCAAGAGTCAAGCGAACGGAATGGCTCCAACCTACCTTCAACTCATACCTCCCCTCCAGCATCAGCGATGCAATCACCCCCTCTCACACCAGCCGCAACCCATTCGCGCGAAGCAAAAAACAACGATCCCACACACACTGAACCGCCGCAGACGACGGCAAAGCAAGCTCCTCCTCTTCCTTCCCAACCCTCAGAAATTACCCCTTCGGCTTCACCACCAACAAGCACACAGTCGAAAAATGCAGTTGCACAAAGCGCGCCCAGCTCACGCCCTTCGTCAACTGATCAATTATCAAAACAGAATGATGTCACCCAGACATCTTCGCATCCCCTCAATGGAACACGACACCGAGCACAGTTCTTCGTTGGCCCCGAAGCAAGCTCCCGTGACGAAAGCCCGCCAATGACACCTAGCGTGGCCGTTGACAGCTATACTCCCCCAGGCGCGATAACTCCGATTGGCGAACCCAACGACCCTTACGCTCGTAGCAAGCGGCCACCCCAGTCGAAAAATCTTACGCAACTCGACCCACGATTTATTTTCAACGGCCGTGACATGAAGCGCAGACACCATTCCGGGACGTATCCTCGTCCGTCAACTGCGCGCTCCTCCAGTGCGACCGACCTCAAGGGCAACGATAAGCGCGCTGGTATCTTTGGTGGGAAGAAAGACGTGCGCCAGCCGGAGGCAGAAAGCAAGCCGCACGGTCATATGGCGGAGCTCAAGCGATTCTTCAAAATGGGCCACAAGCATAAGCGCGGAGAGTCGCCTTCGTCAAAGAAATCTAGCCGTTCTTCCGGAAAGACTACGCATCAAATGGCAACTGACAACGTTCCATTTGCGGATGATCATGGTCTCAACTCCAAGTATGGAAAGCTTGGGAAGGTTCTTGGCTCGGGCGCAGGTGGCTCCGTTAGGCTTCTCAAGCGTAACAGCGACGGTGTAACATTTGCCGTCAAACAGTTCAGGGAGCGTCATTCCTGGGAAACCTTGAAGGAATATTCCAAGAAGGTGACTGCTGAGTTCTGCATTGGCTCGACCCTTCATCATGGGAATATCATCGAGACACTCGATATCATTCAGGAGGGAAGCCACTGGTACGAAGTGATGGAATATGCCCCGTTCGATCTGTTTGCGATTGTCATGACGGGCAAGATGTCTAAAGAAGAAGTCGCCTGTTCTTTCAAGCAGATTCTGAGCGGCGTGGCATACTTGCATGGAATGGGCCTAGCTCATCGAGATTTGAAGTTGGATAATGTCGTGGTCAACGAGCATGGCATCATGAAGCTCATTGACTTCGGAAGTGCGGTTGTTTTCCGATACCCTTTTGAGAACGACATTGTGCATGCTTCAGGTAAGTTTATACGGGTAATCGCATAATCCGAGAGAAATTAGTACTGATCGCACTAGGGATCGTCGGCTCCGACCCATATCTAGCACCAGAAGTCTATGATGAGAAGAAATACGATCCCCGCCCAACAGATATCTGGTCTCTAGCCATCATTTTCTGCTGCATGAGCCTACGCAGATTTCCGTGGAAGCAACCCCGTGTCAGCGATAACTCTTATAGACTCTTCGTTTCGACACCGACACCAGGCACCCCGGTACCAGACGCCGACCCAAGGCGGCACCGTCCCGTCAAGTCTGCGCCGGACCTACATGCTGCTGCCATTGAAGACAAGGCTCCCCAGTATGCGGCGGCCATAAGTGAAGAGCCCTCGAAAATTATGGCTACACCCCCACGATCCCCTGTCAAGCAAACGGCAGGTAACCAAGAGGAAAATCGCCCCCCGGAGAACCCGCAAGAGAAACCACCGGCCAAAGACGCCAACTGTGACAAGGCCAATGCCCAAAACAAACCGACTCGGACCACCAGCAAGGAGGCACCGCCACTACCACCCGGATCCGCGCAAACGGCCGCTCAGCGTCAGGAAGTTATCAAGGGGCCTTGGAGGCTTCTCAGGCTACTTCCCCGGGAAAGCCGCTACATAATCGGTCGCATGCTCAAGGTGGCCGTGAAGGAGCGAGCTACCCTCGACGATGTGCTGACGGACGAGTGGGTTCGGAACATCAAGGCCTGCCAGCAGGAGGTGACTGGAGAAGTGATTAAAGCTACTGGTCATACGCACGTCCTCGAGCCTCCTTCTCCTAGTGTACCTGTGGCCAGTAAGGCCAAATGATTCTACCAGCTGATTGTGTATAATGAGCAAACTGAGAAAAGCTTCTTTCTGTGTTGTGCGTTTCTAGATGCATGGCGTCTTATGTTTTATACCGTTCTTTTTTGATGGGTTCTATGGCTGTGCTAATTGCAATTAGATCAGACGTGCCGTCAACGCTTTTGTCCCCCGGGTGGTGGATTTGTTTTACTTTCTTTGCTGAATATGCCTGTGGTCATTGTTCATACTCCGTCTTACCTCGACCACTCTAATTCCGAATTTATGTCTTTCGTCTTGACTCGGCGTTGTGGCGGCAGCAGCTCTTGATTTACCTTTCCCCGGAACTTTGGCCGCTAGATTAGTTTTCCTTCTTTTCTGCTTCGCTCTGTTTTCCATGTTCATGTCACTTTTGGCTTCAGTTGTTTGCCCTTTAGGTGCAATTTGTACATGAGTCTCGGGATACGGTTTTTTTGCCGTCCTCAGTGTGCTTTTTACCTACCTGTGGTCAACTCTACTCAGGGACAAGCGTAGCAATAGACTATCTCAATAAACAAACACTAATTGATCATTATCTGAATGTGTGAGGTGTAGTTCACGTAGTCGTCAGGGCTCCGAGTTGGGGCGATAACCGGTATCGGCGGAGATAAGATTACATTAAGGCCGACAAAATGTTGGACCGCGAGCAAGCAGCTCCAAGCTCCTCATTCTCCCTCTCTGAAATTCTCCCCCGCCCCTTGTCTCACTCCTAGGCTTTACCCGGGGAAGGACAAGACATAAAATTGAAGATATTGTGATTTGAGTCTTTTTCACAATCCCTCAAACGCTGATGGCTGAGTCACGAGATCAAGGGTCGTTGGCTACCTCGCTCTGGACCAGGTCTCTAATAGTACGCGAAAAGCACCATTTACCTTCAAGCCATTGTCGCGGGCTGACCTAGTCTCTTCTACTTCCTTGTAGGCCGGCGCCGTTGCTGGTCTCACGGTTGATTGCTCCCTTTACCCGCTAGACACCATTAAGACCCGTCTCCAGAAAGCTAGGCATCATGGCTCCTCCGCCCCGGCTTCGAGCGTCTCCCTCCGACAGACTATCCGAGGCATCTACGCAGGTCTTCCATCAGTCCTTCTCGGCTCGGCTCCGTCGGCCGCATCATTCTTCATTGTCTACGACGGTGTCAAGCGCTCCCTTGCAACAAAGCCGGAGTCACAGTCCCGCAGCCAGCTAATCCTCACACAATCACTCGCCTCGTCCATGGGTGAGATTGCAGCATGCGCAGTTAGAGTACCCACCGAGGTCGTCAAACAACGAGCTCAGGCTGGCCTGTTCGGCGGCTCAAGTCTGCTTGCTCTAAAGGATATTCTGGCCCTGCGGCATCCGGACCCGGCGAGCGGCGCGAAGAGAGGATATGGACAGGTTGTACGAGAACTATACCGAGGAGCGGGTATCACAATTGCGCGCGAGATTCCGTTTGCGATCTTGCAGTTTAGCATGTGGGAGGCCATGAAGGAGGCATATATCAAGCGGCAACAGTTGGAAGGACCGGTACCGGCGTCCACGAGTGCATTATTTGGAAGCATTGCCGGTGCGATCTCGGCTGGGTTGACGACACCATTGGACGTCATCAAGACGCGAGTTATGTTGGCGCGGCGAGGGGATGGTGCGGAAGTGAAGTCCGGAGCTCAGATAAAGCATGCCGTGCAGGAAATCTCTAAGGAAGGGTTCAGCGCCTTTTTCAGGGGTATCCAGCCGCGGGTTGCGTGGATCGGTATTGGAGGTGCGATTTTCCTGGGAAGTTACCAGTTCGCTTGGAATACTATGGAGCGTAGGTCGAAAGAAGAGTAGATCGATACGAATTGTACAATAGACAATGTGTATATACATGTGTTGATAGAGGGCATTATAGAGATAGAGCGGGCAGTGTCGATCGACCGCGAACATGCTACCTTCTAGTACAGATACAGCTGGGCAGTCGTCCATAGGTCCCTGGAGAGCTTGCAAGTTTATGCATAAATATGCGGCATCGTACCACAGGGTCAGGACGCCTCGTGGCTTGCCTGGGCAGGAGAGGGTCAGCCCCAGTGCATGGCCAAGTAGCCGCCTTTGGGGTGCGGTGCGGGGGTGAGATGGAGACGCTGGCTGGGGACTGCTGCTCTTTGCTATTTGAGGCTGCTCGCGTGTCTGGTTTCTGTGTTTGCCTCGACGCTGCATCTAACAACCATACTCTAGCGTTCCCCTGTACAGAGAGTATATTCAAGCTAGGAAGTGAACCGAGTGTTGATTTTAAGGTACTGGGAGGATGTAGTGGCTTAGCACCGGCTTAATAAATCCATCCACCCAGCCAGCAACAGGCACGACTTCCTCTCCTGCAAGTCCCCGCTTCTCCTCATCTTCTTCTCCTGATATATCTTGCTGATGTACTAGACTCTCTCTCTGCCTGTTCTGTACTTTTTCTGCGCTCTTTGTGTTGTCTGTATTTGTAGGGAATGCTTGTCTCCACTGCAGCCTGCCTTATCAATCGTTGGTGAGCGATCAGCCTGTCACAATCTCCGCATCGTCCGGTTCCTCCGCACTTTAACTGCTTCACCCGCACTCTGTCACTGTTGTCGCCTGCTGCATGGCACGCAAATTAAGCCACCAAAGGGTCACTTATGGTAAGTCTACTGTGTGGCGACGGTGCACTCCTTTGTGTTTACCACGTCCTCTATAACTCCGCCCATATCCCATTCTGATCTCACGGCCGCAATGTCTGATCCCGAGGCTGACACAAGAATCGATATTTATTTAGTGCTCCCTCCCTCTGATGCACCAGGTGGTCATCGGCTGGGCGTCAATGGCTTAGCGATCGATCCAGAGAATTCCACTCTGTGAGTGATTGAAACCCCGTCCAACATCGCTCGTCGAGATAAACGAGATAAACGCTGCTGTCGCAGTCGTCGCTGAGACTCCGTTTCTAACCCTTCTCTCACAAAAAAAGCTACTCGGCTGGTCGCGATGGAGTAATTTGTTCGTGGGACCTCGACCTGCCTTCTCTTTACTCATCCTCGTCCACTGCGAAAACCGGTTCTACGAAGTTCCGGAACCAGGTCCAGGCGCACACCCATTGGATCAACGACATCGTCTTGACACAGAACAATTCTGCTCTCGTTACGGCTTCGTCGGATACTACGGTCAGATTATGGCGGCCGCACTCGGAGTCCACTGACGTCCCAGAACCGATTGGAAAACATACCGACTATGTCAAGACTCTTGCGAGTCCGGGTTCCCATTCGACATGGGTTGCCTCTGGCGGCTTGGACCACAAGGTGAATCTGTGGGATCTCAATGGACACGGCCGGATCCTCAGCATAGACGCATCAGGTTCGGAACAGAGTGCCAAGGGCTCGGTCTACGCTTTGGGTGCTGTGTCCTCCGTCATCGCCAGTGGAGGGCCGGAGAAGCTGGTGAGATTGTGGGATCCGAAGTCCGGGAAACCGATTACCAAGTTTGTTGGACATACGGATAACATCAGGGACATCCTAATCAATGGTGACGGTGATACGATCATGACGGCTTCTTCCGATCAGACCGTCAAGATCTGGTCTCTGACGGCGGGCAGATGCATGCATACCCTGACCATGCACAACGACAGTGTGTGGTCGCTGTACTCTAACCGTCCGGATCTCTCAGTCTTCTACTCCAGCGATCGGTCCGGCCTGGTTGCCAAGACCGACACAAGGAATGCTGATATTGAGCAGGGGATTTGTGTGGCTGCGTTGCAGGAGCACGAGGGCGTGGTTAAAGTTGTGGCAGCTGGTGATCATATCTGGACTGCGACGCCAAAATCAAGCATTAACCGCTGGAGCGATGTCGATACGACCGCCGAAATCGAGGCGCCTAAAGAGCGTGGTGGTCTTTCAGACACTGATAAAACACAACCAGATGACAAGTCGTCCCCGAAACAAAAGCCAACTACGATTCCCTATGAGTCGCTTTTGCTTCTCTCAAACACATCTACACTGCCTACATCACGGATACCACAGGGCGATTCCGCCGTGAATGGGCAACCGCCCTCGCCTCGGCCGGACATGGACGATGAACTGGGGCTCACAGTTCCCGCTTATTCGTTGCCTGAGGAGACGGTGGAGGGCCAGCATGGATTGATCAAGTACTGTCTCTTGAACGACCGGAAACGTACATTGACGCAAGACTCCGCGGGCGAAGTTGTTTTATGGGACTTACTTAAGGTATATTGCCATTCTCTCCGACAGGATGTATCCCGCTAATGATCCCAAGTGTGTGCCCATCAAGTCGTTCGGCAAACGCCATATGGATGATGTGGAATTAGAGGTCAATACGAACGAGAGCATTGCGCACTGGTGCACGATTGATATTCGCACCGGGAGATTGTCTGTCATACTCGAGCCAGGCCGATGCTTCGACGCAGAGATATACGCGGATGAGGCTGACCTAACAGACTACTCACAAATTCGTGAAGACCAACGATGTATGTTTGCCTTTGTTGACTAGCTTTCTTCTACTGACAACAATAGTAAACCTGGGGAAATGGGTCCTACGGTGGCTCTTTGCTCCATTAGTGCATGAACAAGTCAAGCGTGACGTTGAATACCGTGCACAAGCCAAAGCTAGGGCAGAGGAAATGGCATCCCATAGCGTCTCCGCACCCGTGGATATCCCTGGGAAGCTGACCTTGCCGATACCGTTGGATCCATCTTCCCCCTCTGGACGTGATTCTCTTGCCAGCCCGCTAATCCCTGGCCATGGCATAAACTTGGCCACAACCCCCGGTTCATTGACGTCGTCAGTCCTCAATCATGGGCACAGTTTCATTAACATGGGAACGTCTCCTGGGGAGTCTTACGATCACTTGACATCGCATCAGAGCGCCGATCTGGCCCGGAGCTCAATGTCGGATAGGTCCAGCGATTACTTCTCGTCTCCTAAGTCACATGCACCTATCGATACGGACAAGCCTTTACCAACACCAGGCGAGCAGACGCCAACACCTACACAAGCTGGGGAGCCCGACAAAGAGGAGCGCAAAAAGGGTAGTTCACTCTTTGGCAAAAAGTTCCGGATGGACTTCCCCAAGAAGCTGGGGCGCACTTCATCCGAAGTTAAGCCTCAGATTCAGGAGGAAAAGCCGGAGGAACCTGAGAAGACGTCTGTGAAAGAAGAGAAAGTCTTTGAGAACAATCTCAGCGGCTTGATTGATCGAGCGCGTCATGAGTATGAGGAGTATCTCTCTGCTAATCCGGGCCAGGAGCTAGTGTCGGCCTTTGCACCCAGTGACGAGAGCGAAACACCTGAGCTGCAGATACCACCTCGGACAGTGGTGTTCATTCAGGAAGAGTCGGGAGACTCTGTCGTGGCTTCAGATATCTACAGGGGGACTTTTGAGAATATTGGCCAGGATCGGGAGAAGCTTGAGAAGGCGATACCGCTCTGGCTAGGCGATCTGCTGCTGAAGGTAAGCTACCTCAGATACCTTAATCAGCCCATCTCTAACCTATCAGAACCAAATGCCTTTTAAGGAAGCCGTCAAAATCGCATTTACGCTGAAGCCTTATGACGACTTGCTACCCCCTGTCGTCAAACCAGAGACGTAAGTACCGGCCGTGATAATTTTAGAGCACTACTGACGACATGTAGCCCTAGCATCAACGGCACGCCCAACAATTCTCGTTTGAACGCCAACAGGATGCTTCGAGCCAAGAAGATCCTGGCCTATGTATCAGAACGTATAGAAGAACCAACGAATGACCCCGTGCAGGACGCGCTGAAACCAGAGGAGTACCTTGAACTGTACTGCCAGAACAGAGTAAGCCTAATCGCGCTTAAATTAGTTCTCCAGTGCTATTCACTAACAACGCAAACAGCTCATACCACCTAACATGACCCTTGCCACCATCAAGGTGACTCACTGGCGCAATGCTACCGACATGGTCCTCCATTACAAGGCCAACGATAAAAAGACGCTCCGACTGATAGGGTCTGCCAATGATAACAACGGCCAGGGTGAAGCACCATCCAACCAGCAACTCCTATCCGAATCAGGCGGTGTCCCTAATGGTGAGGATGCGAGCGCTTCGCATGGCAGCACAGCCTCGGGTTCGGCGTCTGTGCATAATACTTGACCGTAACTCTCTACCTCGGTGGGCTCCAGTACTGAAGAGGTTGATTGTTAGAATACTTCTTGTTTTTCTGCTTCATTTGCGCGCGTCGGTGATACTTATTGGGCCTATACGGCGGCACTGCGATACCTCTGTTCTATCTCTCTTCTTTCTTAGCGATGTTACTCTCTGTACCTACCCTGCCAAATCTGTATATATTAGTCATTTGCAACAATACTAGGCCAACTTGTACAGGAATTCTAAATCTGGTGCAATCATGAATGCGTACCTGGTGGTTGTATTGGCGTCACGTGTACCTATCTCTCAAGCGTAAAAGCGGCAAGACTTTTAACCATCCTCACGCAGATACCTAACCAGACTGACTGATCAACGCACTCTTCTCGTATGGATCCTACATGGCCCAATCATGCCTCCTACGGTCAAAAAGCGTCATCACCGTTCCGCAGTTCACGGATGCCTTGCAGCGAACATGGCTTGAGTCGCGTCGGTTTCGCCCGAGGACGGTCTCGGCCCTGCCTCGTAAATTGGGTCAGTACACCCATCGTTTCGATGATAACTTGCTACTCGATACTGATGGTAATAAAGGCCTAGCTGTAAGCGGAGGCGCGGATTCCATGGCCTTGGCGTACCTATGCAGACAGTGGGAACTCCAAAGGCAGAAACAGCAGCAGCAAGAGCCAGAGCAAGAACACCACATCTTATCTAGCAATGGCAATGATAGTGGCTATGACGAAGCAAGCGTAACAGCCTTCGTTGTCGACCATAAAGCCCGGCCAGAGAGCACAGAGGAAGCCAACACTGTTGCTGGATGGCTCCGAAATTTGGGTGCGTAGGGATTCACTTCTCAGCATTAAAGCCTACTAAGTGTGACCCAGGAATCACAACGCAAATCCTCCCACTGGACTGGACAGGCGTCAGTCTTTCAGCGTTTGAAACGCACGCCCGGCGCCTGCGCTTCCAGGCATTAGGCAAAGCATGCCGGGACGCGTGCATAGACGCCCTCCTCATGGGCCACCACCAGGACGACAATGTCGAGACGACGATCTGGAGACTCTCTTCTGGTGCTAGAGGCTCCGGGCTAGCGGGCATTGCGCCCGTTGCGAGAATTCCCGAGTGCCATGGGCTGCATGGGGTTGCAGGGAGCGGAAATGTTGCTACAGTTCATGCTGAGGAATATCTTGCGTCTGGACAGGGGCAAAAGAAAGCAGAAGTACAAGTCTCAACTGGAGGCATCCTAATCCACCGACCGCTCCTCTCGTTCAAGAAAGCAAGGCTCCTTGCTACATGCCATGAGAATAATGTTCCCTATGTCTCGGACCCAACGAACTTCGACCCTACGCTTACGCCGCGGAATGCTATTCGTTCTTTGCTAGCTTCGAAGTCTCTGCCCCGCGCTTTACAGAATGAGTCTGTACTCTCGTTGATTGGGAAGTGTCGGGGCCTTATTCGCGACTCGCATCGCCTCTCTGATGAGATTCTTGCTTCTCAAACGAGACTGCTTGATACGTCGCTTGCGTCGGGGTCAATTACTGTGCAATTTAGGCCTTCGCCCGCTTCATCACCATCCTCGTCTCCTGAAGAACACGAAAAGGAAAACGAACATGGGGAAGAACTATCCCAGCAACGCCTCCAAGAACTCCAATCCCTCACCCTCCGACGCATAACGGACCTCGTCTCGCCATACGAAGATAACCATTTCCCGCTGAGCAGCTTCGTAAACTTCACAGCCCGTGTTTTCCATTCAAACGCTACCAGCTCTGCCAGCTCAGATCCAGAGCCCGAACTAGAAGAGAAAACTAGGACGCAGCCCAGGAAACCGTTCACCCTAGGCGGCGTCCTATTCCACCCCCTACCTTCCAAATCTTCCAACCATGACCAGCATCATAATGGTGACAGATGGCTCCTGACACGCCAACCGTACATGCGTCGCCGCGAGCCCGTCCTCCGCTTCAATGTTAGCAGGGATATTCCCACAGCGCCGTGCCAATCAATACGACCGCACGCCGAGGTTAATTCACAATGCACTGTTCCGTGGACACTATGGGACAACCGCTTCTGGATCCGGGCTTCAATGACAACGCTGCGTTCTATGTTCACCTCCAACTCGGATGCTGTTGGTCAAGAACCGAAAGAAGGAGAAAAAGGGCGTGTTCAGCTGGTCATCCGCCCGCTCCGGCAATCAGATCTCACGCCCCTCAAACGACTCTATAACATCACTAAGAGGAAAACGATGACGATAACGAAGCACCCGCTAACCCAAAACCGCAATGAGAGTCAGAGTCAGAATGATGAGTTCTACGAAGACGAGGAGGAAATCGAAAGCCAAGACACTTTCGACGCAGGTTCATTCTTCGCAGCCCTAGACCGGGACGCACCCGGACAGTCACTGTTTACGATTCCCGTCCTTGCAGTGGAGGAAGAGGAGGGTTTTGACGTGCCGTTGGCGCTGCCTACGATGGATCTAAGGTTTCCTGCATTAGAGTCTATGCCGTGGGCGTTGACATGGGAATGGAAGTATAAGATGATTGACCTTGAGGCGTTGAAACTCATGGGGTCGGTGTAAGCTATTCAGGCTAATCTACAAGTAACAAGAGACAATATGGAACTAAATAATGAGGGAAAGTAACCTGGCACACACCGTAGTGTCACCGACTAGAAGGGTCCAACCTCGGACCATCTGTTGACATGAAAGTGACATGAATGGCATCTTTCAACATGGACCCGAGAACCATACACAGGCCATTTGAGCCTATCCAAATCCAGACGCCATAACCACCAAGTCCATAGAGGAAATACAAAAATCAACGCTCATTCGCCATATGCTTATGTCGGTTATAAAGAAAAAATCCCCGACGATGCAAAAAGTAGGAGACCAAAGGCTGGAGATTGAAGAGTGCTTAGTCTGTGCTTGCCCTGAGCAGAGCCACTGCGGCTTGTTGAGCTCGAAGACCGCCGACTTCACGCTTGAGTCTAAAGTTCTCCTTCTTTAGCCTCCCAATCTCATCCATAGCGGACGATAACTGGGTTTTCAGTGCCTCTTCCCCGTCACCCGTTCGCACTTCTTTCGCGAGTTTGCTGAGCTCCGAATTAAAACGGTCATACAGGGCTTCATTCTCGGCACTAGCTTGGCGATACAGCTCGTCCAGCTTCTTGGCCCGCTTTTCGCTAAGGACTAGGGAAGACTCTAGATCCTTCTCCATCGCAGAGGTTCGGCCTTTAAGCTCCCCTGACAATGCCTCGAAGGCCAACTCGAGATTCCGCATCCGGGCGATCACAGCTGCAGTGCCAACGCCATCGTCTCCCGAAGGGCCGTGGACTGTTGCTGTGTCTGTCCGTAGCCGCACCGGTGACGGTCTTAGTGCTCTAAGTTCCTGGCCAATCAGCTCAAGTTCGTCCCTCAGCCCTGATTGCTCAAGAGACTGTGTCTTTTTCTCAGATTGGAGACGATCCCGAAGCTTCACATACACGTTAGCCGCATCAAAGCCTAGGGGCATAGAAGACGTACCTTCTGGGGGCTTTGCAATCGTAATCTTTGCGATCTGGTCAGCGAAGACGACGAAAGCGGGCGCTTTGCCTCCGAGCCATTGATCTGCGCCACCCGCTCTTTAAGAGCAGGGGTTCGGGAAATCCCAGACCTGCGCTTCGGCTCAGTGGGAGAGACGGATTCTTCGATCTTATCCATGACATTTCTCTCGGATGGGGTGTATCTTGGGTCGACATTCTCTTTCCGACTGGGAGTGACTGGGCGGATGGGGGACCGCCTGTTTGGAGAACCCGTTCTTGGAGGCGGACTGCCTTTCAAGGGCGATACGCTGCGGGCGGTGGATCCTGAGCCATGACTAGTCTGAGGCCGAGCAGACATTAAGGGAGTAACAAGGTCACCCTGAAGATTAGTTGAAGAAGACCCGGGGGTCGTGGGACGTGGTGCCTGGCTGCTTTGCGACACGTGGGAGACGTCTGAGGACGCCGTCCCTGGTCGCATATCGGACAGGGAGCTCCTCCGCCTTCGACGAACCCTCACTACACCACTTCCCGACACACCTTTCAATGATGATTGGGGGTCTTCCTGTGAGCTTCCTGGCCGTCGAAGCATTTCCTGTGACGTAGAAGGACCAGAACGATCACGAGAACCGGGACGCAGGAGAGAGCTTAGGCTCGTGTCGACGTCTATTGACTTTGAGCGGACTAGCATGGAACCCCTTGGCGTCCCCGGCTCAGAGTCGTTGGGCCCTTTGTTCTTGCTGAGGGTCCTGAGGATTGAAGCTACCTTGCCCTCTCCAGAGTTCTCTCGATGCAGGCCAAAGCCGAAGCGCTTACGAAAAGACGACGCATTAGAACCAACAGACCCCGGAGTTTGCGAGGTAGTTCTGGTTAGCTCGCTGGTCAATATCCCTTCCAGTGATGAGCCACCTGACACGAACTCGTCAAAAAGATGATCGAAGTCGTCCACCAATCTATCTAGCAGAGATATGTGCTGCATTGGGTCACCTTCTGCTGTCAGGATTTCAGCGAACGCGGCCGTTAAAGCGCCCCTGTCACCGTCACTCCCGGAGGCATCGAGAAGGTCCGCTAGAAGGCGAATGAGCGACGCGAGAGCGCGGCGGTTTTGAGGGCTCATATCGGCGAGAAATTTGTGAAAGCATTCCTCAAATTCACGGGGATACATGGTGTCGAATTGGCTCTGGAGCAGTCGCAAGCCTGAGGGGTCAAGCACTGGTCCCATGTGTTCTTTCCACGCGTTCTCCATGAACGTCTCGAAGGCCACAAATAGAGTATCAACCGCCACCTCGGCCGCCGCCTGGAGTTTTGCAGGGTCTTCTAGAAGGACATTGTAGAGCTCATTCACCGCTGAGCGATCTACATTGTCCCTTGCTCGAAGCGTGCGCCCGACGATATTCCCGCTGCGACACTGAAGCGCGAGGACATAGGCAGCAAATGTCTGCTCTAGGACAGCAAAGGGGCTATCGGATACTTTGGATGGCACCGTGCCAACGATAGAGGCTTTGACTGGTGTCTCTTCTTTGCCCGGAAATGAGGAAGGTAACGTATTGGACCGTGAGTGGCCGGCACGAGGAGGAGGCATCTTAGGAAATTCTCCCAATAATGTTGCTGACCCAGGCGCCTTCGAGCTTGAAGTGCTACTCTCTCTTGAATGCCCACCCAGCAGGTTTGCGATCAGCTTTGTCGGCGAAGGTGGACGGAAACCGCGGGAAGTTTTGAACTGTGCTACTACATGGCCAGCAAGGTATTTGATAATAGCAAAGTTGGAGTGAACTAGTGACTCCGCCATGTGTCTGTTCCTGGTGTCATGTAAAGGTTGAAGGACATTCAGCACTGTTCTAATTAGTCTTTGTACATCATTCGCAAAAAACAAGGTAGAAAAGTCACTCACAGCGTTTTGAGAATACCGGAACAAAACTATCCACGCTCACGATGTCTGATGAGGATGTACCTACTATCGAGACCACGATCACTCGATACTGGTCGTCACCAACCAGTGATACCGAAATGACCACCTCGAGGTCGGAATCGGTCAACGCTTTGCTGCAGACTGCTTTCGGCGTGTCAAATACGACCCTGATCTTTGACGCAGCTGGGCGGCTCATCTGCACGCCTTGCTCGTCTTCAAACACGCATGCCAGGATACCGAGATTGCCCACAGTGCCGGATGGACATCGGAGCGACCATTTCCCACTCTCCCTTTCGCTTTCTGAGAACCTGCCCTCTATCTTTGCTTTGATAATCTCCTCAACAAGCCGGCCTGCACGGCCCCCGTACATTGCGACTGGCTCCAATGCTAGAAGATCCACGGTGGTATTTTGAGTAGGTTTCGATGTCACCGCGGTAGGAGCAAGGAATAGAATCCGACCGCATGTAGATTGCATGCAACGCACCGTATGAAGATCATATACTTGCACGACTCGAATTTCCGCCGAAGATGTAAGTGGCCCGGCAACGCCTGGGGCCGTAGATGACGCGTTATCAAGCTCGGCCATCAACCCACGAGCCGTCATTTTACATTCCGGCGTTTTCGATAATAGCACAAGACAGTTTTTATACAGAAGCATGATCCCTGAATCGGCGTCAACATCAGCAAAGTCCAAGTGATATGGCGATGACAACTCGTTGAAATCCACAGCAGTAATTAAACGGCCGGTGGGTAGAATTGTGGAAGGCCATCCGTCTACCAACTCTGTCAGACGTCGAAAGCCTTGGTCATGATTTGTAGAAGACGGATCATCAAGTGAGCAGATGTCCTTGATAATATCCCGCGCTTTCAATAGTGGCCGAACAGCGGGGTGGACCAGCGGGAGGCTGCTTGTCATCGTGTCAATCAGCAGACTATAACGCGGAAGTCTTTGGACAGGCTCCATAAGTAGAGAACGCAGCTTCTGTTCCCCAGTCTCGTATACGCGCTTGGAGAAGCTCGAATTCTTGTCCCGCATGAACAAGTTCAATGTCTGGGTGAAGGCGTTATGAGCACGCATGTAGTCTCCATAAGGTTGCGAGAACTTTGGGAACCACTCTAGAAGCGCATTGGCAAAAGCGACAGCACCGATAGCATCTCGTTCTTCGTCATTTGTCCGCTGTGAGGCGGAAGATGATAACTCAGAATCTTCCGTGATATCGGCAATAGCATCCCTTTCCGTATCCTCCAGGACATTGCGAATTACTTCCAAGAATCCCATGTTGACATCGTATATCTCATTGAGACATGGAGGGAACAAGGTGGCCAGGTCGGACTCGTTGGGGCTGGTACTTGAGGGTCCTTTTCCCTGTGCTCTTGCGCGAAACTCCTCCGCGACTTCGCATACGAGTGAATACAGCTTGCTCACGTATCTTTCCTCTGTATCAACAACCTCGCACATAGTCAAGCGAAGAGATTGTTTCTGGCTCTGAGAGAAAAGCTTGGACCGGCTGACATTGGTCGGTTGTGACGGGGCTCGCTTCAGCCTGGACGTTGGCAAGAACATGGGCGCTCCCAGCGCTCGTATGAGTGACGAGTATTTTCCATAGTGAACATCAATGGTGTCTTCAGTATCTGCAGGCTCATCCGGGCTTTGGTTATCAGGATCGGGTGGTTCGGGAGGTTGGACGGTCCCCGCGGGAAGCACTACATCAACGTCGACCCATGGAACCTTGCGTTCCTGAAACGCGCCCCGAATGTCGCGCACTATATCCGTTGTATTCTCCACCTTTATCATGCGATTCGCTAAATCAGCTGCGTGCATCTCGTCGAACATCTTTGGAATCTGTCCTCCAGGTTTCCCCGCACGGGCGAGAGCCTGCAAGCATTCCTTTGCCGGATCAGATAACTCGGCGAAGTACTTCAGCATACTGACAGCCAACCCGCGGCAAACCTCGTCGCCTTGTTTATCTCGAGGTAAATGGTTGACGGCCGCATACAGTGGTGCTGCGGGAGAGACGGTGATGCGCGGGTAACTTTGGAATCCGGCGGGGGTCACGATATGCGCCTGAATGCGCGAACTGCTCACGGTTGCATTTGCGGTAGATACAGGGCCGTAGAAGACGAATACAGACGATAATGAAGGGTCCGCGACATGGTATAGGTTGAGTTGGTCGAGCGGCAGGTCCGACGGGGCACTCGAAGAGGTCGCCATGGTGGGCGAGGAAGGCAGTCGGCGCGCGCACAAAAAGCACGAAACGGAAAGAGCGATAAATCGGTATTAGATTAATAGTCGTAAGAGAGAACAGAGAAAAATTAGGGAAGGAACTGAATAGTTGAACCCGATTGCTGGCAGTCCAAGGCACTACCTGGCACGCAGCCCGGAGGGTCAGCTGTGGAGAGAGAGCGACAGAAGAGCACACCCATCCAAAGTTAGAGAAACGGAAACATAAAAAAAAGGATGGATGTCATGATAGAGAAAGATGGTGTAGATATTACAGCCGATAAGCCTGACGAGAAGGAGATAATCAACGAGTGAGCGAAAGGTCGATGCGACGGAAGCCGAAAGAGAGCCCCTCCATCGAGGCTGACGACGGTGGCAATGAGGAGAATGAGGAGAAGAAAAGTAGGAAAATAGAAAAACAGTCACACCACTCAACTACCGGAGACGACCTCTCCTTCAAAACAGGACCCTGGGAAGAAGACCCTGGCAGACGATCGGAGGGAGCTGGGCAGGAGATGGAACTTGGTGTAGACGGTGATTTGTTGTTGTGGTTGAGATGCAGCTCCAGATGATTTGCGCCCACCCAGCATTAGCTGATGCAGTGGGCTCCCCATCATCTTCAGACAAACCACTGGCTTAAGTAGATCTATCTACTCTAGTTACTCGAGATCTAACAGGATTCATCCTGGCGCAATTCTATTCAAGACCGGAAACCACCCACTGAAACACGTGTACTGCTGCTGGTGGTGGTCGCCCTTGTCAACAGGATCCGGTGAGAAAAAGAAAAGAAGACTAGGCCACGAGGGGCTGGTTGCAGACTCCTTGCCCTGATGATTATTCCGATTATATTGGATCCTGAAGCAAGGAGCTGCAAGTCGGGGCTTCTGTCGGGTTTGTTTACGGGGAGTTTGGGTGGGGAACTGAAGCTATCAACAACACCTGAACCACACCGCTCAACCAAGGATCATCCCAACAGGAGGGCTATTATTCTGCAAGACTAAGAGTTGTTTCCGTCTGCAGCTGACCGGGGTCCTTTGTTGAAGTTTTTAGATGCTCTCTTCGTCATCACCCAGAGTAATCACGAGATCATTATCTACTCCGTAGTACTTTGCTTAAGAGAGTGGCATATACACTTCCCCAAGCCTTGATTGGTCGGAACAGTGCTGAGTAATAGGTACAGCTAATCCCAACTTGGCTAGTACGCACTAGCTCCAAACAGGCAATCAGCCCTCTCCGCCTTTTGAGCTGCTGAATTGTGTCCACATCCACCGCGGCCTGGACTATCTATACAACTCAATTATAACGGCCATGACTTGAGTCGTTCTTACACCGGGCACCCCTAATCTCCGCCGCTCGCTTTGCCCGTCATGTCGTCCTCTTCCTCCTTTCCCATCGCCGTCGATCCCGTCGCGTTAGTGACAACAGAATGCATTACCGTGACCTCGGCCATGCGGAAACATGCCCGATGGGCTCACTCCTCCGTTGCGGCCATTCTGGGCAGCGGTACTGTCTCCCGTGTTTATGATCGGGATAATTCTACCCCTTCTAGCCCGCTTAACGGAAACACACCTACTCGCCCAAGGTCCAGGCTCTCCTCAGCGGAAGATGATCATGCCCTCGCCAATCGGTGGGGACTGCGGGGGAAGAAGGGCAAGAGCATACAGGATAACCCTCTGATATCTGCCTTTACCCGACTACGGAATGACCTCAGAGATTGCAAAGACATTAAGTCGTTCGACGCCCCGGCCTTGCTACACCCATTCCTTCAGGTCGTCCGCTCCTCTTCAACTTCCGCCGCAATCACTTCCCTTGCCCTGCTCGCCTTGACCAAGTTATTCTCCTACAAAATTATCGACCGCAATTCTCCGAGGATCTCGATGGCCATGCAGCTGCTGTCTGCAGCAATCACCCACTGCCGGTTTGAAGCCAGTGATTCTGCCGCCGATGAGATTGTGTTGCTGAGGATTCTGAAGTTGATGGAAGGGATGCTAGCGGGGCCAGAGGGAGAACTTCTTGGGGATGAGAGTGTCTGTGAGATGATGGAAACAGGTTTGAGCATGTGCTGTCAGGTCCGCCTTTCGGAAGTGCTCCGGAGGTCTGCCGAGATTGCTATGGTCAACATGTGTCAGGTCATATTCATGCGGCTGTCAGTATTGGATGCCAATGCAGAACCCTCGGATAACGAGACACGACTGCCGGATCACTCTGACGAGAGCGAGCAAACAAACTTAAAAATGGATCCATCTGTCGATGGAAATACAGTCGCTTCGCAGCACCCTTCTGCCATGGGTTCGGACACCGCTGTCACGGACCGCGACCATGCCAGCTACGATAGTTCATCTGACCAAGCGCTGAATGGAAACGCGGTTGCCGCCCCACCAAACCCCGAAGATGACCTGGGTGAGGAAGTAAAACCTTACTCGTTGGCTTCAATTCGTGAGCTATTTCGCGTGCTCATCGATCTCTTGGACCCGGAAAACCGGCAACATACGGACCCCATGAGAGTAATGGCGCTACGAATAATTGATGTGGCACTGGAAGTTGCTGGTCCCTCGATTGCTAGACATCCTAGCCTAGCGTCTTTGGCACAAAATGATCTATGTCGGCATCTCTTCCAGCTTGTCCGGTCTGAGAACCTGGCGATCCTCACTAGCTCTCTTAGGGTGGCTGGCACACTGATTCTGACCTGCCGCCCCGTGCTGAAACTCCAGCAAGAGCTCTATCTATCATATCTGGTTGCGTGTCTCCACCCGCGGGTCGAAATACCTAGGGAGCCAGGCATCAACCCTGCTCTTTATGAAGGAGTTCCGCAAGCACCTAAGGTGGTGAAACCGCCTCCTTCGCAGAGTAGCAGCGGGCGGTCAACTCCAGTGGCCGTGAAGGATCGACAGAAGCTTGGGCTGGAGGGCGGCTCCAGGAGGCCGGAAACAAGAGAAGCGATGGTCGAGAGCATTGGCGTACTAGCGCGCATTCCCAGCTTCATGGTCGAGCTCTTTGTCAATTATGACTGCGATGCTGATCGTGCTGATCTGTGTGAGGACATGATAGGCCTACTGTCTCGGAGCGCATTCCCCGATTCAGCGACATGGAGCACCACCAACGTTCCTCCGTTGTGTCTCGACGCCCTCTTGAGTTACATTCAGTCTATTTACGACAGACTCGATGACGTTCCTGCAACAGAAGGGTTCCCCTCAAAAGAACGTCTGAGACATCAACGAGACACGAAGAGGATTATTGTGCATGCCGCCCAGAAGTTCAACAGCGACGATCCTAAAGGGGCGATAGCTTATTTGACCTCCCATGATGTGATTGAGAATTCTGATGATCCTGTACAGGTTGCCCGTTTTTTGAGAGGAACTACCCGATTGTCAAAGAAAGTCCTTGGAGAATTTATTTCCAAGCGATCCAACGAGGGCCTTCTCGACGCCTTCGTCGATCTGCTTGAGTTCACTGGCAAATCTGTGGTTGACGCTCTTCGAGACTTACTCGGTGCATTCCGGCTTCCCGGCGAATCAGCATTAATCGAGCGAATCGTCTCTACATTCAGTGAAAAGTATATCGAGAAAGCTCAGCCCTCGGAGGTTGCTGACAAGGATTCGCTGTTTGTCCTAACTTACGCCATCATCATGCTGAACACCACTCTCTACAATCCTAACATGAAAGCTCAAAGTCGTATGTCCTGTGCCGACTTTTCAAAGAACTTGCGAGGCCTTAATGCAGGCCAGGACTTTGCTCCCGAGTTCCTAGAGAAGATTTATGATTCTATTAAACAAAATGAAATCATTCTACCGGATGAACACGATAACAAACACGCATTCGATTATGCTTGGAGGGAATTATTGTCAAAGTCCGCTTCCGCCGGTGAACTAGCCGTTGGTCAAACCAATGTCTTCGATGCAGACATGTTCGCGGCTACCTGGAAACCTGTAGTCGCGACCTTATCTTATGTCTTCATGTCTGCCTCGGACGATGCGGTATACTCTCGTGTGGTAATGGGATTTGACCAGTGCGCTCAAATAGCAGCCCGTTATGGTTTGACGGAGGCATTTGACCGCATTGTCTTTTCCCTTGCCTCAATCAGCACCCTCGCCACTGCGAGGCCTCCTAGCACCGCTCTCAACACTGAAGTGCAGGCTGGAAACAAGAGTGTCATGGTCAGCGAGCTGGCCGTGAAGTTTGGGCGAGACTTTAGGGCACAATTGGCTACGGTTGTGCTCTTTCGAGTTTTGGCAAATAACGAGAATTCGCTTCAGCAGGGCTGGGCTCATGTCATTCAGATTCTTCGAAATCTATTCATCAACTCCCTCATTCCGCCATTCGATTCTACACTGAACGCAGATTTCGACATCCCCCCAATCCCGTTGCAACCACCTTCGCAGGTTGTAGACCGAGACGGACGGGGCAATGACACGGGGCTACTGTCTGCCTTTACATCTTACCTTTCTAGCTACGCAGCAGATGATCCTCCGGAGCCGTCAGATGAAGAGCTTGACAACACACTGTGCACTGTAGACTGCGTCAGCGCATGTTCTATTGACGACCTCCTTTCGAATATCAGGTAAGATATATACCAGCTTCGAGACGGACATTTTATGCTTACAACTCTTTTTTCTGTTCAGAACCCTTCCCCTGGAAACGGTGTCGACGATAGTAGAATCACTACTTGCTCAGTTGCCTGAGGAAAGTGCCCCAGCGGTCATTGTTGTGAAGCCTGAGCGGCCACTTCCCTCCACGAGAGCGAATTCCAGGCCAGACACTGGTAAAGGTCAATACGAACCCGGAATGATGTACCTGTTGGAATTGGCCGCCATTCTTACGCTCCGCGACCAACAAACAATTGAAAGCCTCGGCGAAGGACTCCTGGCCTCTCTTCAAGGTTTCATTCGAGATGCTAGGAACCTTCACTCTCTGGCACTATCGCGGGTGACAACTTACTTATTGAACCTACTCCGGTTGAGTCATGTATGATCCGCCAACTTGTTCAGCACTCGTTCGACATACTGATGATGTTCCAGGAACAACCCTTCACTCGCGTTCCCGTCATCCTTCATGGAATTTCTAGTTTTGACCAAGACACCTTAGAGAGCGTCGCCGTTCCGATCGTTAAAGGCCTTTCACGATGCGTTTTCGATGGCAACCTTTTGCGGAATGAGATCACTGTTTCACCGGACTTCTGGTCCATCCTACAACGCTTGCACCAGCACAAAGAAGCCGCGCCCTTGGTCTTCAGCCTCCTCAAGGCTGTTGTTGATTCGAACCCTCCTATAGTTACCGCTGATAACTATGAATCTGCTGTTAGCCTTGCAAATGAGTTTATCAGTGCGGGAAGCGTAGGCTACATCGAGGAACGGCAGAGAGACGTCCTTGCGCGGCGTTCAAAGGGTGTCAAGCAACCAAAACAAAGGTTTGTCATCGCATTTATCCCGTTTGCTATCGACTGCCAGTTCTAACTCGCTCCTAGCGAAAACGAAGTCGTCTCTCGCGGTGTGACCGCTATTGGCCTCATCTACCAACTTACTAGTCGAGCTCCGACCCTAATCAAGCAGTCACACCTGGAGGACGGTGAAGGTTTGTGCACACTCCTAAGGCCGAAATAACACCGCAATTCATACCTGACATCATCTAGCTTGGTCAGCATATTGGTCACCGATATTCCACTCTCTGACCTCACAGTGTACCAACCCTTGTCGGGACATTCGGCATCACGCTGTATCGACTCTACAACGGTCCCTCTTATCCGTCGACATTGAATCCGATAAGGAATGGACAGCCATCTTCGATCAGGTTCTCTTCCCGTTAATCCTGCGGCTATTGAAGCCGGAAGTCTTCCATTCAGACCCCCTCGGAATGGGCGAGACTCGTGTTCAGGCAGCAACTTTGGTCTGCAAAATTTTCCTGCGTTATCTCGACCAGCTTCCGAACGCTGAGGGCATGCTAGAACTATGGCTCAAGATCCTTGATATCCTAGACCGGATGATGAACAGCGGTCAGGGAGACAGTCTCGTAAGCTCCTCCAAATCAATCCCATGTTCTCGAAAGATAACTAACTTTCTTTGCAGGAGGAAGCCATTCCCGAAAGCATCAAGAACATTATTCTAGTCATGGCAGACCAAGGCCACCTCGTCCCACCTACCCAAGACCCCAGCAAAGAGAACATTTGGACCGAAACAAAGAAACGCCTAGAGCGCTTCCTACCGGATCTCTTCAAGGAAATCTTCCCCGACGTGCCTCTGCCCCCTCCCGCGCCGAAGGAGAACCCGCCAGCATCGGCCCCTAGCTCTCCTCCACCAACCAACACAGTTACCACCGATACCCCTGATGAAAAGGAGAATCAGGCACTTGCTCCTGAAGTTCTCAAAACCGATGTTGAGAGGGCTCCTGAAAAGGCGGACTAATTTAGACGTTTCATTGTGCTCGTCTTATAGTACTCTTTTCTTCTCATTCCATTTCTTTTTGGCATTTATAGCGCGGACATGCTTTGCTTTGAATTCAGACATAAGGTTACCTACTAACTAGATAGGCGTATGTAGATATACTATTTGTCTTTCTCATGTAATGTTTATGCTATTAGAGCATCATGATGTGTATCATAAGTTTCTTTGATTGGCATTTATTTGCTGAATCTGTGCTTCTGTGCATGTATATAATCAGAAACATCAGTCCTCTACATCACAACTAGTGCGGTCCGGTTATTGAGGAGATCTACTTTCAAATTTCGAAACAACAGTACATACTCTAACCAAAAGTCCCCGGTAATCTCAATGTAGATTTCATCTCATCTGTACACAACGCTATCGCGTTGAAAAGGAGATAGGTATCGCAGTTTGATTGAAGGAGTGGCTGACTTGAACTCGCAGAGTGTAGTAAGACACGATTGGAAGAACAGAGAGTAAAAAGAAGTGATACATAGGAGATTGATATATTTAGGTGTACACCGTAGGAGGATGCAAACACAGGACACTGCCAAAAACACCCACTTGAGATTGCCTAGGTGATAGATGAGATCGAGAAAGGTATATTGATCTAGTAAGATTGGATCATGAACGAAGCCGTTGAGAATTGTAGGAGATGGTAAGAGTAGGATATTGTTATGGTAGTAAATCGAAGAAAGATAAATAGATAGACAATCGTTGGTTGCAACTGCGGCATTGGTGCGTCTGTGTGGCCGCGCGTGGTACATGAGACTTGGAGGGAAAGAGGAGGGATTGACGCGGTATCAGAGTTGAAAAAAGAGGTCTAGTCAGCGTCCATTTCATCGTCGAGGTCAATGGCGTCGGGGTTCGCTGGCGCGGCAGCCACAGGGGCTTGACCCGCAGGGGGAGGGCGATTGCCGCCTTCAGGCCCGGTGCTGGCCGCGACGAAGCCGATAGGCGCACGTGCTTGTCGTTCCAAGGCAGCCATGGCATCCGCGGTCTCGGTGTCCATTTCTCCCCCTGCTTCAGCTGCGCCTTCGTTGCCTTCAGGGGCCTGTTGCTGGCCACGGGCGATAGCCTGAGAGGCGATGAAGCTGACGTCCGTGCTGTGGCAAATTGATTAGCTTGTGTCTGAGTAAATTTTAAATCTCGGACTGGGGTACGTACTTGTATTGAGCTTGAACACTTCGCTTGATACGAAGCATTTCCTTGAAGGTATCTTCGTTTCCGTGCTGGACTTCAAATGCTTCCCATTTCTGCCAGAATGGAGCATTAGTGCGGGGATCACAAAACTGGGATGCGTGACCGTAAATGGCACGAGCACGGTCGATTTCGCCGAGCCTTCTTTCCATCTCGGCAAACTTGAGGCACATCTCTTTGGCCTCTTGATCGGGCAAAGCGGCGATACCACGCTCGTAAATCGGGCGCGTAGAGGGTAAGCCGAAGTTTGAGGCCGACTTAGTGATGTAGAACTCGAACATCTCGAACCGGTCTTCGTCGGAGACTGCCCGAGTTGCGCGCTCGTAGATACGCATTGCGTGCCTGGCCAAACCTCGCTCCTCCTCCAAGTTACCGTACATAAGGTAGAGGGGTTTGGCGAACTTCGGAGGGCAGCCGTCAAGAGCCTGCTCGAACAGATCCCGCAGACGTTCAATACCAATCTTCCGGTCAACAGCTTTGGTCAAATACAAGTTCCAAAGTTCAAAAGCAACCGGGTAGGTGAAGAGGTCCAGGCCTCGCTCGTATACCTTGAACGATTCTTCGAAGTACTTGTGCTCCTCTAGAAGATTGGCATAGTTGACAACGGTCTGCGGAGTGGCGATGCGCAGCTCAAAGATCCTTTCATATACCTTTTTAGTCTCCTCGATTGATGAGACACTCTCCACCAAATCGACGTAGAAACTCCATAACTTCCAACTCTTGTGAACGCGTTGCTGAGGAGACAACGTCTCATCAAAGTAGTCGACAGTGGATTTCTTCGGGGCTTGCGTCGCTTTGGCCATGATCTCAACAGCTTTATCGAAATTCTCACTGCGCAGCTCCATCTCTGCCCATTCGCACCATGTTTCGGCGAGTTCGGCAACTGACTTGAATGGAACTTTCACGGCCTTCTCAAAGATGACACGTGCAGAATCTAGATCTCCTCCACGCTCGTAGAATTTAGCGTAGTTTACCCAGAGCTCAGAGAACTTGCCGACAGCCTTCTTGGGGTTGATGGCGGCTATCGCGGCAGTATATGTCTGGACAATCTCGACATTGTTATCGCCCCAAAGAGCCACCCTCTTCTCCCATTCGATGACATTGTTGGGGTTCTGCCTGAGCAGTACGTCATTGACAAGGAACGGACGCCGGTCCATGAGTTGCTCGAATCTGAGCATCCGCAAATCAAGATCGAAATCGGCCTCTTCGTCAGCCTTTCCGTTATCTGTTCGGACAGCTGCAGCATCCATCAAGTTGCCTATGATGGATTCTTCGAATTCGACGTAAGAATCGAAGATAAGAGTGAAATCACGGACCGTCATAACTGTCGTGATACCCTCCTCGAAGACATCGCGCGCCTTCTCAAAGTTGCCTTTGGTGATCCAGTACGTTGCAAGTCCAGCCCACAGTTTGCCTCTTTGGTCAGCGAATCGATCAATGCCGCTGCGAAGGATCGCATCCACATCAATTCCAGACTGAGGACCAGTTTCAATTTTCTTCGCCTTTGAAACCAGCAAATCAACCATCTCAGTCCACAACTGAAAGTTGCTCTTTCCATCTCGAGATTGGAATCGGGGGTTATCGAGAACATCCATATATCGCTTCACGGCATCAGTATATTGGCCCATCTCCACGAGTAAGCCAATGTACTCCTCGGCATTCTCCGGGTGGATTTGCATGTAGCGGGCCCAGATCTTGACAGCAGTCTGACCAGAAGCAGAGCGCGCAAAAGTCTTGTAGAGTCTCCAGATCCGGTTGTGCTGAGTTACCGGTAGTGCTCGTAGAGCTCGGTCAAACGTCCTCCGGGTCTGGGTGACAAGCGGCTGTTGAAGCATGAAAGAGAGGTATATCTCCCAAATCCGGGGCATCTTGTTGAGCAGGATTAGGGCACGCTCGAAGAGCGCGTTGACTTTCTGGAACTCAGCCCGGTACTTTGTCGCATTGCGGTTCTTGAGATGCTTTGTCCGGAATTCCAAGTACTATAGCGATTTGTTAGTATATTTACTTAGATATCGACCGGGAGGGCGATGTTTTGTGTACCATCTTCCACAGCTTGTAAGACCTTGGGAGCTGTTTACAAGCACGCTCCATAACCTATTGAATCGTTCAGTATGCGGACAAGCGCATCGATAAGAGGGTGACCCACGAAAGCCTGCTCATAAAGCGTCCCATTCTGCTGTTTGTATTCGATGTACGCAAGCCATGGCTTGATGCTGCCGGGGTTCCGTAGGAGATCCTGCTCGTACACGCTATCGTTATCGGCCTATAATGAGAGCATAATATTAGCAACTGCTTGTCCATCTTGGTCTCAATATACTCACAATCAAGTATAGGTCAGGCCGCGAGGCCGACGATCGATCCATCTCTGCGTGTTGCCGGTGGGATCTCGGGGGCAGAAGTGTCCCTGGCATTGCGCCACTCAATCGAGCGGGACCAACTCACACGGTCAACGCGTATTCGCAGTAAAAAATGTTGGCATGAACAGGAAAGCCTTATCGTCGCGTTGGGCGAAAACCGACGAGCGCTTCGGCGACGAAGTTGGCAGAGGCACTGGGTCACGTGGCGGGTGACATGCGGACGGGCACGGGGTGGTCCAAGCTTCCTGTCGCCGGTGATGTTATCGACAGCCTCCAGGTCCCGCTCCGCCTCTGGACCGCTATCGTGGCTTGTCCCTCAGTTGAGCTTCTTTTCCGGATTCCTGCACAATGTCCGGAGCTGTGGTGAGTCTCTGATGCTACAAGGATGACAGCAGGTCGTATACATGGTATTGACATGCTGGTTGGATATAGGGCCGTGAGGCGGTCTTCCCGACCCGCCAGTCGCTCGGGTTGATGAAGAGTAAACTAAAGGGTGCAGAGACCGGACACAGCTTGCTTAAGAGAAAGAGTGAAGCTCTGACAAAGTAAGCCACTGCCATATCGTTGGCCAAGTTCCCAATACTGATGCGATTCCTAGACGTTTCCGAGGTACGCATATCTACATTTACTTATCGACGACGTCTCCGCAGCACCGGCATTAACCGAACCCCAGAGATTACCCGACGTATCGATGAGGCGAAGCAGAAGATGGGCCGGGTGATGCAGGTCGCTGCATTCTCCCTTGCGGAAGTGAGCTACGCTGTTGGTGGTGATATCGGCTACCAGGTCCAAGAGTCCGCCAAACAGGCCCGGTTCCGAGTTCGAGCGAACCAGGACAACGTCTCCGGTGTCCTGTTACCGCACTTTGAGAGCTACACAGAAGAATCAATCAACGACTTTGGCTTGACTGGTCTTGGAAAGGGTGGACAGCAAGTGCAGCGCTGCCGGGAGACATATGCTCGTGCTGTCGAGACGTTGGTGGAACTTGCGAGTCTGCAGACTGCGTTCGTTATTCTGGATGAAGTCATTAAGGTTGTCAACCGAAGAGGTTAGTACTTGGTCCGGATTACTGCTGTGCACATGTGCTAACTCATCTCTAGTAAACGCAATGTGAGCACCGCTTATCGGGTATGACCCTTATGGATCGAGCTAACACAGGCGGCGCAGTGAGCATGTAATCATCCCCCGAACAGAAAACACCATCAAATGTGAGTCCCTGCTCTTCCCACCCTATCATACACTAATCCTCCATAGACATCAACTCCGAACTCGACGAACTCGACAGAGAAGAGTTCTACCGCCTCAAGAAGGTCTCGGGCAAGAAGCAACGAGACGTCGCGGCAGCCGATGCCGAAATCGAAGCCGCACGGGAGAGGGAGGCCCAGAAGCAACTAGGTGCTGCCACCGAAACCCCAGACGGCCCGGAGGCGCCCGATGTCCTCGGGGAGCAAGAGGACAACGATGTCATTTTTTAGCCTGTTAATTCCCTTTCCTTGTATGTAGTGTATTCCCATTTGGCATATAACTGTTTTTGCCGTTCGATGTTTTTAGATTCCTCAGCCTACAATCAAAAGAGGCCATGCCATACCACACATACATGCATGCTCGAATTTCGCAGACCCCATAAGCTGCGATTAGGTAGCTCAAAATGACTCATAAAACCCAGCCCAAGAAACGCCGAAAACGAAATAATCAAACAGAGTACCAAGCACCTCATTGCCTCTGGTACGTAACCCGAATCGGCTTCCCCTCCGGCCCCATGGACATCCCCGACGTAGCCTCTTTCGCACTGATAGCCCCAGACTCGCTCTCGTACTCCACGAACGCAATTCCCTTTCTCCCAGGCACAAGTCGCACCTCGCGGAACCCCTCGAACCGCCCAAACACAGCCGTGAGACTCTCCTGGTCCGCTGTATCGGGGAGCTCCCGCAGGAACAAGATCTTGTTCGGCGGCAGGTACTCGTCGGGGATAACGGCCGTCGCAGCACCAGATGTGGGCTTGAGACCCGCGCCCTTTGCGGCCTTGACGGGGCGGCCGGGTTCGGGGGCGCCGACGGGCGGGCGCTTCAGCTTCTTCTGCGCTTCGAGCGCTTCGTGCGCTTGTCGTCGCTCTACACACATGAACATTAGCATGCCGTACCCAGCTAGCACAAACAGGCACGTAAAGCAGATCATAGCGCGGGCATACCCTTCTCCGCCAGCCTCCGTCGCTTATGAGCCTCTAGCTCGTCGTCGCCGCCCTCACGGAGCACCGTCGCATCGCTGCGCGTCTTCGCGTAGTCGAGCACCATGGGTTTATCGAAGAGATCGAAGCCATTGATTTCGTCGATGGCGCGGGTCGCGGACTCGACGTTGTCGAAGACGATGAATGCTTGGCCCTTTGCTTTCAGGTTCTTCTTTGCTATGATCTCGAGGATCGTGCCGTACTCGGAGAAGATTTCGGAGAGCGCTTCTTTCAGCTCGTCGGGTTTGATGCGTTCTTCGAGGTTGCGGACCTGGTGGCGGTTTGTTAGTTGGATTTCTAACAGGGAGATAAGGAGCGTAGAGGCTCGAAGCTTGCCGCACGTACGTAGACACTGCGGAGGGGAAGCTGTTAGCTGGGCTCCCGTAAGTGGTGTATGTATGGAGGGGAGATCTGGGGGCTTGAATGGACTCACGTGGGGTTGGGTGGGATGCTAGAGGGTACGGGGACGGTGGCCATCTTTGCGACTGGAGACGGGGTTTCCGCAGGCCGGAATTTAGTGTTTCAATTGGTGTTTCTTTTGTATGTAGCTGCTCTCGCGGCGTTATCCAGCTTGAATTGCTTGCCGCTTTAGACGGCGCAAGGTCATGTGATCGGCTTTTGTGGAGATTGTGGGCCGTTGCTATATAACTGTAAATTTTGGCCAGCCTTACAATAAGAAGCATCATTGGTCTAGTGGTAGAATTCATCGTTGCCATCGATGAGGCCCGTGTTCGATTCACGGATGATGCATCGCAATCTTCTTCTTTTGTCTTTTTGCCCTGTCTCTATACAATCTGGAGGATATATCCCGTCAATCTCGACTCTAGAACTTATTTACATGCTAGAACTCCCCTCACCTCCTCCACCTTGCCCTTCAGCTTCGACGGCTGGCTCGTCCAGTCCTCCCGCTTGACTAAGGCAAGCTCTGTTTCCATGAACAAGTATTCGGCCACCATGGCCCGGACCTACCGCTTGTTAGAACAGCTTCATGTCTTCAGCAGACAGCACATACCCTTGGGAAAGGATGCAGAAGCATTCCGGTAAGCTTCTTCAATACGTCACCTCGCACCTGGTGGAGCCTCGAGAGTGGTGCATACGCCCTGATAGCGGCCTCAAGCCTGGCTAAATTCGAGCTCTTGAAATGGGATTTCTGAATAAGGACGAACATTCTTCTCAAACTGGGAAAGTTAGTGTCTTCCAAGCATGTTGCGCACGGTGTTGAAGGGACACACGTTGGACTCTGGAAACTAGGAACGGACGCGACATAGCCGTCTAACAAGAACGCTGTTGTCTCCAGGATCGGAATCGCGTAACGATCGTCTGAGAGTTTCTCGTTCAAGACCTGGAGTAGGTCGTGGATAATAGCAGTCGCAACTTCTGGATGTTGCTCGATCGATTGTCGGTTGATACTTTGTATCAAGGCTGAACGGGTGGCACGTATCAGGCCCTCGGCACCGGCAACAGCGGAGGTAGCGAGGCCCTGGAATAATGGGAGTCGTAGCCAGTCAATTGCCTGTAGTTTCAGCAGCTGAACGAAGTACTCGGTCGTACAGACTTGGCTAAAGTGCTCATAGCGTCTGCGATACTTAGCGCACTTATCATACTAAAGAGGGATACCTGTCCATATGTGTAAGGGTGATCGTACCTTGATAGCGGCGGGAATTCACTAGCACTTTCCCAGGAAATCTGTAGACATAGCCAAGCTTCGAGACGAACCTTGTCCAACTTCTCTGCGGCAAGACGGCAGAGACAACCGGCAATGTCCTGAACGTGTGACGGATTCGTAACGCTGACCTTACGCTGAAGAACGACCTTTGCCGCTTGGATGCCTTCCAATCTAACCAAAGACCCGATGTCACCGCGCCTATCCGTCGTGTAATCGTTCAGGAAACCAATAAGGCTTTTGGAAATATTCTCGGTCACATCTGTTTCTTGCTTAATATAACATTCTATAGTATCAGGGGGCGTACATACCTATGTGCGGCAGCACTCCAGTAGTGAAGCTCTTGACGGCCGCTACACGTTTCTCAATCAATTCCTCTTTTTCGGCACAACGGATGAGCTCTTCAATGACTGAATCACGAGCAGCGTCAGCTGGACTGAGTTTGCCGAAGATTGAACCAAGAACGGAGATTTGACCACGACCGGTCGGCAGGTTCCGAGTTGAACGAATATGTGAGAACCAGGCCTGCATGGTTTCATCCTGTTTCGAGGATGGTAGAAGGGACCACAACTGAGAAATGGCATTGGACGAGGCCTCTATGGAGACATCATCACTCCTTGAAAGGCAGAGCATAAGAGTCTTGCAAGTTTTCTCGAGCAAGGTCAGAGAAGGTTCAGAATCTAAAAGCTCTTGAACACGCGCCGATGATTGAGAAAGTGACGATATGAGGCACGATGACGCTTCTGCAGTGAGTTCTGGACGGGAGGTCTGAAGAGTCAAGTCGTCTTTGTTGGGTCCAACAGGGGAATCAAAGATTTCCCAGAACTTAGATATCTGCTTGGCGACACCGAGCACATCATCTTCGGCTTGACCAATTTCGGAAGAATTGAAGCCAGTGAAGGCGTCGATAACAGAGGATATGGCGAGCATGCATCCGTGTCGCGTCTCCACATCACTGCGAGGGATGCTGTGAAGTTTGTTCCATAGCTTTTGAAGGACAATGAGTACAGACTTGCTGGCTTCCTGAGTTCTGAGAACTCCAAGAGCCTTTGCTGCGTGTCTTCTGGATTCAGCGTCGGCCGACCCGATACCCCTCCACTGCATCAATGCCTCGACAAGGGGACTCCAGTATTGGGAACTTAGAGCAACAGTGGCCTTTGCAACATCAATCATGGCGCGTGAACGACGGGCCACTGCGTGGTAGTCCACCACCTGTACGATGGGTATACCCTCCACAATGGTATTGGGGTGGCGACCGATGAGCTCTTGCAGCGCAGCAGACGCACCTCTTCGGATATTGCCAGACGGGTCGACACAGGCAGCACAGACAAGCTCGATGGCAAGCATTTGAAGAATGTTCACGTCATTTTGCGCAGTGGATGAATAGATTTCCTGTCGATTTATCGCGAGGACTTCTTGGGTTGTATATTTCCGTGATATAGCCCATATACCGAAGCATGCGGCATCGCGAACGCCAGTCCCGACCGAGCTTCCAGTAGAAGACCTTTGTTCAAAGTCTAGCCCAGATACAAGCGGCTGCAGTACATTAGGCAGTTGGTGAGTTGGAGGAGCATGTCGAAATAGCAAATGGCCTAATGTGAGAATATGGCCTTGCCACCTCTGAGCATCGACAGCGCTTAAATTCCGCTTCAACATGCTAGTTCCAAGCTTCCTTGCCTCAGACGGCGTTATTATCTTACCCTCCATTGTCTCGTGTAGGATGTTCTCCTCCAAGGAGCCAGTAACGGCTTCAATGACCTCGGTTGCCATGCCTGGGTCCAACCTTAAGGTCACGATGCTGAGCGCTTTGCTCGCAGCGAATCGTACAGGAGTATCCTTATCTGCAAGAGCGGTCAAGAAGTTGTCAATTGCCTCCTCTAAGATGTAGGAAACCTGGTCATCTGATAGTGGACTGCTACTTCTCTCGCTAAGGGAAAGCGCCATGACGGTGATAGACCGAATAATCTTGATCATAGTCTTCCGAGCCAGAGCGGACGACAGGATCACTTGAGAAACTGCGGTACCACCCTGAACAAGTCGGATCGTCTGCTGGAACACAGGAATAATCAGTGGCGCGAAGTCCTCGGCTTGGCCAGATCCGGTCAAACGTGCCAGGAAAGACAAGATTCCAAGATACGCGTAAACAACTAACGGCCCAGTCCCCGCAGAAGGATGCAATACAGTAAACGCCCAGTCAGTAAGGCTCCTCAGGATGCCTAGAGCTTGCATATCCCCACGCAGAGCTAGCCGTGCAAGGAGCATAGTCGCGGCTTCACGCTCCTTTCCTGCCACATTAACATAGGCCAACGCGACTGAGAGGAGGGATTTGGTTACTGCTGGCGTTTGTGGCGGTAGACGGTCGATGAGTTCATTTCCCCGGTATGGCACTGGTATATCGTTGGACGACATTGAAGACAGATCAAAAGGAGCCAGTAACAGATGCGAGAGCCAAATTAGCAGCACATAGCGCTCTTCCCAAACTAAACGAAGGGGGATATCTCCGTTAGAGCCATTCGGCTCAGCGGCATCCCACTCAATGAAGGCCCGCAGTAGAGGGTCGAGGTACTTTGGCTCATTGTTGAGGAATCTACTGATGACCTTGACACCTCGAACCTTACAAAAGGTATAGAGAAGTCTACATATGGCCCTTGGTAGAGGGTACAAGGACTTTGCCTGCTGGTTCTCCGACTTGCTAGCATATTGATCACGATGCATTAGCAAGTACGCCAGCAGAGCATCAACAAGAGGAGGCAAAAGTGATTGCAGGTGTGGATCAAGCAACTGCGGCCATTCTTGGAAAGGTTCTAGCTGCAGAATAATTAGCAGATGGCCACTTGATAGTGTCACATAGAAATCTCAACTTACCAAGTTGACGAGGCGTTCTGTTTTCGAAGCCAACGTCCATCTCCTCGGGACTCGGACGCTTTTTTTAGTGGACTGTGGCTTCCAGAGCAAAGAAGGCAATTTGACCAGGAATTCCTCGACAAGGTCGCCGGAGGCCCGCTGAAGTTTGACCTCTCGGTCATCGGCTGCATCCATGATGGGCTTGGCTGGGAAAGATGGTCAAGTAGATCAAGTACAAACGGCGGGGATCCGCCTCGACAAAGTCACGTGGTTACCTTACCGTACCGTACGGGTACCGTACTTCAGCTCCATTTCTCTCGACACTTCCATCCTTCAATCACAAACATCTGGATGATACAGCTGGACACATCACGACATATATCTGCCTGGGTATCTTGACATCAAGCCCCCTCCCTAAAATCCGTCGCCGCCTGCTGCATCCTCGTGAACCCCAGATTCCCCCTCCCAAGCCACCACGGCCTGAGATCCGAAATACCCTCTTCAAGCTCGGTATAGCTATCTCCAAGCGTCAAAATAACCCTTCCATTCCATCTTTCCTCCCCGTAAAGGACCTTCTCTTCCTCTTTACCGTAAACCTCCACCTTTCGCTCCTGCATCGCAGTGGCAGAGTATACCAGCGCGAGCCCTACGAAGTGAGCCGAGGAGACTGGCAGTCCAGCGGCCATGATAGGAGCCGCGAGGTGCGACGGTAACAGCGAAGTGATTGTTGCCGCGGGGGCCACGCCGTTGATTGTGATGCCGTCTTGCGTGATTACGCTGCGGAGGGAGCGGATGAGGCCGATCAGCTACACCATGCCATATCAGTACCCGCATACAACATCGCGGGATCCCAAGCAGAAGATAGGGGAAGAGGAAAGGCTCACAGCACTCTTCCCGGCCGCATAAACAGGTAAGCTCTGCTCAGGCGCGTACGCCGTTGCGCTGGACGTAATCACGATACTTCCCTTTCTGCCATGTTTCTTCATGGAGCTCCATGCTAGCTTGACGATGTTGAGCACGCCACGCAGATTGACCTCGAGGACATCGTAGGTTGGTTCTTCCAGTTGACCTGTTGCGTCGAAGGTGTCCGCGAAGTAGTTCGTGGATTCGGAGACGCCAGCGTTCGCGAAGACATAGTCGACTGCTCCAATGGATGTGAAGATGGAGAGGAGAGAGGACCAGGAGGTTATGTTGCAAGAATGAAAGATTAGCCTGTCCGGTTCCGGAGGAGGAGGAGGGTTGACGTCCAAGATATGCACGGTTGCGCCCTTGGAGAGGAGAATTAGGGCTGCGGCGTGGCCGATGCCGGAGGAGCCTCCTGGACATGGTTCAGGTTCAGTAACAAGTAGAAGATTTCAGAAGTAGGTAATGTGCATACCAGAAATTAGAGCGACTTTTCCCTCGAGCGAGGGGATGGAGTCTCCGGTGATGCTCAGGGAGGTCATTCTGTGCAGTGAGAACGTGCCGTCGATAAAAAAAAAATATCGATTCTAATCTGCTTGGGGCAAGCAAGTTAGAGCACGCCGACAAAATACAATTTATATTATAAGTGACTCGTTATATAAGACTGAGCTAAGACTGAGATAAGATTGACCGGGGTATTGACGGAGTTAGAGTATAGCCTCACTTGCCTCCCAAAAAGGAAATTCTCCGAGCCCTAACCCCGATCCCAGCTCAAGTCTGGGAGAACACACCCGACTAGGTCACATAAAAGGAAGCTATAACATTGAGTTGATTATTCAACATATTTGATGACATGATAATGGAAGATCTGTTGCTTCATCTCTACTCTCTTAGCTGGGATGATGTAGGTGTTAGCTAGGAAGAGGTGAAGAAAGATGGAGGACCCTGGCCATCGATTCAACAACGTTCAGGACTTCAGGTCTGGTTGCGCTTGTCTGGGGTAAATTGCCCGATCTCTTCAAATAACGATAATACAACAAGACATCCAAGTATGAAGATAAAATAAAAAACACAGAAAAATCTAAAAGACTGGAATATATACATGCAACAGGACTAGCCTTGCCACAACCACAACTCTCACCAAATTATGTCCTAGGGCCTAAAGATCCTCGTTTCCAGAGATGATCGTCGGAGTCCTCGCATATCCTCCATACCCATTTCGCGCGAGTCGGGCCATTGTATTGCGGATATGCATGACGGTAATAGCAACAGATAGCGAGTTCCATACATCCTGGCCCCTCTCTGAGAAGTCGATTTCTGCGAAGAATTTTGCGTCAAGCTCATCATCCTCCGACGTGCCGCTCATAAGACTGAGGTCATATGTCAATACAGCAAGAATGGGACCTGTGGCGAGGAAACCGATGAGTAAAGGTAGCTCGTCGTTGTTCGCGCCGGGAGCAGCAGCCAGGGCCTTTCTGTGCCGGGCGGCGAGTTTCTTCAGGCGGTTATTGACTCGCTCAAGTGCATCGATCATCTCCTCGCTGGGCTTTTTGGCGTGTAGCACATGGATCGGCATTGACGCACGATTAACGTCGAGGTTCACATCATACAGTGCCCAACGAATGTACTTCATGATGTTCTGTTTGATGATATTCTCAGGATCCTTTTTCACCACACTGCAGTCTCTTACACGACCACTGAGTGAGAAGAGGTTATTGAGCGACTTGATTGCTAGACGAGGTCAGTAGGACTTCTGGCGAGGTAGAACCTGGAGCTTACCGTAAAATGTAGTGCTTCTGGATATTTGAATGATCGGCTCTGCTTGCTCTTTGCCCTCCTCAGGAAACAAAGAATCAGGCAAGGTCGGAAAATCAAACTGCCAATGCTTCGGGGCGAGTGGCTCAAAACCGCGCATGGCCAATTTTAAAAAGAGCTCTTTTTCCTTTCTGGTGTACATGCCCTCCGGAATGTTGAGTACATGCGCATACCGCCTATCCCGCTCCCTGTCATAGTCAAATACAACGGTTGCTTTCTCGTTGTCGGGAATTTCCCAGAAACCATTTTCCTCATCGTCACTGTCGGGCAAGAAATCACGGTCCTCCTCGTGATGAGAGGACCTCCGCCGTGCTGGGGCTCTCGGCATCAGTCTACCTTTACGGCTAGAGGTGCCATAAGCTTGAGAGGATGTGCTAGTGGTGGCTCTCGAAGGGGTAGACGGGGTTCTGAATCGCGGAGGAGAGGGACTCTTGGGCGTCGGTTCCTTGATGATGGGTGATGAGGCGATGCCACCACGGGGTACGGTACCCGGCGTTGATGCTGGGGGTGCTTCTTCAGTTATTGAAGCAATAAAAGTAGAATTCGGGGGCCTTACGGAGTACCTGCTTCTTGGGTGGACGAGGAGCAGAGCTTTTCGAAGGGTAGTAATCACTATCATTGTTCGCATCTTCGACAGTCACTGCCTTGTACTTCCTTTTCGGCGGGGTAGTCCTTGCACTAATATTGCTATCTGATTAGTCCGGTTCATCTTCGAGTGGTATGTATGCGGGATTGAAGGAATATTGCCGCTTAGCTGGGTTTACTGACCTTTCTTCGCTCAAGATCGACTGCATTCCGCCGGCGCTTGAGCTGCTAGACGCGCTGTACATTATGGTCGTAGTGCGTGCAGGAGTCCTTGATTTTCGATTTGGCGAATATCGTAATTGCAATAGAGAAGAAGTAGTAGCCTCGTCAACAGACAAAAATAGTCCACAAGTCGAGATGATGGAGACTTTGAGGTGAATTGGGGATGTGAAGAGGAAGTCGGGCGGGCGCTGGAGAGATGTCAGTTATGATTCCCATCGAGTCTTTGTGTTGCTGAAGGATAAAGAGGCTATTTTGGAACACATATTGAAAATGCCACTTGTGGTTTCTTCTTTGTCACGGTGTTATGGGAACCTTGGAAGACGTCTGAGGACAAAGAAAGTATAGCAGAGGCGTGGTGACAGAAGGAAAGACCTCGAAATAGTCCTTTGTGAGGCGGGCGTAACACTGAAATACTCCCTCAACTAGTCAGGACTGGGATGGATACAGCAGTACCTAGATGATGCAGTGGTCTCGCTCCCGACGGAGCAAATGCCCCCTCCCATTGACTCATACAGCATTATTGGTTAGGACAAGATAATAAAGCACAATTACATTCCTTGAATGGCAAGGTTAACATTCCATTACAAGGACAGACAACCGTTGAATAACTAGCAACCTCCCCAGATCACTCACTCCCACCATTTTTTCTCAATCTGCGCCTCAGAAGCCCACTCGCACCTGCTCTCAAAACTCTTATGGGTATGTATGTGCAATGACTATTATTTCAGTGCAAAAGACGCGAAGCATTCATCAGAACCAAGAAGCAGGGATCTGACGTAAATCCAAGTTTGAACATCTCGCTGAAGGGAACGTTTCGACTAAGCAAAATCCGCGGTGTACGAGAAACCACGGAACTCTTCCTGCATGGCTTGGGAAAGAACTAAAGAAAAAGAGTTAGAACTAGGCGTGACACAGAAGCAAGAGCGGTGCCTTACCTGATTGCACTGGAGTAAGCACAGGAGTGACGCTGGTAAACTCCTGGTCGAAGTTGCTAGTATCCGTTGCGCTGCTGATGGTCGGCATGAATGGTGGCGGGACTCGCTTGTGGTAGATGTCATCCCAGTTGATGTTGCGGAAAAAGGCGTGAGACATGACCTCTTGGGCATCTGTGGGACCGGACCCGAGTCTCAGTTCTGGCTCCCGAGTCAACAGCTTCTGCAGGATAGATACTGAGTCCCGGGGCATGTGTATGGGGTAGAGAGGCTCGTCTGCGAGAATGGCATCGTAAATTTCGTCTTCATCTTCACCACGGAAAGGCGACTGTTGCAGAAGCATCTGGTAGATGAGAACACCAAAAGCCCACCAATCAACAGCTCGGCCATATTTCTTGTCAAGGAGAATCTACAAGTCTTAGCAAGGGCGTTAAATATAAGCGAGATGGGATCATACTTCAGGTGCCATGAATTCTGGAGTACCACAGAATGTGCTTGTGGTGGATCCATACCACATATTCTCCTTGCAAAGACCATAATCACCAATCTTGATATGACCATCTAGAGTCAGCAGGATGTTGTCGAGCTTCAGATCACGGTAGATAACACCGTTCTCGTGGAAGTATTTCAAAGCGAGCAGCACCTCTGCTGCATAGAACCTGGAAACTGCGTTAGCTAACGCGGAGGATAAAAATGCGCAGAGGAACATACTGTGCTCTCTTGAGGCCGAACTGGCCCCGCTGGATGTGCAGCATCAGATCACCACCACTGATATACTCCATAACGAAGTAAACGCGAGTCTCTGTCTGGAAACAAGCGTGCAGGTTGAGAAGGAAGGGGTGGCGCTCCTTGTTAGCGACAAGGAAAACTCGCTTCTCAGATTTCGTGCTTTCGACTTCATCATTCTCGATGATGAACTCCTTCTTCAACACCTTGATGGCATACAACTTCTTGGTGGATTTTGTCTCCGCCAACATGACCTTTCCGAAGTTACCCTTTCCTAAAACGGCAAGGAAGTTGAAGTGGTCCAGACCAATCCTGACCTTCGATTGCTGAGGTTCCTCCTTCACAGGAATTTGCTGCTGCATAGCCTGCATCGCTTGCTGTTGCTGCTGCGGCGGCTGAGGCGGGTGCATGCCATAAGGTGATGGCGCATTAACCTTCTGCATTGCCTGAGCAGGCGGGTATCCTTGCTGCATAGCGCCTTGTTGCTGGTAAGATGCGTATGCGGCCGGGTCGTAATGCGCATGAGCGGGAGGTTGAACAGGCCGGCCGGCATCTGTAATTTCGATGGTTAATGTTTGCGTAGATGAATGAAAGGCACAAAACAGGTTACATACCAGGTATACGCTGTCCTGTTGCCACGGCGGCAGCGGCAGCGGCAGGACTTGATGAAGAAGTTCGCGGGGGCAATGGCTGTCTCTGAGAAGTAGGCGATTGCGGTGGAATATAAGATGTCGCCGCGGCACTCACTGCTTCAGCAGACGGCGGCCGTTGCCCATAGGAGGATGGGCCTTCCACAGGCTTTGGGTATGCATGGCCTGTATCTTGGGAGCCGCCAGGTCGAAGCGTCTTCCCGCTGAGTCCAGAGCTGACGGATGGAGACTTGTTGTGGTTTTTATGGCGGATAAGAGTCTCTAGAATCTGGTTCGCTGCTTCCATGGACATACCACAGAAGTCGGGCACGAGATGCGTACAATGCGCGTGGCAAGTAAGACCGCACTCTGGCAAGAATAGTTAGCTTATACTTTCTGCCGTACAAACGTACAGATGCAAACTCACCTGAACAGCGCTTAGCATTCTTACGCCCGAAAGGCAGTAAGTATCCGCAATGACAACACCAGTTGGCGGAGATGTTGGAGAACCCTTCGAAACGATGCGGGATGCGGTGATTGATCTTCTCTTCGTCGGGATCCGTCTCATAGTTCGCCTTGCTAATACACTTCGTGACCACTTTGGGGTAGCATTTTTTGTGGCAGGTATACTTGCAGTCGGCACATTGCATGCCGGCAGCATACTTCAAGAAGTCGCCGCAAAGAGCGCAACGCATGATGTTGTAAAATTGCTGCGTGACGAACTTGTGACCTTGCTTCTCGTGGACTTCCTCTTTCCTTTGTCGGACGGCACCTTGACGGTTGAGACCAATGTCGAATGGTCGTCGGTCTTTTAACTGCTTGGCTAGAAGAGATGTTAGCGATGAGGATCGGGCCAGCATGACGAGACTTATTACCAAAGCTCATCGATATGTAGATCTTGCCCACCGGCTCCAAGGCAAACCATGCCTCAACCATCAACGGAGCACCAGCGCCGCCCATTTGGCCTTCTGCTCCAGGGTTGCCGTAGCTTGCAGAGGCACCATGTTGTGCCGAACCGGCCGGGCCAGCAGGATCCGACCTTCCAGGGCCGCCGCCGGGGCCCATCTTATCCGCCGACACCCATCCCGAAGCATTGATTTCAGTTTCAATCTTCTTTCGACGCATCTCTTCCGCGATATCAGTAATGCGCAACCACAGCATACCAATCGGGGTGGGCCTGTCGCCAGCCTTGTCGTATACGGTGAGCTCAACCTCGTTCGCTTTATCGATGTCGAGATTGAATGTCTCATCCTGCCACCTGTCGGATCTGGTCGCCTTTGTTCTAGCCTTGATAGTATCTTCGACCTTCACAATAACGAATGTTTCAGGGCCTCTGGAAAATCTTGAGCTAGTCGCATGGTCGACGTCCTGAACGGCATGAATCCGCATCGTCAGAAGACCGGTTAGCGGCTTGCGCAGATTCGGGGCGCTTAAACTTTCATCTGCGGAGGTCAACGTTAGCTATGAAAGTATGACATGCATGAACCAAGTATTTTCGCACCGTCCGCAGTGTCTGCCGACTCAATATCAACATGAAGGTCTTCATATCGTTTGAGGGCCTGCTTGAGAAGCTGTATCTTCTGATTACTCTCAATCCGTCGGCCCTCAGCATCCGTGCGACTCTTCCTATCGCCTTCGTCTTGGTACAGCCGAACCATCTTCTCAATGCCCGCTTTATATTGTTTCTCGACACTCAGCTTGAACTCAAGCTGTGATAACATGAGCTGGATCTTGGGTCCAAGGTATTGGGTATCATATTTAATCAGGTCTAGAGAAGATACGCATCAGTATACGGCAAGTATAGCATAGCGGCAGCTCGCCGCCGTAAAACTACACGTATTCGAACATACCGAGTTTTGTATAATTCGGGCGGGCTTTGGGCACAGGCGCAAAAGGTCGGGGATCCTTGAAAGGAGCGCTTGACGGCATAGATCCGCCGCCAGGCTGCGGATACTGTGCAGAATCACCGTAGGGATCTTTCGGCGGAGGGGCGGGACCATCAACAGGGTTCGGTGGTAGGCGTTTATCGGTAGGTGAACCGGACTCTCGCTCCATCTGACGCAGCTGCAGCTCCTTCATCTTCTCCTCCAGATAGATGATGTTCTTATTTCCTTCTTGGATGTTGGCGTTAATCCTTTGTTGTACCAGAGGGTTATCGGTGGACTGTCGCATATTCGTTGCGGCGGCGATGAGGGCTCTCTCCCGCTCGATCTTGCGGTAGACCGAGGCGATGAGCTCGTCCCCGTCCATGGTGAATGAGGCCTAACCTAGGGGGGGTGGTGGTCGGGGAACGAACTCGAGGAGCGGTGCGACAAAGCGACCGGTTGAAGAGGGGTAGGGAGTGAGAGACGACAAAAAGCAGGAGAAACTCCGTAAAAAGTAGGCACGGAGTAGATGAGGTCAGAAAGGCAGGTCGATGCCGGCAGATTCAAGATTGGGCGTGGATCAGGGAGGGGAGGTTTGAGTGTGGAGAGCGACCTCAGAGGCGGAAGATGTCCACCGCGGGGGCTTTTGTTGACACCGGAAAAGAGGGAGGGGGCAGCACAGTCTCTAACCAACATGCAACCTCAATAATCCTCAGCAGATCTTTCAAATCCTTGACACATGTGAGACAACGCCGTCAGTCGATGACGAAATGAAGTCGCTTTCTCAGATTCCCGTGGCAAGACCGATGATTATCCACAATCTCAGAATCGTAAGGGGCTGTGCGATAGAGAAGTCGGGTACGCCCTCTGATTGTATGGCTGCTAAGCTGAGTCGGGGAGATCAGACTTCGCAAGGTATCAACGAGTGCATGTCAGACTCGATTACATCGGGCTTTATCATGCTGAGTCCTCCAGGAGTGGGTGGTCTACTTGGTACAAAGTATGGCCTCACCTCACGCGTCCACGATGAAAGGAATGAGACCCAGGAATTCACTCGCCGACGAACGGACCCGGCGGTCTCAACGCCCAGTTTGGGACAGAAGAAGCGATGTGCAGATCAAAGAATCTTGCATCAGCTCTAAGCCGGCCAGAATTCGTCACCGCGAACCGTATCTGTTCCTTCAGCAGGGATATCCGGAGCCTACTTCCAGCCATGAATGATTGCAGTGAACCCCTCATTAGGCCTCGAACATCCCTGACTGCAGGCTTTCAAGGCAAAGCAGCAGATGCTTGAGCTACGGAATCCAGAATCCAATCGATCCTGCTTGAATGTTCCCACGGGCCACGGTCCACGGGTACAGTCCAGCGTCTCTGTCCCTTGCTGTATACTGGCTCTAGGAATCCTTGAATGCATCTAAGGGTCATGCGCCTTGTTCTGGAACGTTGAGGCTTCTGGCCTGATCAACGGCGATAACCGCTCCTGATCTACCCGGCCAGTGAACTGTGACGGGCTCCATCTATCGGCATTCCTACCTGTTTATCCGTTTCTGACTTGTATTAGTAGTGTGTAGGAGTGCATCGGGGATAGTTGGAAGCCGCGGCGCTCTATATTCGGTTTAGTGCTCACGTGATAACAAAATATCTCTACATGGCGGGGAAGAAGAGTGTGGTTTCTCAATTCCAAGTCCAGTGCGATCTAGCCTCATTGCTCACAAAAATTGAACACCCTTCCCACTGGAATACACCTGGATATATCGCAATGCCTCCCCCAAGACGCAAAGTCCTTGCGACGGCTGAGGAAACTATGTTTCCGCCTGATGAACTTGCACCAGGTCAAGAGGTTGCGCGAGTCATTAAAGCCACGGGAAACAACATCTATTCGGTCCAATTCCCCTCGAAGAAGACTGCGCTTGTCGAGCTGCCCGCCAAGTTCCGATCCACCATCTGGATGAAGCGAGGTTCGTTTGTCGTGGTGGATACCAACGCTCTAGACACCCGTGACAACAAGCTCGAGGGGGAGATCGTCAACATCGTTCGCGACGAGAAAGCCTGGCGCAAAGCATACTTCTGGTAAGTGGTGGCGTATTGCCGCTGGTTGGATTTATCTAACACCTAGAGAAGGCCCAAAGAATTCGTGAAACAGCCAGTCGTGGGATCTGACGACGAAGACGATTCCAAAACTGGGAAGATGCCTTCCTCTGACGAGTCGGACGCTTAAAAAAGCGATGACTGGTTCACTGCCCATTACGAATGCCTCCCGCGCAATCCATTCCCTCTTCGGGGCAGGTCTAGATCGCACAATCTCGCATGGTCGCGGACCGGTCAACCCAACATTGCTACCGACGAGCTAAGACGCTCACTGAACGTGCTCTTTTGCTTTTGATGTCGGAGGTGAAAGGGGGAATGCGCGGTTCTTGTTGATAAGGACGCCGAACACTTGGGCGCAGAGCGAGAGTACCACAACTGCAGAACTTAGGTTGCTGCTTGGATAGGCATTCCAAGCCAACTCCTGCACTGTCCACGTTGCGCACACGAGAACTGGATGGTAACCAGCCCGCCAAAGGAGGAACGGTGTCGCCCAAGAAAGATAGGCGAAAAATTGATAATGTATCGACCTTGCACACAGCAGGCCGACAGCGAGGGATGTCAATAGTACGGTCATAGTAAAAGAAGGATGAAGCGCCATCCCGCGATGTCGCCCAGTGAGGAATTTACCGGCAAAATTGGGCAAGTCAGTGCCGGATGGTTTTAGAAAGCTCGTGATCCCAAAAACAACCAGTATGAGCAAATGCAAAGCTACCAAGCCCTGCGAGAAACGCGTGGACAGGAATATATCCTCCCCCACGAATCTCCAGTTTACTGTCCACTTGAACATAAATTGCCTACCGAATTCAAAGGCGCGCTCAAAATAGCCGCTAGGGTTCGTCTGCAGGAACGGTACCGCAAGCAGAACCTAGCTTGTGTAAGCTCTCTGTACTCAAGGATTCTCAGAGCGAGGTTAGCACAGACCTGAACACCCAGAGCTAGACCCGCCAGTCGAATGCACCGTCCAATATCCAAGCTTAAAGCAAGCACGACGACGATCGCCGGGACCAGAAGAAGCAAAGTCATCTTAACCCCCAGCCCAAGTGACCAAAGTACAACCGCCGGCGCCCACTTTTGATTCATGAACAGCCAAATAGAGCCCCACATAGCAAGCGCCGCCAGCCCGTCGTTAAAGAGCCGCAGCATGTAAACGCTATGCAACCGCTTTGACAGAACCAACAGCGGAAACAAATACGGCGGAGCCCCTACCCGCCTATAGCAAGCCATTACCACGGTAAGCGTTATTAGGTATAGGAAAGCGAAAACGATCTGCCCGAAGGCGATATCCCTCCCTTCGTCGGTTACGTGGTACAAGGCCGAGTAGCTGTAGACGTGGGCGGCTGGGTAGACGAGCGGGCCCGTGGAGCCTTCGATTCGAGTGTAGTCGCGCTCACCGGAGAGGTAGAGCTTTACCTGCTGCATGTATGTTGTCCAGTCGATTTCAGTGTCTGGTGCGAACTAAGTCAGTAGGCTATCTAGGGTGGGAGGGATTGGATGGGGTTGTGTATCTTACAAGGGACTCTCCAGATGATGAAGGCGCAGAGAAGGCCATCGCCGATGTTGAGTAGTGGGGCGATCCATCTTGTATGCTTTGGGTTTAAGCAAAGATCGCTCACGAGCTCCGTCAATGCCATTTTAGTTGTTGATGGAGGAGCTCCGTCGCAATTGTCGGAGTATGTTGGCCTCAAGACTGGCCGCGGCCGCGGGCCCTGGGGCCGGGGATAGCTGTCCGTTTTGGGATTAGTATCCCCGTTCCGAGCTGTCATATCAAGATTTTCGAGGAGGAATTGAGTTGGCAGACTCGTTGACAAGTCATCATGCGTACTTGATAGTAATCATTTTATTTCTTACATATAAAATATTTCTAAACATAAGTCCAACCACTTAGAAACAGGCTATGGCAGTAAATGTACAAGGGTATATCGCGCTGGCCCATCATCCGCTTCATGGCCTCAAGATGTGCCCTTGATAGGCAGCATTGAGTCCGCAATAGACCGACCTTGGTTTTAGTCGTTGTATATTCTTTCAGCTCTTTATACCGCAACATTGCATCCCTGGGTATTACCCCCGCTGCCCTCCAACATCCGCTTATCGACTCTCTCCCGCAGGTACTTGCGCGTCTGTCCCTTTAGGGAAACCTAGCAGGCTCCCTATGACCCCAGTAGGCTTTGGTACTGGACACTCGTGTCTAATGTTGGCGTACTGCTTCGCTTCCTCCTCCAATTGCAGAAACGTCGCTATTTCTTCATCGGCAGTGTTTGTGGGTTTCTGCGGGAGCATGTTCCCTTCTTGTGCTAACATCTCGGCATCCTTCCGTCGTCTTCTTCGCACCCTCTGGATTTGCTGGCCGTCGGGGCCGATGATCATCTCAGAGTCGGCGAATGTGGTACGCGGGGCCGGGCAAGGGAAGACGTGTGGGATACCGACAACCACAAGTGACGCCAGTAGAGTGCCCGCGAAAAGGCCGGTTGTCGACCGCGACCGGGGATGGAGATGTGGCGGCATGTTGGTAGAGAATCAGAAACGATCGATTATTGGAAGTAGGTTTGGAACGGTCACGGCATTGGATGGGTGGACTGTGTGGGCTGATCAGTTACAACGACCTTACACAAGGGAGACCGGGGTAGACATACGGTCCAGGTAGATAACGATTATATTAAGGCAATTGGGCTAATTCATGCCCCAGGGAGACATGGCCTGTTTAATGGCAATAATGCGGAGGGGTAGATAGCTCCAGGGCCTGACCGGATGAAGCCGCACTTGAAGCGGGCGGAAGGGCGAACTCGGCCTGGGCTTGGCGATCAGATCTAATCTAATCTTAGACGGCTGTCATTGGCCAGCCAGCCTTCCGCCCAGCGAAACGCGACTCTGCCCGGAGAACCGCCAGAGCGCGCGCAAAGCATCACCTCCCTGCATCAGCAGACCCCACGAGTACGACGCCTCTTTGCAGGTCTTTCTCGTACACTTCCTCCATCTTTCTCTCTCCGGGACCGCTTACAGAGAAACATTAGATGAGAAGAAAATGATCGTCTCGTTTCCACACTCGTAGTGGACCATTCTTTCCATCCGGAGCTCCAACCCGCTGTCTCGGTCTCCCGCCGCCCTCTCAGTCATCCAGAGGTCAGGACCCACAGAATAGCCTTCTTTCAAGCCCAACTATCCTCGTAGACTCGCTCTCTCGCTTGCGCTAGGTTACCATGAGTGATCTTGATAGGTACCGTGCTGTGAACGCCATCTTATTGCTGCCCAAGCTAATGCTTGCCTCCTTGTAGGGCGATCGCCCAACTTCGCGCCTGTCGCTTAATCCCCGAAGCCCAAGTCCGCGAACTCTGCTACAAGGCGCGAGAGCTCCTGATAGAAGAAGGAAATGTGGTTTGCGTTGATGCACCAGTTACGATATGCGGGGATATCCATGGACAATTCCACGACCTGATGGAGCTGTTCCGAGTTGGCGGAGATGTTCCTGACACCAACTACCTGTTTATGGGAGACTTTGTCGACCGTGGGTTCTATTCATTAGAGTCGTTTCTGCTCCTTCTCTGCCTCAAAGTTCGCTATCCCGATCGGATCACGTTGATTCGCGGCAACCACGAATCCCGACAGATTACGACTGTCTACGGTTTTTACGACGAGTGTATCCGCAAATACGGAAGTGCCAATGTTTGGAGATATTGCTGCGAGGTGTTCGACTACCTAGCATTAGGAGCTCTGGTCCTTGGGGCCAGCTCAGATCTGGAGTCGTCAGGACCATCTTACAACGACACAACACAATCGACTATGTCGACCGAAGACGGCGAACTCGAGACCGAGGTGTTAAACTCCAAAGGAGAAGTCCTCATGAAAACTTATAAACAAAGACCACGAAGCTCACTAGACAACGGAAGCACGTCACCGCCGAGGACGCAGAGCCAGACATCTATGCGAACCGGCGCCCCAGGAACGGGCGCGTCCGGCGGCGGCGGCAGCAACAACAGCAGCCGAACCGGTGCCGTCCTCTGCGTCCACGGCGGCCTATCCCCACTCATCGACACAGTCGATAAGATTCGCCTCATCGATCGCAAACAGGAAGTCCCTCACGAAGGCGCCATGTGCGATCTTCTGTGGTCCGACCCCGACGAGATCGACGGCTGGGGCCTCAGCCCCCGCGGTGCAGGCTTCCTCTTCGGCGCCGACATCGTCAAGGGATTCAACTACAAGAACGACCTCTCCCTCATCGCGCGCGCTCACCAGCTCGTCATGGAGGGCTATAAGGAAATGTTCGACGGCGGCATTGTCACCGTCTGGTCGGCGCCTAACTATTGCTACCGCTGCGGGAATGTCGCTGCTATCCTAGAGCTAGGCGAAGATACGAGCAATGGAGGCACCGTGACTAGAAGTAATGGCGACTACAACCGGAGCAATGGAATTTTGACCGGTACCGTGAATAAACAGACGCTGCGTAGCCCCGGGCGAAGATATCGCGTCTTCGAAGCCGCTGCGCAGGATACAAGGGGTATGCCCGCGAAGAAGCCAGTTGCTGATTATTTCTTGGTGAGTCATTCATCGCTCCTTCCGCAAGTGAGTCGAGTGAGTATCATGCGCTAACCACAACCTCCTCTCATAGTGATACCATACCACCATACCCTACTTCTTCGTTCTCCCTCAGAGCCATTTTCCATCCACCCATATATACGCCACCATCTTCTTCCATATCCCTCACTTCCTACTCCTCTGGCTCTCTGATCTTCCAAATCTATTCCATCTGAACCTTTCCTTTTTTCCACCCACCTACCTCGTTTCCTCAGTCTATAAGGGGCCGCGCTGGATTGATGACGACACTAGATATCTATCTGATTTTAAACTGCAATCATGCTCTGCTTAACGGAATGAAATGAGACTTTTGCTAGCATTGCATGCTCGATCAAATCTAACCTCTATTTGTTTCTTCGTTACGCCATTGAGATTCATGTAAGCATGTCAATATTGACAACTAAGCCACAAAATCATTGGCAATAGACCAGTCCTTATACTCCGTCCATTCCCGCGACACAGAATCGGCGTCTGTTGCTGCTAAATCGGGAGTCTCTGAAATCATTTCTTTTTTCCCTTAGATCCATCACTATTTATGACCAACTCGTTCTCATTTGTGCAAGCTGGAACCGTTGCTCCTGCTTGCTGGAATATATAGATTTATCTGGCGGAATTCAATGGATCACCAGGGTCACTGCGAATACATATACATAATATGAACAGGAAAAAGGTATCTGAGTGTAAGGAATATATGGCACAAATGCCCGAAATCCGAGCCCAAAAGGACCAGGGCGAAGCGAAAAAGTATGTGATATAAAAAGGTAAAATGGTACATATATATGTCAAAGGCATAAAAGCCACCAGGGGAATACTTATTCTTAGTCCACATCATAAAGTCATGCATACCGATCTATCCACAGATAAAATCAAAACCAATAATTTTATTCATTCAGCGGTATGATAGACCTGCTATCGCTGATAATTACCGGGGAACATCGCGTTGTTTCCATTGCTCTTCAGGTTCTCGCCAGGAGTTGTTGGGGTTTGATTTGGTCTTGCCATGTTGGAAGGCGGCTGTGGAGGCTTATAATCGGCATTTGGCGCTGATGTAGATGGGATATTGGGAATATTGTTCACGTAACGCCAATCGGACGATGTGGTGGGAATGCCATTGTTCCAACCTTGCGTCCAATCGTCGGCCCCAAGTTGTAACGCATTTATGTCACGAGACCACCAGTCTTGGCTCTCTTCGACCAAATTTCCCGGTGTATCAAAGGTGGTCAATGGAGATTGAGCGGCCGCTGCAGATACATTGTGGACAGCGGTAAAAGCACGCATTTGCGCTTCATTCGGACTGTACCATTGCTCTTGTGACGGAAGCTGACCAGACGATGCCGGCCCATAGCTGGTGGTGACTGGTCTTAAATATGTTGGCTCGGGTTGCTGAGCTTCGTTTCGAGCAAGCTGGGCACTAAAGGATCGCTGGGCAGCGCGCATCGCGGATACGGAGACAGGACCAGGAGGCGCGGATGGATATTGAGAGCCCACTGGCCCCGCGATGACGGGAGATGACTGCATAGGAGGATTGACAGCCTGACTGCCTGTAGGATGGTTCATAGGCTGAGGTTGAGGTAGATTCGTGGAGGCAATGAGCGGTTGAGAAGTCACGGTGGGTGGTGAGTCTGTGGAGGTTGAAGGTGATGCCGGTTGGTCCCATGGACCCCACGAGCCCCATCGGGCATGTGTTTGTTCAAAGACAATGACGGCTTCTCTGGGCAGCTGTATTTGCCACTTAGTGGCGGAGATGTCGAGGATGCGCAGTGTTCGCCTAGCACAAAGCCAGAACTCTCCCATTTCCTCAAGGTGCCGTAGACCATGTATGACATCTCTCTGGGCATTCTTTTCGGGTATATTGAGAAGGTGAATGGTCAAGGCCGTGTGCGCAATATAAACAGCAATATTGCAAATCTGCTTGAACCCGTATGTGCGTTTGTAGAGTCGAAGCAGCTTTGAGATGGAAGCAGCAGCCTGCGTGCATAACTTGCGGGGAGAGACATGTTGAGGGAGCGGCGAGGTCGATTTTGTGTATTTGAGAAACGGGCGATAAAGGTGGATTAGGAGGAGTTGGTAGAGCATGCTGCGATGCGTTAGTATGTGATGCTTTGATCTCCTATCCCTAGTTGACTTACTGCATGAGTAGCGCCTGGGGAAGTTGGCCTTCCCGTGATTCGAGTTCCTTCGGTAGGCCTTTCTTCCAAGCTTCTAACCGAGTGTGAATCTCGCTCAGCTTCTTCAGCTCCACTTGCTTAGATGTCGGCTTGTCTTTGGGAGCAAGGTCGTAGAAATACACCACTAGATCTCCACTAATCTTACACAGCTTGGAAATCTGGTCTGCGACTGCCCTTGTCCGTGAGGGCTGTGCATATTCCCGACTAGGGCCCGTATCGGTGTAAGGCGACCATAATGTTGATTCCTCGCTGGGTAGGATATCCACCGCGGAGACGCTTGTGTTGGCTGTCGTAAACTGAGGCTGACGACCGAGATAATTGGACCAACATCTAGCATGGTTAGCATCACCCAAACTAAGTTTCCAAGGCGCCCTACTTGTCAAAGAGAAAACAGCCCCAGAAAGTTATCCGTCGCGCATCTACCTCTTCGTCGCTAAGATCACGTAGACCGGAGGATTCAAGATTGAGGCCCAGGTCGAACGCCATACGAAAACTCATGCCGCTGTAAACCCAGCCTTTTCCTTCACGACCGCATCCGGCCTCTCGTACGGACATGAGAGCCAAGGCTTGCACGGTACACAGTTTGGAGTTGACAAGCTCATCGTTGTCAAGGATTAATCTTTTAGCTTCCTTGAAAAAATGGTCTCCAGCGGTTGCAGAGTTGTCAGGATCCGCACGAGCTCCGGGCCAGGAGCTGAAGTGACACCCTAAAGCTAGCATTGTGTTGACGAGCAGGGAGGAACAGTATTGACTTGGAACACCACGAGAGTAGTCGCGGTAGAAAAGTTCCTTGGACAGAGTAGTGAAGAACGGGTAATGCCACGAAAAGTACATCGTCAAGAGGTGGCTAATGAGCTGCTGATCATCAGTCACCGTCGTCCATTGCGTGACGGAACCCGCAGGACCACCGGTGGCCAAGCCAGGGCTGAACTCGTTAAGCTCTGACCCAGGAGGTAGGAAGATGAGATTTGATGTCCCTCCAATAAATTTGCGAGATCCGTCTAAAACTAGGTTGCTCATCTTTCCGGCAAGTTCAGACTCGAATTGATCAGCCTGCGTGAGACTATCATCTTCAGATACCGCAGCATTTGAAAGACCTGAAGACCTTTTCTCTTGGTTTATAAGGGATTGTGCCACGTCTTCTAAGTTATCACAAGACCGGATCTGGCGGACCAGGTCGAAGGCATCCTCTTCCTCATAATTTAGTAGAGCCTGTATTAGAGTCAAGAGGGTCGAGTTCTTGGTCCTCAACGTATCGGTATCCTTCTTGTAGACTCCCTTTCGCCGGTGATCGGAGTTTGGGTCATAAACGCCTAGGGTATGTTAGCCTCCACGCGATGATTGTTAAGTATGATCCATACATGTAGTATGATAGACGGAAGAGCAAGCGGCGCAACTCGGAAGATTTCCATCGCACTTGAATATGTCAGATCTTTGGAGCCTACATAGCTAACGCGGGCGCTTGTTACCTTGGATTTCCGCCTGCGACAAGCGATGCACGCTGTGCTCACACATCGTCGTTTTGAGGACGGAGCATTGTCTGCCGGTGCCCCCTGGCCCTTGGATGACTTCGCTTGAGATCCGTCGGAAATGGGTTCCGGGTTGTGCTTTTCCCCCATGATAATCAAGGGTGGACGGATATGTTCGATGACAGTGTTGGACTAGGAGAGCGCATGCTTATCGGATGAGGACGCTCGGCGTGTTTCCCTAGGGGTGATAGCGACGGGAAAAGAGGAAGGAGTATCTGGGCGAAGCTGAGACTCGACAAAACGCGCACACCATCGAAACGGTTATCGGTACTCCGTAGCTGGTAATCTGGGATGCGATAAGCGGATGCATCAGATATGCGCGTAAATGTAGATGAAATGGGACAATGGTAGCGGTGCACAGCATAGCGCTAGGATATGCGACAGGCGAGCATGCTCCCAACAAAAAATTGGACTTGTATACTACTCACAGCTTTCTTAGCAGGGTCGAATGATAACCTCCCCGCGGTTCTTGACCCGCAACTTGTGGAGGCGGGCAGTCGCGGAGGGGCAGAGAAATCGGAGTTCAGATTGGGATTTCGTCGAATGCCTGGATTTCTTTCAGAGGCTGGAGATAACCCCAAGTGAGCAAGACTATTGGACCCTGGTGCAAGATAGTTGCCTCAGCTCGAAGATAAGCTGGGGTTGTCGTGGGCTCATGGTGGGCTTCATCTCGCTGCGGTTGGCTGAGGAATCGAGGCTTCCGATAAGCGGCTGACTAATGCCGAAGATCTGACGGGAAGGGAAGCCTGGAGTCGCTCTACAAACTACAAGGTAATCTTCATACCCTTCTTCTATCTATCTATCTTTGCAGCACTCTGTTTCATACATGATTGCTGATATCTCCAGCGGCGTCTCGAAGCCTTCAAGTCCAGGGCACATTTGAGCCTCAGCCAGAGTCACCGCTATAGATCTTCCCAGAGTTTAACCGGAGCAAAGAAAGCCGAAATTCGCCCGACCACTGGAACAGACTCCTACGGTAGTACGGAGTAGAAAGAGCCTGAAAGACGTTGGCCCGTCACCCAAAGTGAAACTCAAACGCTGCCTGCTTGCTTTTTCAGCCAGTGAGATTGTTGGTTCTCAAAAAGCAGTCAGATGACTAGAACCTAGTCAAGATCACCATCCCCTGGAATGAGCCGCGGCTACCGACGCCTCGAGAGTCAACAATCAACATCTGAGTTCCCTCACAATCCCAGAGGTTGGGCTGCAGGCGACGCCTTAGCCCCGATCCAGTTAGACATTTTGGCTTGATAATAGCGGTGACCCGGTGGGCTGGAAGAAGAAGAAATGGAATGTTCTTGCGTGGGGATCGGTTTTCTAGTAAATTAAGTGGCTTTGTGATCATTTGCTGCTTTGGTCCCCTTTCTCCATCTTTGCGCCCACAAAACAAACGCCTGCAGAACTTTGAAACCGATACTCCATTACTCCGTACTCAAGTGACTTGTATCGTCCGGTCATTATCGGCTGTCAGGGCCCCGGTCTAGGCAACTCAAAGAGAGACCCGCTGCTTATCAGCCAGTGGCCGTCCTCGGAATTTGGCAGGGCATTAATCAATGTAACGAAGATACCAGCCAGTACTCGAATGACGGTAAAATAACGACCCAGATCAGTGGACCACTGGCGGATGCCGTGACCGTCACACCCGCATCTTTCCTTATCGCTGAGTTTGTGAACTGCATTCTGATTCTGGATTGAGATCATGATTACTATCTGTTGACTGAAGACTCGCCCATCCCCCAGCTGCCTCACTTCTTCTCTTTTTCTATCTTCTATCGCCCCTATACCCCCTGCTGGCCGGCCGTCCTCCATCCTCGACCGTTTACGAGGCCCTTCCGTTGGCTGTCACACCCCAGCCCTGCAAGTCGCGTGCCTGCATCTTTTCCGGCCTCAGTTCCGGCGGTCTCCCGCATCGGGCCTCCACGCTTAAGGTTGTGCCAACACACCGTTCGCGGGTGGACCTGCACTACTACAACTATTTATCATCACCGCAACTCGTTCTCTCTTTTCCTATCTGTTCGGTTAGAGCCAAAAACGTCCATATACCGGACCTTTCGCCAACATTCCTCCCATTCCATCCATGTATCTCGCGCAGACCCTCGACCAGAGTGCCTCGTCAGGCTTGGAATACGCCTTCGATAACGTCCTACGCGGCCTCAAGAAGTAAATATGATGGTTCCTAGGAGCTTCCTGTTCAGTTCCGTACCTTCTCCAAACCGCCTTGTGGTCTCGCAATCACCGGTCGATATGAGTCTACGGCAGGATGAGCCGGCGCTTGAAATAGCATCGGAACCCCAGCCGAAGAGCATGCACACCAACCCCGTTGTCATTCCCCCGAAACGAGGTCATCGGCCGACGGCAACTCAGACGCAGTCCACAAGAAAAGACCCGAGGACCCCGAAAAGATCCCGGATGACTCGCCAGTCCTCGTCGTCTACTCTGGGTGACCGGCCACTGCCAACAGCTATCGCGTCCATCCTGGAAGCCACCGCAATCCCGGTTCCTCGACGAAAGCGAACCGCCCGAGAGTCTCAAAAGCTACCCCGTGGGGATCATGTGCAGGATTTCAGCAAGCTGCTCATGGACGGACTTGATGACCATTCATTATATGGCAGCGGAAACTCCCCACTGGACATCTTACTCAGCCCTCCGGAAGAGGTTGACAAATCGTTCGTTTTCAGTGACTGTGACAGCACATTCTCATACTCTGCTCCTTCCATCTCAGCAGGGTCTGTGCCGTCTCTCGATACCGACGTAGAAACGCCGTTTAGTCTTTCCATACCGTTTACTCCGTCTAGTCCACGAAGCCCATCCGAGAAGAGTCGGCGACGGAGTCCACCCAAATGCGAAAGCTGTGCTACAAACCACCCGCTTCTAGACACGGACTCAGACTCTGAAGATGGACTCACCGTCACTAGTCGATCGTCGCTACTAGATTCCACGCCGTCCAAGCCGCTGGCTGTTTCGCGATCGTTCCCGCGCCTCGGATCATTAAAGTCAAATCTAACGGCATCCCTACGGGCTATTAAATCCGCCGCTCAAAGCGTTTCAACGTTCGCCTCCCCATCCGTTCAGCCCGACGATTTTCTCACTCGCTCATTGTTCACCATAACTCCCGAGATGACGGATGATCGGAGGCCGCCTCCGATGGACGACACGCCGCCCCCGGCTCTGCGCCGGTACCTGAATCCAATCATGGTGTCGCCTGCGGAGATGTACAGCTTTCAGGATCAACCACATGAATCGCCCGATCCGCGCCATCAGATCTCAGTCCAGATGCAAACATATCATCGCTCGGGGAGCCGCTCATCTCAGAGAGGCCGTTTCCAAGTCTCCAGTTCCAAAAACCGTGGTCGACAGTCTTTACCATTTGACCCTGAAACGCCGTCGATGTCACGCCAGCGAGAGCCTCGAGAGAACAGCGACTTCCTTCGCATGGTCGTGCTGGAGATGAATATGAGACGCCGGGGCAAACTCCGAGATGACATCCCCACACGAGCCCAGGTCTGGCTACCTCCTCGCAAAGGCAGTCAAGCTAAACCCACCGCCCCGTACGGTTACGACTTCGAGGAAGAAGACGAGCTCGAAGTTGAAATACCCACCCGATGGATTGGGATCTCAGTGGAGTCCTTCTAACCCAACATTATTTCTTTTTTCACTTCAACTTACTTCCGTTAAGCACAGCGCCGGGCGTCATCATATGGTTCGGTGAAATCTGCATCCGGGCATCAAGGCGCTTCTACTACATTGGTCTGCTCTTGCATTTTGGGTAGCATGCTTTGCGGAGTTTCAACATACATGAGTCAAGGTCAAGGTGTTTGGGTGTTCAATAAGATTTCCAACCTTTACGTTTTTTTACGTTACATTTCCAAATACATGGTCATCATCTGGATATAGGAAGACATATACAAGTCACACTACCTTATCTGATACTTCATTACCGCATACTAAACGCTCTGAGACTACATTCCTTCGGCTCCTGAACAGTATGTCGATATACTCATCAGCAAGCAAGTATAGCCAATCAGTCACTCCTACAAGCACCGCTCACATCGTTGCTCCGTTGTTGCTCCGCTGTTGCTCCGTGCTCATCAACCGAGGTCCGTAGACAACCAATGGCCACCTCTCGATAAGGACAACAGCTCGGCCATGCGCAGTGACGTCCACCGGCCTAACTAGTGTATTTTACCTCGCAAGTAGGGTAGTATTTCACTATTTACGTTTTCCCTGATCTGGACAGCAGGCGGCCCAAGCCGCTATATTGGCCCTAACTAGTGCTGGGGTCATCGACCCTTGGATGGAGTACATATAATTTCAATGTAACCCTTTGGACAGTAGAGTGCCTTTATATAACCAGGTTTAAATGAACGTTTCACCAAGATATAACGGAACAGGACGACTGCAGATGAAGTGCGTGGGTGCCTGGCAAGAATGCGGTTGGGTGCGGAACTCGATGTCGAGTCCTTATCTCTACCCAATCGAGGGGGCTCGAGCAGGTTGCCTGGTAGCCTCGCTCGTTGCTTTTGATCCTTGATTTTTGTTCGGCAGGGTCGCTAGATGGGAAAATGGAGGGTTCGTGCACTGCGTCGGAGCTTGCTTTGAGGCCGGGTGGTCCAATGAGTTACAGATATAGATGAGACATCGATACAAATGGTATTTGAGACCATGGTATTTATACGTCTGTGTTGACGCTTGTTTAGTGGTATTGCTGATGGACGAAAGAGGAAATAGTTGTCTCATATCATGACCGTCAAAATGTAAGCTGAAGTATATTTCAGATTAGGTACGGAGTAGGCTTGGTCATGAGTGCTTAGGCCTTGTAAAACACTGAGGGGTATCCAGTTGAAACATGCACATAATAGCGTATAATAAGATGCAGGTAAGTACGAGTCATTGCTAGATCGAAGCATGGCTCTAGTGATTAAGACGTAAAATTGGTCAAGATTTGGCGGACGGTGCAAACCCTAAACCAACAAATTGAACCACATTAGACTAGACAACTTGCTTGCATTAATTGCTAGAGGTGGCTTACGTTCTTCATCCAAAAGAGTCTTCTCATTCCAGCTCTCTTCAATCCAATTCACCATGACAATATGTGGAAGCTTCTGCCGTGTTGAGATGGTCTTGCGGAGCTTCGAGATCTCAGATGCTGTGGTATCCGGGCCCACGACGATATGAGTGATGGACTTGTCCTTCAACGAGCTCACAATACTTGCGCTTGCGAATATGGCTGTATTCCGGGCTAGATGAATTCGATGTGCTTGTTTAGGCTCAGGGCTCTCTGAGGCCGCATCGCCCTCATTCTCCGCGAAGTAGAAAGTCAGTCCTTTGAACACCCAGCCGCAAGGCATAGTCCATCCGGAATCGACCTTCTCTTGGATGCGTTCTGAGACTTTATTAATGGCTTCAGGGCTGCAAGAGCTATTGCCTTTCTCATTTGCCATCTGATCCAGAAGCTTGATGATGTCAGTAGGGGGATACTATTCACTGTTGCGTAGCACTTACGGTACGCAATTCATCAATGGAGGTGTTGCGGGTATAACTGTCGTTGAACTGGTCTAGGCTGCCTGCAACTATTTCTTCCTTGTCTTTGGTGGTGAAGAACATATGCCTACACCTTATCAGTGGCTGTTTGCATTCATCGAGGACAATAATACCTTGGCTCAAGAGGAAGAAGGAAGTCTGGAAGGCCAGCGTCCACTTCGCTCTGTTTGATACAGTCAAGGATCCAGGACGGCCGGATGATATCGACTTCACCACTTTTTTGCAGCGATGCCGCTTTCACCGTTCCTGTCTATGATTTAGTTATCACGGTTGACGAAAAGTCCCTGCCTAGCTTACTTCTGTCTGCGATGCAAATCGTATCAGGGGCAGCGTTATTGGTCTGGAAGAATTTGCCTCCGTTGGCTTTGACTAGACTCTCTAGCTCTGCCTTAGACTTCTTTGGAGTGTTCGAGTCGGTTAATATGACTGCAACAAGGTCAGTCACTGTCTGCAGACCGCGTTAGAACGACCTACAAAAGTTAAGTCCATCGAAGATATGTCCTGACGGACCAGCATACTGAACCTCGTCACTTTCGTCATAACCCGCTATCGCAAGCGGTTTCTTAGTCGTTTTCTTGATGCGCTTCTTGCGGAAGTTTTCGACATTGAACTCCTTCTCTTGATGTTCCTGCTCCACCTTGGACTTGAGGTCGAGGAATTCCTGCAAAGACAGCGCACTCTTCCAGTCTTTATCCATGCGTAGCCGCTTGAATCGGGGAAACCGAAGTGTCAGCCCTACACGAAATTGATCACTGACTGAGACCGAGGCTGCTTTGACGCAGACAACCACTGAGTTCTCAGGCCTAATCCACATATCCGGTTTTTCGTACTGAGCGTCGCCACCTGCAAGCTCGATGTACGTCGTGGGAGGCTTCTTGGAATTCCATTCTATCCACTTGCCGTCTGTGTGGTGTCGAATGTTCGCGTAATCGGCGGCTGTGAAGCCCCCGCCAACTTTGCAGAAGGAGTAGCACTTTGTAGGATTTGAGCCCTGGGAGGATTGTCCTTCATCAATCCTTAGACCACATAAGAAACTGGAAAGATTACCGCCTCGGTGCCCAGATCCATAGTACCCTCCAATAACGATAAGATCAAGATTCTCTCCAAACTCGGTCATGTACTCGGGTTTCACTTTCATCCAGTCATCGTGCCTTTCGTTGAGTCGGTATGGCGACCTGGGATTCTTCAGGACTAAGCCTTCAGAAGCTTCGGCGACCGCTCTTCTGAGCGTAGCTTCGACTTCTTCTTTAGTTGTAGCCTCTTCATAAGAATGTACTTCGAACCGACGATGTACAGGCTTGATAACTTTCTGCAAGGCATTCCGACGATCACGGAGAGTATACCGTGTAAGATCTCGGCCGTTGAGATAGAGGATATCAAAGACGCGGAGTAGCGGGTGGATGCCCTGCTGGAACGGGTTCCTCTGCTCGGATAAAGCAGCTGTTTTAAGCGTGCCGAAAGGCTCAGGGGCATCCTGCTCAGCATTCCAGGTAATCATCTCACCGTCCAATATCAGATTGTCGACCCCATCTGCAAACGCATCTTTAAGGTGACGGGTCAAAGACCCAGCCTCGTCGTATATGCCGTTTCCATAGAGATACGTATAGTCTTTGGCTTTTCGTGACCAGAAACGGAACCTTCTACCACCTGGAGCTGAAGGATCCGATATCATATGTAACTGCATGCGCTCTCCGTCAAGCTTCTCCTCAATCCAGAAAACAGGGTCACCCTCAGTTGACCCCATGCGACCAATCATGCGATCTAAGGACTGCATTTGAAACTGGGCGAGCTGCGGCTGGAAACATTGCATTAACGAGACACCCCGGTCCTCCGCATCGAGCCGAACATTGGGATCGTGCAGCTCCCAACAAACGCGACGGAGACTACTCGAGATGCTATACAGACTCTCTGCATCGGGATGCCAGACATCGAAGAAGGTTCGCTCTGTCGCTCCAACCTTCATCTGCCGAAGAATGATCCGGATCAACCACATAAGTTCCTCGGGGTTCATGCGTCGGTAAAACTCCGCAAGAATGGGCAGCTGTTGCTCCTCTTTGGATGCCGTCGATAGTCGATCCAGTTTCTCGTTAACCTCCTCTATAAGCATATCTCCGACCTCCGTGCGCATTGGCCGTTTTGAGAGAACATCGTAGCATCTTCCCGCAAAGTCGCCTGCCATACTCGTCGTAGCCGCTTGACCAGGGAGCTTCCAGTTCAAGAGATTGAATCCGTCTTCGGAGTTCTTGTCAATCTTCATGATTTTGACCAACATTTTCCCAATTATCTTCTCCTTCATCCCATACATTGCCCGGTCTCGGTCCTTGTCTGGGAGAATCAAGCGGAACGCAGGGTATATGTCATCGCCCACCTCTTTCCTCCACCTCGAGATAAAGCGATCTATTACATCGCGCCGTTTCTCAAAAGGGTTGAGATTCGCTGCCGACTGGCCGTGGGGCCCGGCCTTTCTCCGGTTTCCTGGTGGTCCGGCGGGTTTTTTCTTTATCTCACTGAGAGGGCGAAAGAGCGTTTGGAAGAGATCATGGAAGGGCAGGGTAGGAGACTTGTTTTGAGGGCGGTTGGGATACCTGTACTCAAAGCAAATCTTTAGCTTGATAATAAACGGAGAATGAGCAGTGAGGGGGAGCAAATCATCGGTTATTTACTTTTCGTCGAGGTCAGACTCTTCTCCCGCCATGCCCGCATCATGCATCTTCACGTCTGAATCCATTGTTGGACGCTGGGCCTATCCAAATGTTTAGTCCAGGCTTCGAGCGAGTTTAGGACGACTGTCGGGCGAGCTGCGGATTTGGATCGCATCCCCACGTCTCCTCATGTGAGCTCGAAGATGGAGAGATCCAGGCAGCGTTCTAGGCTCCAAGCCTCCAACAGCTCTTATCGATAACAAAGTATGTGACATCATCGCTAGGAACAACCCTACTAGATATAGACACAGGCAGTACCTATTGATCGAATTGAGGGGCCTTCGATCATAATATTCTGATCGTTTCCGTGATTTACAGAAACGCAGACGTAGAAGCGGGAATGGCCATTCCCGTCTTTGAAGCCAACCGCCTCTTTACTCATATAGTTATGGGACTTCCACAGGACTGAATACAGTTCTCATTTATTGTCTTTAGTTCTTCATTCTCCTGAACCCGTGGTCTAGTGCAATACATTAAGCTAGTGCTTGGTATAGTGTGATTCGAGAGAAATGCCAGGAACTCGTATAACGCTTGCCCATACGCTGTCAGGAACAACAGCCGGAAGCTTGTGCCCTCTCAATTGTTGGTCAATCAGCCACATACCCACGACAAACTCGGCTCGAGTAAGCATGCCATTATTCTGGCCGTCCACGAGGTCCCAAACTCGCTCAAGGACATGATCAGGTAGGCGGCTTCTCGACCAGATATCTCGAACCACAAGGTTCACAACCATGTCCATAGCGGCGGGAGGATACATGCCTGGCGGGATCTTCTCCGGGGCGATATTTTGGTCTAATATTTGGCTGGGATGTAAGAGCAGCCCCTTATTGGCCGCCCAAACACCCTCGTATCTCTTCCGCTCTTTCTCCGTAAGCTCGCTTCTCCATCTTCTGCGGTCCCCCTCGTTGTGTTTATGTGGGTGCTTGTTGATAATGCGGTTCTTATGCTGGCGTCGACGCTGATCACCCTCGTCGTCTGATTTGGCTTGCGGTCGAAGGGTCTCACGCAGACCCCCAGGGCTAGGATTGGGAGTACGGTCCTTCTTATGCTGATGTTGGATGTGCAGTAGGGATCGAGATCGCGATCTTCGTCTACGTGCTGGAGGAGGTGGTGGTGGTGACGTCCTTGTCTTTAGTGCTCGGTTCGACGCTAATGACGAAGCTGCGACTGCATCCGAGGGCGCATCTCTACCCATATTGGTGAGCATACTTGTGCGACTAGCGTTCTGCGACTGGCTGTACAAGGACACAGTACTCGGTGTTGAGGGTATTGCTGTGGATTTGGAGCGCCTTTGTATTACTGAGCTCTCGTATACATCTTGCGCAGTTGCGGCTCGTCGCGGTGGAAGCGCTGGGGGCCGGCCCTCAGACAACGTGGCCGCGGAGGCCTTGGAGCGAAGAGGTAAAGGGGGTTTTCGAGATTCATCGTACTGCGGTCGATTTTCGGAGTGACGGTCGACTGAATTTGAGATTGCTTCGCTAACGGCAGGGGATGGTTTTCGCGGGATAGGGGGTGGGACGGGGCGCGGCTTGGTTATCGGTGGTCGCGGGAACGTCGAAGATCCGGAAGAGGCTGGCCTCTGATCAAGAGACGGTTTAGGCAGTGAAAGCTCTCTGGTATCGTCCTCGTATGGTTCCAGCAATCGCGGCTTTACCAACGGCTTTCGAACAGGTACTGGCGATGGTAGGTCTCGACTTGGTGTCACCCCATTTCGTTGCGTAGTTTTGCCATTGGGGCCATGTATGCCCCCTGCAGCGATCTCAGCCGCGAGCAGTTGCGGCGTTTTCTGGCGAGTAATATCTGGTACATTTTCACGAGCACTCCGGGGCCTGTCGCTTGGTGCGGTCGCGGTAGAGTTCGCACTGAACAGTTGAATCTTGTCCTTGATAGAGCCAGGCTCCGGGAGCTCCGGTAGGGGGTCGGGATCGGAGTCGAGGAGCGATACCGGCGCGCGATCTGCCAACATCATCGGAGAATGGGATTTCGGTGGCGTTGCATGGTTGAAGGCGAGCAGAGCTCCCTGTAAAGCCGTGGCCGATGGAGTCCCGTGGTTCACATTACGCGGAGGCACGACTCGCGAAGGGGTTGGAGATTTGGCCATTCGTGGGACAAGTTCAAGTCTGAACCATGGTCGAGATGTAGATGTCGAACATCAATCTAACACTGTTAAGCCGAGGGTGGTTGGGAATCGTGAGAAAAGGAGAAGCGGGGAAAATCGCAGAGATGAGGCTCCTATCAGGGCCCGAACCCCAGACAGACACACTGTGACACTGACACTGACACGCGGTGCGTGTTTCATCTTCCAAGCCTCCAACCTGACAACGGTTGCTGTGTCTACTCCGGAATAATACGCGAACTTTATTTTTATTCGATATCTAACCGAGCAGCAAAATGCCGGTTCCAGGCAACTCTCCGGATCTATACCCATTTCGAGCGTTCGATCACTCCACGGGCATGCCGGCAGGGCTCCTGACCAGAGCGGTTTCCCCGCCCATTCTACCCCAGCTTAAATCGTGCTTAATATCGACTCGACTTCCTCAGAGGCCGACGTGTGTGATCGTCCCACTTTCACACCACTAGCCCTGCTTGAGCGAAACTCTTCTCCGTCGCGATGCGCCAGAATTTCCTACTTCTTTCCTATGTCTCCCTTCCTCAGCACCTTGCGCTACAATGCCACTCGTGCTCGATATTGACTGAGCGTTGCGCGCTGGACTCGCCCATGAGACGCCATGACCGAGGAAAACAGCGATACCGGCCAAGGTACTTCCCGCCCTTTCATCTCCGCTCCCCCGCATTGAGTCAGTCCGGGAGAGAAAATGGAATGACAGTCGAATATAGAAGCTCCAGACCACCAGGATGTTGATTCGACCTCTAAAAGCGAAGGCGCCAACCATGAGCGTGAAGTAGACGAGAGTTCACCTGCTACCGGCCAAACCAAGTGCTCGATTTGCCAGAGCACGTTTAGAAGACCTGAGCACCTGAAGCGCCATTTTCGCAGCCATACCAAAGAGAAACCGTTTGAGTGCACTCAATGCGGGCGCCACTTCTCCAGAACGTACGCGCTGGCTCACTTCACCGCAGCTGTCCCATCCTCTACCACCTATCCAGCTAATTATTGTCCAGTGACACCCTCCATCGCCATGAGTTGAGTCATCACACGATAGGCGCCGATGGAGCAAAAGACCGCACGCACAGAATCACCGTCAAGACATTCCGCGCTTGCTACAAGTGCGCGCTTGCGAGGGTGCGTTGCAGCGGGGGTATGCCATGCACTCGCTGCGAGACTAGGTCCCTCGAATGTCAATATCCGACCGAAAGACGCTCCAAAGCCAAATTCCGAAAGGACGCAACACAGACTATATCTCATGACGAACAGGATCCGCTCTCTGGGCATTCTTCACACACCTTCTCTGTGCAGGGTCCTGAAGCGCACCAGAACGGAAGAAATGGGGATCCTGTTGTCTCATCTGGCTATCAGGTCAGCCAGTTCCAGCTGCAAGTACCGAGATCTCAAAATCCTCCCCCGTCGTCTTCGGACGACATCGAGAGGCTCGAATTGAATGTCCACTCACAAACTCTGTTGGAAAATGGGGAAGATTCGCATCTCGCAGCGAGTCCATCGCTCATCCGCTCTGACGTTACTGCTGCCTCGGGGGCCATGCCACCAACGTTTCCTTCGTTTTGCGGGATAAATGAACAACTTTACCCTCATCCACCCCCGACTCAACTTCAGTCTATACCGGTTGAGCAGAGGCGGTTCAGCTTTCCCCTTGGCGGTCGACAGCCCGAAATATCTGTGTCTGGTGCGGCCGTTTCTGGAAACCCCAGCTCGGAAAATCAACATATGCACATGAGTTTTTCACAGTCACTACTAACCCAACCCGGGGTTTCTACAATAAATTGGCTCTCTAGTGACTTGATCTTTGATTCGGTCTCTGACAATGGTCTACCATCTGTTTCTCTCCAACCGCCTTTACAGTCAGGTGTGTTTGATAACTCATTAAGTCAGACAACATGGTTGCCTCCCGTCATCAATGCCGAACCCCACGGCTCTTCACTATCAGGCAGTATATCACAAACGACACCGTCTGGGACGACCTCGTTTGGCGATGTGGAAAGCCCAGGTAACTTTGTTCGAGGGCTGCGGCAATCTTCACAGTCGGGACCATCCAAGCGCCCGGCCGAGTACAGCGTCGACGATCCCCTTGAGCGACCTAGCAAGCACAAACGAAAGCAGTCATCTTGGCCTATGCAGCCTTCAGAGTCTCTCGACATCTTTTTGAAGATCCAAAGTACCAATGCAAAGCCGCGATTCGCGTTTCCGCCACCTAATGAAGTGCAACCCAGTAGTTTACCTGATACCACAGTTGATTGCAATCTCGAAGCTTCGACATACGACCGAATACGGGATGCATTCACTCAATTGTGCTGCACGGAGCACATTTTATACCCCAAGTTTGAAACGAACAACTTCCCGAGCGCACAAGCGCTGTCGAGATTTCTTCACCACTATTTCCGCTTCGCTCATCCCTTATGCCCGATAATTCATACACCCACATTCAACCCAAACAAATGCCACTGGATAGTCGCACTAGCACTGGCTGCAATAGGCAGTCACTCTGCGAATCACTGTGAGCAAAACGGAACGGCTACAGCTTTCCACGAATTCCTTCGTCGGGCCCTTTGCGTGGAGGTGAGAGAAGCACAGATATCTATATTGCACCCTTTCTCTTCGCAACTAACTGGAGGCTCTGTTTTAGAAAGAGAAACGGCAATCTGAACCTCTGCCCCTTTGGTTCATTCAGGCAATGCTCTTAAACTGCATTGGCAGACTCCATGGGAACAATGAGAGCGGCAAGCTTTCCGCACTTGGCGACTTTGGCGATCTCATCAACCTTGCAACTCGCGAGAGGCTGCTATCTCGCTTAGACTATTCAGATATGCCGAAAGATCAACCGTCGTCAGAACATGAATGGTCTCTATGGGTTGAAGAAGAGGCTCGAAGACGGACCGGGTATTTGATCTGGGTATGCGATACTGAGAACCCCTTGCCCTGCCCCTACTGTGCTAAACCCTGCCCAGCTTGTAGATTGTACAGCGGCATACGAGTATGATACGAAGCCCTATTTTTCCCTCGATGATGGCCAAGCACCCCTTCCATGCAATGAAAAGATCTGGCACGCAACCTCGTCTCGTATATGGAAAGGACTTCGCGAGGAAACTTCAGGTATGATTTTTCCAGCTGTTGTAGCGCAGCTTGGCTGAAACATATGTCTAGAACAGGATAAAATATCCCTTTATGACGCTGTACTCATCCTATACATTGAGAAAAGGCTTGTTTCCGGAATTGGAGAGCTCAGTCATATACTGCTCATACATGCTCTATATCATCGGATGTGGGAGGTGGGTGATTATTTCCGCCGCCCGCTCTCATTCTGGAACCCGACTGCGAAGAAGCAGTCCCGAAAATTGGCAATACCATCAGGCTCGGTCTGGCTGCCGGGGATTCCGTCGTACTCCAAATGGCGCAACAGCGCATGTGACTGTTTGGATATCCTCCATTGGACTGCCAATGGTACTATAGCCAAGGCAAACGGCCACGAACATCCCACTATCCTACACCTTCATACAGCTCGCATTATCCTGCTCGCGCCATTTCGTGAGATTCGACTCCTAGTGAACCTCCTAGCAACACAGAAGGTGAATTGGGAGGACCGCCAGCAGGTCATAGAGTGGCATTACGTGCTGCGCTGGATCAAGCATGATCAATACAAAGCCCGTCTGGCAGTCATCCATGCCGGGTCGGTGTTGTATCATGTCCGCAAGTTCTCCACCAAGGCATTCCATGAGCCGGTCGCCACCTATCTTGCAATCCTCACTCTCTGGGCATATGGCTTGTGCTACAAGCAAGCATCTCCCGAGCTTACGGCTGCTCAGCGGGACTCGTCCACCGGGCCTAGCACTATCAACCTTGATCAGCCGTGCTCTGACGAGCTGGTGCAATCTTTCGTTCGCGAGGGGCAAAGGATGAAGGGTATGTTGACTAATGTAGGGGATATTTGCGCACCACATGGGCCCGAGCAGATACTTCGAGCTGGCTGCGAAACACTTTCCAGTCTGCATTCCTGGGGCATCGCGAAGGAGTTCATGGTGACGCTGATGAGGCTCGTTGAATTTGTATGATGACGTCCTGATTCTAGAGTACGGGACATATGGCAACATAAAAGGTAGTCATTCTCAGCTCCCATCTGTATATATAGTCGCATAGTCGTTTTATTTTGCGTATACCACAATGGTGCCCACATCCAAGGTAGTAAATGGTCGAGACGGTGTCTGTTCTAGCCGTCTATCATCCCAGGCTTAACTCTACCAGCGATGGGCCGCGAACTGCCTGAAGACCATAAGACCATGGCCGGTTATGGCGGCCAGGGTCGGATATCGATGCTAACCTTTCGACCATGGCCAGAATATATAGAATCAGCAGGCTAGCAATGACTTTCGCTTGCGTTCCTACACATGCTGGGGACTTCCATCCTCCAAGGTTGTTTCGCTCCTTCCCAACTCTCCACCTCTCTCAACCTCGTATTACTTTCAAACTTGGAGTCTCCACAGTTTCTGTTCTATACTGCTTTTTTATCATATCTTATTATTTGCATCATCGATTACTTATCCTGCGGCCCTGCGGCCCAGCGGCCCATTGGGAACCAACTTCTAGCCCACCATGGCATCTCATGAAGAACTAGCAGCGCTCAAGCGGGAGAACGAGGCACTGAAGGCCGCACTTCTCGAGGTCCAGATCGAACGAGACAAAGCAAGAGACCCGAGCCTACGTTTCGAACCCTCGTACGAGCCAGAAGACCAAACACCGATAACCTGGTCGATTGGCTACACCAATGAGATGATATGGAGAGCGCAGATCAGGGACGATGGGATGAATGTCATTTCGAGTAAACCTGCAGCAAACTTGGTTATTGAAAGGTGGCCACGCAAGAAGGAGATAATGATACATCGCAAGATCGAGGATGGGCATTTCCGGGACCACATGAACAATATCCTCAATACCGGCCAGTTATTCAAGTTCGCTCATCTGAAGTACCGCTGCTTTCTCGTGTCCCTAAACGGCCTGGCTGTCTACGCTCCCCCAGAACAACCGGTGCTCGACATGGCTTCGGCGGACAAACAGCTCAAACGAGAAATCGGTGTCGCCAGTGATATCACTCCTCCAACCTATCGAGGAAAACAGGGAACATTTGTGACGCGGCGAGCAGGAAAACCTGCGTATTTCAAAGCAATTATGCCTAAGCCGGATGACCCAGATAAGGATCAGTACCTTTTCGTGGCAGCTGATGGCACGAAGTTGAACCCAGGGTTTATCATCACTGATCCTGAACACACCAACAAAGACACGGATTTCTGGCTGCGGCTTGCTGACAAGTTGCGAAGTCATTTTGGAGCAAGAGTTAACACGATCCGATCTGAGTTTGAGTATCTTAATGCAAAATGGGCTAATCAGCAGAAGTCCTGGGAGTGGGAGGTCATCTGCCGTGCACGCGAAAACCCATCCGTAAGATGGCCGGCAGGTACCACCCAGGAGCTGATGAAAACACTCAAGTACTACGATGTTATATCAGACTCGGATACACCCATCCAGGACACATTGATTCCTGCAAGCCAACCACCCGTGGTTAGACCCGTGTCGAAACGGTCCTTCGAGAGACTTGCGCAGTATGTCTACAGCGATACGGAGGATACTTACTTAGAGGCAGGCCGGCCGGTGCCTGATATACCAGAGTTTAACGAGAACTTCGCCGATAACATGGAAAGGATCGAGAATCTGTTCGCTGAGCTTGGATACCGTTGGGGTGATTTAGAGGAGGACTGGAAGAGTGGGTGATTCTGGTACTGGTCTTTTTTTATCCTTCTCATTTGATCACACGGGGGTTGCCTTTCAAAATTATACTTCTCCATCAGTTAGTATCTTTTTCTAGCCTTTCTGCTTGTCTATTGTTTCTCGTCGCTGCAGCCCTAGTTTCCATGGCCGGACTTTGAACCCGCAGCCCTAACTTTCTCATTCCAACTTCTTCTTAGCGACTAGGTACCATAAGTTATTTGTATTTGCTGCTAGCTGAGCTCTAGAATACCATTATTGCATCAACCACAGTTTATCGATCTTCATCGTCTCTTTCTCCATGCTTGTAGTCATCCATGGTCGATAAGGCGGTTCGTTGATAGCACTGGGCAGTGGTATTTGCATGAAGAACATCCTACCAAAACCATGATAGTCATCCATTACCGTATAGACATAAGAGCCATCTCGGCCATGGTCGGATACCACCAATGACCTGATCCTAACTTCGAACTGTCACCGGGCTCGAGACAGCATTATTGGACCACGACCAGATATCAGTCGTAGATTCGAGACTTACTGCGCAGCATGAGAGTAGTTCTTAACACAGCAGGTATAGTTATAGCAGGGATTTGCCTGGATAATCCTATTGTCTCGAGCATTAGGCTATTTTAACCCGAAGTTGTATCACATGGCAGTACCTAAGGATTCGTCCAGCAATGTATTGAAATATATGTTTCTGCCAATTGGAGTCCTCCAACTGTGTCAACACCAAATCACAGCAAGTAGCCGGGTAAAGAAGCCGAGCCTCCATCGTTTAGATTACACGGATCCGAGAAATCTTACTCCGTAGTAGCCCTGTCTGACCGTCGAAGTGTCTGTGGCGCTGTGCTACTGTTTAGACTCTGCGGGCCCGAGAAAGGGCCGTTGCACGTGATCTGGCGAATGAAGAAGGAACGAGGAGAGGCCGGGGAAGGCTCGGACGAGGACGAGGAGGATCTGGTTGAGTGCTCGATCCAGACTCTGCTTCTTCCTCAGGTCCTGCCTGCGTGTTTGCCTCTTGCACTATTGACAAGATGCATGCTGCCACCAGTTCAATTGGTGGTAAATCCTTGATGACTTTCTTGTTCCAGCGAGCAAATCCCGAAGAAAAAAATCATGTATGCACAGGGCAGGTTCTATTCCAACGCGGTCCTCACACTCGCCCACATGCCGAGAATTCTCCCTTGGCCCCCCGCGATGGCCTGACCCGTCCTCTAATAACTCCACTACTGCGACCCATGGCAGGAGGTAAGTGCCTGTCAAAATAGAACATGCCCTGTTTTTCTGACATGTGCTTCTCAGCTCGGTGTTTGAATGGACAAGGCTTGGAAGCCCCATTGCTTCCTCTGCTTAGCTAGCTACAACGGGCAATCAACGCCTATCGTCAGACCACTTCAGATCATTTCCCCGGGCTCAATTGTTTTTTAGATTTGGGATTCCCCGTGGCTGAACTGTCGGGGGACCTGGATACCGTACGATTTGCACTACTACTACTGCCCCCGCCCGGAGCAATGCACAGCAGTTGCATGACTGACCTGACAACCCACTTTTACTCTCGTAAATTGGCTGATGAATTGCTCATCATTCACTATGGTTTCTGGTGCCACGGCAGTTACTGGAACACAGGCTATCGACTCAAGGCCCACTGTCAGAAGGAAGTTTGCTAAGCCGCCTGTGAAGTTAGCCTGCCTGGCATGGTAAGATCCATATGGCTTCTATAGCCGTCCCAGTGGGCCTTTCTTGCTTTCTCCTGCGGGATGAAAGCTTGATCTATGCCCAATCCCATCCGGCTGGCTTGGTAACGCGTGCCAACTAACTGATTACAGTCGTGCCTCGAGGACTCGCTGTGATGGTCAGGATCCTTGTGCCAATGTATGTTGATGTCTCAACGATACCTGAGGTATGGGCGGCTGACCAGTTCTTGGCCAGTGCCAAAACAGAAAAAGAAAATGTTCCTATACGCCCAGCAAGCGGGGAGGGTAAGTGGTCTAGAGCCGGTGTATTTGACCCTCCTTGAGTCCACGCGCTGACAAACAATACCTTGCAGTCCAAGGAAGAAGAAGAGGGCCTCTCCGCCCGTGGAAGTCGCTATTCAGGAAGATAACGTTGAGAATCCAACCATCATCCCGGCGTCTCCTGGCTTAGAGGAGTGTATGTTCAAAAGACTGCGTCTTTTCTGGCTTTAGGAGACTCTAACTAAGACTTGACAGCAGCTTTGTTCGGTCAGATTGATGTACTCTCCAATCCGGGTGCTGGGCTTCGAAGTCTAGACTTCACATCGGATTTTCAGTCTTTGTTCGCTGGTCTATTTGCTCCGAATGATAGTGGCAATACCACTGATAGTCATATTGAACCGACGCCATCATTAACATCATCAAGCGTATCTTCGCCGTCCATGGTCAGGGCATATGGCAGCGAGCACGACATGTGGGTTGTACCTCTCAAAGCGAAAGGATGTGCTAACCGTGAGCTCAGATTGAATGCGTACTATGACTTCATTCATAACTATTTTCCAATTCTGCCACCAAGAGTAGCGCCAGCTTCTGCCGACACTCCTTTGGATGGTATCGGTTCTTACTCCGAGTCTCCTTCTGAGGAGCCGATCATCGTCTATCAACCACGTTCTCCGCTTAGTCTGGCGATTTCCGCTATCTTAGCACTAATACCACATCCAAATGACCCCGAACCGTTGTCTCCTGGCTCGGTTATACGGCGCCGGATGTTTGCACATACCTTTGCACAAATGGCTAATGCTAGCATTGAATCCGACTGCGAGCTTCATGCCTTTCCTACGAATCCCTTTGAGGCTCCTTCTCGAAATCGCCCACGCATCAATCGAACATTTTTCCACCCCCAGACCCCAGTAGAACTCGAGAGTATCCTGGCGTTACTTTTGCTCACTGTATATGAATACACCCAGCGCGGAAATCTTCTGAAAATGAGGTACCGTGCTGGGCAAGCATTGGCAATAGCGTTGGACATGTCACTACATACTCTTGGGGAACAATATGATGAAATGGCAGAAGCGCGAAGGAGGGCTTGGTGGATGACTGTAAGGTTATCGTCGATCTCGATGGAGTGCGGCCACTAACTTAAGGGGCTTGACTAGTACTACTGCGTCCTTCAGGGTTCGATTGTCAGCACAACTGTAAGTCGTGCGCATCATTCCGCCTTCGCTCTGGTTCAGCCCTTCTAATGTCTGAATTGATAGCCCCTCTCTATCGATGCAAATGATCCCCAGTTTGTCACGCCTTACCCCAGGTTTGCTACCGATGCCGATGTATGTTTGCCCCTACTAAACCATTCCCGGCCGTAAGTAGTGCTTAACCTAATCTCATCCGCAGGGCTGGGCTATCCTTATTCAATCCCAACAAGTATTGGTGGCGGCTACACAATTCGTCATTGACGTTAAGAAGTGGGTTCCTACGAGGACAAATATGCCTTACATTGCAGAAAGCATGCAGCGACTTGACTCATGGGCAAGCGCGTTATTAGCACAGACGAGCTTACCCGTATCATCTGCTTCGTCTGTCAGTGGTGGCGTTCCGGAGCAAACCACAACGCAGAGTATCCGCGCAATTGCACGGATCAAGACATCTAGGTTTGTACCTGGGAAGCCCTCAATGATAAAGAGACAGACACTGACGCGGTCAACAGCGCCCAGATCAAAATCCACCGATTCCGAGCGTTCTCAGACATTCCAATCTTCCTCAAGAGGCACTGCGATCTAACCGAAGCAAATGCCTCTGACGATCTGCTTTCGGAAAATACCTCCAAAAGCCCAGATCATCCGGACGAGATCTCCAGCTCGAGTGGCGGATGCTCTTGTACCAGTTCAGACAAATTCCAACAATCCTCGTCAAGCGAGACATCATCTTCGGCATCGCCTGAGTTACAGACCTTACCTCACTACCCCTTCATCAGCGAGTTCCCATTTACCAGCCAGCATTCAGCAAGAGTTTGCCTAAAAGCGGCCTTGTTGATCTCGCACATGTTCGAAATCTTACCTATACCCCAACCCCTCAGCGACCCTAATAACCCGCCCCGGGTCCTGCAATCACTGCCACGAAATCGGTACCCGAGAACAATGCCATCCTTTGCCTGCTGCATGATGCAGGGCAGCTACGCATTACTTATGATCTTTTACCAGGCGAGTCTGGCGAAGAACGCTCAGGCAGAATCCGGCACCAACAGTCAAGATAATGACAGCTTGGTGGAGGAACTTCGACATGGACTAGAGCGGATTATCACTGCCGCGTCGAATTTCGCGGTTTCTTATGAGGCGTTGAATGGGATGAGAGGTGAGCGAGTTTCTTAAGTGTCTTAGTATCGAGGACCTCGCTAACAACCAGCGCAGATGACATTGAGGGAGCATACCAAACGGCGTTCTTGCAAGGGTGAACAAAAGGGCTGCCGATTGGAGTTTCTTTTTTGCATGTTGGGCATAGGATGAAGTCACTTCGTCCGCAATTGCGGTCCATGTGTGAGGCTGCCACATATATTGATCCCAGCCGTCATCTACCATTAATCTTGCTGGTGATATATACCCACTTTTTTTTGCTTTGCGTTGATTTGTATACTCATACTGAGCACACACTGCGTAATCACCGCCAGGTTATCACTGTCTTTGCCTAGTCTGGACTGCTACTGTCGACCTACGACACACATCCGCTAGGTTATAATCAACTCCACTCCGCTGCACAATTTATGCAATGCAGTTTTCGCTATTCCTCTATTGGCTTACGCCACCAGCGAAAAAAGTGAATACCAAGGCTAGAAGATGGTATTTTCCCTCAAAGTTTAGAGCGTATGCCTTCTAACCGGAACTTAACATCCTTAAGAACCTTGCTCGTCGGCTTCCAGTCATCGAACTGCTTCAGGAGCTCCATAGTCTCATTGTACAGCTCATTTCTTACGTATTCCTCCTCTAGGAGCCCGCGCATAGCGAAGGGGAGAATATACGGATTTGAGACTGGCGGTGGGAACTCCCGTTTGATGTGAAGAGGCGCGTTGGAGACGGGGGACGTTTCGAGGGCGAATTCGATGGCTAGTCTGCGGACGATATTAGACTACTCCATGCTATAGAAAAGGAACAGGGATATGACGTACCGGTAGACGGCTTCGTCGTCGTAGAGCCGCGAGTGACCTTCACCTGTGTATAGGCTTCCTGCTAGCGGGGAGCTCAGTTCACGGATTAGGCCGTGGTCTGAGATACCGAGGTTGCGGAGTTTAAGGGCGAAGCCGACTAGGTGGGAGACGCTAAACAGAATATATTAGGATTACATGCTGGTGGCGGCACTGAGGGTCTGATACGTACAAGCTTGGAGCGTGGACTCGGCCGTCGACGAAGGATGCGCGGTAGATGTATGGATGGGACACAGGAGAGAACAATGAGGACTGTTTAAGTTAGTTGTTGACTTTCACATTCAAGTGGGATGATGGAAATACCTCTAGAGAGACGAGTTGATCGTCAATACTCCCAATATAAGATATCCGTACTCCAAAATCTATACATGTTCGTAACGCTGACTCGTAGTCTTTTGAGACCTGACTGTAGGGCAAGGCGAATTCGAACAGTTCCCCAGCAGATCCACTGATCCATCGAGACCTATAGTCAGGAAATGGCCCGAGGTTCACACCAGCCATCGCGCAGACGCCAACTCGGTTCGCGTTGATGCAACCAAACGAGATTAGCTTGGCGACCAGCATGAGCCCTACCGGAACACCCTGACTGTGGCACGCAATCAGGATAAAATCCGCGCTTCGGATTTCTTCCATCCAGTTGAGAAGTAATTTCCAGAGCAGGTCAACTCGGTCCGCAATCCGCCCCTCGCCTTCCAGGGCTATTTTCTCAATCTCGCAAGTATAGCCCTGGTCTTCCGTATATTTGCGTATAGCTTCGGCAGCCATTGTCGAAAATCTGACGGATGTGCCAGTGGGTTGACCGAGAACGCTTCGTATTAACGGAGCAGGAAAGTAACCATGAATTCCTATTGCGAGTGCCTTCTTAATGCGCGGGGGGTAAGCACTTTTATAGACATGCTTATTACTGGATTCTTTGTTATAGTGGAGGAATCGGCCAAGCGATTGGAGCAGCGTTGGTCTGTCCTGCAACGCAAATGTATCCTTAAAAGCGGGAAGGACTTGATTCGGAATGATCTTCTGTAGTTGTTTAGAGGCTTCGGGAGCGGCTGGAGCCGGAGCTTCTGGGACATTTGCTGGCTTCGACATAGCAGCTTCAGGTACTGATGGGCCGCTTGGAGGAGATTTAATTTTCCCTTTTTTAGTGACCTCTGTCTTTTGTCCGCCTGTTGAATCAGATACACTATTCGACAGCTCTGGAGACGAATCTTGGATTATTGTGGCCTCAGCTGCCTGGGTCTCCGGTCTTCCTTGCGCGGAGTCCCCGAAGAAGAAAGACCATGCAGATGGCTTGATACCGGTAGCCGTACTTTTCGGGGTATCAGTGCCGACTTGTGTCTCTGTAGGTTCTGGGGCTTCTTCCGGACCGGATGGAGGGAAAGAAGCAGGAGAGACCTGTTCTTCTGCATTGGTAGGAGCTGCATCCTTGGGTTCTTCAGGCCCTTTGGACGAATATGACCCGTACCACATCTGAAGCCAGGAGCGCTTTTGCGATGTTGATGTAATCTCCTCAACCTCAGGAGACTTATCTTGTTGTTCTGGACTTGGATCTGGAGGCGCTGAGTCGTCGTCTTGTTTCAATGGTTGGTCAGCTGTAGAGGTTTCAGGTTCTGGGGGTTGTTCCGGCGGCTGGTCCGTCGTTGGCTCTGCTGGGTTACTTGATGGGACCTTATCGTATGTGAATGGTGCGTATACCCATGAGAGCCATCCACTGGGCTGGGTTATAGCCGCGTTTGGATTGCCCGAGTCCGTAGGCGCTCCACCTGGATCCGACTGCTTTTGAGAGACCTCTGAGTTATCTGTTTCTATCGCAATTGTATCCTTCGATGCCTCTTTATCAGTGGTATCGGCAGCCTTCCCTTGCGAGGGTGTATCTGGGGAAGTAGGGTCCGGCCGAAGCTCCTCTGCGGGGGCCAATGTGGAACCGTCAGAAGCAATGTTGATGCGGGTCGTCGTAGCGGTTGCGGGCAGTGATCTTGTCGATCCGCCCGCTCTTTTTGTAAGTTGAAGGGAGGGGTGCCGTTGTTGCTTTGGGGAACCGAGCTGAAGTGTTGATACAGACGCGGCGTCGGACGGGGTGTGTTTAGCCATCGAGATGCTCTCACGGGCAACCTCGGTAACCGGGGCCGCTTTTGAGGGCCAGACGTTAGGATACCACTATCGAACGTATCAGCTACTGCGCCAACAGACTTATATCCCAAAATGGTCATCTCCACTTGAACAGAGCAGTACAGACTTACTGGACTTTTTCGAGAGGAGGCTTTGCTGTTTGGGGAGGATATATCAGGCGATTGAGGGCTAGGCTTCACTCTTTTGCGAGGACCCGGGGACGCCATGGAGAATGTGACAAGAACATCACAAAAGACCGCTGAAAGATGTAGGACCAACTCTAGAGGCAAAAATGCGTAAGGCAATAGTCGATGACAGAAACAAAGAACTAGGATTAGATGAGTACTATTAGCAAGGTCATTGTTATCTCAGCACTCTTTCCCAACCAACCGCTGATATCACACACGTCACATGCTATCAGCGGGACTCCTGCTCACCGCCTTCTCTGCCCTGCCACATTCTCGGGGCGCTTGTGGCTGACCCTCACGTGAGAGTGGGTCGTTCTAGGCCGATAGAGAAAAAAAAGTTGTTTGATAACCTCCGGGTCTGAAGAACAGCCTCATTGTCAGGTTAAATTTATTGCCCCGGGTTACTGCCGAGTCTTGCTCGACACCCGGATTCTCACAATGGCGATTCAGAAAAAGGTATTCCAGCTCGATGATACGAGTAATCCCGGTAAAAAATCCTGTGAACTGACTTTTCATAGCACGGTAAAGGTCGTTTGGATAAGTGGTATCGCCTGGCGAAGGAAAAGGGATACAGAGCAAGAGCGGCGTTCAAATTGGTTCAGCTGAACAAGAAATATGGCTTTTTGGAGAAAAGCAAGGTTTTACTGGATCTTTGCGCTGCGCCAGGAGTGAGTAAATCGGGACATGGACTTTTGCCGCAAACTATACTAACGAATGAACAAGTCATGGTGTCAAGTTGCCGCAGAATGCATGCCTGCTCAGAGTTTGATCGTCGGTGTCGATTTGGCCCCGATCAAACCTATACCCCGAGTCATTACCTTTCAGCAAGATATCACGACCGAGAAATGTCGCGCCACGATTCGATCGCATCTTAAGCACTGGAAAGCGGATACTGTTTTGCACGATGGCGCTCCGAACGTCGGTACTGCGTGGGTTCAGGATGCTTTCTCCCAAGCGGAGCTGGTACTCGAATCTCTGAAGCTCGCTACGGAGTTCTTGGTTGAGGGTGGTACGTTTGTCACAAAGGTCTTCCGATCCAAAGATTACAACCCTCTGCTGTGGGTTTTCAAGCAGCTGTTCTCGTCTGTCGAGGCGACCAAGCCTCCGTCCTCCCGAAATGTATCCGCAGAAATCTTCGTTGTCTGCCGCGGCTTCAAGGCACCCAAGCGCATGGATCCTAAGTTCCTTGACCCGAAGCACGTCTTTGCGGAACTTGCAGATCCTACCCCCAACAACGAAGCTAAAGTCTTCAACCCCGAGAAGAAGAAGCGTAAGAGAGAGGGTTACGAGGAGGGCGATTGGACACAGTTCAAGGAGGTCCCGGTCACAGAGTTTATCAACACCACAGATCCGATTGCGATTCTCGGCTCGTGCAATAAACTCAGTTTTACGCAACAACCAGGAGGAGACCTTGCCTTGGCCACTCTGGATCGACTACCAGAGACCACGGATGAGATCCGGAACTGCTGCGAGGACCTGAAAGTTCTGGGTAAGAAGGAATTCAGGAACCTGCTTAGGTGGCGTCTCAAGGTTCGGGAGAAGTTCGGACTGGTAGTGAAGAAAGGACAGGCGAAGAGCGATGAAGCCGAAGAGGTGGCCGAGATTGCTCCCATGGACGATGAGCTCGCGATTCAAGAACAACTTCTTCGCCTCAAAGAAAAGGAGAGTGCCAGGAGCAAGAAGGAAAGGCGCAAGGATAACGAGAAGAAACGCAAAGAGATTGTTCGAATGCAGATGCACATGACCACTCCCATGGATATCGGAATGGAGCAACTAGGCCCTAGTGGAGACGATGCCACTTTCTCTCTGAAGCGCGCTGAGAAGGCCGGTGCGGCGGCTGCTATGGCGTCAGGAAAAGAGCTGGCAGTCATTGAGAGCGGAAGCGAAGAGTCCGAGTCCGAATCCGAAAACGACGACAGCGATGATGAAGAGGATCGGTTGGAAAGGGAACTTGACTCGCTATACGAGCAGTATCAAGACCGCAAAGAAGACAAAGATTCGAAATTGCGAGCAAAGAAGGCGCGCAAGGACTACGAAGCTGAAGAGTGGGAAGGGTTTTCCGGATCAGACAAAGAAGAAAGCGATGACGAGGAGAATGAGGCAGAGTCCAAAGCCCCTGCTGTTCCTACCAACGGGGCGCTCTCCAACAACGCTGCCTTGTTTTTTGACCAAGACATCTTCCAAGGTCTCGACGATGTTGACGACGACGAGGAAGAAGATGAAGAGGAAGAGGAAGAAGGTGAAGAAGAAGAAGAAGAAGAAGCGGAAGATACAGGCAGCGAGACTGCCGAGGACGAGGAGGACGAACGGCCCCAAACCAAGGCGGTCGCTGAGAAGAAGAAGAAGGTCAAAGAGACACAAAATACCAAGCCATCTGAAGATTCTTCAGATGATGAGTACGAGGAAACGGATGAACCGCGCAAAAAGAATGGTCAAGTTGGTGAGTAACAGCAGAATCCTTCTTCGACAACACATTACTGACTACATTCCAGACATTGATATCATTACGGCAGAGGCCATGGCACTGGCTCAACAAATGGCCACTGGCGAAAAGAAGTCGCAAGATGTGTTCGATGACGGATTCAACCGATATGCGTTCCGCGACGTCGATGGTCTTCCGGAGTGGTTCCTCGATGACGAGGGCAAGCACAGTAAACCGAATAGGCCCATCACCAAGGCAGCCGCAGTCGCAATCCAGGAGAAGTGGCGGGCCATCAACGCACGACCTATCAAGAAGGTCATGGAGGCCAAGGGCCGCAAGAAGTTCAAGGCAGCACAGCGGATTGAGAAACTGCGCAAGAAGTCTGCGTTGCTGGCAGACGATGAAACAATGAGCGAGAGAGACAAGGCGCAGGCGATTGCCAGAATGATGAGCAGAGCGACCAAGAAGAAGCCCAAGCAGAACGTGAAGCTGGTCGTTGCCAAGGGAGGTAACCGGGGTATCTCCGGCCGACCCAAGGGCGTCAAGGGCAAGTACAAAATTGTGGACGCGAGAATGAAGAAGGACGTACGGGCTCAGAAGCGACTGGCGAAGAAGAAGCAGAAATAAGCTGTATAATGCATGTACATAGACTAGTCTAGAGAGAATCTGATACCCGTGACCGCAGTCTGTATAGGGTTAGAGGTACACTTTTGTACCTCGTGGGTGTGGCCGGTATGGAGCATACTTTGTAGACCCAGCGTCGTGGCAGCGAATCAAGGCGACGGCTGCTCTGACTAAGTGGCGACTACAATCGGATCGCCGCAAGAGCCCGTCTTCACAGCCTTCGTCTCACGCGGGTTGGTGCTGGATTTTCGTTTGGTCACGCTCTCTTACTTGTTCTCTCGTTACTTCTGTGACTTGTCGTACATATGCGTCTCCTGGTGTATTTATCCTTAGCTTCGTGTCTATATTGACGACTCTCTTTTCGTCCGGTTTTTTACCTTCATTTTGAACTATATCCCAGTCCGACTGCCACCCCTCCTCGATGGTGTTTGAGAACCTGCCAAAAGCTCCAGGAGGCTTCACTCTCCAGGTAAAGAAGCCTCAGATTCGCAAAGTCGTTCAGACCATCTCTGCTCCCCCCTCGCGGTCGCCATCCCAAACCGTAAACAGAGCGACGCCTCGGACTGTTCCCGCCGAGCGTCGAGAGAAGACTCAGGAGACCGTCAGGCCGTCAGTCTCGGGGGGAAGAGACCATGCGTCAGCAAAGCGACGGTTAACTCCCTTACGGGACCGAAAACGCCCGACTCCAGAGCAGCGGCTGTCCAGTGATAATGACGACGATGGAAGTGACACTGACACCTCCCTCGAATTACGGAAACGCGCGAGAACAGGTGAAAGCGCAGAACCAGATTATACAAGGCGACTGCGGTCAGTCCAGGCATTTTCTGGGGACGAGGCTAGACAGCTTCGATTTGTACACGCGGCGGAAATCACGTCTGAGCAAAAGCTAGGAAAGTTTAAGCCAGCGTTTGAGAATACGAGCCAGACATCGGAGATACTTTTGCAGTATCCCAGTGCGACGCCGAAAGAAAGGTATGGGCGAAACCACGCCCACCGCAAATAATTGGCTAATTATCTTCGGTTATAGATACGAAGTCGTGGTACCACGCGACAACGACGAGTTTAAACCCCTCGATGATATTGTGCAAGTTATCGACACGGTATCGCAAGCATATATACCCGAAGACGAACTGGACGAGTTTAACAACGAGACGACGGGGATCAAGCGAAGATTACGGCGAGCGCTGGCGCGAGGATCCGAGCCTGAGTTTCGCGAGGCTGTTACGGAATACAACACGGCGATCAAACGGCTTCGACAAAGTGGTAGTATCGCGAAGAAACTGGACAATACCTATCGGCTTAGTCTCACTCACGTGGAGCGAATCTTAACGCAAATATACTCCCGGACGGTGTCACCGGAAGTGGAGTCTCTTCGGCAATATGAAAACGGAACGGACAATGTTTACGGGGAACTTCTCCCTCGATTTATAAGCACGATATTCAAAGAAACCGGGCTGAAGTCAAATCAAGTCTTCGTCGATCTCGGATCCGGTGTCGGAAATGTGGTCCTTCAGGCAGCATTGGAAGTGGGATGTGAGAGCTGGGGCTGTGAGACGATGGAAAACGCCTGTCGCCTCGCACGGCTTCAACAGACGGAATTTAAGGCTCGGTGTCGGTTATGGGGGATTGCACCAGGGAAGACGCATTTGGTGGAAGGCGATTTTTTGCAGAAGCAGACCATCATCGACGTACTGAAAAGGGCGGACGTCGTTTTGATCAACAACCAAGCTTTTACACCGCAACTCAACAACGAACTCATCAATCATTTCTTGGATATGAAAGAGGGATGCCAGATCGTCTCTCTCAAGTCTTTCGTGCCTGTCGGTCATAAGATCCAGTCGCGTAATCTCAACTCACCTATCAACCTTTTGACTGTGAAGCAGAGACACTATTGGTCTAATAGCGTCAGTTGGACGGATGTTGGGGGCACTTATTTCATTGCGAAGAAAGACAGTTCTCGACTCAAGGCGTTTGCGGATAGTTTGTCCTGAACAAATTAGTTTCCCATCGTGGCGCTTCGAAACGCTAAGATACAGATCGTTTTTCTGGGTGTGACTTTTGGGCGGGGGGAGACATGCCTTCTGATATTATACATAAGATACCACTACAAGAGAAAACAAAATATAGACCAGCCCTTTTATCCGATCATGGCGTACGTTGCATTTCGCTTGACACATCGGACATACCATATGTATGCATAAGCTGGGGTAGAGCAACTTGATCCATTCCCGGAAGGAAATACCATCTATTTCGTGAGACTATTCTAATGAGCTAAGAGATATCAGCAATAATAAGAGCCATTGGTGTTCAAAGTTTACGGAATGCGGAATATCACGAGAATTTGTAAGCGTCATTCATGGCATCTGCCTCCTTCCCCATCCTAGCCATCCAACGATCGACCAGCTCCTGGTTCTCCTTCTGTAGCCGGTTTGACCGCTCCTCGGCCATATTGAGCTGAAGCTCAAAGGTTGCGATCTCGTCCTGGAAACCCTAGATAAATCTTTGAGCCCCTGGACGATTAACACCGCGAGCAGAAGCAAACAACTTACCTCCAACAGCTTCGCCTTTTCTCTCAACTCCTCATCCCTATCCTTTAATCTAAGCTGCAGATGCGTAATCTCACCCTCCATAGAGTAGATCCGTCTACCGTCCTGGTTGTTTCTTTTCCGCAGCCTCTCCAACTCTGTGGTTGCACGGGCAAGCCGTTCCTGAAGCTCGGAACGAGACCGTTGCGCTTCGGCTAGATCTGCTCGTGTTGCCGAGAGGATGTCCTGCGGGAAGGGTCCTGATGCAGGAGATGGTTGCTGTCGGGGATCGGCGATTGGCGTCGAGGGTGTCGATCGTTGAGCAGCACTCTGAGTATTGGATGTTACTACCGCCGAGGCCGTTCTGTCGGCGAGCTGGGTATCTGGAGGAAGCGGCAGACGTCAGTTGGGAAATCACACTACGGGACTTGTGTGCGCAGACACTCGTACATGCATTGTAGATTACGACATTGGCCTTCTCACGGCGATCTCGAGTCGCCAAAGCGGCTGCGTACTCCTCCCTCCAGTGGGCCATTCGAGCCTCGGTCGAAGATCATGAGATGGAGAGTGTTTTTATGAGAGCATTGTGCAGTTCGCAAAGGCAGAAACTCGAGGCTCTGATGAAAGGGTTAGCCGCGACAGCGCATGTTGTACTCCGTATCTCTGCAGCCCGGCGATAAGATTAGCAGGCCCCTCCAACAAAATGGGCCCAGCCACCACACCGCAGCTCTCACCGCCTCGGTCATGCCTTCGACAATGGCTGCGGAGACCCAACGACTACTCCTCATTCCTCATCTTTGTATTAACCTGCTTCGCCGGATTCTTCTGCAGCTTATCGCCCTAGGTGCCCGTCTTCACAGGCTATAAACTACCTTCTTCGTCTGCTCTATCGGACGTCTTCAATTTCCCCTTGTGCGCTCTTATCGACAGCCCAGCCACAACCATGGCGTCACGGAAGAAGGTCATGCTGAAGGTACCTTTTCCGCTGCCACCTCCGTTGTCCCTGAACTAATAGAATAATTATCCAGGTGATTATTCTCGGAGACAGCGGTGTCGGTAAAACGAGTTTGATGAACCAATATGTCAGTGGCCGTCTCTTCTAGCTAAGTCCTGTTTTCTCGCGCTAATACCGCATCCCACCTCAGGTCAACAAGAAGTTCAGCGGAAGTTATAAGGCAACAATCGGCGCCGATTTCCTTACAAAAGAGGTTCTGGTCGATGACCGACTAGTGACGATGCAGGCATGTACCCTACGGAACCGCCTGCCGAGCCGCGGATTAACCAAGCTCAATAGATCTGGGATACCGCCGGGCAAGAACGTTTCCAGTCATTAGGAGTCGCATTTTACCGTGGAGCCGACTGCTGCGTCCTCGTCTACGATGTGAATAACTCTAAAAGTTTTGAGGCGCTTGACAGCTGGCGCGACGAGTTTCTTATCCAGGCGAGCCCGCGCGACCCTGAGAGCTTCCCGTTCGTACGTATATAACCATCGCTGTGTACTGTGCATGCCCCAGCTAAACGTGCTACACAAGGTTGTGATCGGAAACAAGATCGATATGGAGGAGAGCAAGCGAATGATCTCTTCTAAACGAGCTATGACGTTCTGCCAGTCGAAGGGGAATATTCCGTACTTCGAAACTAGCGCGAAGGAAGCTGTCAACGTCGAACAAGCCTTTGAAGGTAAGTTTCGGTTTGATGAGTTGGTTTGATTGGAAAGATAGCTGACATCAGCTCTAGTCATCGCTCGAAGTGCGCTCGCCCAAGAAGAAGCGGAAGAATACGGTGGCGATTACACTGACCCTATCAACATTCACGATACTACCGAGCGTGATGGATGCGCCTGCTGATACCCGATACCGCACTACGAACCAATGATTCTTGCTTAATGGCCAAGACCCACTCCTCTTTTGCTACGTTTTAGAACCCATCTGCTTGATGCTTGAAGGAATGCAATTCAGTCATGAGCGTCTATCCTGTATATCCGACTGGGCGTTCCTCGTGTAACAATCCGGCATCTTTTTCCTCGTGTTGATTCGCAACAACATATCTTTTCTGATTTGGCTGTGCTTTGCTCATGATGTCCTGCTTTATATGAGGGTATAATTACGGTTTTCTAGGAGTCTGGAATATTATCATTACCATTTACAGTGGCGGCATGGAGTATAAGCATCAATGTCTCCGTAGCATGTGCGTCATTTGCAGATATCTCGTGGCCGCGGCATCTTGGTGGATCGCCCACGCCTTTAATGCTTAATCCACTTCAGACCCTAGATTGATAAACGCCACTGCGTTCAAAAAGTTGCGCTTGAGTTGATATCAAATTGCTTATTGGAGCTCTCACATACCGGCTAAAAATGTGGTGACAATGCGCTCCAAATCTCTCCAAAACAAGTCACCTTCATGATTGCGACTGATAACGCAATCTCACGCGCACCTCAACCTCCGAACTCTCTTGCAACGACAAGACCACACTGATTTCTGTATGGCGATGGAGATCACATCCACCAGGTATTGCGGTCTAGCCGGTACTGCTAGGAAAACACTGGGTATCTGTTTGCTCCTGATTGTGGTGATACTGTGGACCGCGTCCAACTTCCTCGCCAGTGTAGGTGGTGCTCCGAAACTCTCGAGAAACAGACAACCTGACTCTTCGCATACAGACCATTTTCGCCGATGACACTTATTCCAAACCATTCTTTGTCACGTACCTGAATACTTCCATCTTCATCCTTCCACTGTTCACCATCATTTCCAGCCGACTCTGGGGCCTCTTTCGCGCGGGGAAGCTATACCAGATTCACTCGTTCGAGAACCTACTCCAACAATTTGACTCTCAGTTCTCGGACGCCGAGTCCGAGCGCATTCTCAGTCGCGACGATGACACCTTCCCTGATGCTGAACATGGACAAGGGCATGATGTCCGCGGAGCCTGGAACACGCCCCGGAGAGACAGCGCAACGAAGGTTAATGGCAACGAAAAACTAGGTCTAAAGGAGACCGCGAAGCTGAGTTTCCATTTTTGCCTGCTATGGTTCACAGCAAACTACTTCTCCATGGCGTGTCTACAATACACCACCGTTGGGTCAACGACAATCCTCACATCCACCAGCGGCGTCTGGACCCTAATCTTCGGCGCGATGCTGCGCGTCGAGAAATTCACTCTCCGCAAACTCCTGGGCGTCGTCGCATCCCTCCTCGGCATAATTCTCATATCCCGCGTCGACCTCTCCGCAACGGACCCCAACCCCGGCAGTCAGGACGGCGGTGGGAGCCGATTCCCCTCCAAATCGCCCGGCGAGATTGCGCTGGGCGACGCAATGGCTGCCTTCAGCGCTGTCATGTACGGCGTGTACACGATCGTGCTGAAGCGCCAAGTCGGCGATGAGTCCCGCGTAAACATGCAGCTCTTCTTTGGGCTCGTCGGCGTCTTCAACATGTTCCTGCTCTGGCCAGGTTTCGTAATCTTGCATCTTACGGGTGTGGAGCGCTTCGCGTTACCTGATACCAGCCGTGTGTGGACGATTATTCTTGTTAATGCGCTATCATCCCTTCTCTCCGATATCTGCTGGGCGTATGCGATGCTGCTTACGTCGCCGCTTGTTGTGACGGTGGGACTGAGTTTGACGATTCCGCTTTCGCTTGTTGGGCAGATTTTCCTCCAAGGGGAGTATGCGACGCCGTTGTATTGGGTGAGCGCGACGGTGGTCTTCGTTTCGTTTTTGGTTGTTAATCATGAGAGTCAGATCCAGGAGGGTGTGCGGGGAGGGTATGATGTTATTCCCGCGGAGGAGAGAGAGGATTAGTAGCTTGTATCTCATGGTAGAGATAGAACGATATCAGCATTGTCGTTCTTGCTATTGGTGCAATATGTTATGAAATTGCGGAGTCACGGCGTTTCCCGGGGGGTTCGCATCATATATGGCATTGCAGGGTATTGCCTTAAATGGCTTGGTTTTTGCTACCTTTTGCTCGAACTTGACCTGCATACATTACATTATATTGTGTTGACGAGAGCATAAATTCGAAAAACGTCTTCCTAGGCAAGAATGGGTAAATTAGTAACAGATAGGACTACAATCTGAAACCACAGACAGAGCCAATTCACGCATCATCCGATTCCTAAGGGACCAACATAGGACACAAAGCCCATCAATGCAAAAAGCAGTAGCAGCGGCCAAGGAAGACGTGAAGTAGAAAAATAGCTCAGGTGAGCCCCGATCATGACGCCAAGCTAATATAGTGAGTATGTAGAAGCAAAGAACGTAAGCGCAAGCTAGTAAGATAGCTAACTTGGTAGTACACACGCTCTGGGCGCGTGGGAATCATTATCAAGTGGTTACCTGTAAATAAAGAAGACGTAGTAAGAGAGAAGCCAAAAGCCAGCAGTCAATAAGATCCAGAGCCATGGGGTATGTTATACATCCAAATGAAATAAAGAAAGAAAAGCCAATGAGCGGGATAAGTGAGTGATAAGCGGGGAAGGACTTATCAAGAAGTCAGGAGAAAAATGAGACAAGATAGGAGATACGGGAAAGGGAGTGAGAGGAACAGAAGAGAATTAGTGTGCGTTTGAGCGTGACTATGCGCATGTTTGGTTTCGGTTTATGATTAGTTGGTTGCTGGCGCAAGTTTCTTCCGCGCGACGACGATACTTTTTAGAGCACCAAGCCATTTCGTGAGGGATTCTTCGTCAGGAGTGGAGAGCCTATATATTTTCTCTTCTGCGATGATTTGAAGGCAGAAGTTCTTGGACCGCGACACGGGGTCAACCTCTGTGGCATCAAAGATTTGCGCCATTGGGATGATCTTGACGGCAGAGTATTCCTTCACATGAGTCAGTACGTCAACCTAAACAGTGGACGGATAGGGCGGGGGAAATCTTTTCCTGATCGACATACCTGCTCGTCCTTATAAAAAGCAAGACTCTTCGCTCGTAGTACGACCCATAGGCGTTTCCAGTGTCGCACGCCACCTTTTATCTTGAGACACTGGAGGTACTGGCTGCAGATGACCCGTTCAGGGTCGCGCAGAATACCTATCTCATGAATTCTACCGGCGTCGCGCGCAAGAGGGGACTGCTGCATTGCCGGCGCGGAAGAGGACAGCTCATTGACTGAAGGTTTAGAGGTTGCCCGTTCATTGTTATCTCCAGGTCCGTCGGACCATTCAGAGTATGAGGTAATATCATTTGCCGAAAAGTCATGCGGAGCGACAAGTCTCTTTGGACGATGACTAGCAGGCAGCTCACGACCAAACTCAGGAGAGCTTGCTCTTTCCCGAATTTCAAAATCAGAATGGTCGGTGGTGTCATAGATGCGCTGCTTGTTGGCAGCCGCGGGGTCCTGCTTTCCCTGCTTCTTGGACAGAGCAAGAAGAGCCTCCTCATCCTCGTTTATACGGCTCTCAGCACGTATCCGCGCAAGCCAGTCCTCCATATCCTTGTCTGACAACGCTTGGAAACGGTAATTCTTCGAAGAAGTGAATATGGCAAAGACATACTGTCGGGACGAACGGTGCGACTTGATGGGCGCGACAGCTGTAACCTCGGAAAGTGATATGGACGCTCGCAGTCGAGTCGCTTCCTCATCCTTGTAGACGGATAGCAAGTTCGGTCGGAGAACAAGATAAGCAGGCTTCCAGAAGGCTCTGAATACCTAGTTCAGTCCCGCCAGTTAGCATAGTCCAGTTTCCAAGCGCTGCATTCAGTGGCCAAGGAGACTCACATGTTTTGGCTTCACTCGGCGGTTCACTTTCTTGGACTTCAGGACGCGGTCGAATTCAAAGCTTCCATTTTCGTTGACTGGCGAAAATGTATCGTGGTTCATGAGGCTGCTGCGGTGGATGGCGGGATTTGAAATCGGCGTGAGGAAGGGCTGCTGGACAGTACCATCAGGGAGGTGGATCGCGGGGGTGTTCGGCCCCTCGAAGACCAACGGGCCAGGTGCCGGGCGCACTTGATGCATCATATCACCAGGATTTGATTTGTAGCGAATTAGTTTTCTGGAAAGAGGTGATCTATAGTCGGACGACGAGGGAACAATGAGCTGGCGCTATGCCGCTAATAGAACCCTGAGCGCGCAATGCACAGGCGCACATCTGGGCCAACGGAAGGATGATGGAAACAGGCCCCCATAAATAGTATACGGAGGCCTAAATGGCAGGCCTAAGAGGCAGGCAGAAGTCAATCGGAATGCTTCTGGCTGACGGGAACGAGGCAGTCTGGGGATTCGTGGAGAGGAGGCTGAGTCGAAAAGGGAGAGCGGGCGCTGGAAGTCCAAAGTCCAGAAGTCCAGAATGACTGTGGAGTCGGCGCCTGCTTTTGCAGGTGTCGATCGTTTTAACTTTGTTTCAACGCGGAACATGAACCACCAGGGCAATGCTACGTAATGGAACGATTCTAGTGAGCCTATACTTCATAATACTTGTATAGTCATATAACTACGTTAGAAAAGATCCTCTAAGTCCTACAATGTTGCTCCGTGGCAGAGATATATAGATTCGAGGCAGGCGTTTTCTATTTCGAGCTATCCTGCATCCGTCCTAGTTTGAATTAGCTCCCGCATCTAAGCCAGGGACGGCGCATCCTTTCCATCATAGTTACTACCCAGCTAACCATCATACTCGTGAGGACAGCACGAGAGCAAAATGTCGGATGACTCAGGCCAATCTATCTGAAATGACGAGTGAGGTGCATGTCATCTGTCTAATCGGTCTGTCCGAAAGAGGCGTCAATTCCCATATCTAATGATTACCAACGTCTCCTGCGTCTTGGCTGGATTGAACAGTTCAACGGTTAGTGTGACGATGGTCCTTCGAAAACCAGGAAGCTCTTTCTGTTTCTTCCGGCAATCCAATCGAGCTTCAGGCCTTGCGTGCCCTCGGGGGTCTTCGTCTCGAACATGATCGTAAGAGGCCGGCGCCATACAGAGCTCCGTGAACTAGAGGACCGCCATAATCCGCATCGTCTGTAATCTTGACTTTCAGGCAAACTGTTAGGCCGGAAAAATTCTGAATACGAACTGCGAAGCGGTAAACGAGATAGCTGCGGAAGCTGTGGCCAGAAATTCTCGAAATGCAGGATCACTGATAGGAATGAGCCTGCACTACAAAAGACGGGCCAAGATGACTTGCGCCTGCGAAAGAGGCTATGGCCGCCGCGAAGAATAGGAACAGGCAGTTTTCTGCCTGCATGATCGGTGTCAGTTCATCGCCTGAGGTTCCAGCAACGGAGCCAGATACTCGGCAATGAAGCACATTGCAAGGGCATCCCAAGCTGTCAAGCCCTAATTTTTCACAACCCTACCTAAGGGTATTCTTCAAAGTATGCACTTTCTCTGAGACACGGGAGAACGGCATGCAACATGAAGAGGCCTTTTCTGTATTTTGCGTTCATGTTCCCAATGCCTGGCCTCTGCTCTCACATAATGGGCCAAGTTTCAAGATTCCATCACGGTGCACTTGAAAGTATGAAAGTTTCTTAATTTGGGCATAAAATGGCCACGTCTTCCTGTATGTCACGTGTAGGGTCCTTCGGCTCCAGGGTTCTCGGCCGTGGCCCGTATTGACCCCAAAGTGGGCTTTACAAATTTACCGTTACCATAAAAAGCGTTACCATACCTTTCAGTCCCTGGTCTGGCCGAGCCCAAAAACGGTACGGAGTACTCGAACCTACAGAGGACGAAACTCCGTACTCCGTAGAAGACTGTGGTACTAACTGGTATAGCAGTGGCGGGTGAGATACTGCAGGTGCAGAGAACTAACTGTCCCTTTGTGGCACTGTCGAGGGATCGTTTACACAACATGGCGCTCCTACTCAGACAACGTGGATATGACTGCTGAGACAGCAAGACAATCCCGATCTCTGGCGGCACAGGCTTGATTGAATCGCCAATCAGATCTCTGGCAAATCGATTAGCACTGCCGCCAGACCATGATTTTTGACGGAGTGGCTTCGAAGTTGACCATTGACACTTATGGGGGTTATCGCAATGCTTTGAACCCTGAACGATAACGCGTTTATGCAGCTCAACAGAAGACTTGTCCGATGAGATAGGGTTTTAGGCTGTGAGTCGACTCATAAGTCTTCTGGATTCCCTTCTGGATGATATCGCCCGGCTCAGTCGGCTGCATCCGCTAGTAATAATTGACTGACAGACAGGCGGGTCAGGGGGCCTGAATGCAGGGTTTCCTAGCTTGAGTCTTGAGGACAACGTGTTAGTTGCTGGTCGCTTCAGGGTCTTGAAATCGAGGCTCTATCAAAAATTCAACATCCAACAACTGAGAGTTAAAGGATGTTATTATGGACAACCTGGACGTTATACTATCACAATGGGACATCTCCAAATTCAAGAGAGAGAAAAAAAAAATAGACAAGAAAGCGTAGTAGATCTCTGGTTACCGGTTGGCGGTTATAGGTAGTGGGAGCAAGATACGGTAAAATACCTTACACTGTACAGAGTTTCAGCGCCGGTTGCCAGCCAGCGCCCGCCTCCTTACGCTTGGCGACTGACCTTCCACCATCCCCGTCCGTCCCCAAAATCATCAGCCTCTTCGGTCTTCGACCTGGCCTCACCTCTCTCATCCCGATTGATGATTTGGTCGCCACCCCGAGTCCTCGACCTTAGTGTTCAGGATCGTTGTCGCCAGCGTTGTGTTCAACGCACGCCGTCCCTGGTCCCTCTTTGCTCGGTCAACTGAAGCAAAAGTGCAGAGAAAGGAGGCTTGCCTCCGGCCGCTCGTTCATCTCGCTTTCGCATAGAACTCTTCAACCTCCTCCGTTCGTCTGTCTATATTTGCCTCGCTCGTGTTCTTGTCAGTATCCCCCGCTCAACTCGTTGCCGACTCGATCCGCTTCGAAACCGTTTGCTCGCGTGCGGCCGATCTGACTTGAGGCGGAATCTTTCGAAGAATTAGCGGTTTGATTCAGAAGCATTTACAACTCCGGGCTGGTGCCCTACACTGTTGATTGAAGTTCGCTATCGCTCTCGCGAGTCGACGCAGCGTGGGCACTCTTGCACCCATGGGCGTCGTTCAACGAGTTCGAAAATGGTTGCCCTCAACGCCGAGTCTTCCCCTGGATGACTCGTCCTATGAAAAAGGCCACAAATCCTCGAGATTTGCATTTTTCAGGCGCAGGATACGGTTGAAGGGCAACTCTTCGATTTCAATACCCCTGGGGTTTGTTTTATTATTTCCATGCATTGTAATAGTTCTTATTCTACTACTTTTCGTCCGACATCCCTCCTCCCCAGGGGGCATTCTAATACCCGCAGGCACACCACCGTCGATAAGGTCTGTCGCAATCTTTCTTGGAGCCCGCATTGGTTGCCCATATATGGCTAACATCGCCGTTCCGCAGGAAAATAAGTGAGAAGTACGACAAGGTCTTCGCGACGGGCTGTCAGCCCATAAACACCGACACTCCTCGAGCGAACGCGGCCTTCGTTGTGCTCGCGAGAAACAAGGAAATCGATGGGGTTATCCAGTCGATGAAGTCGATTGAACGACACTTCAACCGCTGGTACCGCTACCCTTATGTCTTCCTCAACGACGCCGACTTCGATGACAACTTCATGGATACTGTGAAAAACTATACAAATGCTCCCGTAGAATTCGGGAAGATCGATGAGACAATGTGGGGTTACCCTAGTTGGGTCGATCACGAAGTCGCCAAAGAAGGTATCCGGAAACAAGGTGATGCCGCGATTATGTACGGTGGCATGGAAAGTTACCATCACATGTGTCGGTTCTATTCTGGGTAGGTAAAACGTGTCGCGTTTGATTACCGTGACATGCTAATCTCGTTCAGGTTCTTCTACAAGCATCCTCTCCTGATGAAGTACGAGTGGTACTGGCGGTTGGAGCCCGAGATCAAGTACTTCTGCGACATCACTTAGTAAGGGCTCTTCGGTCGTTGCGCTTTACTTTAACTTACATGTCAATAGTGATCCTTTCCTCAAAATGGCCGAGGCCAACAAGACCTACGGATTCACCATCGCTGTCAAGGAGCTTCGCGAAACCGTACCGAACATTTTCCGCTATGCTTCCGCTTACAAGAGGAAGAATAATATCAAGTCCCAAGGGCTGTGGGAGATGTTCTTAGAGCCCCGCGAGGAACCGAATCCCGAAGAACAGCAACCAGAGAGCCTTCCTGAGGAAATCCTCATTACCGAGCCCGGCGAGAAGAATGAAATCGATCCTGAAACCATGGAGGGAGAGAGCTATAACATGTGCCACTTCTGGAGTAACTTCGAAATTGCGCGTTTAGACTTCTTCCGGAGCAAGGAATATGAGGATTTCTTCGAGATGATGGACAGGAGTGGTGGTTTCTGGATGGAAAGAGTAGGTGTCTCGACTTTCGTTATCTTGGGACAGTTACTAACAGTGCTGATGCAGTGGGGTGATGCACCCATCCATTCGCTCGCTGCCGGTGTGCTCCTGTCACCCAGTGACATTCACTATTTCCGCGACTTCGGCTACCGACACACCACTATCCAGCATTGCCCTGCAAACGCACCTGCCCGACAATTACCGCGCATCCCTTACCTCGAAACAACGACCGAGGATGAGAAGGAGCGTATTGAAGAGGACGAGTACTGGGCCAACCCAGATCCTGTCAAGGAAAATGGTGTTGGCTGCAGATGCAGGTGTGATACAGATATTGTGGATGTTGAGGGGAAGCAAGGCAGTTGTCTCGCAGAATGGGTGGATGTTGCTGGAGGGTGGGCATCTCCATAGACATGGCTCGCCTATAATATTCGTTGTATAATCTTCACGTCCTCGTTTCCGTACCTATTTGATCGGCTATGAGCATGTTGTCTTTGGAGTTATTCTTTTTTGCTTGAGCCTACATGTAAGTTGGCTGTGGGGGCGGCGTTTTTACGGATCTGACGACTTCTTCTCTGGAAGATGGCGTGGCCATTATCATCAATATCGACAACTCATCTAGCGTGCTTTGTATCTTCTGGAGACTTTGCTCATCTTCATCTCTAAACTTATCAACTAATTCTGGTTCTCAGCACTAACAAGGTCGATGCCGGAGTTGATAGCTGAGGGTACACTGTGAAGGCTTGCCAAACGCACATATTTCGTTTGTACTAAGCAATATGATCAAGGGTCTTCAGGTCCAGACACCGTCTGATGCGCTTACTTTTTGGAATATGCAGCGGCAGGTGTCCGAACTGAACAGGATGATTCACCCGGATAGATGCAGTGGACTGTTTGCTCAGAACAGCTGCTTGGTGGCACTCGGAAGACTCGGATAGAGGGTCCTCGATTAGGGTCATAGGTGGGCAGTGAATGCTTCGGGCTCTATATGCTCCTTCCAGTTGCTTCTCTGTACATACATTGATGCAGGACTTTTGATGACGAACAAATACTGAAGCTTCCATTATGTATTCGTCACCAAAAATCAGGTGGAAAGTCATGCATATCGAGTCATGGGTGTAGGCTAGATCATGACGAACATAATGGCACTTCCATGATGCACATACCTAAGTTTCCGGGCAGACAACGTCTAGTTGGTTGTCATTGCTGGAGCCTTCACTGAGCCTGTCACTGGTAGGTTCCGACCACTGGATGTCGACCACTGTGTCATGTGCCCCGCGCAGCAACTGACTGACTGCTTATCTTGCGCCTCCTTCCTCCTGCATACCTCTCTCTATTTTTCTATCACTATTTCCATTTTACTTTCCAATAAACATCGTCCTTGAAGCTAAAGATCGCATATCCGACTAGTTAGCTAAGCTGAAGAACCTCAACACTTACAGACTAGGCGAGTCTTCCTTTCTTTCTGACTTACTAGCCCGAAGCACCTGACTGCTTTGGTTCCGCCCGGGTCCCCCTCCCCCTCATCCAACAGCCGCCTAGCTTGTCATCGGGCATCTGCCTACCAGGCTGAGTTTGTCCGGAGAAGATCGCGGTTGAAGTCATTGCCATACAACCGCCTTTCTCTCTTGATTTTGGTTTTATTCTTCCTTCTTATACCCTGCCTCGCCGTGAGCCAAATCGTCGACCGTTGTGTTCGACTGCGAAGCTCTCCGCTCCGCTCTACCCCATTTGACCCGCTTCTGATCTACGTTCCATGGCATCCACTTTCTGGCAATAGTATGGCTGACTCTCCAGAGCCTCCATCCAGGCGTCCACATACTGCCTCAAGTATCTCACATCTACAATATCCAACCCTACCTCCCTTGAGTGGTTCGGTGGAAGAGTGGTTATCTCGTTCGAGACCTATCAGTATGACGTCAACATTATCAGCGGAACATCCGCAACAGTCGTTAAGTGAGAGCTGGGCTACACTGAGTGCTTCGGATGTACACTCCGAGGATGGAGCCCCCTCAGAGCAGACAGACGCTGGGTCTCTGATTGACCCAAGCGGTCCAGATGACGTGGCAAGCCTCGACGGACGGTACAGCAGTAGCGACGACATAGATGGGAACTCCGAGGACAGTCCTGATAACGAAGATTACGACTCCGATGCTAAGAGTGACACCGCCGAGTCGCAGGGCCTGCGTCTTATGTTTCCTCAAATAGGATGTTCTATTGAAGACAGTAACCTCACTACTCAGACTGCATTTCACCAATCCACCGAATCTATCGAGTTCGTGGAGCCTGACAAATGGCCTGAGGTTGAAAGGGTACAGCTGAAGCATACTATTCGGTTGATCGAGGGCCCTGAGGTTGCTGAACTCGAAGATAACTTTTCCACCCACCTGCAAGACTCGACGCTAATGGCCACCGTCCAACAAACGATAACGAAGAAAACCATCAACACCGATAGGCCATTTCGTGTGCTATATGTTGGTAGCCCCGAGTTCCGCGGCATCATCCTCGACAAGCTTGGTGATGTTCTAGTATCGAGCACGTCTGGCGACTATGAGAGCAGCTCGGCAGAATCCTCAAGATACCATGTGGTTCCCACTTCGTTCGGCGCGGGCGCTGTTCCTAATTTTGCGGAGCTTCTTCCAATTCATTACCAGCTAATCGTGGACGAGTGCCTCGAAGCTACTTCCGAGTCTCACATTGACAGGCCTAGGACAATTAACTTGAAGTTCAAGAATCGACCTGGATGCATGTCCCATTGGACTGGAACCGAATATGGTATATTATCATCCACCGACTGGGCACTGCCCGATATGGCCATGATCTTTCTATCCTCGCTCGACGATCTAGCCGCTATGGAAACCCAGAAGTTGGCGCGTATGTTTATGGAGAGACACGGGGTGCCGGCAATGGTGGTCTCCGAGAAACCGCTTTGGAAAATGCCTAGGGAATCGATTCCAGTCAATCACCATAGTCTTCACATGTGCTTGGAATCCCGCCATTCATCCACTGGGAAAACCACTGTCCTGAAGCGCTATCCCATCGACTTGAACACCTTCGAGAGCATTGCACCGGGCCAGCTGAACAAGAATTTGGCCTCATTGACGAGCATATACCCCAGGAAATATTTGAGCTCTACCGCAGAGGCTCCCGGTAATGTGCAGAAAGTATCGCAGTTTGACTTCAAGAACTTCACTCGGAAGATGCTGCCTCTGCCCTACTTGAGCAATGATACCGAGTTGGCATTTGTGCTGCGTCTCGTCATTCTCACCGTCTTATCCACTGCAACCCTGGCGTTAGGGCATTTAGCGGCGAAGGCCTTTGCAGTCTTGATCTCAAGCTTCGTCACCCGGTCAGTAACCTCCAACCAGACATCCCCCGTTCCTAGCGTTTATACTACCAGTGTCCATCCGACGGCGGAGTTGAAGCCATCTTCTTTACCGGTGCTTTCTCCAATTACCCGTGAAGTTCAAGTCTCAGGACACCAGCCCAATGGCCTATCTCAACTTCAGCATTTGATGGGCGGAACTCACATCGATTCGGTAAGGTCGTCCGAGGATGATGAAATTCAGGTGGTCGGTGATTGTCACCTCGTTATAAAGCCACCAAGTAGACCGTCGGGTACCCGGAAAGCGCCCAAGTTCAACGTCCATGTCAATCGACGGGATCAGCCACTTCAGTATGAGCTCTCTAGACTGTTTGAAGGGGTATATTCGCTCAAGCTCGATCGAGGCGAGGCGTACGGTTTGGTAAACGTTACCATAATCACCGAATCCAGACCACCCGTCACCCAAGTTGTGTCGATAGATTTAGGAACGCCATGGCTGAAGATTGCAAACTGGAAACGTGCCGCACATGCAATTACATCCGAGCTTGTTCGAGACGTTGGAACAGCACAAACAGGCTTATCAGAAGTGTACGGCCGAATCTCCACTGAACTCCAAGTTCTTGCTGGAGACGTGGTGAAGCGGACACATCTTCTTCGAGAAAAGGCGAGCGTTCTCCGGCGAGACTCTCTTTCGGTAGTCATCAATACGGATGCCGTGCTATCAACGTCTAAACAACTTTCTGAAGTCTTCCAGCGGACTGCTGTGCAGCCCTTTTTCTCCGCCTCCCAGGTGCTACAATGTCACACAAGAAAGGCGAGCATCGAGGCTAGACAGATGGTGAGCAGCACTTGGGGCAAAATCTGCGCTGGCGCGCAACACCTGACCCCTGGGGCCATGCGCGAACACTATCACAACGCGCGGAAGTCGAAAACCTTGGACAAGGCTCATAAGAGGGCAAGACGCTTGATGAAAGGGACTTCATAGGGATTGTAGATGTTTGGATAGAGCTATGAGTGAGACAGGCGCTTGGCTCTCCACACCTATATCTCTCTTACCGATATGTTAGTTAGCATGCGTTATTCTTCGACTCACTTCTCTATTTTACATGTAAGGTTGGGCTGGGCTTGGTGTCACGGGGACAACACAGGCGAAGAAGAAATCAGGCATTTTCCGAGGGACATGGAGTCTTTATGTAACAACGAATAATGAAGCAATTCTTCTCCAGCGTCTAGAAGCTGCGTAGTCCTCGAAGATGGAGAGAGAACCTCCGCTGTAACTGTGAATGAACTTTCTGGCCTCAGGCCACGACCCAACCCACTTGCGGCCAAAAACAAACCCGCCGCCCGCCGCCCATAATTTTCCCCTCCTCTCCCTCCCTAGCGATATCCACCCCATAGAATCCCTTTTCCTTTGAGACTTTTCATCATCAGGTAACCACTGCAGTCTTAGTGTCCCGGACTACCTTCGCTCATACAAAACGCAGAAATACCAAAACACATCTTCACCATGTCTGACGTCGCCGAAACCAAGCCTGACCCCGCCACCAACGCCCCCGAGGGGACGAAGGCTGAGGAGCCCACCACCACCACCGAGCCATCGAAGACGGAGGAGGTCAAGGAGGCAGCCGAATCTGCCGCTGAGACAGTGAAGGATGCGGCCACTACGACATCCGACAGCGTCTTTTCCATGTTCGGTGGCGGTCCTAAGAAGGAGAAGAAGGAGGAGGAGGAGGTAGACGAGCCCTCTGGCTCTTCCAAGGCCCAGAAGGCCGAGGATGAAGTAGGTGCTTGTTCTGTTATTTACTGAAGCGTTCTCCCGCGCACTTTGTTTCTTTGGATTTTCTGGAGTGCTTTCAGGGGTAGAGTCCTAGCTATGAGTAAAGTTTAAGCAGCGCTGACATTTCTGAATCGCCTATAGGAAGAGGCCCCTGAGTCTCCTGAAGTTCACTTCGAGCCCGTGATCCGCCTCACCGAGACTGTCGAGACCAAGACCAACGAGGAACTCGAGGAGCAGACTTTCAAGATGCGCGCCAAGCTCTTCAGATTCGACCGCGACAGCAAGGAGTGGAAGGAGCGTGGTACTGGTGACGTTAGGCTGCTGAAGCACAAGGAGAATGGCAAGACCCGCCTGGTGATGCGCCGAGACAAGACCCTCAAGGTCTGCGCCAACCACTACAGTAAGTGTCCCAAGGCCGTTCTTTGTTCTAGGTTTGATGCTGACAAGGATCTAGTTGTTCCCGACATGAAATTGAGCCCCAACGTCGGCAGCGACCGCAGCTGGGTTTGGAACGCTGCTGCTGATGTTAGCGAGGGTGAGCCCGAGGCCTCGACCCTGGCCATCCGATTTGCCAACAGCGAGAGTATGTGCCATTTTACCTGCCCTAGGCGCGTCCAAAATACTGACTTTTATCACTATAGACGCCAACCTTTTCAAGGACGCCTTCGAGAAGGCCCGGGAGGAGAACGAGAAGCTTCTCCAGCAGTAAATTATGTTTGCGGCGGTTTCTCACCATCTACTACGAGTGTTCTGATGAATATTTTTAACACATACTTTTACCCCTTCTGATACAACGAGTTTGATGAACCCTCGTTAACTCGCATTTTCCCCTTCCCCTACACGATTCCCATCCCCTACCCCTACCTTTCCCCTACGCTTATGTGCGCATGAATGAAGAAGCAGAATGATGAATCTGCGAATGGTTTCCCCAATGAGCCAATATTGGCATCCGGCCGTGAAGTTAGGCAATGCCCGTCAACGACGGTTCTTGTCGCCAGTTGAGCTTGGTTGTGTCCAGCAATTTGGCAGTAGATAGACGCCCTATGCATCGAATATACAATGGAAATTAAGATAGTCTTGAACTGAAAGTCCAGCTGAAGCGAGGTTGTGGTTGTTGGCTCGTAAGTCGAAGCGTAGTGAGAGAATCCCCCACTCGAATGCCTCAAACTCTCGGATGTTTCGCTCTCCGCCCATTCTCGACTCTACGTATTCTCTCCTCCCCTCACGCGCCCACGACGACGCCTCGCTCCTCCATAATCGTCTCCAACCATCGATTTCATTCTTCCATTTGTTTGTTCATTCGTCAACAAGGGCTGTCCAGTCGATTCCTCTCCTAGTCGTGCGGTGTTGCTGGAACTTTCGGCCGCCAGCTTTTCACGCCGCCTGCGATACTTCGCCCTAGAAAGTCGTATCCCCACAAAGGAGATCTCTCAAGGGGCCCCTGGCACGAGCGCTTCGTTCCCTCTCTTTGTCTTGAGTCTCCAGCGCGCGTTACTCCAAGCCCATCACCGCCATGCCCGACGTGAGTACTCCGACGCCATTGCCCCATCTTGTATCAGGTCTACAGCGGTACACCCGCCTAGACTGGTTGATCCCTCTTACCATGGCCTGACATTGCCTGTTTTCGCATTTCACTAACGAACCTGTTGGGTTTTGCAGGTTAAGAGGAGTGTCAAGCTCGTAACAGAGCAGCACGTCATGTACGTTCATCCTACCCCGTCACTACGGTTCGCGTCGAGAATGGTCTCGATTCGATGAAATCCCTTTCCTATCCTATGACACTCCACCCGTCACTATCTCCAATGGTCCGACTTGATTTGCTGTCGCGCGTTCGTGGGATCAAACGCGGATGCACCTGATAACCGTGCGCGTCTACATGGAACATCGATCTGCGATTCTTGGGGGATAATACATGGACAGACATGCTGATGTCTTGACTTTTGCGTCTCCACAGTAACAAGGACTCTGGTGTCGAAGGTTTCCCGCTCAGATCATGGTCAATTGAGGTGTATCTCATCAATGAGCACGGGGAGCAGGTGCCAGCCAACATCTTCGATAAGGTTACCTACTCGTTACATCCTAGTTTCGGAAACCGTGCGATTCAAGGTCCGTATTTTCCCTTTGGCTTTTTTAGACAGCTTTGTCCTGGTGCTATTCCGGCTTATGCCCTGCGAGGAGATTTGGGGCGAAAAGCGCGATTGAACCACTGATGAGTACGGCAATAGTTAACCTGGAATTATAGTTTTCAAGAACCCTCCGTTCAGAATTCAAGAGGAGGGATGGGGTGAGTTCGATATGCAAATTGGCCTCACTGCCGCGGACAACAAGGAGCATTCCATTGCACATGATCTCAACTTTGGATCATCGCGCTATGAGTCCAAACACGTCATTGTACGTCTCAGCGCTTCAGTTTCATCTTGAATTAGTTGTGCTTACATCTTTTGTAGACGTTCAAGAACCCCAAGCCAGCCTTGCTAGCGGCACTCCGTGAGTCCGGACCAGTCCCCGGCGATGAGAACGGTGTGAAGTCGAAGCGTTCCGCGGGTGGAGAAGAAGGATCTAAGAAGAAGAAGCGAACGGACAGGAGCGTAAGTTGCTGACGAAATCAAGGAAATCGAAGGGCTGATATCTGACTATCTCACTTCTAGGTCGACATGGATAAGCTAGCCGATGGCCTTCAGCGACTTGGGGAAGACGACCTCCTCCAAGTGGTACAGATGGTACATGACCACAAGGCTCCGGATTCTTACACTAAGAACGACGTGGAGCGTAAGTCCTCCATTCCAACCAGATGCAACCTGAGAAGCAACCGCTGACTATTTTGACAGAGGGAGAATTCCACGTCGATCTGTATACACTGCCAGACAACCTGATCAAAATGCTCTGGGAATTCACACAGGAGAAAGGAGCTCTGTCCTAATCTCCATTCTTTCCTCTTTTGTTTTCACTTTTTATCTCCAAACCAGTTCAGACCTCGCTTATCTCATGTCAAACGTGCCCGTACCTTGCCTTACACTACCCACTTACTATTAACCAATCTTATTTTTGTATCCTCTTCATTTTTGCCTTTTGCTCTCAGGGTTTCCAACGTCTGTCCATTTTGCAATCCACACATATGGCCGACTTACGTCAGTATCGGTATCCCTAGATGCCATTATCTCTTACCTACACTATTCCCTAAACTGGATCTTTTAGAGGGGGTGGTTAGGTGGGTATAACCGTTATGGAAGGGACACACATGCGCGCGACACATGTTGGTATTAGGCTCATTGACTATAGGTCTCATCTAGGAAATGGAAGTGCATCATTAATGCTGAGGTCCTCCGCCTTCTTTTCGTTTAGTGTGGAATAACTAGAGCAGGGATAGCTCTACTAGGTGTTTTTCAGCCTGTCTCTCTTCTTTCCTTTTCCTACTTCACTCAAGGGAGGTCGTTATGGTCTTGCCCACAAGAAGAGGCACTTGGTAACATCAAGGAGTACTACGTTAGCACGATGTCAAAGCGAGACTTGCCAATTGCGCAAGAGGCTTCACTGAGGAGTAGAACTGTGTCGACAGAGATCGATGTATATCTTGTTACGGGGTGGGCGTCTTGTTCTATGTACAGAGGCAGCCAAATGTAACGAGCAAGCAAGCAAGCGTGAGAGGCATCGAAATATTCATAATCCAACCGAACCAGTAACGTACCCTGCCTATCCTAACCTGAACACCTAGCAAGACGGCAACGACGAAATAAAACAAATCAAAACAAAAGCAATGCATGAATGAAAGATGTTGCAAATGACCAAACAAATGAATGAGAAAAGGCGAGATGACATCTATGACATGATGATGAGCGTATGGACACGTCCTGAAATTAATGGAGGCAATGCAAGGGGGAGAACGCGGGTTCAGGGGAGGGGGGGAAGGTGCGATGCGACGGCATGTCCGTGACAGAGCTGGAGGGGTTATATATGCATGCATCCCCGATCCTTCCCTGTCAGATCCTCACACATTAGCGAGCTTCTGGCTGCAGCTGAGGTGTCATCTTGTTTATGGAATCACAGCCCCCACGGAGTACTCCGCGCTACAACAGAGACCGGTCTTTTCTAGAAAGCATGCAATTGGCAGGAAGATGCTTATAGCACTCGATGCCTAGGACAAGGATGGTTAGTTTCATTCCGCCCAGCGAATCTTACGAAGGCAAAGCAGTGGGGTTGACATGACAGGTGCGAAAAAAGCAATCAATCAAAATACGACAACAAACAAGGCGAAAGAGAGAAAAATAAAAAAAACTCACGATTTGAGGAGGTCCTCGAGACTGTCCGCGCTACAGCTTCGGCCTTTCGGGATCTGCTGCGGGATGTGAACGAGTGTTGCGAAGACGTCTCCGCCCCGGTATGCCAGCAATGCGGGGGGCTCGATGTTATCCATTTCCGCGATCTCGTGGTGAAGCTTGACGAAGTGGACTGATGGTTGGCGGGAAGCAATTGTGTGCAGGCAGTCTTCGACAAGGGCGCTGGTATTGGACTGCGTCTGGTGAGCTATGCTACCCCCTTACTTATGCGCTGCAGGCGGTAGGAACGTACCTCGGGATCATACAGACATACAACAACAACCTGGTCCGCTGGAACCTTCTCAATTGCATCCAGATATCCCGCCGCATCGACCGTTTCTAGAGTCCCATACTGCCTCCGCCTGTTACTCGGCCTTCGAGTCTTCTTGCTTTGCAGCTCCTGCATACGCAACTCACGCCACCGGCGCAAGAACTTGTCCTCGTCCTCGTCTAGATCACTACCAGAGCCATCAGCAGGCGGTGAATTTCGAAGGAGTCGAGTATCCCCTGACGACTTGGAGGAAGAGTGATGATGTGATCGCTGCGCGGCCGAGGTGTTAGAGACAAACGACTTGCGAAAGTTATTTCGTCGGGCACGTTCGAAGGCTTGAGCATCGGCAATGACGCCCTTGGGCCCTGTGTTCGCTTCGAATTTGGTGTTGGGGACGGTATAGGTTGAAGTGCGGGAGGTCATGGCTGCCATATCTTCGTCGTCGGAATACTCGAATTGGTCTTCTGGTTCTGGGGAGGAATCGCGATCAGAGAGATTACTGCGGTCCTCGGGATGGGCCAAGCTCTTCTCTCGATTGTTGAGAACGAATTGGTCAAATTCGTCTTGAGCGGATGACATGATGGAGGGAAAAGGAGAACCGGAGTGAGGTGGGAGGTGAGGTGTTATATACGACCCTGCAAGAACTGCGAGCACAGATCTTTTTTTAGAGAGGCTGTATCAGAATTGTCGGAATACGGGTCACAGAGCGAGCACAGAGTAGGAAAAGCAAAAACAAATCTAACCAAGCCTGAGGATGCGATTGCGTTGTTGATGGGCGCGGGAGAAGTGGGGATACCAACAAGTGGCGGCAGCACCTGAAACCAGCCCCCCGGCCGCGTTGTGCTTGTGAACTTGGTGATCTGCCTCCACCGTTGGCGTTTCATCAATGGATCCCGCTCATGCCCTCTTCCAAGCTGCAGCTAGAAATCCAGCTAGAAGATACTAAGAATCCTGCTTGCGATGACCAGTGATGATGATGTTGTTTTTTTGTATGCCACGTGCTGTAGGCCGTGTGATACTGATATCCAATCGACCGGAACTGTGATGCCTTGAAATAGCTTGTTTCAGCTTGGATCCCAATCCCCCATATTACGTCTGAATTTGCGTCTTATTTGCTGGCCTACTATTTCGTTTCTGACCGCGATTTCTGGAATTCACATTTGATTCATCACAGCTCTACATGACGTGGAAGATTATCAAACAATAATAGGAGTGGTGGGGGTTGGATATTCAGCTGCGTAGTACAGCATGCCAACCACACGTCAGGCAAGGCTCGCTTCAAAACACTCAATCTCTCCAAGGTAAGCTGATATTAGAAGATAGAAAAGAAAAAAAAGACATGAAAATCGAGATGCTCTCAGAAAACGTCATGGCCTATCCGAAACGAAAACATTCCTCCTGCCTCACCAAAAAGTACATCCAGGATCAATGCGTAAAGAAACAATCCACAATCATAGGTATAGCAAAGGGTACTAGATAGAAGAAGAGAACCTGGGCGGGAATGTGAGCAGACAGAAAAAGGGAAATAGGGGAAAGAATTCATAGAACAAAAGGAAAGAGCCGCGAGGATAGTGCAGAGACCAAACCGAAGTCCCTGCAACTATCCTGCGAAGACAACATTAGTACAAGTCGTCTGCATACAAGTCGTTTGCATAGACTTTGTTTTGCTTTGTTTTGTTTTTTTAGATCCTCCGGCTTTCGCGTTGAAGTTGGGGCACGAGACAACTGAATCATATCTCCGCTCTATCCTCGCGTCTTCCGGTAAATGCTAGCTCAATCTGCGCCCCCAGCAGTTGTTGAATAATGGACGAAGGCGATAGACTGATTCCCGACAAACAGATTATCGTACAATGCGGACATCCGGCCTCTCGATGGGCGGGAATAAAATTTCAAACTGGGAAAGTCGCAGATGACTGAGACAGGGTATCGCGTCGTTGTATTTTGATATTTTTGGCCGTTTACCAGGCCCAGACCTTGAGCTGTTATTGGAGAACAGATTAGTTCATGGCGTCGTCAGAAGCTGGAGAATCCCTTTACTTACCAGAGAGTCCCAAGATCCAGTGCAGAGACTGATGCCATCGTTGCTGACACCAAGACAGCTGACACGGTTCTCGTGACCGCTTAAAGACCCAACTTTGTCTCCCCGGAGAACATCCCAGACCTAGGTACAAGTCAATTATCGTCTCGGCAACTGCAATCGTTTAAAGGCGGAGCATACCTTGCATTCGAAGTCATCGTATCCAGCGAAAAGCAATCTTCCAGAAACAGAGAAACCAACAGATGTGATACCGCACAATATTTGATCGCTCTGTAAAGTTTATTAACGCCGCGAACCCACAACGACTATCAGCAACGCGGTAACTCACCTGGTATATGTTGAGTGATCTATCTGCACGAATGTCGAAAAGACGGCAAGAGGTGTCATCGGAACCTGTGCCAAAAGCGTTTCCGTCGGGGAAGAATTGAATGGCATTGATGTCGGATTCGTGGCCGGCAAAAGTCTGAACAGCCTTGCCAGTACGAATATCCCAAAGCTTGGCGAATGCATCGCAGGCACCCGACACGAAAATATTCTGGTTCGTAGGGTTGATACTGATAGACATCACGTCGCCAAGGTGGTCTGCAAATTCGGTGACTTTAGAACCTGACTCGATATCCCAGAGCATGCAGGTCATGTCGCCAGAAGAGGTAATAATTCGGCGGTCATTGATAAACCGACAGCAGGACAGGTAGCCCGAATGTCCAGAGAGTTCGCGCGCGACCCGGGTCGGACCCTCCCGCGAGGAAAGGTTGTAGATGGAGCAGATGTTGTCCAAGCCACCGCAAGCGACATAATTCCCACTAGGGGCATAAGCGCAGGTCATAACCCATGATGACCTCAGCGGGATGGCGTGGACCTTGTTCGTGGTGTACGCATCCCAGATGATGAGCTTTCCATCTTGCGAGGCGGAGACGAGATGGCGACGATCGGTTGACCAGTGCATAGCATAGATTTTGGCCAGATGACCTTTGAGTGTTCGCCGCGGCTTCATACCAATGCGAGGCAATGCGTCGGTCTGGTTCTGCGCGACATCACGCACTGTTCAATTTAGTGTCAGCAACATTCCATAGGCAGTAGAATGCGTATGCGATAGGACGGCCACTTCCCACCGCATTGTTTTAGGGGGCAAAGGGGATTTTCGTACGGGTTGTGTCGGCCAAATCATCCTTTCTGCGCCTGATCTTATCCTTAAGCCCTTCAGCTTCGCGTCTGGCGGCGGTGATCTTGGCCTGCATTTGCTCGCCGCTCATGTCGGCCATCTTGACTGGGACCCCTGGGGTGATCGGAGGGCGGCAAATTGGCGGTTGGTGAATGGATGGATTAAGCGGGACGAGGCGCCTCGTAGGATGCGGTAGATGGCGAGGGAGGAGAGAGGGAGGCGTTAAGAGAGGATGGCGAGGCTGGTTGTCGTGTCGGGGGCAGAACAGGTACGGAGTAGAGTAAGAGAGAAAGGGAAAGAGCGTGTTGAAGGGGCGGGAGTGAGGGGGGATTGATTGGAGGAGCCTCGCAGTGGAGCGAGGAGTAGTAGCGCGGCAGCGACCGTCGTCCGAGAACAAAACCCAGCGCACTGGTCAGGGATTTTCCGTCGTGGTGGTGGTGGTGGTGATTTTCTTCAGGACTCGGTTGAAGAAAGACGCGGCAGAGAAAAGAAGGAAGCTAGAATAAAACTCAGGGGCAAGGGCTCGGAGAAGATGGAGATGGAGCAAGCGGAGGGTAAAACGCGGATGTAGGTAGGGAAGAAGGGAGTTCCTCCGGCGGCCACTCACCTATGAAAATCAATTAAATCAATTGATCAATGCCCGGTTCCTCTAATTATACTGAACAGGGCAGCAGTTCTAATTATGCTGGGCTCTAAACTAATCGTCTTTCTCGAACAGGTTGAATGCTCGGTCTCTAGACTCTCTCTACTCAGCTGCCACAAACCCGGGTGCTGAATTGCTGAGCCGCCTAACCTCGCACAATGGGGCGCAATGCTGTCAGATCCTATATAATCCATTATCGTCATTTGACGATCCTAGATACAGAGTACAATAATGGCGCGGAATGATTGCTGAGTGATGTCCAACGTCAACGGTTCAGTTGGGAAAGGGACCAGGAGAGGCTGTCCAGGCCGGCAGGATGGAGAAGCTACTGTAGACTATTAGCAGGTTAAACCGGCTTCGGCATGCAGTCCAAGGTCGCCCCCGGCTTAGCACCTTCCCTGACCTTGGCTTTAATTTCGACAAGTCTGAAGAACAGACAGTTTGATGACATATGCCAGGATCTGCAAACTCACCACGACCGTTGTTATCCCTCAGGAGAACTGCGGCCATCCAGCCTTAAGGGGCAGTGATATGCTCGAGCCTCGGATATTTTGGTTCTCGTTCATCAGAGCTACCGAGCACTTTTGAGTTTGATGGCTTGACTTCGGTCTCAACAAACCCACAAAGGCGTGGCCAAAACGAGTCAGTCGTCGGCTGTGCCCTTCAAGTCCGGATGCCACCAAACTTCCAAGTTTCAAGTCCTACAGCAAGTTAGCCACAAGCAGCCGCGATAATAATGGCATTATCGCTAAACGGCTTATAAATCCGTCACGGCCCCTGGAGGCGGCTGGTGGGCCCGATGGCTAGCCAGGTACAAGGATCTTAGCAGTGGGGACGCTGTCGTGGGTTTTGTACTAGTATGGACACAAGGCTTCATTTGCACGAGTCCTCATCCCCCTTTGCAGAGCTTGTCCCACTACTGCGCGAGTCAAGAGTCGGACTCGCTTCACCCTCCATCTGATTATTGCTCAAATACTCAAGTCCAAACAAATCATCTTGCGCTTTGATTCGGGATGCTGCGATAACACTATGTTATTGTCCATGCACGTTAACAACCCAGCATAACATCATGGCTATAATGAACTCTACATGAAGAATGTCTGACACGACGACATAACAGTTCCATCAGGATTTTATTTACGCCACTGACTCTTATATGATCAGAATATCATACAACATCAAATTCAACTGTACCCCAGCCTTCATAAGTGCATGTCCATTTTCCAGCCTTGTCCATCAGAACAGCCTCCAAGCAGCTTCCCGGCATAATCAGCTGCCCGGCCTTGAACTCGATATCATACTCCGCCAGTCTATTTATCAGCCACGCCACAGCTGACAAGGGATTTCCTAGGATGTTCTTCGTGTTTCCTGACATCACCTCCTCGCCATTGAACTTCAAGAAGCCACGCATATTGCTAAGCGTGAGATCCGTGAGCTTGCGAGGCGTCCCGCCTATTATGACTGCGCCCGTTGAACCATTGTCCGCCAGCGTATCCGGAAGGTCAATCGCCCAGTCCTTGACGCGCGAGTCGATGATCTCAATTGCAGGGATGGCATAGTCGATCGCACTGATGACGTCCGCGACAGTGACATTAGGCCCCTTAAGAGGACTCCGCAGCACAAACGCAGGCTCAAGTTCGACGAATGGCTTGATGAACTTGTCTAGAGAGATTGCCGTTCCTTCGTAGATGAAGGAGCTTGCGTGCAGGAAGCCATAGTCAGGATGGTCCAAGCCAAATGCAGCCTGCATAACCTTCGCGATGTTGCCGAGCTTATATCCGACTAGCCGGTCGCCATTCTTGATGACGTATTCGGAGTTGATCTGCTGGACTTTGAATGCCATGTCGGGATCAAGAGTAGGCCAGGTCTTCGTTGGTGCGTCGATCGGCTTCCCTTCAGCGCGGGCTGTGCGGAGGGCCGCTGCCACGTCGTTCAAGTCGAAAGCAGTCATTCTGGATGGGTAGATATGAAAGTGAAAGTAAGATACTGGAGAAGACGCCACTGTCGTAGACGGTGGGCGAATCGTCACCTACTTATAACCCATCGGCACCTACAATTTCCACAGGTCGCCTACAAGCAATAACGATTCCTAGGTACCCCAATTCAGATTCTCGCCTCCAATTCAGATATCAATCAGACGAAGCAGACTCATTTGCTCGATGTGGCCGATGCACGTCGGCTTCGGCTGGAGAAACCGAGCCGGTATGCCTGATCGAAGCCGAGCGTGATACTCCAATACAATGCGCGTGCTGATCCTCCAGGATTATTAGCAGATCGGAAGCCGCAGCAAAGCCCGTGCGAATCGCTGCTTATCTTGTGGCGCTGATCCCATGACTATGACATCTGTAAAGGAAGCCTATCTCAGGCATCGGAATGGCGAATTCGGAATGGAATTTGCTGCCTGTCAGAAACCCGATACGAGACCTGATATCGAGGATCTTGCATTATATATACATGCCTCAAAACAAGACTAAATAGCAGCACTTCATTCTTGACTTCAACAACTCACCCATTCAAACACCCATCCAGACAAAATGGCCCCATCAGCGAGCTTTGTCGATGAGCTAGAGGTAAACCCCCCAGTCGTTATCGGCCCAGCAACCAAGAAAGCCATGAGGCCATCCAGCGAGCTCCCCCAATCCCTGATTCAGGGAGCCAAAGTCGCAAAGAAGGAAGACTTCGACGCCTCCAAACATCTGAACTTCCAGCCCCCAAAGACAATCTATACAATGGAGCAGATTGGCCTAGAGGGACACGGCATCTCACCTCACGCAGCATCCGATCCATTCCCGCTGTTCACCAAGGAAGCCATCGCGCAAATGAGGGCGGAGATCTTCGACGAGAATGTCCTTGCCGAGTGTCAGTACTCGTCTACCTTCAACAAGCATATGATCCGCGGGATGGGTTCCGCGTATGTACTCCTGGAACTTATGGAGTAAGACTGAGCAGTTGCTGACTATATACAGACGCGCCCCATTTACTTACGACGCCTGGAAATCGCCTGAAGTTCTAGCCCGGATATCAGAAGTCGCAGGAATGGACCTCATCCCGTCCATCGACTTTGAAATTGCCAATATCAACATCTCAATCCGGGATGAGAACTCGAACACAGAGAAGACTTTAACCCTGATGTCTGGTAAAGAAGATGAACTCCCCGCTGTCGCTTGGCACTATGACAGTTTCCCATTCGTCTGCGTGACCATGCTCTCAGACTGTACGGACATGGTCGGGGGGGAAACAGCGCTGAGGACACCAAGTGGCGAAATCATGAAGGTCCGCGGGCCCGCTATGGTACTTAGCCCTTCTTCAGCATCCCTTAACACCCAGCCTAACATCCTTCTCTCATAGGGAACCGCTGTCGTCCTCCAAGGCCGCTACATCGAGCACCAAGCCCTGAAGGCTTCTGGCGGCCGCGAGCGCATCAGCATGGTCACCTGCTTCCGGCCGAAATCGCCACTAATCAAAGACGAGACTGTGCTTGTTGGTGTGCGCGGGATCAGTGATCTTTCTGAGCTTTACACCCAGTATACGGAATATCGGTTGGAGATACTGGAAGAGCGTATCCGTGATCGGTTGAGGAAGGAGCGAGAGCGCGGAATTGCGAAAAGGCCGTTCGATACTAAGGGGACGAGGAAGTTTCTGAGGGAGCAGGTGAAGTTTCTGGAGTCGATGCTGGAGGAGATCTTGGAGGTGGAGTGAGCAATGTGTTCAATTTGGATACAGCCCTAATGTATTACGAGTTTCTTTCTGTTTTGTTTTCTGTTCAAGTAGTGCATTGCTATACTCGATTTGTGACAATGAATCCATATGACTCAAGTCTCAAGGCCCTTAAGGTCTTCATCCCTAGCAACATGATGAGCTTAGGGTTCTTCTATCGCCCGCATGTTTCAAAAACACATGTCCGAGTACTGAGTACGGAGCTAACCTCCTAGCATCCAGAGCATGGACGTCCCTCTAAGTCTAAGTAAATCTCTTTGGAGAATTCAATCAATCAGCCGCCTGCAACATTTCGAGTAATAATTAAGCAGAACCAAGCACCTAGTCTGACTGTGACCGAAAAGCAACGGCTACGCGGGCTCCCAGACTCCGGGGGAAGACAATACTACTGGCACATATTTGCGCTGGTAGGCTACAGGAACAACAAAGGCTCATCAATAGACCGCATACTTTACTATCTGCATTTCCTCCAGATCTGACACGTATCGAATGTACATGACTAGCCCTAACGAGGCTAAATCAGAGATAGCAGATGGAGAGGACAGAGAGGCCTGGGATCTGCATTGCATTTGCCTCGTGATCTGACCGGCAATAAGCCCTAATCATGGCCGGATCATACTGCAGGTCCGGAGTGGCTGGTCGGGATCAAATCAATGACGATGATCCGGATGCCCGCGCAGGGATGGCCCAAGTACCTATATGAGCCTCAGCACCCTGCAGTCTCACCCATCCTTCTGCCATAAGGTAGCCAAAGGACATGGGCGAAGCGGCAACGATGGAAACACGTGACTTCTCCCATGCAGGCCTCTGGATTCCTCGAGTGCTTCAATGTCCTCTCATCAGCTGTACCTCCTTCATTGGCCAAGCATCGTTCCCCTCGCAAAACCGTTTGGTCAGACTTGGCGATGAACAATATTTCTGAGATGGGCGTGTCTACCGACTTCCCTTTCGACGACTACATATTCCGAAAACATGGCAAGGCGGGACTGCTGTACGAAGCAAGAGTCAAGCACTCGGGCATTGAAGCTTGACATGCTCAGATACTTGGCATGGCAGCGGACATCGCAGTCCCCCGATCCGGCCAAGCCAAAATGGGGTCTTCAATCTTCATTATTGTTGGTCCGTCTCCCGGTCCTCCCGAATCCAGTGACATAATGGAAACTCAGTTCCACACGGTCAACTGCAACCATTGGAACCAGGCCCATCGATCGCCTCTCCCAAAGAGGGCAATATCTGGAGAAATGGGGCTCTTGAGCCTGGGGTGAGTTTTTAATCGGCCTGGGCCCCCGAAAGCTAAGGATAAAATCATTTCATGGCAATGATGGCATCCATTATTTCCTTCCTCGTGCACTACTCCAGGTTGATCCGCTCGAGATGACAGTATCTGAAGGGCAGCTACGAGACTCGGCTTCATCCGAATCTGGCAGAGATACTGGCACGCTTTCCTGGGATGGCAACCATGATCCTGGAAATCCCTTCAACTGGCCAACTACGCGGAAATGGATCCTGACATATCTCGCCGTCTTGACCAGCTTTCTAACCATGATGAACGGGACTATTATCACTGTGGCACACGTTGAGATCGCGGAACTATTCAACATCAACGAAACGGCCTTTTCACATACCTACTGGCCTGTTACAACATGGGCTGCTGGCGGCGCATGCTCTGCTCTGTTTCTCCTACCTCTAGCAGAGGACTTTGGGACCCGGCCTGTCTTTCTCATCACGTACTTTATATTTCTCTGCTTCCTCATCCCCCAGGCTGTCGCACAGAACTTTGCCACGTTGGTCGTCACTCGCTTTTTTTCCGGTGCCTGTGTCGCTATCCTGGCTAATACGGCTGCTGGGGTTATTGGGAACGTATGGGATACCGAATGGGCGAGGTCAATCCCCGTCAGCCTGTATATCGTCGGTTACATGGCCGGCAGTAGTATGGGCCCAGTGATTGGAGCGGCCATCTTCCAGTCCTTGTCCTGGCGGTGGATAGGCTACATGCAGCTCATCTGGTTCGGAGCACTGTTCCCAGTCTACTATTTCTTTCTCTACGAGTGCCGGGGTGACATCATCCTCGCTCAACGAGCTCGAAAGATGCGCAAAGCCGGCAAGGAAGTTCACGCCGAACAAACCGAGCATTCAAAATTAAGTCTGCAGGGCCTCGTCGTCAGCTCAACAAGACCGGTCATCTTGTTCTGCAGCGAACCCGTCCTTTTTGTATCAACACTCTGGTCCGCCTTTACAATAGGAACCCTCTTCCTCTTCACCCAATCCGTCGAGCAAGTCTTCATGGGCATTTACGACTGGTCCGTCTCCCAAACCGGCTATGTCCAGGCCGCCATCGTTATCGGCGAATGCATCGGCTTTCTAGGTTCTTTCCTCTCCCGCAAACTCTACTTTGCATCCGCCTCGCGCAACACCGAGATTCCCAACACCCCCATTCCAGAAGCGAGACTCTACATGGCCGTCCTGGGCGGCATCTTCGGCATCTCTGGCGGAATGTTCACTTACGCCTGGACATCTTATACCTTCATCCCCTGGATCGCACCTGCAATTAGCCTGGCCATGGTCGGTGCGGGAAGCGTACTCGTTGTAACGGGTGTATCGGACTACGTTGTTGACGCATATAGCCAATACGCCGGAAGTGCGATTGGGGCCGTGGCCACGGGCGAGAATATCTTCTCTGCGTTTTTGCCGCTGGCCACACAGAGTATGTACACTAACTTGGGATTCCAGTGGGCGAGTACACTTCTGGCGTTTGTTTCGTTGGTGCTGGCTGTTGTGCCGTCGTTGATGTTCGTTTGGGGCAAAGAGGTGCGTGCTAGGAGTCGGTTTATGAATGGGCTGGTTGAAGAGAAGGAGAAGCAGGAGGGGTTTAGAGTGTAGGCGAGATACTTGCCGCTGGAGATGATTATGTGAGATTCTAATTAGATATAGAAAGGATTAATAGATATAGACCTCTGAAACATATCAACCATTCATAGCTGCAGCTGCTGCCTACTATTCCTTACCCTGGCATAACTACTCGTCCCATTACTATACCTCTACTGATAATGATATCAAACGTCGCTATCAATTGTTATCTGTGCATCCATAGTTCGGCTTTCGAACCCGGATACGTCGGTTTAGATCCGAGACAGGATCCCCCGCAGGCTATAAATCCCGAGATTCACTCGGCTTCCAGCAGCCAATTACGATCCCGGCTCACTCGGGAGTCATGTTGAGATTGTTGGAGAAGCGGCGGGGATGGTTGGGGACAGTTTATAAGTTTCTTGACTGTAGAGCTTAATTTCTCGTCGAATTACTCTCAACACTCGACTTCTCGACTTCCTCGCGATTATCCTCGCGAAACTACAGATTGACTTGGCTTACCTACGATACAACGAAGACCTACCTACTTACCGGTCAAAATGCCCTCCCTTGCAGATACTCTAAACGACCCCGCCCTCTTCATCGAGAAGTCCTACATCGACGGCAAATGGGTGTCCTCGGTCTCTTCCAAAACATTCAACGTCTACAACCCCGCAACCGAAGAACTCATCGGAACCTGTCCCGAATCCAACACCGACGATATCCAGTCTGCAATCCACGCCGCCGCGGCCGCATTCCCCCAATGGCGCTCCCTCTCGGGCCGCCAGCGCGGCCGCATCCTCCGCAAATGGTTCGACCTCATCGTCGAGAATAAAGAGGATATTGGGAAGATCATCACGGCGGAGAACGGGAAGGCCAAGGGTGATGCGGAGGGCGAGGCGCTCTTCTCCGCGGGGTTCTTTGAGTGGTTCTCTGAAGAGGCGGCCAGAATTTACGGCGATGTCATCCCGCATAGTAACCCGAGCAGTCGGGTGCAGGTGCTCAAGGAGCCGGTTGGTGTTTGTGGATTGATTACGCCGTGGAACTTTCCGATGGCGATGGGGGCGCGCAAGGTCGCTGCGGCTTTGGCGGCGGGGTGTACGGTTGTTATGAAGTCGGATGGGTTGACTCCGTTCTCGTCGAATGTTATGGCGCTTCTGGCGGAGAGGGCGGGTGTACCGGCTGGTGTGTTGAATGTTGTCACTGCGCTTGAGAACACGCCGGCGTTAGGGCTGGCGCTTTGCGAGTCGGACATTGTGAAGAAGATTTCGTTCACTGGGTCGACGCGCGTCGGGAAGTTGCTTATGAGGCAGTCGAGCGAGACGCTGAAGAAGTTGAGCTTGGAGCTTGGAGGCAATGCGCCGTTCATTGTGTTTGATGATGCGGATCTCGAGATGGCGGTCACGAGTGCCATTGCTAGTAAGTTCAAGGTGACGGGGCAAACTTGCGTTTGTGCAAACCGGTTCTTTGTGCAGGAGGGTATCTATGAGGCATTCAGCGAGCGCCTTGTCGAGGAGGTGAAGAAGTGCCAGGTTGGCAATGGTCAAAATGCTGGTGTGACACATGGACCCTTGACCAACGGCGTGGCGAAGACACAGGAACATATTCAGGATGCTGTTAGCAAGAAGGCGACTGTGCTTCTAGGCGGCAGCACCCTGCCATCCGTTGGCAAGAACTTCCACGAGCTGACTATCCTTGGCGATGTCGACGATTCGATGAAAGTCGCCACTGAGGAAACATTTGGGCCTCTTGCGGCGCTATCCAAGTTCAAGACGGAAGATGAGGTTGTTCGCCGCGCGAATAGCGTCGAGGTCGGCCTGGCATCATATCTCATCACAAGTGACCTGGGAAGGGCGCATCGGGTCTCTGAGAGATTGGAGTTCGGCATGGTTGCTATCAACACGGGGGTAATATCTGACTCCGCGGCTCCGTGAGTTTCGTCTCCTGTTCTGACTGTATAATGCTAATGCATGGCAGGTTCGGAGGTGTCAAGCACTCCGGCATGGGCCGCGAGGGCAGTAAGTACGGCATTGATGACTATGTAAACATAAAGATGATTGTGACTGGCGGCATCAACACAGTTTATGCAGCTCATCTGTAAGACGAGAGCGAGGGACAAGACACTGGAGCAATGAGCTATACTGATTCTCTTAATGACAGCATCATATATCTCAAAATGCAATGACTTTTTCCATCCATGTCGTAGATGCAAGTTGGTCGGTGTTGGGGCAGCAGCCGCCACAGTGCTTAATGTGATGTATCAGCTGGGCACAGCTCTGCAAAGAATTGGTAGAAGGCAGTAGAATAGGCGGACTCATCAAGCAAGTTTACTTTGAGACTCTAGAATCAATTGTCAGCATGAGAGTCAAGACTCAAGAGAGCCTCGGCGCTTGTCCACAGCTATTTTTAGCACAATCCAGATCGAACAAAGAGAAAAGATCATGAAACACATCGATCTCCCGTTCCTTCCACACAACTGGGCCTGGCAGATCCTAAGACGGATAGGATAAACTTTACGGGGCTGACTGAGGCTTGAATCCTGGCGTCTACTCAAACATGCTGTGGGCATGAGTTCGTGGGGTCAAGCCTCAAGGACTCAAGGCTGATGTGAAGGCGGCTAGATCGGTTCGCGCCTACAGTGTTTCTAATCATAGCACACCACTGCAGGAAATGCCGCTAGGAGCATAAAAGCGTTGAATTAGGCGATGTTCTCATTGGATAGAAAACAAAGTTGTTTGTGTTCATGAAATTCTGATACACCATGGTCAAGGCCGAAGGAGTTGAAGGGGAGCAATGGACCATGGAAGGAGTACTGCAAAAGAGCAGCAGATGGAGTCATGATAGCCCGCAGTTTACAAGATGAAGAATTGAGGATCGCACGAAGACAATGCGACCATGCATGGAATTGGACGAGAAGGGCTCGATAAGGAGCCAAAGCCGAGATTGCAGAGGATAATGAGATTATTGTTTAAATTACAGAGTAGTCGATCAATCAAGAGCGCGTGGTGGCGCACCCGTGGCAATAAGTTTATGCCTGAAATGTCAGGCCTACAAGGTCTCCGCTTTCGCAGACCTCTCCTTTTTGCCCGCCCGCCCCCTCATACTCCGTACTACTACTGACCAAGCAAGTTACATCTGCGGTCATCAGATTCTTCTGTCAGCGTGTGGCTGCTTGCTTGCGAATTTGCCATCAGCTGCTTCTTTCCCTTCTTCTCGATTGCCCCCTCGTCTCTATCGGCACATTCCCTCCTGAATCTCGCCTTCCTCAAGGTACTCTCTCGTTATTGTCTCGTCTCGATCCGGCCACCGCCTTCAGCGCTTCAGCGCCTGACTCCGTGACTGGCCTTGGCCTGAACAACCTCCCTTTCAGGCCTATCCCCCATCGTTCGACAAACCCTCCTCTCATCCCGACATTTCATCCCGACATTTTCGATACCAAGGCTGTCCTCCCGGCTGAGGACCTTTTGGCTATCTCCCATTTCTCCTTCTCCTGACATGTGTTTGGAGTAATTCTCCGTTATCCCACCCTCCCATCCTATACCCATCGGATCGAGAAACACCAGAACCCAGGAACACCTTCGGAATCGTCAACTAGGCCAAAGTCAACAAGGCCAAAGCGAAAATGAGAGAACTGAACTTCTCTATACCCAGCTGTAACAAGGCAGCGGTCAATATCACTACAACTCTTTATGACCGCCGGGCGCTGGACTGCACGTCGACGCTGCCTCTGATCAACTCCCTCAACCATCTAGCCTACTTGACTACGTCCTCCGCTCGGATCCGCGATATTCTCACCGTCGATGGAGGCATTGAAAGACTGGTTTGCATCCTCAAAGAGGGTCGGACTAACAACCTGATGGAGATGTGGAAGTGGAGCCTCGCCTTCCAATGTGTTGTCAATATTGGAGTACGAGGCTCGGAAAATGTCAGGACTAGAGTCGTCGAGGCGGACATGGTGCCTGTGATTGCAACCATCCTAGACAACTACATCAAGGTCATGGACAAAGTGCGCGCTCGATCAGATTCTGAAGCCCAACGACACAGATTCCACCATCATCACAAGATCACCCCGACGACAAGCGATGGAACGAGTCGTTCATCATTCTCAGATGCTTCGAGTAACGAGCAACGCACCTCTCGCCGTCAACCACCTCCCACCCACATAGAAATTCCTCCCTTCTTCCATGACACTCGTGCATTGGACACGAATGCCATGGACATTGCTACTCCGCCCCGTGCACCAATGACATCGCCACCTGAGAGAAGCACTTTTGGCCAGGATGCGCACGCTCATAGGTCTCACGCAAACCCCCGCCATAGAGCAATCCAGCCGTTGGCAACGGCCATTCCTTCGATGGATGCTGCTGATGGTTTTGGACTACGCCCCGTGAGGGATACCGAGAGGCTTCCCAGCATGCTCCCCGCCGCCTTTAATGGACTTGCATCTCAGCCCGACTCTCCCACTACACCGAACGGCGCTGGTCACATCCGCAACCATGCACCAACCTCTCTCGAAGCACACTTGCGTCCGGCCTTGAGCCAACATCAGTCAGCCTCAGGGGACTCAGATGATGCCAATGGTGAAGATGCTATAATGGGCGATGATTCAGGCTCGGGAGATGCTGCCGAGCCTATTATTGGCCTACAAGGCGGCATGGACATTGATGATGTTACCGATGGACAAACCATGATCGATAGCGTTACCGACTCAACCCATGATCTGACAGTAACTGACACTGTAACTGACACCACCTCAGAAGGTCAAGAGGCAGAAACGTTCAACATCACTCACCGTTCCGCTGTCGATGGCAGCATAATCACCAATGACAACGCACAAGCTGTGAACAACACCAACTCGCCGCCTATCGTGCCCAGTCCCTATTCTATCTACTTCCGTGATCGGGCAACCAACACCGCCACGCAGAACTTCCTGAATACGATGCCGCGTGAAGAGGACGTCTTGATGTCGCTTCAGCTTTTGGCTTACGTTTCCAAATACTGCAATCTCCGCTCATACTTCCAAAACTCGCATTTCGTGCCAAGGCTCAAGATTGACCGAGAGCTTCAAATGCTGGAAGAAGGAACCTCCCCTATCGAACCTTTCGAGGAAGAAGACGAGTATCTGCTTCCCGACGATGTTAACATCTTCCCCTTGGTGGAGAAGTTTACCGCTCGCCATCATTCTAAGGACATGTCGTACTGGGCGTGCGTCGTGATGCGGAACCTTTGTCGCAAGGACGAATCTCGAGGTGGCATTCGTCAGTGCGCGAATTACAAATGCGGCAAGTGGGAAGAATTCACACGTCAATTCGCCAAATGCCGCCGCTGCCGTCGCACCAAATACTGCAGCAAGGACTGTCAGAAAGCAGCGTGGCTCTACCACCGACACTGGTGCGCCACGCCATAAACCGGATAAATTCGTCTTTTAACTCCCCTTGCATACGACTTGCATAGCGTCTCGTGTCGCTCTCATTTTACCCATTTCATGCTGTTTTCTTCCCAAAGGACTTGCTTATTTATCCCGTGCATGGCATTCGGAACCTGGCGGTGTTCCTATTTACCGAAAGATACCTTTGTATGTCATTTTTTTGCAAACGCTGCTCTTCTGCAGCCTCGATATCCCTTTGCAGGGCCATTTCATTTATGCTGAGTCCTTCGGCTCTTCTTTCACTCATACGACTACCCCTAGCGGCCATGAACGACATCATTTTCAGTCATCTGTCTTACATGTCTCTTTTTGTGTTGCCTTTCCTGGCCCTCTCTTACTAGTACAGAGTTTCTAATCCACCGTTGCCCTAACGTCGGACGATTTTCCTTTGTCAGTGTCATTCTCATCAGTTCCATTCCCCGAGACTCCAGAACGTTTTCATTTTGGCAGGCTTTTTGCTTTTTTGCTTTTTTGAACCTATTATCCCCTTGGCTATTTAGGTATATTTGTTGGAGTATTTTTTTTGTCCTTTGGTGGAACTCCGCCCTATCGAGAGCAGTTTTTTGTCCATTGCATCCAGTGGCCCGTGTGCATATATACTTAGCCTTTGCAATCACATAGTGACCTCCACATTCCTAATTATACCTTCCAGTCTTGTATGAACATAATTATCAGCATGGCTACTAAGATAGATTGACATTGATAATATGCAGGCCCTGACAGGAGCTGTACATGGTAGAAATCAAGTAGATTTTCGTCTACGCACCTGCAGTAGTTGCCTCCTGCCTAAAGTCGTACGTCGCATTCAACCGCATCGCAAGATGCTCCGCCGCCGTGAGCGCCCTCTTGCCAGGTTCAAGACCTCCAGCTCCACCTCCAAATCCCACCTGCTCCTCCGCCTTCGCGCCCTTCGCCTCCCGATAAGCCTTCACCACCTCACTAGGCACAGGAACCAACTCCGTCGAATCTACGGGATGGCAAAAGAACACAATACTGTACCGATCCTGCGAGCTATTCCCCGTCCGCTCCGACGCCGGAAACACAACCCTGTGCACCGTTGACTTCAGTAGTCCGTCCGTCCAGTAGCTGAGCAGGTCGCCGATGTTCACCAAGATAGGAGGGAATGCAAATTCACCATTCGCGTCATTCTGGTCCTGGCCCTGAGCTGGCTTCCCGGGCTCCACAGCAACAGGTGCCCATGTTCCCTCAGGCGTGAGGATCTCCAGCCCAGGTTGCCCGGGTCTCTGGAATAGCAGTGTGATGCTCCCGTAATCGGAGTGTGCGCCGGCGCGCACATCAACGGCATGGTCGTACTCTGCGGTTTGGGGAGCTGATATGGATGGGTAGTACAGGTATCGGAGGATGCAGCCTGTCGAGCCTTTGGTGGGGTCGTGCCGGGTTGTGAAGAATGCGGGGGAGATCTGGCTAGATTAGTCTATTTTCTTATGCAGATGGATAGCGACGCACTTCGAGCCCAAGGGATAACAGGCTGAGGATGCGGTTGCAGGTCTTGGTGCAGAGAGATGCAAAGTTGCCGATTTCAGTCTCGTGGGGGGCGAGTGCTGGCGGGAGGAGTTGTTGGGCTTTGCCCTCCGTGGTAAATTCCCCGAAATTGAAAGCTCTTATAGGTCTTCTGGTTATTCTGTGCCCGAAGTGTACCGTCATAGAGGTATAAGCTTACTCTTTGAAGTCGCCCGTCTTTGCGCAGTTAGTCATGTGTACTTTGAAGGGAACTGAACCTGGTACTAACCCGCTGATGCTCAGGATCTAGAGTCTCAGAGTGCATTCCAGACCAACCGCGGTTCTAGATGGATTTTAGTGGTGTAAAAGAGGCTCGGCCGGGGCCTGATACGAACATTCGACTGAATACGACAGGGCTCCTTCTCCTCTACAGGCGAAGCAAAGAATTTCTTCGACTAGAAGAGGTCAGTATCCTGAATACTCTCAAAAAGTAGAAGTACTCACCCGTTCAAACGCTTTGCGCACATCTTCAGCGGTAAAGTCGGTCCCTTTGCTGTCTACATAGAGAAAGCCGTACTTCGTAGCAGCGTCCAGCATAGCCTTGCCGACGGCGGGATCCTCGGGGTTGGAAATGTCGAGTATTGGCAGCTCGATTGCGGCTCCGACGGGCGTTGGATCGGCCATTGCGTGTCTGGTGAATCTTACTGGGAATGTATAGAAAAGAAGAGTGGTTACATTGAGTGGATGTGGGGAGACCCGAGATATAGGTATGGCAGGGTTGGAGATATATTTTAGTTGATGCGTAGTATCAGCAACGTTATCTTTAGCCCCACCATTTGTATTCACATTTCACATCATCAATTGTCAGATGGATGATTAGCTGGGTTTGTGTTATAGTAAAAGTGCACTGGGAATTGGCAACGAAGCTGGTGGATCCCGTGATTGGATCGGGGCCTGTCTGTTGGTTTGGAACCTGAACTCCGGAGTCGCATTCAAGCTATCAACTCTGAATTTGTGATCTGATCAACTTCTCTGCTTTTAACCTCTACGACCTCTCCTCTTCTCCTCTTCTCCTCCCCTCCCCTCTTCCATCTCTTACCTTCGCTGAGAGCCTCTTCGAACTCCGCACCAAGTCCTTCATGCCTGTCACTGGCAGCCGCTCTTAAAACCGTACCTGAACAAGCTCCGAGCAGCTCAAGAATGCCGAGTAAGTCACAGTCCCCGCGAAGCTCCAAGTCTAACTCTACCCAAACCCCAAGTGGAACCAAACTACACTGACACCGTCTGTGCTTGATATATAGTCCGCGCGCTAGACGATTGGGTCTCTGGCATCTCTGCCCGCACGACCTCATCGCTCCCCCTCTCCGCTCTAAAGGGGGCCGTCGTCGGTATCGATGCGTCGCACTACATCTCTCAGCACCTCATCCACCCCTCTACCCGCGAGCCGCTTCTGATTGCCCTCGGAGGCTTTCCTTTCGCACTAAGAAGCAACATTGAGAAGGAACTGCAGGTCTTCAAGGACTTGGGCGTGGCCTGTATATTTGTCTTCAATGGCTTGGACTTTGGGAAGAAGAACCAGCGACCTCACGTGCATCATGAGACCGTGAGGGCGTTTGAGAATGCTTGGGAGCTATATGATCAACAGCAGGCGGACCAGGTCGTTGATGCGTTTAGTAGTGTTGGTATGGCTTGCTGTTGGTTCTGGATTTGTTGGGAGGTGCTGACGGGCTTGTCAAGGTACACCTCGACCGGAGTCTCTGTATCGCTTTTTGCAGCGCATTCTCGTTCAGAATGGTGTCGACTACATGGTAGCGCCATACAGTGCCGCCGCCCAGGTAAGCATCATACCAAGCTATCGCCGCTGCGGCATTGGCACCCTTTGACATCTGTTTTACAGCTCGCTCATCTCAGCAACGGTCCCAATTCGGTAATTGACGCCATCTGGGGACCATCGGAAGTACTCCTGTTCGACGTCGAGAAGCTTATCACGCGGATTGAAATCGACCCCGCCCAATTCTTCTGGATCACCAAGCATACATGTCAAGATGAACTTGGCAGGTTAACGAATGAACAGTTCCTCGATTTTGCCCTCCTTCTCGGCTCTTCATTTCTTCAGACCTTCCCATTCTTCGAAAACCCCGCATTCCCAGGAAAAGCTGCTTCTGTCCGCGAGGCTCTGACTATGTTTAATAGCACTGGACGGAGCGCCCTCTCTCTATGCGGGCAGTACGAAGAGGAACGCCGCATGCAGGACCTAGAGTATACGGATCGTTACAAGCGCGCCTACATGAATGTCAAACATCACGTGGTCATGGACATGGAGGGAAGAGTTGGTATAATGGATGTTGAAAATGCCCCCAACGACATGCACGAGGTGATCGGCCAACGACTTCCGGAGGAACTTTATTTCTATATGTCGAAAGGAATGCTCGGTCCTGACGTTCCTAACTATCTTACGTCTGGGGAAGTTCTGATTTCATTGCCTCTAGGCATCGAGGACTCACAGGTTTACCGGCGGGTCGCTGGCGAGATCCTTGCCCCGCTCAGAGAACAGGCCATATTCCTACTGTCAAATAACCTCCATCGGTTCTATCAGAGCAAAACAATCCATGTTCGGACATGGTATAATGAAAATGTCGACTCTACCATTACTCTCCGAACGCCTCCTCAGGTAGTACACTCCATTCTGTCCTGGAAGATTTCGAGTGAACGGTACACCGAAGGAGTCAAGAAGTTGCAGGTTAGTTGGCCAACCCTTATTGTGTAAAGTTCTAACGTGTATAGGGTTCTTCTGGGCCATTCAAATTTGCCGTTCAAAGCCTGAAAGACACCGAATTCGCGTCGAAAACATTTGCATCCAAGAATGTCACGGTAAGAAGCCCGTTATCTTTTGCCGGCCAGACCTAACATTTTTAGCCCCTATCGACGAAAGATGAGATCCTCGCCAATGTATACTGGCGATTTTTGCAACTTCGTGGTTATGTGAACGAAAAGCATCAACTCACGCCTTGGGGTGTTTGCCTAGAGCAAGCTCTGTCGGTTCTCAACCCAGAAGACTCCCTTGAGGAAGCTACATTTGTGGCCATCGAGTTGCTTCGATTCGGAGTTCTCAATGCTGAACAGTGGTTCTCACACGTATCGGGAGGGCCGATGAGAGGCTCTGGTAAGCAGACACGTTCACGATACCAAGCCGTTTACTAATATTATTCTAGATGAGGACAAATCTTTTAATATGTTAATTTCCCGCGTTGCCTGCGTTGGCAAGCTGCGGCACAAGAACATTGGTTACTCTGGGCCACTGAGCAGACAGTTACTCTCTTACCGTTCACTTATCACCGAAGTCCGTGCGACACTGCGAAACCTCATTGAGATCTCACTCGTTAGCCTGCTTCTCAGCGGGGACGCAAACCGCGATCGCAATGACTGGACTGAACTAGCTATCAGGCAAGTCTGGCACTCTGGGTGATTAGCTGCAATCTAACATATCTAGCCTTCCGTTCATTGATGATAACGACTGCGGTCTGGGGATTGCTGTCCGGACGTACCTTGACGACCTGCCACTGCAGTCTGACCCAACCTCAAAAGAGGCGCGCGAAGAGGTGAAGGCCAAGGGCAAGGAGTGGTTCCAGCACAGCGATAGCTTTACAGGAAACTTGGACAGGGCATTCAAACTCTGGGATGCGGTAGGTTTCCTTTCATCTATTGGTACTTGATAATGATCAATTGCTTACGATCTATAGGTCTACAAAGGTTCCCAGAATGCGGGCAAGGAGTTTAAGGAGGCAAAGACTTGGGCTGATGCGAACAAATGGTTGTCTGAGAGACGGTGATTCTGCGAGAACTTATGGACATGACCGCACTATGACAACCCATTATGACCGCCCACACTTAGGAACACGATGTGTTGGCCGCCATGGTCTCAAAAATCTACTTAATATACCTCCAGTGCTGCATTAGTAGTTGGAAAAATGGCGAATGGATACTATATCGCGCAGAAACCAGAAGCACAGTATACGGAGTACGGTCATATAGCCCACCAAGCAAAAGAGCAGGTATGTCCTTTTCTAACCAGGGCCTCGTATGATCGTATTTATATCCGATGACGGTCAGATCCGTAATGCCGTATCTGAGCCCCAGGCTTGGTTACAAGTGTCCTTTTTTTAGCCGTAGATCCACGCCGGAGCTCCTCCATTATTAATGCTCCGCGACTACTAAAACTCCACGCTCAGCTCGGACTGAACCCTTCTTCTCCCCAGTCCTCGACAGTTGACCTGTCTAACATCTACCAACTTCAATATCACAAAGTCCTTCGCTGCCGCGGAGACATACATAATGCGCGCCAGCACCTTCCTGCTCAGCGGCCTGGTGACCCTCGCCACCGCCCGCTCCGCAGTCCTCGACCTGATCCCCAAAAACTTCGACAAGGTCGTCCTGAACTCGGGCAAGCCCGCCCTGGTCGAATTCTTCGCCCCCTGGTGTGGCCACTGCAAGAACCTTGCCCCTGTCTACGAAGAGCTTGGCCAGGCCTTCGCGCACGCTGAAGACAAGGTCAGCATTGCCAAGGTCGATGCCGATGCGAACCGCGATCTGGGCAAGAGGTTCGGGATCCAGGGATTCCCTACTCTCAAGTGGTTTGATGGCAAGAGCGAGACACCCGAGGATTACAAAGGTGGAAGGGATCTGGAGAGCTTGACCGCGTTCATCACGGAGAAGACTGGTATCAAAGCTAAGGGCGCAAAGAAGGAGCCTAGCAATGTTGAGATGTTGACAGACACGACCTTCAAGAGTGCCATTGGTGGCGATAAAGATGTGCTTGTTGCGTTCACGGCGCCTTGGTGTGGACGTATGTTTTCCCCTTCTCCTTCCTTGACTGGTTCGGTACGTTGTACTAACACACGGGCTGCTCGACAGACTGCAAGAAGCTTGCACCTACCTGGGAAACTCTCGCCACCGACTTCGCTCTGGAATCCTCCGTAATTATCGGCAAGGTCGACGCCGAAGCTGAGAACTCCAAGGCCACGGCTAAGTCCCAGGGCGTCACCGGATACCCCACGATTAAGTTCTTCCCCAAGGGCTCAACCGAGGGCGAGGTCTACAACGGCGCCCGCTCCGAGGAGGCCTTTGTCGAGTTCCTCAACGACAAGGCCGGCACCCACCGTGCCCCCGGCGGCGGATTGGACGAAAAGGCCGGCACCATCGTTGTCCTTGATGAGCTTGTTGCCAAGTACATCACCGCCAAGAACTTGCCGGAGCTGGTTGAGGAGGCGAAGAAGGTTGCTAAGGCCATTGGTGGCAAGTACGCCGAGTACTACGTCAAGGTCGCGGAGAAGCTGGCCCAGAACGAGGACTATGCTGCCAAGGAGCTCGAGCGCCTGAAGAAGGTGATTGCTAAGGGTGGCTCTGCGCCTGAGAAGGTCGATGATATGGTTTCCCGCAGCAACGTTCTGCGCAAGTTCTTGGAGCTCGAGGAGAAGGTTGAGGATGTCGTTAAGGATGAGCTGTAAATGAGCCTACCTAGTCTTGGGCTTTTTGGAACACGGGGTTGTATTGATGTATGACTATTGCTATGCAATGTTTTAGAAAACTTATTATATACCTACTCTTCTACGCATGAAAGAATGAACATGATGCAATCGATATCTTCTCAATTGCAGAATTGTCGCAATACGGATATTCGTAGGATAGGGTATCTTATAATCAACATAACAACCTCCGCAGCAGAGTTAACAGGCGTGTATGTAAATCACTTCGCAGTCGGAGTCGGAGTCGTCGCCGTCGCGGGCCCCGCCCCCGCATCCTCCGCAGCATTCAGCGAAGCCTCCAGTTCATCAAGCCGCCTTGCCATATCGTCAACTGCCAGGTGAAACATATTAGCAATCTCCTGACCAGTGTCAAAGTTGTGAGGTATGTAAAAAAGAGCCAATGTCATGCAGAGAAGGGCTCACTCACACTTCCCAAACATCTCCCGCGACACGGTATCGAATTTATGCTGCAGTTGGTCGAGTAGGTCGTCTACGGCCGCAGTGAATTGGGCTTGGGCGTCTGTACTCTATACAGACGAAGATTAATGTTAGCGCGGCTAGGTTCAGATATGGCATGCCGACATCGAGAGAGCTTCGAACCTGTGTTTGAGTTGGGGCCGAAGGGGAGAGGGCTGTTGTCCCCGTGGGGGTAGAATCGTTGTTTGATGACATTATTTGCGAAATTTAAGAATATGATTCGAGTACTGACGAGGCAGGATTTGTGGCAGGGGTAGTCTGAGGCTTTACAGGCAGCCTAGCAGCAAAACTCGGGCAGTTGAATCAACATGTACCCAACGACGTACTCCGCAGTTCGGGCTTTAGGGACGAATCTCGAAGCTCCGTACTATAGTTATCGATAAGAGAGGGCATCGGATCAATGATCCTCCATTGGATTCTGCGCTAACTCTATTTGTTCTAGCGGAGCCTTATCAGAGCGCCAAACCATATCGGTACTAGTCCATTTGCAGTTTAAAAAAAATCCCGTAGATTGATGCTCCAAGCCTCTACATACACATACAGTCAAATACCGCATTTTCGCTTTCCTGTGCTGTTATCAATATAAGCAAAGATGCCTAAGAGAAGCAAACTGCTCCAGGCTCTCGATGAGCACAAGGGGAGGGACTACGATGCTGAGAAGCAGAAGAAGCTGGTCAAGGCCGCGAAGAAGAGGAAGGGTTTGACCGGTGCGGAGGAGGAGAAGGTTTGTTTCTCCCTCGATCTTGTCCAACTGGCCTCTTGCTGAATCACCGCCAGGTGAAGGAGGAATTGGTTAAGGCCAAGAAGCCCGAGGAATCTGGATCCGAATCCGAGGAGGAAGAGGAGGAGGAAGAGGAGGAGGAAGAGAGCACAAACGAGGCCGAGGCCGCCGAGGAATCACAAGACGATGCCGCCGAACGCGGCGAAGACGACGAGGAAGACGAGGAGGAGGAGGAAGAAGAAGAAGATATCCCACTCTCCGACCTCTCCGAAGACGAGCGCGAAGACGTAATTCCCCACCAACGCCTCACAATCAACAACACGACCGCCCTCACGGCCTCCACAAAGCGCATCTCCTTTATCACCCACCTTACCCCTTTCTCCGAACACAACTCGATAGTCAGCAAAGCCGAAGACGAAATGGAGATTCCAGACCCCAACGACGACCTGAACCGTGAGCTGGCATTCTACAAGACTGCGCAGACGGCCGCTATCACCGCGCGGAAGTTGCTGAAGAAGGAGGGCGTGCCGTTCACGAGACCCCGCGACTACTTTGCGGAGATGGTCAAGACAGATGAGCACATGGGTAAGATCAAGAAGAAGCTTTACGATGAGGCTGCGGGCAAGAAGGCTGCCGCGGAGGCAAGGAAGCAGCGCGATCTGAAGAAATTCGGCAAGCAGGTGCAGGTTGCGAAGTTGCAGCAGCGCGCGAAGGAGAAGAAGGAGGCGATTGAGAGGATCAATGACTTGAAGAAGAGTGCGTTACCTTGACATTTCAATCTTACTCGAGAACATTACTGACGGACTATTACAGAGCGAAAGAACGACACATCCGGCCAAGACGGCGGCGCCGACGACCTCTTCGACGTTGCCGTTGAAGACGCCGTCTCCGAGAACCCCCGCAAGCGCGCCCGCGGTGACACGAGCGGCCCCAACCTGAAGCGCCAAAAGAAGAACGAGAAGTACGGCTTTGGCGGCAAGAAGCGGCATGCGAAGAGCGGTGATGCGATGTCAAGTGGTGATCTCCGAAACTTCTCCGTTAAGAAGATGAAGGGTGGTAGCGGTGGCCCCAAGCGTCCCGGAAAGAGTAAGCGGGCTGCCGCTAGGGGACGGGCTTAGTTGATTGCATTGCATTGCATTGAGTGTATGCATTTAGATGCGATACATTGTACATTTAACTCTTTGCTTTTTCTTCTGTTCGTTCCAAGAGGATACCGGAAGGCTGTTAGTGCGTTTGGGATTAGGTTTCGAAAAGCAATTTGTTCCATTAAGTTCGGAGTAGCGAGGCTACTAGATTGAGGTCGTAGCTATGGGTGTGATGATCTATGGACTCGCGCTGTGCGTCTCATGCTTTCCAAATGCTGCAAGTTTGAGGTGTTTCGAATGGAATGCTTAGTCGGCCCGTTACCATCCGACACCGGGGTTGAGTATTGGATCAGTAGGTAATATCTCACTCGAGCGTGATCGACGGCCGGACATGATATTGAGGATGGTCCAATGCCCGGCTGGTCGGTATGCAATGTTGGGACGAGTAGAGGTTCACAACCTGCTCACATCCTGAGCACTCGGCATCTTATCAAGAAGCGAGGCCTAGGGTCCTTTTGCGACTCGGGTAGGGTGAGATCAAGTAGTCGTCTCAAAAAGTGCCCTGAGCGGGGCACGTGAATGGCTCACGACATGCATTTATATGTAAGACGGCTCGGTTCGTGCGAAACGTGTCGATGGTCATCGCCTGCGTCTTAGGTACCAATCTCGTCATGTGTGCCATTGGTTTCGCCATTTAGTGCTGCCAGAGCGCCGTCCAAAGCTCCCATACCCCGAATGCGGTTGAGCAAGTTATCAACGTGAAAGTTGACGTTAAGCCTTTTCTCCGCTTCGACTAGGTCGAGTTTTGCCTTTGTATCATCTGCATGCGCGAGAGAATGATCTTGAATTTGCTCCTTGCCGCGTTTCGACGAGCATTTAGTGATGATCTTGTCGCAACCAGGTACTTTGCATTTCCACGTATCGACTGGGAGGTTGGGATCATGGGAAGATCCTGTGTCGGGCACATGTTCAACAGCAGAGACTGAAGTGTTTCGGCTTTGAAGTGTTTCCTGAAGTGGTGTTCGCTCAATGAAAGGAGTTGACTCAGGGTCTGATAGGATAGATCGAGTACGGCGTTTTGCCCGGGTCGTTGACAAGGGATCCCTAACGAGATCATGACCGCGGACTTTGCTTGGAGTCTCGAACTCGTCCATAGCATCTTGGTTATCGTCAGAAAGGTCGTCATTCGCTGCTGCGCTTCTAGTCCGCTTCCCGGTTCTCTTGGTTGCGATTTGACTTTTTGGTCGCAGTACAGACTTTCTATGACGAGGTCTCCGTTGCCTTGGCTGTTGCTCATGCTCACTCTCTTCGTCAGAGGAGCTATCATCCTCAGTTATGCGCGGCCGTAACGGAGTGAATGTTACTTCTGCCAAAGTCTTCTTATTCTTCCTCGAAGCAGATTTCAGCTCTCTATAGATGACCTTCTTGGACCAGTCGAAGGTGTTTGTCTTTGCCTCGTTCATAGATTCAAGGATGGCAGCAGCGGTTTTCGATAGGAGACCTTGCGCATACTCCAGTTTGTCAATCTCGAAGCGCGTCATCAAAGTCGATGTCACAAGCTCGAGGTTTAATTGTCGCTTGGCAAGGTGTCCCTCCTCCTTGAGATCAAGAATCACCTGGTAAATGGCGTCTGCCTGCGATTTTGAGACGGCTGTCGGATCCGGTGTAGGAGCCCTAACCTCCTCCATTTCTACATCGTCATCCTCAGGTTCGTCCTCGGCATTGTCTTCTTCTTCTGTTTCAGCCTCTTTTGATTCCTTCTGAGCGCGTAACTCCTCATAATCCTCCTAGGAAACCGTTAGCACCAACACTCTTCTGCGAGAGGTTGTGGGGAACATACCTGGAACTTCTCACAAAGATGCGCAAAAATACTTGACTCCGCCCAGTTAACCTCTTCCTCACCTTTGATCATGCGCGACATCAAGAAATTGTGATGTTTGTAGAAAACCTCCAACGAATCATCGCCGTCTTCACAAATCCCATGCGTGTGAAGCACATACTCATCACAAAGGTACTCCAGGCTCGGAGAGGCCCAGCTCTTCCTCCTCCTGCTGCTTCTCTTCGGCTTATGTCGATCAGTCAGAAAATACAACAAATCAATCGCCTCAACGACCTCGTTGAACATCGGCCGGTATCCCTTTGCGGGGGAGATAGAGAACCAGCCAGCCCGGCCGGCAACCCAGATTCCGACTTCGCCATCGTTATGCTGGCCATATGCAAAGTGACTCACATCTTCGAGGACAATGCGCTTTGTGAGGTAATCCGAGTCAAGAACTGATGCGCGAAAGCGAATGTACATTAGCTATGCCACGTTCGCTCAACGTGCGGTAAAGTAAAGGATGTAAGTGTATTACAAACCTAGAGATTCCTGCTCCTCCTCGACCTCTTCCAGACAGCCCGTCACCTGGACCGGGTTCTCTGGGGTGGCCGTGAGGAGATTGGCATAACGCGACTTGCCAGGGACCAGAATTCTGACCTCGGACAAGCTGAATTCTTCCCAGTCGTTCTCGTCGGAGACGGACGGGTCCCTTGCGGCCAAGACGCTATCTTCTCGGGATGTCATGGCTCGGGAGGTTGCATGACGCCTTGATTGGGGTTGCAAAATGTTCAAGAATCTCACCTGGAGATGTGAGGAGGCTCAGAGGATGACGAGGTGGTGGAGGATGGCGGGGAGGGAGGGGAGTTGGGGAGACAAGGAGAGGGCCTACCTAAATGACGACTGGTAATAATGCCCGTAACTTACTGTACTCAGGTTACTGGCTGGAGCCTCTCGGGAGCGCATTCATCTTAAGTTTCTTCCAGCTCCGGATCGAATTTGAAAGCTCGAGCTTTTTTTATTGTTTTCCGCTTGGACTCCTCAGCTTTTGATTCTTTTTATTGTAGCCAATGGGCCTTCGTCTCCGTCAGGGACTGAGGCTCTTTCGCACCACTATGTCTGGAGAAAAGATCTACGAGGGTGTCTTCGGTACGTCTATAATGGAGCATCTCTTCCGCTTTCTCAGCTAACAGGCCAAGCCGTTCACAAGCCCCAAGGCGTAACCTCCGCCGACGTTATCCGCAAACTCCAGGAGCACTTTAACCCGTCTGACCTCTTCAAGCCATGGCTCGAGACCGAACGCGCAAAGCGCAATCAAGAGAACAACTTCCAACGCAGACGCCGTCGCTCGCAGCGCCTTGATGTTAAGATTGGACATGGTGGAACGCTTGACCCTCTTGCAACCGGGGTTCTCGTGGCGGGTGTTGGAAAGGGAACAAAGTTCCTCAATAGCTTCCTCGGATGCACAAAGTCTTACGAGACGGTAGTTATCTTCGGCGCGGAGACAGATACATATGACGTGTCAGGCAAAATTGTTCGGCGAGCACCCTACGAGCACATTACCCGCGAAGCAGTGGAGAAGGCACTGGAGCAGTTCCGTGGGAAGATTATGCAGCGTCCGCCAATCTTCTCAGCGCTCAGGGTTCAGGGAAAGAAGCTTTACGAGTATGCTAGGGAAGGGAAAGAGCCGCCTATTGAGATCCAGTCTAGGCCAGTTGAAGTGACTGACTTAAGGGTTGTAGAGTGGTATGAACCTGGGACGCATGAGTATAAATGGCCTGAGAAAGAGGCTCCCGCTGATGAGAAGGCCGTTGCGGAAAAGCTGTTGGCGAAGGATGATTCCCTTCCTGTTGCTACCGCCGCTGCTGATGCCGATGCCTCTTCGAAACGCAAATCGCCTCCGGTAGAGGGCTCCAAAGGCGACGAAGCCACCTCCGATACGTCTGCAGTAAAAAAACAAAAGGTTTCCACCGAAGGCGATGCAGCACCGGCCCCTGAGAAAAGTGATGTGCCAGAAGCTGAGGAGGAAAAGACCGCAGAGACAAAGCCTGAATCACCAGAAGAATCAAAACCTTTACCACCGCCACCTGCGGTCAAGATTACCATGACCGTTTCTTCAGGCTTCTACGTCCGTTCTCTGGCGCATGATTTAGGCAAAGCCCTAGGGAGCTGTGGCCTCATGTGTTCGCTTATCCGATCTCGCCAGGCGGACTTCACCTTGGAGCCTGATAGGATCCTGGAATACAGGGATCTCGAAGCCGGCGAGGAGGTCTGGGGCCCAAAAGTCAAGGGATTCCTCGAAGAATGGGAGCAAAAGAGAGCTGCCGAAGAAGGCAAGAATTAGATAGATAATTGTACCATATTCCATACATAAAATATAATGAGGGTATAATTAGATCTTGCACGAATTATAACACGCGCCTAGCAATAGCTGCTATGTAGCAAGTCTGACTCGTGATTCCATACATCTGGTCGAGAAATGTCGAGCGAAAAAGAAAGTTGAACTTTGAAGGGTAAATGACGCCTCAGATGCAGTGTCAGGGGGAAGATAGCCGGTAGAATGACAAAAAGAAAATCGTTTTGATAGGGTATACCGCTGGAAACATGCATGATGATAGGGAAAGAAAGCAGGACGGTGTAGAAAGGGAATGGATGCATGAAAATTGGGATTTTAGATCGAAAGAAATGTAAACGAATGCTATAGGGGCAATAAAGTTATTTTGACACGAGTTGCTGGTGAATGCTATGGGCCTCGACAAGAGCTGTTCCAGTTAGTCTACCTGCAATGTGTATTCGAGAAAATGGATATATAACTCACTTTGGAGAACGAACGCCTGCCCTTGTCTTGATTCGCAGGCGCATTGCAGAGTGCTTCCGTCTAAAAAGTCCAGCAAGATACTGTTCGAAAGTTCTTGTCGTTCTTCGTCCGGTATGCATGGAGTTCGAAATTCGGACAAGTGGTATCGTTTGATCATGTTGCGATTACTCGAGTCGATGTTCCCTGGAGTCAAGACTAAAAATCCTTGGCTATCAATTCGGATAAATCGCCGCTTCCAAAGGAGAGTGTCAGGAAACTGAACATTAACCTCGCCAATATCAACTGCTGCAGGAAGCTCCACTGTATTCTTGGGTCCCTCTGCTACAGATGGCATGCTTTCCTCCTCTTTTACTGCTGGGCTTCTCGAATTGGCGGTGCTTCGGCGCGTGGGTGAAGTGAGTGATGACATACGGCGGAGAAGTCTGGAGGCGCGAGATTCTCTCTTCTCCTCGGGCGAAGAAGCCGACGTTTCACTTGGGGATCTCGAAAGGAAGTATCCGTCATTTTTGGAGGACCCAGACAATCTACTGTCCGAACGTGGTAGGGCAGCCGGTGGCGGTTTGGGCGAGCCTGTAGGAACGTTGGCAGGAGAGGCAGACTTGCTTCGTAGTTCTTCTTTGTTTATGATAGACTCCGGGGTGGGGTTTCGGGACGGAGACTCGTCCGGAGTGCCAGTTTCGACAGTGAGCGGACTAGCCTGCAAGTTGAGCGAGCCGGGTTCCGTACCCTTGTTCAGCTCGTTCCCGTTAGGGACAGGTTCACGGACAATGCGTGCTGTCACGGATACAGAGCTTGCGGGTCGCTCGGCATTGGTGCTAGCTCTCGAATCGGGCCGTCTCAAACTAGCAGCTCGAGAAAAAGGCTCCGGTGAAAGTCGTGGCATTTCCGAGTTACCACCGCCATAGGATATTGAAGCTCGCTTCCTGAGACTCTCAAAGGAGGCTGCAGTTGGGTTGGAGACGCCCGTGGCCGGAGTTGCCGGTCCATCGCGGCTACTAGAGAACTGCTCCAAAGCCTTGATGCGTTTAGAGATTCCGGAGGAAACATTTATCTTTTTGGCCACCAACACAGGACCGGTGGGATTCTCGGCCGGTGAAAAGGGACTTGAAACGGACCTGCCGGTAGCGAAAGTAGGTGTATTGGGAAACTGATGTCCAATAGCGCTTGGGTTAGAAACAGCACGTGAATTTCTCCAAGCATCAGGCGCAGACTGAACATTCCCCCCGTTTGAGTAACCTGGTGACAGAGGAGACTTTCCCACCGAGATGGGCTTCGCCTCCTCGACCGTAGCACTTTTCAATTCTTCCATGAAGGAATCATCAGAGAGACTGTCGTCATCAGAATAATCGGGGGTCGGAACTTGTATAGGCTCAAGGGCAGGTCTGCGTCTCTCTTTTCGGGTTGTTGCGTTTTCTTGATCTATGTTTATAACTTCAGGCGTTGGTGTATTCTGCAGATCGACGAGGTTCGAAGCGATTATTGTCGAGGAGTCGGTGACGGATTCCGACCGCGTCTCAGACACGGGTGATTTTGGTAGAAGGATTGACTGGGGGTGGATGTTCTCGTCTGTATCGGCGGGCACGGCCACCTCGTTTTCGTTTGTAGTGAAAGTCTCCTCGTCGACCGGCGGGGGAGGTGGGATAATTTCTTCTTCCCCCGAGTCTGGGGGATTTTGAGAATTGTCTTCAAGTGGGACGTCAACAATGGCGCTAGGAGAGCCGGTGCCGCACTTAATGTCATTTTCAGTGGACCCAGTTGCTTCTTCTTGAATGGGATCGGTTTCGGGCCCAGAAAGAACGACTTCCTCCGCAATCTTCTCGTCACCAATCAATCCAGGATCTGCGGGTGAGTACGTAGTACTGGGTAGCATATAATTGGACTCATCCTTGACCATTTCTACGACTGGCTCTTCCTTGATCGGGCCAGAAAGATCTTTCGCCTGACCTTGATATCCAGCAATTTCAACAGTATCAGCTTGTTGGTTTTCAGGCTGTAAGATGAAGAGTGGACACTTGTTGTCGTGCTCCGAGATGCTAGATAACCTCAGCCGTCCTTTGCCATACTTCTGGTTCTCAGAGTGTAGCCCAAGGTTTCCTGTGTCGTCGTTCGCATCCTGCGTTGCGATGCTAGTTTCTTCATTAGAGGGTTGGGTCTGTTTCGCTGCTTGTGCCCTCTTCTGCATCTGCGATTTGCGTAGCTGAAGCGCTTTCATAAGTCGCTCCTTCTCGTTGGAGGTCGAGGATGTGGATAGTGCACTCAGTGACTTGGCACCAGGAGAAAGCTGGGGTCTTGAGATTGACATTGAAGATGGCGGCACCAAAAGCGGGGGCACTGGGGGTACCTTAGCAGTTGGACTCGCGATAGGGTTCCCGTGGGAGCGAGGACGGGCGAGAGAAGGATTGGACTTGCGAAACGGGGATGCTCGCATACCGGCAGGTAGAGGCGCGACAGGTCTTTGTTCAACGCTGCGTGCGAGATTACCCGCCGTGCGCGGCCGTCCACTACCATCTACTGAGGGCCTGGGTCCTAGCTTCACCTTGGGCTTGATTCCCGCTGCGCGTTCAAGGTCTCGAATGGAAGGTCTCGCCGACTGCGTAGACTGCCGGGATTCCGACGGCACCAGAGACAAATCATCGGCATAATTCCTGGATGAATCAGGTCGTGGCTCCGCAGAGACAGAATGTGAGAGGCCATTGGCGTAGTCGTCATCTGGACTCGTTGGTACGGATGTATCGCCACTGGGCCCTTGAGGCGCAGTTGATGCTACTGATGGGGGCACAACTGTCGCTTCCGACGCTTGACTGAACGACCGCTGTCGGGCATCCTGGGCTAAAGCTTGAGTCTGTACCGTCTCCTTTGCGGGTGACTCCTCTGCATCTTCCGCGATTTCCATCAGTCTGCGACGGCGGAGTGAGCTCGAAGAAGACGTTATAGAACCTGAAGCGGTGTGTAGGAGACACGCGGACGAAAGGGCGCTTTCCGTCAATTCGGACGGTTGCGACAAGGAGAAGACAGTATCATGAGGCGAGAATTTGTCAAGGACCGATTTGAATTGAACTGTCGTTCTAGCTACAAGGAAGCGAGTCATATGTTAGCGGTGTCAATGACCCACGGCTAATGGTCAAGCAAACCTCGCACGAGTCGGGATAGGTCCTCAGGAAGATAGCTGAGGACGACCTTCCTCCGACGGTATTGCAGAAACCCGTAGAGTGGAGAGGATTCCTCGTAGCTTTCAATCGCATTCCGCACATCGGGCACTCCTCCAGTCCCGCGCTCATGAAGAGCTATTTCATCCCTTGACACATAGCGTAGAAGGAACCTATCGAGAAATGATATGCGTTAGGAGAATTCCTGGACGGCCAAGGTTAATTGATAAACGTACCATCCTCCAGCTTCGGAGAGAGCGATCTGGTATGCTTCAAGGACCGTGGGACTATCTAACCCATTGAGAGACATGGCGCGAACGCATCAGGCTGGAGTAGACCTGGAATGTGACACCTGGAAGGGCGTTTGTCGTTGTACAAACAAGGAGGGGGAGGGGGTTTCTGGGAGATGGGAAAAGAAACAGACAGGTACAGGTACAAGGCAAAACGAGCGACAATAGCGAAAGGTCAAACGAAAGATCCCATTTCCGAACTAAAAAGAATGATGAGATGAGACCAAGATGGTTCCTGGATAGAAAGCTTGGAGAGCGGTCGACTGCAGACTCACGAACCCTCAGGGGAAGGGGTCTCCCGGCTCTTGTTAGTGGCCCACTCTTGGGCGAGTTCAACAGCGGACTGAACTGTCCGCTTGTTGTAGCTTAGATCCAGTGGTTCCTGGCTGCCCAATTCTGAAACAATTTCAATGCTCAATCCTGACTGGCTGTCACGCTTGGATCGAAGACTCGAATATGGGGTAGGCTGTGGTCCGTGGGCACTCGGAAGTTAGAACAGGAAAACTGATGAAGAAGCTTCTTGGAGTCTGCCCAAAGATTCTCAACAGGGCCGGCTGGGCTGATGAGGAAGGCTCGACCAGGCCCTCTTTCCTGCGCTACTTCTACCGCTGTACGGAGTAACATCAACATTGTCATTGATTGTGGGTGAGGCAGTGTCGCAGTTTATTTCACCATCGCGATCTAGAGTTCCACCCGTGATACAATAGTCCAGTGCCCGATGCCCCGATTAGACAATTATAGACGGCGCTTGGCGAGAACTATCGATGTCAGAAGAAGGCTGTCACCGATTGCGGCATTCTAGAATCCTTCCATAGACTCGGCTAGCTTCTTCACTCTCTTCAATAATTTGAAGAAGATGGTCATAGATTCATAAATCATGACAATCGCTGGACTCCGCTTTGCCAGCACTCCGTCTCGGAAAGCGCCGACGCGGGGAATGACTTCAAGGCCATGACCCGTACTTATATCTATGCTGTCTACGGTGTACAACTTCGCTTGTTGTCCTCAATTTCACCAAGTACTCTGTACCACGAGCGTCTGAAAAAACCACGTACCGACCACGATGCCCTCTCTCCCCCCACCCTCCTCTCTAAAGGAGCTGCCGCAGGAGCAACAATTCCAGGCCCTCGACACACTGTTCGAGTCATCGTCAGAGCTTCATACTCTCATGGCCCCGGTCCTCGCTAATCAGACCTTCTCTTCTTATACAAGCTTGATCGACGCCGTGGGAGGCCGGATGTCGGCACTCTCGGCCGCCAACTCACCGACCGATCGAGACATCCTCGTGGGAATTCTCGGATCACATCCCCGTCTAGGCCAGCCGAAAACAGCCGCGGCAGAGCACCTGAGCGAACTCAGCAGAAAGGAGCAGGCGAACCTGAATACCGGCGCGGAAGGCCAGGCAGAAAAGCTGCGGTTGTTGAATGCCGAGTATGAAGAGAAGTTCCCAGGGCTACGCTTTGTGTATGTGATGTTGGCCATGGACTGTTTGGATTGAAGCTGACGCATTTCAACAGGACGTTCGTGAATGGCCGGAGCCGGGACGTGATTATGGAGGAAATGCGCGCAAGGATTGACCGGGGCGACACTGAGCGGGAAATTGAGGAGATTATCCAGGTGAGTCATTCACATGAACTCCAGGGGCAAGAAGGATTCTTATCTCGTTGGTAGGGCATGGTTGCAATCGCGAAAGACCGGGCAGGTAAGTTGTGTTAATGGAGGCTTATTTCTGCTGATAAACCCTGGTCTAACAGCTTAACTTCAGCCTCGATTGGAGGAAATTCCCCGGCGCCCCTGGGCTGAGAGAAAAACTTCACATTGACAAGATGACAAGGATTGGATAATGTATGTGTCTTGGAGTGGGGGCTGTACAGAGTAGTTTTGCTGAAGACGGAGTTGTCGGAGTAACTATGATTTCATAGAGGGTCTCTATCCGCAGACCAGGGTCCAGAACGGGCGCGAGGCAAGATTGACTGTCAGCGATACAGAGAATCTCCCAGTATCCTCTCCAATAATAATAAAACCTGTTCAGCCCCGGACTGAGATAGTACGACCACTAAAGTCAAGTACCACGAACTAATAATTAATTGCGCCGCGCTCGACCCGACCCTTCCACTTCCTCTCCCTCCTCCTCCCTCCTCGTCCTTATTGTCGCAGCTCGCCCATCGCCGTCGCATGTGCGATGAATAAAAGCCCCCCATGGTGCAGGCGGAGGCTCTGAGAGCGCCTGGAGACGGCCCAGGGTCCTCGGTCTCGGTCTCACGGGCTTCGACCGTCCCCGCGATCGTCACCAGTGACCCCTCGGGTTTGACCACCAACAACAACGATCACGGTATCGCAGGCGAGTCCAGTCCCATCACGCCAGTGAGATCTGGACTGACCCGAACCTCCCACTCGTTTCCCATTGGTATGTTCTCGTCACAAGACGCCGCGATCTGACCTGTCCGGCACCTCACGCCTCGTGTCCCGAGCCCCGGAAGCCCCGGGTGATGTTGCGCAAGGATCATGATTCGCTGATTGCTGCTTGCTTTTTCTCTGCCAGGATCCGCGGCGTCTGATGTTGCTTCTGGTTCGAGTGGGAATCAACAAGATGCGACCAGCGCTGCGAGAAAGCCCTTGCGCCCAGGCCCCCCGCCTTACGGCTCTGGCTCGGGTTCTGGCCTCGTTGGCAGGAATTCCACATCATCACCGACCATCCTAGAGAGCGCCGACTCCAGCGCGATTGATCCGTTGTCACAAGTAAGGGCGTCCTGTTTTCGAGACTTCTGCAACATGTGAGCACTAGTGGCTGATTGCATTGGTTTGCGACCAATACAGCACATCATCAAGCGCACCAATACCCAAAAGTCGATTCCGCTGAAACTATTGGGGAGAGCGTCCTACGAGGCTGAAGCTGGCGGCTCTGACAGATACAGCCCTGTCGACCAGGGTCCGAACCGCGGCGACCAGGCACCGCAGAGGCCCCTTGTCAAAGAGAAGAAGTACGTCCTGCTTGCTCCCGTGAAAGCGAGCTGCATATGCGTATCGGATTTGAAAATGTTCATTTCCGAGTCGCGCATATAATGTCTTGATGAACCCCGCTTTGTCTTGTCCCACTCTGCTCCGGAGTGTGTCTTCGATGACAAGTCAGGCTGACTATCGCATAGGAAAGGTGTTTCCTTCCTGAGTCGCATTCTTCCCGGCAAAAGGAAAGATCTATTCTCCGATGAAGAAGACAATGTATCGGAAATGGGTAATGCGCGCAATGATGCTCCAGTTGCTGCGCAACCGATAGGCTTCTTTCCTAAGTTTCCACCGCCGCCAAAGTACGCCCGGGTTAGGGCTCATTACAAGAAAGAGAAGACCTTTAACCGGCTGTTTCAAGCCCAGGAGCTGGAGGGTGCTGAGATTCCTGCCCTCGTAAACGAAGACGAGCGTCCCGGAACGGGAGATTCACAAAAAAGCAAATCTTCTGGGAAAGCCATTTGGGCCTTGTGCTTTTCGAAAGATGGCAAGTATATTGCGGCCGCTGGTCAAGACCGCAAAGTTCGGGTCTGGCAGGTCATCACAAACCCTGAAGACCGCGACAATAGTGAATCTGATGGCGAGGAGGATGATTTGCCACGGCTAAAAGCGCCGGTCTTCAAGCAGAAGCCGGTTCAGGTGTATGACAACCACAGCGGGAGCATTCTTGACTTGAGTTGGAGCAAGGTATTGAGTTATGTCAACTCTTTCGGCTGCGCTTGCTGATCGTGCTAGAATAACTTCCTCCTTTCCTCGTCCATGGACAAAACCGTTCGGTTGTGGCATGTTTCTCGGCCGGAGTGCCTGTGCTGCTTGAAGCTTCAAGCACAGCGATTTTGTGACGTCAATTCAATTCCATCCCCGCGATGACCGCTTCTTCCTTGCAGGATCTTTAGACATGAAACTTCGACTGTGGAGCATTCCAGATAAGAGCGTGGCATTCAACGTGACGGTCCCGGATATGATTACGTCCGTCTCTTTCACTCCCGACGGAAGACACTCGATGGCAGGATGTCTTAATGGGATGTTGAACATATACGAAACAGATGGTCTAAAACCAGCTGGGAGCATCCATGTTCGCTCGGCACGCGGGCGCAACGCGAAGGGTAGTAAGATCACTGGTATCGACTCCATGGTTTTGCCTCAAGGTGACTCGGAGGGCGCGGTGAAACTTCTAATCACGAGCAACGACTCGCGCATCCGCCTTTATGACTTTCGGGACCGGACTCTGGAAGCCAAGTTTCGCGGCAACGAGAACACATGCAGCCAAATTCGGGCTACCTTCAGCGACGATGGGAAGCATGTTATCTGCGGCAGTGAGGACCGCAGGGCATATATTTGGCCGCTGGGCTCGGTCGAGAAAGATGCCGATAAACGGGCCTTTGAGGTTCTTGACACCCAATCGGCGATGGTAACGGCTGCCATCATGGCGCCGGATTCGACGAAGCAGGTTTTAGGGCTTTCAGAAGATCCGATTTACGACCTCTGCAACCCGCCACCGGTAACACTGGAGAGCAACACCAAGAAAGAGAATGCTCGACAGAATCGCCTGTCAACGGCCAGCAAGCTGGCCCAAGAGTCGCCCGGATTCCTTTCACGTTCGACGCATCCAGGCGGGAATATCATCCTCGCGGCCGACTACTCAGGAAAGATCAAGGTCTTCCGGCAGGACTGCGCTCATCATAAGCGTCGGTATGATAGTTGGGATACACACTCAACGATCTCACGGCGGCTCCTGCGCCGGTCCAACTCTGCGCGACACAGCATCGCCTCCTCCATCGGCAAGGATTCTTCCCACAAGACGCCATCGGAACGTATAATCTCATGGCGCAACTCAGTAGTCGGACATGACAGCACGAACAACAAAGACCGCCAGCCGTCCAGGGCGGGAAGTCCGTCTCCTCAGAAGGCCATGCGAGGGGCATCTCGGAATTCGAGTCCGGGACGCGGTTCATCTGGCGCACGAGGTGAATCCCGCTCAGCGTACACCGCGTCTCCGCCACCATCAGCATACAAGTCATCATTCTCAAGCCCGCGATCAAGCTTCGCCGAGAAAAGGAAACGCACCGGCGCCGGCTCTAAACCAGAGGACCCTCGCGCGGCGCCTGCGCCCCAGTCAGCAGCCGCAGTAATCAAAAGGGGAGACGTCAGCGACAATCCACTCTGGCTACAAGGTGAGCAGAGCTATGCCTTCTACAACAAAATCACCCAGGACGCACTCGCTGTTAACCGCAACTCCCCTGGACTCCTGGGTCCAACTCCACGGCCTAGTCCGGAGCGGAAGCTCACTAGGGCTAGCGCACTCAGCAGCGAGTATGCGTCATCTAATGCCTCTGATGCTGAAAACGACGTCCTAAGGTGTGACAGCTGCTGGGGCACGAATTTCAAGGCCACCAAGGGTCGGAACGGCAAGCAGCAGTTGATATGCGTGCGTTGTTCCCGGCCTATCTCTTCAATGGCGGAATAGTCGCGCTTTACACTTCGTCTTCACACCATTTTCCTCGTCTTTGGCTTTCTTTTCTGGCTCGGACATAGGCGGGCATGGTATATATTGGTGGCACTTGTTCATAATTCACTTCATGCAGATGCATTGGCGTCGATGTAGGTCGCATTTTGGATTTGGATTTCTCTTGGGGTTTGCACGACTGTATTTAGCATTTTTGGCACTTTGTATGTGTAGTAACGATTGGGATGAGAAGACATGAGCATTTATATCTTCGTTTATTCTGTTGCCTAATGCCAGACTCAGTTACCAAGACATGGCACTGCTGCATTCCATCATGGGCATACAAGCTCCCATCCACCGCCAAGCCGCCACCGAAACTCACCACCAAGCCCGAGTTCCGCTATCATATTCTCCCGCCGTCACTCCACAATCCCGAGGTCACCACAATCATCGCAAAAGAACACCTAACCCCGCGGAATCAGTCATTACAGAAAATTTGCAACAAGACCGCAATCAGGTCCAACCCCGCAAAGTAAACAGACAGCACCAACCGAGTGACGCAAAATAGAACACATAAGAGAAAATGCCTTCAGGCCCCTACCTCCCAACCTCCGCCGCCTACCTCAAGGAATCCTCTCTTCTCCTACAGGCATATCCAAACTCTGTATGGCCCATTTTACCAAATACTCCCAACTCAACCTCAAGTAAACTAACAAATCGACTAGACCCGGATAACAACAAAATACACCTTCCCCAAATCCTCTCCCTCGACCTCCACAAAGAAATCCAAATCCGAAAGCACACCCTCAGCACAACCATTAACACCCGCCGCGCCAATTGCAACCCTCGTCCTGAAAACATACAACCCTGAGTCCGGGATATGCTTGAAGTACCGCACAAATAAAGCCGCCGAGGTCGGGCGGTTGATTACGGCGCTGGGATTACTAGCGGGTGGTGCGGATATGGCGAGCTTGGATGGGCCTGTTGCTGCTGCAGGGGGTGATGTGGAGATGACGGGGACAGGTGAGGAGGTTGCGGCTACGAGTACGGCTCCGACGGCGGCGGGTGCGGGTGCGAATACCGGTGCGGGTGTTGGAAAAGGGAAGGGGAAGGGGAAGAAGAAGGGCAAGAAATGAGCATGAGCGTATGTGTATCGCATTTGATTGTGATCAGAGATACCATCTACCTGTTATCGTGCTGGGCTTGACTTAAGACATGTTGCGAGACGTGGAAGTCCGCCTTGACATCTTGACTGGGGTGTATTTATTCTAGACTACTCCGTATTCCAGAGTTGATATGCACAAGAGCATTCAGCGTGAGGTCAAAGAAGCGTTACGAGTATCAACGCATAAGCAGGTCTACAAGTGTACAGTTCGACCAAAATAACTATCCAATGTACATTTGATATCCTATTCACTAAATACATGTCGCATCCCATACCATAACGCATGTGACGAGACACTTTAGACATTAAACAAAAGAAACCCGCCTATTCAAACGCCGAACCATGTGTATCCTTCAATAATTCATCAAGCAATGAACAAACATAAAAATGGAGAGGGGTATAAAGTTGCGCCGTCTAAAAGTCCTCGTCGAAGGACAAACCGTTGCCACTGCTGGCCTTGCTCTCGTCCTGCTTGGGGTCCTTCTTGGTGCTGGCCATGACACCGGCCTTCTGGTAGTCGCCGACACGCTTCTCAAAGAAGTTGGTCTTACCAGCCAGGGAGATGGTCTCCATGAAGTCGAAGGGATTGGTGGCGTTGAAGTACTTCTGGTTGCCGAGAGCGACCAGGAGACGGTCAGCGACAAACTCGATGTACTGGCACATGAGCTTGGCGTTCATGCCGAGAAGCGCGACAGGAAGAGCATCTGTCAGGAACTCCTTCTCAATAGCGACAGCCTCGACGATGATGTCCTCAACAACCTTCTTGGACGGGCGCCAGTTCAGGTGAGAGAAGAGCAGGCAGGCAAAGTCAGTGTGGAGGCCCTCGTCACGGGAGATAAGCTCGTTGGAGAAGGTAAGACCGGGCATCAAGCCGCGCTTCTTCAGCCAGAAGATGGAGGCGAAAGAACCGGAGAAGAAAATACCCTCGACGGCAGCAAAGGCGACAAGACGTTGGGCGAAGGTGGACTCCTTGTCTTGAATCCACTTGATGGCCCAGTCGGCCTTCTTGCGAATGCAGGGAACTGCTCCAAGTCAGCGCGCGGTCAAAAAAAAAAACCTGCAGAACATACTAGTATCAATGGCATCGAAAAGGTAGGTGCGCTGCTTGGGCTCCTTGATGTAGGTGTCGATCAGGAGAGAGTAGGTCTCGGCGTGAATGTTCTCAATCATGATTTGGAAACCGTAGAAGCAACGGGCCTCGGGAATCTGCACTTCACCGCTGAAGCGCTCGAGCAGGTTCTCGTTGACAATGCCATCGGAAGCGGCAAAGAAAGCCAGGACGTGGGAGATGAAGTAGCGCTCGTCCTCGTTCAGGCGGTTGTTCCAGTCGTGCAGGTCCTTGGAGAGATCGATTTCTTCAGCGGTCCAGAAAGAAGCCTCGGCCTTCTTGTACATCTGCCAGATCTATATATCGCGAGGAAACGTCAGTGGACGTGGTCCAGAGGGCGGTAAGAAATTTCCACTTTACGCGTGACGCGTGGCGTGGCGCAGGTACTGACCTCATGGTACTTAATAGGGAATAGGACGAATCGGTGAGGGTTCTCTTGGAGCAAAGGCTCGTTGGCTTCGATGGCCTGAATGTCAAGAGCAGCCTTGGACATCTCAGTGGGCTTCTCTGCAGCAGGCTTGGTGACCGGCGCGTCGATGGGGGTGGAGACGGGGGCGTTCTCCTTGCCGACAGCTTCAAAGTTGAGCTTCTTGACAGGAGAGTCGTTCATCTTGAGGTTCTCGAGCGAGGTAGCAGCCTGTGTAGAGCGATTGTAAGCTACTTTGCAAACCAGCGACGCGTCTGGAGCCGACGAGGCGTGATGGATCGACGTACCTGCTTTGAGGGAGTAACTTGCGCAGACATTGTGAAGGATAACTAGAAGCAGATGAAGACAGCGCTGAAGGAGGAATTGGTCACACCAACAACAGAATGCTTCAGTTTTTTGGAAAATGGGATGGAGAGAAAACAGCTGAGGAGGGAGGAGAGAAGAACATGATATAGCCGGCCAAAGACGCGAGCGACGCGATCACGTGGCGGAGCTACTAGCGCGTTTTGGTGGCTGACCAATTTAGGTTGCAGCAGACCTGCAGCCTGAGGCTCAACTTGGACCGCGTTTTCACCACACAACATGACGATGTCGGAGTCTCAGACCACTGGACATCAATTCAACCCGGTTTATGCAATCTCCACTAAATCCTAGTTCAGCTTGTTTATTGGCTTAGAGGCTTTCGAATGAACTATTGCGTACATACGTCGACCCCGAGCTGCTAGTTCGGATTTTATCTTATCAGATCATCTACGTCGCGTCTCGTGGAGACTAATCACCTAACTTTTAAACTAGAAAATAGCTGCTGGATAACGTGAAAAGGACCTCGCGCTATTCCTGGACCATTGTAGCGGCGTAACCATGTGAACTACGAAGTACTCTGTATCCCTACGCCGTATGCAGGAGCTGTTGCACAAGGCATGTACATGTGCTCCAGCCTCCAGGGCGTCTCTGTCCAGGGGCCCAGCCAGGTCTCATTTACAGGCTTACCGGCAAATAATACCCACTAACCCCCACCCGGCTTGAAACGGATTCTTATGAATCATCGAGTAAGCTATCTTTACTCCGAAGGAACGCTTTGTTTACGCGCTTTTCGACGCGACTTTGAACGCCCATTTGCAGATCTAGCCCGCTTCGGCGTCGGATTTACGGATAAGGCCAACTTCCAAGAATCTTGCTGTCATATATGGACTATAGAGCCATGCCGCATGCGCAGAGCCAGAGCTCCGACTTGGTCTAGGTTAGCCTGTTAGGTTGATTGAGTAGAATGAAAGTGGAGCACTGTTCTGCCTGATCATTTTCTAGATGTTCGCAGATGCCAAACGCGTCGAGACGTGGAGCTTAAAGCGAGTTGAAACTATCCCTATGAAATGTTAATGGACAATGGTGCATTATGCTTCTTCAATATCTACTTTCTGCTCTATAAACGGTAATCCAACATCAACGCTGTTTATATACATTCCAAAGCGCCAATCGCGAATGCCGAGACGTCTATTCCCACGATTTTATTCTAATCCAACCCTAGAGACGAGACTTGAGCGAGTCTGAAAGGAACCTGTCCTCCGCCCGACGCATGAGCTTGTTAGTTTGCTCAGCTAAACTGAGGGTCAGGATCTGCACGTCGGTCAGTAGTTGCTCGCAAACTTCAGCGCGAAGTACTCACGGTATGGGGCAGGATGCGGGCTAAGTGAGCGAAGTAACCCTTGTAGATAGCAAGGAGACCTTCCGTGCGAATCGTTTTCGCGAGGCAGTCGAATACGCCCTTGTACAGATTACCGGTCTGGTTGTACATTCTCGACATGATCGTGTCTGAAACCTGTTAGATCCGATCGGAATTTTTGGTAACTCGAGGTGCCAAGCGCGAACATACCAGGAGGATGCATAACGCAGCAAACAACAAACCCGGATGCTGTACTGCTGGCCAGGTGAAGGGCAGGGCCTTCCTCCATGCCTAAATGCTTCACCAAGCGTCTCTTCGCAAAGAAATATGTCGGCAGCTGAACGGAGCTACCGAAACCAGTTCGCACCATTGCCGCTCCCACACCACGGTATAGTCCGCCTACTCCCTCCGAAGCGAAGATCTTCCGCAGACCATCGAACGAGTTTCGGTACTGATGTTGCGTACCGACGGGGAGGAAGGGAGAGAATGACTGAAGACGGGTTTTGACGAGGAAAAATGGTGAGCCTGCAGCGGCACCGATGATACCTGACGAAGCACCAGCGAAGACGTTGATACCGAGGGATTGGACATTCGCGTCGTTATACACGGCGGTCGTGAGCCCTTTACGGATTGGCTCGTAGAAGCCCAGACGGCAACCATTGAGAAGGACTTGGTAGATATACTATGTCTCCTGTCAGTTTTGTTACGCCATGCCCAACGCTGTACCGACGTACTGCCGACCCAATTCCTCGGAACAAACCTCGAGGACCCTCGTTTTGCAGGATGACCTTCACGCCGTGCAAGACACCCTTGTATTTCTTGACTGCTTCCGACTTCGCCTGTAATTCTCCCTGCAGTTGTAGACTACGCGCGACAGCTGTTAGGAGCAGCCCAATGCGACAGAAGCCTAGGGTTATAGATCGCATACCGGATCTTCACTGTCTCGAAACTGTGTGTGACGGTGACCGCCCCGCATGCTGCAATGCCTCCGGCAATGAACGCGCTGATCCATTGGAACAAGATCAGTGCTATCCGTACAGTAAGGAAGGTGCAACATACCCGGTCGTTGTAGACATACTGAATCGGGCCGCCGTAAGCGGAGACGATCGGTCAAGGTTTTTGGAGCGGCGAGAAAAGAAAGTCAGACAAAAGTGACGCCGCTTATTGCATGTAGAGGTGAAGAGATGGGAAGCGCCTGCTGCGAGGGTGAAAAGAGCAAGGAATGAAGCAATGAATTGACAAGAAGCGTATCAAGCGCCTGGAATTATTATAAATGCTGACCGCGACCTCGGATTGTCCTTGGAGAGATGAGCCTTAATCTGCATGGTTATTGGCCCAACTGACCTACCGATCTCGGCCAACTTCCCCGTTTGTAGCCGCCGGAACGGAACAACTCTTGATACGCGCAAGCTGCAAACGCGCCTACGAAGCTTTTATTAACACCAGGAACAAAGAGGCTGGAGAAGCTTGGTTAGAAGCTCAGGAACCCAGGAACCGTGAGCTTCAGTATAGTGTCGCCAGGCTTAGCTTTGGACTTTATATTGACCATACGGCGACTCTGCTTATAGCCACTCAGATAACCGTCAAAAATGGCAGAAGGCGGCCAGTCAACACCACAGCAGCTCCCGCAACAAGCTACTCCAGAGACACAGAAGGTTTCGGATGTCATCCGTAGTTATCGGCCCACAAAGGTTGGATAGGCTTTATCCGTTTAAGCTTGCAGGTCTAATGGACATATCCCAGGTGTTCAAATCGTCTAAGCAGGACAGCTTTGTAACATCACTTGATTTCGATGATCGCGGAGAGTTCGTCGTCTCGTCCGGCGACGATGAAATAATCCAAATCTTCGACGTTAAGGACGGTAGAATGACCAAGTCCGTTCCTAGCAAGAAATACGGCGCGCATCTGGCTAGGTTTACCCATCATCCTCGCCAAGTCCTTCACGCGAGTACGAAAGTTGACGGTATGTTTACAGGATGACCACGAATGCTGCTTACTAACTGGAATAGACTCATTGCGATTGCTCGACTTGCATAGTGAATCTTATATACGCTACTTCTCAGGCCATACAGACAGAGTGACGTGTTTGGCGCTATCACCCGGCAGCGACTCGCTGATTTCATGCTCCAAGGATGATACAGTCTCTGTCTGGGATCTGAGCTCTAGGAACGCCCAGGGCAAACTGAAGATCTCGACTCCATACCTCGTCGCCTTCGATCCTACCGCATCGGTGATTGCTATCGCTTCTCAATCGACCTCTTCCATTGCTCTTTATGACTTCCGAAACTACGACAAACCTCCATTTTCGACCTTCGATCTCGCCAAGTACGAGGAGAGATATACGCCTTCGACCCGTGGCAGAGCATGGACTCGCCTTGAGTTCTCCAATGACGGGAAGTACTTACTCGTCGGAACTGACTACCATGGTCATTTTGTCCTCGACGCCTTCGAAGGTGAACTGAAGGTTTTCCTAGTTGGCAAGAATGGTTCACCGGGCAGGGCCGCTCCCGTTTCGGCTACTGGAAAGCCTCTCGGACAGGGAGATGCGTGCTTCACCCCAGAGGGCAGATATGTCATTGGCGGGTCGGGCGATCATCATGAGTTGGTCGTGTGGGATCTGCAACAGACTCCAGACACCAACCTCTGTTTGCAGCCAATGGTCAAATTACCGCATCGGGCTCGAACCGCCATAATCGAATACAACCCGCGATTCAACATGATTGCTTCTGCAGATAAAGAAGTCTACTTTTGGCTTCCAGAAGACCTTTCTAAGCCAGTCTAAGAGCCAAGCTGGTCATCGAAATACGACATACGCTGAGCACTTGGCAACAAACAACAGCCAGCGACTGTATATATTATGTGAACATGGCCGGCCTCCTATCTGATTCGAATATAAGGGATATCTAATTCTTTCGGCCCTTTTCCTTTCCTATCAAACTCCGTGCCGTATCACACACCCAGATCAACGGTCCCTTCAGATCTTCGTCATTCCTATACTCTTCGATCATGGTCTCGACCTGTTTGACTACCGTGCGGTTGCTTGTTATGGTCATTATATCCGAGACCCATCCGTACATAAATACACTAGTATTTATGTCAGACAGTATCTCCTCCACTTTACGAGCTATTGGGGACAACTTTGACTTCCCAAGATCGATAGCAGGACTTGCATCGATTATCCGGATGGGAAGATTCAGCTGAGAAGGTACTGGGTAGTCCGACACTTTTTGAAGTTCTTCAACGAGAGATGCTGACTTGGCGCAGGTGAAGGGCTGATCTCCCATCAAGATTGTCATTCGTTTTCTCTCGGTTTCGGTCCCGATTGTTTCGACAATCTCTCGCATTCTTCTAGCAGCCTCACTCGTGCAAATGAGCTCGTGCGATTCCATTGCTGGCCATAGCTCCGCTAATAGCAAAGGCCGTTCACGTTCCATCTCGATCTGCCGATTGATAGCCTTGTGATGCTGCAAGGAGGGCGCAATGTCCTTGCAATGCGACAGATCTGAAACAATGGCAAGTAGTAGGGTGCAGTCAACGTTGAGGGTAGGTGTGAACCTCTTGAACCGGTTGGGAAGGAGATTTCGAACTTCATCCTTAACAGAACCGACCCCGTCCTGTACTGCGGTATCGTTGCTGCTAGCCTTGATATAGAGTTGCGGAGCAAAAGCATCCTCTCCACAGCTGACTACCACGCCATAGCTGCGTATAGCCTTTAGAAGGTCATCAATCTCAGGACTTGATCCTTCTTCAACCTTCGGGATCACAAACCGCAGCTTCGGCCGCCTGTAATTCACCCAGACTAGATTCGCAGCTTTCCGCATATCACCCGCAAGCTTGAGCAGTTCAATCTCATCATCGTCGTCATCACTATCATCACCAGTATCGTGGTTCTGCAGAACCGTCCGCTCCTCCGCATCCGAATCAACATCCGAATCCCCCTCCCACCCCTTCTTCGCCATCTCGAACAACAGCCTCGTTTCTGAAATCGTAGAAACCTTCACCCACTCCTCCCCGTCATCTGCCACGATATCCACGAACACACTCCTCTTATTCTTATCCTTCCCTTTTCTACTCTTCCCTCCCTTCCCGGATGCAGATGGCCCCTCCCCATCCCAGTAGAACCTCTTTCCAAACGCAACAAGCCCCGTGCAACTCCTCTTCGCAATCGTCCAGACAGCCTCGTAGAAGGGTAGATTCGAGGACCTCAGCGCGTGAATAGCCCTTGAGTCGGCGTCTGTAGGTTCCGCGACCGAATCCCCGTCCTCCGCCTGCGCATGTTCATCGGAGTTTGAGTTTCCCAGCCCGTCCTGACATTGAGCCCGTCCCGCATCGAGCTGCCCCTGCAGCCTCTCCAGTGTCTTCAACTCAGAGAGGACATTCGAGCGTAGTGATCGCACTTCAACGACTTGTGGGTTACGTTGAGTTTCAGCGAGCAGGGCCGTGAAGGCGTCAAGTTCGGAGAGGAGGGTGCGGCATCGTGTGACAAGTGCGTGGGCGAGGCTGTGTCCGGTTGTGGTTTGGAAATCCTGGACGTGGTCGATATCGTGTGGAAATTGAGGTTTCTGATCCGACCTCGAGTCCTGAGGATCGGGTTTTGTGCCCCCATTCAAGGAGGTGTCATTTTGGTCGTTGCCCCGCATCTTGTTGTTTTGAGGTTTTTGTGGATGCGGGGAGAGTTTTGGCGGCAGATGTTTCTTAAAAGTTAGAGGTTGTACTCGAGGCACTACCGCCCACTCGCGTTATGAGTCATGGGTAATGCTGCTAGAATATAGCTAGCTTCTGGGAGACAAAGCCTAGTGTATAGTTTGCGTGTCATTTTGTTTATACAAGATAGAATTGCAGGTACAAGGCCTCGTTCACACTCATCGCCAAAAGCAGACTCAACAAATTACATGTATAGTGGGTTAAGACACAGAGATATAAACCTGGAAAACACCGAATCGTAACGCCCCCATATGCAGTCCAAGTTGAGTACAGTAAAGATCCAAGAACCTCATTCCACCATCGTTCAGTCAAACAATTTGCGCAAATGAGTCACTCCGAGGTTGATATCAGGAGAGACAAACAGTGTGACAAGTCGTCACGTCTCATGGAAGTCTCTGCTCGGAGAAGACATGATGATTAGTCCATATTCTTCGTCAGGGCTTTCCTCTCGGTTGAGTTGCGCGGCGACTCGTCCTCATCGTCGGACCATTTGTCACCATCTTCACCAACAGCGAAGATAGTCTCGCCATCCAATGACTCTCGAGTTCGTGCCGCGGAGGGAACTGGCTTTGGAGGTACTGGTGACAGGTCGCGACGTGGCTCAGGAGAATGTTCATCTAGGCCCCCAAGGGCGTCCTCTTCATCCAACGCTCCGTTGAAAGATCGAATCTCAAATCCATCATCATCTTGAGCAAGCTATAGAATGTGTTAACAACTTCCAAGCTCGTTCTCTGGTCTTGATTGCTCACCTCATCACTCATTGCGAAGCGCCTGTTGTTGGCAGTGGGTCGCCAGAGATAGGCGATGAACGCCAGATCAACGAGATAGACAACGCTCAGCCATCCATCCAACACAAACCATCGGTTCTTCCAATGATCGGGCAGGAAGTCGGCTTCGGTGCGGCTAGCAAAGGCCAGCGCATTGATGAAAATGAAGCCGAAAAGCACGATAATGCTGCCCAAAAGACAGTACCATAACTTCTTGTACATCATGGCCTTTGTCTTCTGCTTTCGGTCGATGAGGTCTTTCATCGTTGCGTTCAAAGAGCTCAAGGTCCATACGTAGAACGCGGTTAAGGTAGCCGCCAGAGGAAGCTCAATAAAAAGAATCAGAATGCCTGCCGCTTCGGGAGTGATGGACAAGCTCGCAACAGCGTAAATAACAGCGAAAACAAAATGCGTTATGGCGAGAATGCGAACATATACCATAGTCCGTCCTAATGAGGGCTTGACCACACCGTAGCCCATGCAGACAATGAGAAGAAGGAAGAACGAGAAGGAGGTGCGCATAGCGTTGAGGACAGCGACAATAACCATCAGGACTTTTGCTCCAATGTTCAATCCATGTCGATTTTGGAAATCTGACCGATGTTAGGGCTGTGCCTGGGGAAGTTTCAAATGCCGACCTACCGTAGAAACCCCAGGTCATCAATTGCTCTAAAATCAAGAAGACCAGGATAGCAGTTATGTAGTTTTGCACGGGTACTGCTAACCATTAGCAACCGATCGACAACCTTGCGAGGGAACATACAAATATCGTGCCGATTTTGGACGTATAAAAATGCCCAGTACAGGCCAATCACTGCATAAACAATGGTCAAGCCTCCGTAGAAGGGCAGTTTCGCAATCTGCGCCGCCGGAAGCTCGCCGTATGAGTTCCGAAATTCTACCACGGCCCGGTAGTCCTCACCCGAATACCCATACGTGCTCACGCAATAGTATCCGGTCTTCTTTATGGGATAGTTGATGGCTTCCGGGTTCTTGAGGTGTACTGCTTGCGATATTATACGGAATTGCGCGGCTTCGGTGGCGTTCGGGGCGAGGAGGAAAGAACCGAGTTGTCCTTTAGTACACAAATCGGCTGTGACGCTGGCTTCATCGCAGATTGATTGATATTCCTACCCATGAGATGAGCAATCGCCCGGCAACGCAGAATTATCGCATACCTCGGGATCTTCGGAGACACGTCTTCCAATCAAATGTTCATCGGTCCATTCAAATATCACAAGACTGGCAAGGGGATCCTCGCCGGCAGAAGATTTAGCGAACTTGGTCAAAATGAAGGGGTCGACACTTCCTCCCCAGGCCTTGCGGCTATACATGCCCGAACATTGTATCCGACGGGAGGGATCTTGTGTCTGCGGCCAAGAACATCAGAGCGTGATCAATAGCAGTAGCACTCAATGCATACCAATTCCGCTTCGTTCGCAAGAGCCTGGCCTGCCAAAAAGGCAGATACCCCAAGCGCCCTAATCCAGCTTCTCATCTTGGCTTCGCTTGGAGCTAACACGCGGCTCCCTGATAAGCAGAAATGGACCTAGTCGAAGGGAGTGATCATAGAAAACTGTGATAGATAATCAAATAGTAGGGATGATGCTTTCAGGCAACATAAAATGCTTCTGAGATAAGCCAGTAGTGTCCGCGGATGGAAATGTGGCTGTACCTCCGACTCCGTACCTAGCTTACACTGACACACTAACATTCCCCGGCAATCGAATGCAGTGCATATGCTAAGGTCACGTGAGATCTCCACAGTCTACCCTTTTTTCCATGCAAAGCCCCTCCAGAACTTTCGCAAACCAGGTGTACGCCCGTGAAATCGCAAAGATGCCTGGCAAGCCACTGTCAAATACATGTGTGGACTGTCGCAATGCAGATTACGTTCTGACCATTCGGGGTCGCTCTCTCTGCAGGTATGTATTTTGTTCCGATCCTACACTGCATATCTCTCTAACTCTTCTTCCCCGCACAGAGAGTGCTACATCCAGTTTGTTGGATATAAGGTGTTCAAGCGCATGGAAAAGTATCGCCTCCGAAGAGATCTACCGATAAATGGTCCATGTTCGGTCCTCCTACCTTTATCCTATGGCCTGTCTTCGTCGGTTCTATTGCATATGGTTCATGCACAAGTCCAGAGGTTGCTTTCGAAGCCTCACGCGCCACCGGGCTTTGAACTGCAGGTCCTCATAGTCGAACCGTCGAGTATATCTTCGTCGTCCCCGCCGCATAACGAGGCTTTCCAGTTGCTCCAGCAGCGATACCCTCATGCCTCGTTCACCAAGCTTCCACTGCATAGCGTTTATGAATATGTTCCCGGCTTAGGCGACATTCTCAGTGAATACGCTGGCCCAGGGTTTGCAGATGATGTTTCACTACCTCCGAAAGATCGCCTTGACACCTTTCGTGGTTCAATAACGTCGGCTACCTCTATTGCCGATGTTGACTCAGTCTTACTTAACAGGCTTATTGTCGCCTTTGCAAAGAGTCTCCGTTGCTTTGGAGTCGTATGGGGAGACTCGGACGATCGACTTGCTGCGAAGACACTGGCTAGTGTTTCCAAGGGTCGTGGTTCCTCACTGACATGGCAGGTTTCTGACGGAACATCTCCCTTTGGCGTGGAATTCACTTTTCCGCTTCGGGACCTGTTCACCTCGGAATTGCAAAACTACGCTAATTTTTTCCCTGATCTTACCGACGTTATTATCCCGGATACTCCTCTCTCCGACAACATTCTGACAAAGAACCTGTCCATTGATCAGCTGATGATGCGCTACGTTTCGTCCCAGGGAGCGAAATACCCCGGTGTCATGTCCAATGTAACAAGGACCGCGAACAAGCTTCAAGCATCCCGAATAACCACGGACGGATCGAGATGTGCTTTGTGTGAGACCCTTATTTGCAATCCTAAAGGGACGTCGAGCCACTTTCAACTGGCCACCGACTCAAACCAGTTTTGCTACGCCTGTGAACGATCCCGCCCTGGGCTAAGTTGAACAGTAGGGCACACGGCCTGATCAACAATTGAACAATATCGCATTCATTACCCCCAAGTGCGCCACATGGCTTAATAGGGAGCCCTTCGAACTTTCAGCACTACCTGCGGACAGGGGGATTTTCAACGATTCCAGTCTCCAAATCATCTTCTCGGCGCGCTGACCTACCGTGCTGGCCTTTTCGAGATTTTGACCTTTGTGGCTTCTTCCCATGTGTGGCATGCGCCTCTGATTCATATCGATCGAACTCATCTGGCAGGCTTGGATCGGTATTGGTTTGTTCTTGCCGTGAGATATTGCGGGCGCCCTTCTCCCGTAGGTATTTCTCAAGAGCAATGGCATTGCGTGTATTGCATTTGTACGCAGCATCCGCTATGTCTCCCACGAAAGGGACCAAACCGATGAGAAAGTCAATTATTATGTTGATCATCATCTGCGTTCGAAGCCGAGCCGGGAGTCCTCCGTCGATGCCTTCGCAGGTCTTCAGTACCATCATTGCCAGCGCAGCATCGGCCGCATCTCCGACACTGGGACATGGTCAGAATCAAGCTGTCCTGGTTCGTTGTATGTTGACTCACAAAGGGATTAAGCCAATCACACTCCCCCATCCAAACCTCAAGCCACAGAGGCTGAAAAGAGCAAGGTCCAGTCTGTACGCTCGTCGTTTGACTCGTGTGAGGACTTTGCTATCATTCTCGGAGAGGCCAGGTGGGATGGCTTTGCGTCGTTTCTGTGTCTTCTTGCCAAAGGTACGGCCTAAGCGCGATGCAGGGACCTCTTCAAAATATGGATCCTATTATGGCGATTTGTATCAGATACGGTAGAATGAATGATCATAGCAGCATTGGGCTCACCTCTTGTCCGAAGTGGTTTCTGGCGGACTCGGCGAGGATCTTCTTCCCCACAAAGTTGAAAAGAAACGACATGACTTGCGAATATCTGAGAAAATGGTAGTATAGTAATTGTAGAAGTGTGAGATAGATTTGGTTTTGTGGGGCTATTCTGCAAGCTCACTAGAAAAGGGGTTTAAAGATCAAAGATCACTGAAATTTGGGTTCTATAATAGATATACCTCATCAGATCACCGTCCTTGGGCAGCTGAAATAGACGTCATCGGCGGCTATCGCATCTTGTTTGCTCAGCTCTTAGGTGAAATCACGTGCTGACACTCGCCACAGCACAGCACGGCCACCGGCCCACTTCAGGCACATCATAGCTGTGAGTCTCTGGCCGACAACTCTGACGCATTTCTCTTCATTCATCTGCTACTCGCATTTGTCGGTGACCGGACCAGCCGATACCCCATCGCTTGCGCTGTGCTTTCAATAATTGTCTGCTTCAGGGTTGGCGCTTCGCCAAGCACCTCTCCTTGAAGCTGCACGACTGCTCTCCGAGCTGTGTCTGTTGACGACCTGCTTTTCCTAGCGACCTCGGGGTATCACTCGGCCATAATAGGCCGTCTTGAAATGCCAAAGCACGCCCTTCACTATGACAGAAACAAAGATGCAACTGGAGGACTGTAAGTCTCGTTCTTAACCGCAATGCCCCTCCCGAGATCGAAGAACGCGCTAACAGTGATTGGAAACAGGGCTAGATGACTTGTGTGTCCGCTTTATTATAAATCTGCCTCGCGAGGAATTGGAATCAGTTGAGCGGATATGTTTCCAAGTTGAAGAAGCACAATGGTTTTACGAAGATTTCATCCGGCCGCTGGACCCGGCCCTTCCTTCACTATCCCTGAAGGCTTTCGCCCTGCGGATTTTCCAGCACTGTCCGCTCATGGCCAGCTGGTCTCGTTATCACCACATGACTGCCTTTTCCGAGTTCCTTGCGTACAAAACTCGAGTTCCTGTTCGTGGCGCTATCATGTTGAACCAGGAAATGGATGAGGTGGTTCTGGTCAAGGGTTGGAAGAAGGGTGCTAATTGGAGTTTTCCCCGAGGGAAAATAAACAAGGACGAAAAGGATCTTGACTGCGCGATTCGTGAAGTTTACGAAGAGACTGGCTATGATGTGCGGGAGGCGGGCCTGGTGCCAGATGACGAGATCGTTAAATACATCGAGATCACCATGCGTGAACAGCATATGCGGCTGTATGTCTTTCGTGGTGTCCCACAAGATGCCTATTTTGAGCCTCGCACGAGAAAGGAGATCAGTAAGATTGAATGGTGGAAGCTTTCCGATCTGCCGACCTTGAAAAAGAGCAAGCAGTTTGATCAGGGGCAAGCAGCAGCTATCGCGAACAAATTCTACATGGTTGCGCCTTTCCTCCATCCCCTCAAAAAATGGATTGCGCAGCAGAAGAAGAAGCTGGACCCGAAAACGCAAATGGATATCAACCAGGTTCTTATGGAGGCGGAGGTATCAATGGATGAGGGTCTTCAGACCATCAACGTTGATCATGTGTCGAGCCAAATGCCCCTTGAGGCGGCCGTTCCCAGTGACCTGCCAGAAGTGGCAACATCTCAGGATGCATCTGCGCATCTCAAGCGGCTCCTCAACGTCAATCCAAATCTCGCTACGCCAGAGCCTGTCCAGGCTTTATCTAATGCCGGCCCAACTTCTTCGAGATCGCACGCTCTCCTCGAATTATTGAGAAGCGGCACTTCCCCGAATCCTCCATCAGGGCCCTCGCAACCACCTAGGGATGGTCCCCAGTTGCCCCATCCTTCCTCTGGACCCTTTCCTGGCTTTCCTCCACAATTTGGGCCGGCGGAAAATGCACCACAGATTCCGCCTCCCTATCGTGGTTTTCCCCAGATTCCATTCTCAACAGCGGATCCGCATGCGCCTCGAATGCCGCAAGGCTTCCCAGCGGCTCATTACCCAGTGCCTCCAGGTGGCTACCCAGGCCCCTTTAGTTCACCTCATCAACCTCCCGTTCCGCCAAGGCCCTTTCCACCAGGATTCCACTCCGGACCCGCCCCGGCTGCAGCTCCAGCTCCCTACCAGCGGACGGGGGATCCCCAGTTCTCGCAGTCAACGCAGCCACGCCAAGTTCAAGGAGCTGCTGTACCGCCTGCTAGCAAACTGCCTCCACCGAAGCTCACAAGTCATTCATTGGCGTTGTTGAACGTCTTCAAAGAGCATACCCCGAAAACCTCCTTTGCAAGTTTAGTACCGCAGCCTGAGTCGTCTCCAAAGGTTGAGCGCAAGCCTTCCGCCCATCAAGATCAATTGCTTAACTTGCTGAAAGGACCTCGTGGGCCAATTAGTTCGCGACCGGCAGAGCTCCCGGCGCAACCTGCTTCTCCGGGTGAAAGGCAGATTCTCCAACGTCCAAACACAGACTCGAATCCTAGTCAAGTCCGTCAACAGACGGGCAAAGATGCTTGGACATCGGCCACGGTGTCTGGTCCACTAAATACGCCACACTTCGAGGCCATTTCGAAGTCGTCTGTGAGAAAGAAAACCGACTCGAAGCGTCAAGTCAACCGAGACAGACAGTCACAGCCTTTAGCTTCGCCCATCACGATTCTACCCAGACCCCAAAGTGCTAAGAGGGAACAAATACCAAGTCCAGCTCCAACACCTCCTACCCAGATTTCTGCGAGTCCACGGACTCGTCCTATCAAAACCAAGTCACCGGAACCTCCAAGAGCGTGGCAACCCCAAATTCTGCGTCGTTCAGATAAGGTGGATATCCATGGCATATTGCCTATACGGCGGAAGGATACGGAAGAACTCCATGAGCCAGGCGATCTCTCCGAGTCTCCTGCCACCCAGGCGGTTCCTATTCCGCAACCTGATACTTACCGACGGCCAAGTCAAACACCGGCCCAGAGAGAAGCCCTACTCTCGCTTTTTGGTAAATCGGCACCTTCTCCGAAGTCCTCTCCCACGGCGCTGAACCTGCAAACCTCCGTCCCAAAACACTCGGGAACTCCTTCTGTTGTGAGCCCACTGACGCCCCTCCACCAACCGGTTGGAAATGGAGCTTCCAGCATTGACAAAGTGGCGTCCCCAGCTAATAAGGCATTTTTACTTGGTTTTTTGGAAGGCGTTGCTAAAGGGAGCAAATAAGCCGTTTGTTTGTTTGAGATTATTAAGCTACATGTGTCTGTATTCTAGACCTGACATAGTACATGATCATACTTTAACGAGGCCTACCTCGATTTTAATCCTCATTCGTCGTCTCCACAATAATATGTCATTTGTAATTATATTGCCGACGTCCACCGCCTTTTTATATAGTCCCGCATAACGCGCAGCAAAGTTGATTTGTAACATCTCAAAGCTTCACCAGAACTAGAGCGGAGGTCAACATGCTGCGCCCAATGGCATCTCCGCGCTCAATATGCGCTCATTGTTCGTCCAGATGGCGTTTGTTCTCGACTATTCGGCAACCCCAAGCTCCGCCGTCACCACCTCAAGCTGGCTACGCTCGTCTCACGAACCGGGGCTTGATCTCCATCACAGGCGAGGATAGTACGCAATTTCTCCAGGGCCTAATCACGCAAAATATGTTTATGGCCAATGATCCACAACGCAAAGTCCTCCGACAAACTGGCTACTACGCGGCGTTCCTGAACTCCACCGGCCGAATACTCAACGACGGATTTATCTACCCGCTGCCAGGAACAGATGAGCCGGGGTGGCTGGTGGAGGTCGATAAAAACGAGGTCCCGAAGCTTCTGAAGCATCTAAAGAAACATAAATTGCGCGCCAAGTTACGGCTCCGCGCTTTGGACGGCGGCGAGCGAACAATTTGGGCGAGCTGGAAGAACCACTCTGAGCCGCGCTGGGCGGCGTATAACTTGGAGACGCCTAGTCCTTCGCCGTTCCCTACGCATGCATCGGTTACTGGGTGTATTGATACAAGGGCGCCTGGGTTCGGAGCCCGCCTTGTTGTTCCCGGGGAGGAAGACCTACGGACACACTTTCGGGATGAGGACGAGACACATATTCCGGCTGCGGGTGAAGAAGTTGGTCTAGATGTGTATACTGTTCGGCGCATGCTTCACGGTGTCGCCGAGGGCCAGTCCGAGGTGATTGCCGAGTCAGCGCTGCCGTTGGAATACAACCTGGATATGATGCGGGGGGTCGATTTCCGGAAGGGATGCTATGTCGGTCAGGAACTCACTATCCGGACGCACCATCGCGGTGTTGTGCGCAAGCGCATTCTACCTGTCCAGTTGTATAAGGATGATTTGCCTGCAACATCGGATAGTCCAGTCTACGACCCCTCTGTCGATGTCCAAATTCCACCATCCCAAACAAACATCGTCAAGGCTGGAACGCGCAAGGGCCGCAGTGCCGGAAAGTTCTTAAGTGGCATTGGCAACATCGGACTTGCCCTATGTCGGTTAGAGATGATGACTGATCTAACACTCACGGGTGAGGCGAGCCAATTTGATCCTAAGCAGGAGTTTAGGATTTCCTGGCAAGGTGATTCTGAGGGTTCAGATGCTCAGGGCCAGGGAAGTGGAGAGGTGAAGGTTAAGGCTATAGTACCATCATGGACGAGGGAATTTGTTCTCTCTGGTGTTGCGAAGAAGAGCGCCGCCAGTAACCAAGAAGGTCACCGGGCAAAAGATTATCTAGAACAATTGGAGGAGGAAGAGTCTCAGCGGTAAAGTCGTAGCTGTTTTTGCTGTAAACTACTGTACATTAATTATTCTAGCTTGTATAAGTTAACGCCGGATAATGCAGAGAAAGAAAATAAGCCACCAAGAACAATGCAATGCATGGGTATCTCAGACAATCATCCAGATAAATCGTAGAACGCCGTGTCTATACGAGACCAATCAATCAGCCCCATCAATCAGCCCCTGCCAGCAGCTTCAGCCGCATCCGCCTCCTCGTCCTCCTTCCTTAATTGTTCCTCAAGAGCCCTCCTCTCCTTTTCACGCTGTGCATTCTTCAACCGCATTAGCGTGATTTCTTCCAAGCTAGGCGTCTTTGCAGCTCCATTTGTTGACTCGGCAGCGGGAGCTGCTTTAGCACCGCCCGACGCCGCAGATGCAAAAGAACCAAAGGAAGGCGCCTTTCCCGGTTTCATCCCGGTTCCTGCATTTTTGAGCCCGGCGAAGCTGAACGTTGGTTTGGGAGCTGCTGCCGGCTCTGGCGTACTCTGTGCTTGCGGCGAGGGGCCGGCTTGTCCGTCTCCATGGCTTGACGGGGATGCAGAACCACTGTTCCGCCCTGCTAGATCTGGCTGTTCGCCAGTGGCCCAGAATACAGAATCGATCACATTCCAGTCGTTTTCTGTCTTCGAAAGACTGTCATGCATGAATTTCTCGCTGTCCAGCACGGCGGTATGCGCGCTAACAATGGACGCAAAGACAATCACGCCCGATGCAACGGTCTTCTTCTCCTTCTTATCTCCGATGCGCTGCCGTCTGTCTTTGAGAACAAGGACACTCTCAATCGTCCCAAACGGCGCAAACAACGCCATGAGCCGATCTTTGTCTAGATCCGTTCCCCGGCCTTCCCTGACCCAGCGCACTTTCACTGCGCGCTCTTGCTCGGGGACATTGGTACCGCCCTCATGCGACCGATCAACACGCTTCGAGCTCCGGTCTTGAGCCCGCTGCTTCTCTTCCTCTTCTTCGCGTATCCGTTTCTCATCCTCCTCCACTTCCTTCCGCAATTTCTCCTCTGCCTCTCGTCGTCTCCGTCGCCCATCTTCCGCAATCCGCTCAATCTCCCTCGCGAGCTTCTCTTCCGCCTCATCCTCGTCAACCGTAGCCCCCCACGTCCTCTTCACCCCTCTCTGCCCACCAGCGGCCTCTGCAGCGCCAGCCCGCTCCCTAGCCTCCAGATCCTCTCTCATTTTCCTTTTCGCCGCATCCATCATCTCAAACTCCTTCTGTTTCCGCTGCCGTGCTTCCCGCGCATTATCGTACAGCCCGCGCACTGCGGGATCAGAGAGTACATCGTTGGCGATTTGCAGGAGATGGAACTTGTCGAGGTCGGCTTGTGAAGGGTTGGTGATCTTGTCCGGGTGGTACTTGAGGGCTGTGCGCCGGTAGGCGCGTCGAATCTCAGACTCGTTGGCTGCGGGGGAGATGTCGAGGAGTGCATAGAAGTCGTGTGCGCCTGACGTCGCGTGGGATTTCAGGTCGTCGGTTGGCATTTTGGTGGTTGTTCGGTTTCAAGATGGGTGGTGACTTGGGTAGAGATGGTTGGCTGTATGATATATAGAGAATGGAAGACTAGTGCGAGGTCTAGCAGTTATGGATTTGTAGATAGGTATGGAGTGAGCGAGCTTGAAACTCCGAGTTCGAGATGGAAATGCCGCGAGCCCTTTAAGCTTGGCACTAAACTCTTTCCGGCTCACATACTGCACTGCCCGAACACAACACTTGAACACACAGTCCAGCTCTTATGACAGTTTGGTGGAAGTCTGCTTCTAAGAGCACGAGCACGTTCTATGGGCTTTCGGATCTCGCATGCTTACTCCCTGACGCTCACTTTTCTTAGGCGGGTAACATTGACCTGCAGGATATATATTTCTGCTACACAAGGTACTCTGGTTGCTGGCTGACTATAGCGATACTACCACAACCTGGTCAAGCTGGAATGATAATTGCAATGATGTTTCAAGCTCACGCCAAGTCAGATTTCTAGGCTATCACTCTCAGGGAGTTGAGGTTGATCGCAGGATGACTTGGTTGCAGAAGGCTACTTCGGACCCTCGGTTATATGTCTGGACACCCCAGCTTCCAGTAACCGGTCATCCAATCGAAGCTCGGAGTCATCGGCGTCTAATATCTATAAATTGGTCCCACGTTCCTGAATTATACCAGGGACTCATACTAATCTCACTAGCTACAGTCATTGAGTATGCTCGCTAGATCAGCTTGCCCCCGCTGCCTACTGCAGCCGACATTACAGGGAAGCGTGCGGCGCTTCTCATTATCTGCAGCGCGAGGGAACAGCAACATACAAGGACCCTTAGCTGGTATTACTGTTGTCAGCCTCGAGCAGGCGATTTCGGCCCCGTTCTGTACCCGTCAACTGGCCGATCTGGGTGCGCGGGTGATAAAAGTCGAACGACCGGGTGTGGGCGACTTTGCGCGCGGATATGATACAAGAGTCAACGGGCTCGCCTCACACTTTGTCTGGACGAATCGATCGAAAGAGAGTCTGGCCTTGGACGTGAAGAAGCCCGAAGACTATGATATCTTGCTGCGCCTGGTCAGCAAGGCGGATGTACTCGTACAGAATCTCGCCCCCGGGGCCAGCGCAAGACTAGGTCTCTCATTCGAGACTCTGAAAGAAAAGCATCCGTCTCTTATCGTCTGCGACATCTCCGGCTACGGCCAAGACGGACCCTATCGAGACAAGAAAGCCTACGATCTCCTCGTGCAAAGCGAAGCGGGCATGCTATCCGTCACAGGCACGGGCAAAGAACCTGCCAAAGTGGGCATCTCAATCGCGGATATCGCATCAGGCATGTACGCCTACAGCAGCATCCTGGCTGCCCTGATGCAGCGCTCCAAGACAGGCCGCGGATCCCAGATCGACATCTCCATGCTCGAGAGCATGGTCGAGTGGATGGGCTTCCCCATGTACTACGCCTTTAATGGCGCGCCTGGCCCAGTACCAGCCGGTGCCTCCCATGCCTCCATATACCCCTACGGCCCCTTTGAAACAGGAAATGGCTCCGTGATGCTGGGAATCCAGAACGAGCGGGAATGGGCGAACTTCTGCACCCTTGTCCTGTCACAGCCTGATCTTGCCCAGGATCCCCGCTTCTCAAATAACTCGCTGCGTGTACAAAACCGCGAGGTGCTCAAGGAGATTATACAGGAGTCTTTTGCTGGTATAACTGCCGAGGAAGCTACGCGCCGGCTCGATAAAGCTGCTATCGCTAACGCGAATGTGAATGACATGCAGGGGGTATGGGAACATGCACAGTTCAAGGCGAGGAATCGGTGGACGGAGGTGAAGACGTCTAAGGGGGTTGTACCGGCTCTTCTTCCGCCTGGGTTTAGTCCGCAGGGAGAGTTTCGACCTCGGATGGATGCTGTGCCGGAGGTTGGAGAGCACAACGAATCGATTCTCGCGGAGTTAGGGATCAAGCGGAAATGAAAGTGAGTGGGTAGACAAATATGTGTTTTTAGAAATATATATCCTAGAGTAAGGCATGACCTACTTGTCTGCTTGAGAAGGCCCTGACCTTGTAGAAGTCATTCCGTTTCCACATACAGGGGTCATCCTTTATTATGATTTCGATACCATGGATCTAGGCATCTTAATCGCAGAAAATATGAATTCAAAACATAAGGATAAGGCTTGTTGTTATCTGAGACCTAAGTGAACGAGAAGTCGAAGAGTTTATATAAAAATTACCAGGACAGTAAATATGTATAATGCATTCATATACACAACGCCTACTCTAAAAAGCGAATCTTTTGCAAAATTCACGCGCTTTATGCGAGAAAAATGATCGGTCAGTTAGTTTTCAGCCTTCGGCCGCTCAGGAAGCTCCTGCGCCTTCTTCTCACCCTCAACCTCAGCCTTGGCCTCGGCCTGAGCCTTAGCCTGGACCTGCGCACCAGGGTGGCGAGTTCCCTTGTCCTTGACCTTCCTCTGCTTCTTCTCGACAACAGGTGGAGGGTATGCCTGCGCCGTAATCTCCTGCCACTCGGGCGAGGCCTGGTACGCCTCCTGGATTGGCGCCATCAGGCTCGTCAGCGCCGCGGTGACAGCGGGCTTAAGGGATTGCGGGGTCAGAATGTCGTTTTGGTAGTCCTCCTTCAGCTTAGCGATGTCGGTGTAGACGAGGGGTTCGGCGTCGCGGCGCTCGACAACGAATTCCTTCTTGCCCTTCAGGCCGGCGGCCGGGAGGAGAACGTATTCGACCATGGCGATGACGCCATTGTCTTCGACGACCTTGGGGGCAGCTTCGGCCTTGCGGATCTTCTTTTGAATGACGTCGGGACCGTCGAGGAGGTCGATTTTGCTGTCTGCGGTTGGGTTAGTTAGGGCTACGACTGCGGTGAGGTATGGGTGGATGTACCTTGAACACTGGAGCTCATCTTACCACCGCTGAGACCGGCAACCATTGGTGTGACCAAGTGGGCACGCTGAAAAGGTTAGTGACTGTAGATGAGACTAACAATAGATATCTCACCTTTCGGTATCCGATCTTGGGCAACCACTCCACAGCCGCAGCGAAAAGCTTCCTCTGGTCCATACCTCCCAGCTGAGCATCAACATTCAGGTGCTCCTCATCAAGCACCTGCAGAATTGAGTAGAGCAGACCACTCAGAGGCGCATTGGCACTCTGCTTGACAATCTCCGCACCGGCCTTCTTAGCATCGTGCTCACTAACCAACGATGAGAGCTTGTAAACATCCATCGTGTACTCCGGAGACTTCTGGTAAGAGCTTCCCAGAACAAACTCCAACTTCTCAGTGGGCACGCCGACAGACTCTAAGATTGCCCGGATGACCTTGGCATAGTACTTTGCGCGGTTCTCAACCAGCTCAAGCGGCGCCTTCAGGTTGTCCAGGAAGGCGTGGATGTCCGCCAGCAGAACAACGACCTCACATCCTGCAGCGAGCAGCTGGGCGATCTTGATAGCGGCGACGAAGTAGCCAGTGTGAGGGCGTCCTGTTGTCGCAGTGCCCCAGTAAATACGCGGGTTTCGGCCCTCGGCGAGGATGGACTCGATGATCTCCGGGTTGAGGGTTTCGGCGAGGTTCTCGGTGATGAGATCAAGGCGGGCCTTTGCAGCGGCGTCTAGGGTTGCCATGATGTTTGGGTGCACTGAGGAGGAATCGGATGTGGGGGAATTGGCAAGGGAAACAATTAATTCTTTGTATTCTGTCCGGGTTTGAGTCATTTGGCCCCTCACCCCGCCATATTTTCTGCCACGCAGAAAATGATAGGCGGTGGCAAAGACGGTAAGCACTCTGTAACAACGCTGACTCAGCATCAGCCACATCTGGGCGTTGGTCAGGCATCCAGGCATCCAGGCACAATACTTTGTAGTATACACTTGTCCATCATCTCAGGATTATCCCTCACGCTTTCTTCATGCTATTCTTATGTGACTATGGGTCTTAAGATTTGATACCTCAATAGTTGCTCTCTAGACTTGAATGATTTGACGTTATTGTTCTGACTGGGCTCGAGTACTTACTCCGTACATACAGAGCGTTGCGGCTCAGCGAACGGGTGGCCTTATTTGTATTCTATATTTGTGGCAATTTCTGTCTTACCTCAGCTGGGATATATGAAGGACGCCTTTATTCGAGGAGCAGTAAGCTGCGTCACTACTCCGTAGATTGAGTGTACCAGACCGTTAGTTGGAATAGGGCCTCTAGGCCCAGGCCCAGGCCAAATCCTACTCGACGGCGAAGGCTGAAGCCAGCCGGCTGAGGATTCCGAGTAGACTACAACTACAGATCAGTGGCAGTGAGATTCAACAAGAGCGACATTCCGAGTCTAGAATTGGCTAGAAGGAGGCTGTAAAGGCAACTCCCGAGCAGTTCCCGACTGTGGCGTAAAGTCCAAATATAGTCCCGAATCCCGATGCTTCGTCGACACAGTATTTATAGAATCGAGGTCAATTGGACTCTCCGAATAGCATCATCACATCGTGAATAATGGTATGATGACATCAACGAAGAAGATTGATGAGGCGGATGCTTCCCGGGCACCTCCCGGGCCGTTCATTGGTTTCATGTGCAAGTCAGGTATCAAGACTATGGAGCACTCGGTCCCGGGCCGGTTTGTCTTGCGTGATGCCAAGAGCTTCGAGAAGGTGTCATGAAACAACAACTTGATTGGTCATGCTCGCGGCAAAGGAGATCAGTTGACAACATCCAAACAAGAGCAGTCCACGAGTTCGGGCCATAAACCGTATCTAGGGCATAGACTAGACTAGACCGCTGTCTCGTAAAGAACCCCGACTTGGCCAGGGTCGAGGATGCATTGAAACCGCCGCACTAGCAGGGTTTCCCGCGGAAAGCCCAATAGGAGTCGATCTCGTCATCCGGTGCCTGATTCTGCAATACTGTACTGTGAGGTTGCTGTGGGTTCGATGCTCGATACTCACCGTACTCTCTACCCCGGAGCAAATATACGCAATCTATATGCAACAAAAAGTCAATTCGCCGGTGTGAGTAATGAATACGCGCAGTATTGACGGCTTCTTTCGCATATCGCCGGGGACCTCAGGAGAATGGATGTAAAAATGACAGCCGAAAGGCCCTATTATTCATAGTTCCCCGAGAAACTTGACTCTTCTCCATAACGTGTGGTCCACTGTGGGTGATTCCAGATTTGTTCCGTAGAAATAAAAGTCTGTGATCCGTATCGGCTCCATCACGGCAGGCCCAACGAGTCAGAGTTAACCTTGGATCGTGGATATTTGCAAAGGGGGAGATGCTAGGGCGTAGGGAGACGGCGAAATCCGCCCCCAAAGACCAGGATTGAAGAGGAAGGTCGGAAGTTGGACCGTGTGATGCCTCGAAAGTCAGGTGTCAACGATATATTACAGAGTTCTATCAAAGTCTGGAGGCTGCTCCGCGTAATCGGTTACCGCATCCGACGAGGAGGCTTGACAATTTGACAGGTCCGGAAGGATTCGCTGACAAACACCCATCCTCCGGATTAAGTCTCTCACGGAAGAAGATGCCATACGGAGTATTCAGATCATATGTGGCATGATTCTCACACCGACGTCTGGGCGAATTCTCCGACCGCTTCCCGACCGGAGCGTCTAGCAAAGCTTTCATGGGCTGAGGGTTAAAGTAAAACTTCAGCCGAACCACGCAGGGTAGTTCCATGCATCCAGGATATCCGTTAGGTAATTGTAAGGAGGCTGGTGGATTTCATTCGTCAAAATTCTCCAAAAAAAGGGACCTGACTTGCGTTGACAGCTGTTGTCTAGAACAGTCGCTATCTGATCTGATACTCTCCTATACTTCTGTATACCTCCCTGCTTTCACTCTGACGCTTCACGAGCGACAAGTTGTTGATTGAGCAGAGACTTTGGAGCCGACAGGCTCAGCGCAAGCGAGGCATCAGTATCACACCAACACCCCGCAAGTTGGAACCGCCTATTGCGGGGGAGATGGCGTCGACCATGCATGAACACTATCAATCGAAGGGCGTCTCTTGACGAGACTTAGCCAAACAAGGAAGTTTGGAAGAGATTGGGACACCACCCTTCATGAGCCTGGGCAAACGGGAGTCCGTCCGAGTTCCTTGGAACTTGGAAGGGAGCCGAAGTTCGAGACAGCGACCTTGTGGAAATCTCTTCCTGACAATTGCAACATCATCCGCTTTCTCCTTGTTTGTGGGTCCGTGGACTTTTAGACAGCCATAACGTGATGTTGCTGCGCCGGAAAATGTAAAGCTCTTGCCCCTCCTGGCTTTGACTCTCGTAAAGGATCTCCAGCTAGCGCGGCCTCGGCGGCGTATTGTATGGTATGTGACGGTACGAGGTAGGGAATTGCTCAGGGACCGGGATCGGGCCACGTGAGGGCTAGCGACGGATCGACGGCAAGCTGATCACATGAACAGCAGGTCAAAGGGCGTGGTCATGCGCAGACAGCCACTGCTCCATCCACAAGATCTGGAATTCTGGATCACATTATTGAGGATTGTGTAGACACTCACCTGAGATACCTGCCATTCGTCCGCGGCAGCGTGAGAGACGCTTCTTCGAGGCTTCAGAATGACCCTGTCTTGTGTCATTGAGATCGAAAGTTTGTATAGAAACTGCTATCCAATCGCACCGAGCAGGAGTTTCCGATTGGGACTAAAAGCGCCGGCGCCACGCTTAGTGGATGAATCAGTATTGCAAACATATGACACCATTCGAAGATCATCAGCACAGACTCACCCCAAGGCACATTTGTCAGGCTCATCGAGATCGAACCTCAGGCACAGTGTTGCGCGTACTTGCGATACTGTAGTTGACATTGACGAACAAGCACGCAATGCGATGTTGGGTTGGGGCCCTGGGGGATCGCTGAGATCGCTCAAGAAGCTCCTCCGAGTATACTCCAAGCCCGGGCTAGGCTGTGAGTCACCGGCTCGTCGGCTCGCTGCGCACGGCCTTGGACTGTTGACTCGAATGCGCTTTCTGAGAACATGCACTGCTTGACACCTCAGAGCTAGAATTGGCTTTAGCGTCTCCAAGGTACTGCTTCGAAGAAAGATGGATGTACGGTGTAGGTGTACGTACCTTGTGAATAGGTAACTTCAGAGAGCCATGGATATACGGCCAGGTCCGAAGGTCAACCTTTGCGAACAGAAAGAGAGCATTGAGCTGAGAGGATAGTCCTCTGAGCATTCTGAGCATCGAGCGTAGAGCTGTACAGAGTCTCGAGATCTCTAGAAACTCCTCGGAGAATCATCAGGCACTGTCACGTCACGTACGGAACATACGCGGTAAGCAAAGACCCGCTATGATGTCTTTCTTCTAGGCAGCCCCACCGGCGAGTGCTTTTATTGTCCGCTTCAAGGTGGCCAGACCAGGAAAAATTTGTCCCTGTTACATGTGGGAACCAACGAGAAAACCATGGCTGAGAAAATTTCAGTTGTAGTCAAACTAGTCAGGCAGAGTCAGTAGACGAATCGTAAACCCATTCAAAGGCAGCGCCTCGCCCGCTTTCTGGTTCATCCAGATTCCTTTTCTCTGCTTCCTTCATCTCATACTCCGCCTGACCTGACGCTCTATACACCCCGCGCCTGCCATAGCAACTACCACTACCAGCTACAGCCTCACCAAGGGAGTATGCGTGCAACTGCCTTCTACATCTCACAACTTGATCAGCACTGCATTGAGTCCTGAACCACTCAGATAGTATCTGTCTACCTGCCTCGTCTGCCTAGTCGACAACCCAAGGAGCTTGTATAGACCTCGAGGCCCCCGGCCAATCCATTGCCACTCTTCTTTGTCTTGTCTTTCAGCCACTGCCGGTTCAAGACCTCACAATGCCGGGCCGTCTTCTTTCCAGCCTCGTTCGCCCCTCCCTCTCTCACCACTCGATCTTCCCTCACTCCAACTCTTCCTCATCCTCGTCCGTAAACGAGGTATCTCAAGCAGCACCTGCCAAGCATTCGCATAGCGACAGGCCGCACTCGCCGGAGCGTCGCCTTTCCTTCTCAATGGACCACTTTATCCACACCTACCGGGATCACCACAAGGAAAAGCATCGAAAGCACGCCCGCTCGAAGGAGCGTGGCAGCCATGAAGACAATGCAGCATCAGCTAAACTCGATGTCATCGTGGAGTCTCCGCCCCTCGTATGCTATGGAACACCAGCCAACTCCACCGGTGCCCTATTCTCCGGCCGCCTCAGAATCACCGTGCCTCAAGTGACCGGCATGGTCACCCTCGACAAGTTCGATATGCGGTTGATGATCAAAAAGACGACCAAGAAGCCTGTTTCGAGGGATTGCCCCAACTGCGCCTCAAAGACCGAGGAATTGACAAACTGGAACTTCTTGACCGAACCTCTTCAACTCAGGAGCGGTGATCACGACTTCCCCTTTAGCTACCTGTTCCCAGGTAATCTGCCGGCGTCGTGCAATAGTTCCCTGGGACAGGTGGAATACATTCTCCAGGCGCACGGACACAATATCAATGGCGATGATTACAACTTCAAAATGCCCTTACACATTAGGCGCGCTATCCTTCCAGGAAACGACAAGTCCTCCATTCGAATTTTCCCTCCCACCAATCTGACCGGCCGCATCGTCCTCCCATCTGTCGTTCACCCCATCGGTACCTTCCCCGTTCAGATGACATTGAGCGGTGTTTTGGATAAGGGCGACGAGACCCAGACCCGTTGGCGATTGCGCAAAATGATGTGGCGGATCGAAGAGCACCAGAAGATCGTCTCGACTGCTTGCCCCAAGCACACGCACAAGATTGGTGGTGAAGGAAAGGGCGTTCTGCATCAGGAGACTCGCATCATCGGACACAACGAGGAGAAGGATGGTTGGAAGACAGACTTTGATACCGCCGGTGGCGAAATCAGCATGGAATTCGAAGCCAACATTAACCCTACCGCCAACCCTGTTTGTGATCTCGAGGCTCCTGGTGGGCTGGAGACGAAGCACAACCTGGTCATCGAATTGATAGTTGCTGAAGAGTTCTGCCCCAACCGCAACACCCGACTCATCACCCCCACCGGAGCAGCCCGCGTTCTTCGCATGCAGTTCAACCTACACGTTACCGAGAGAAGCGGGCTCGGTATCAGCTGGGATGAGGAAATGCCGCCAGTCTACGAAGACGTTCCTGCCAGCCCTCCCGGATACACCATGTTGAACGGCAGCAGCATTATGGAGGATTACCACGGATCTCCACTGCCGTCCCCGGAATACGAAGAACTGGAGCGTATGGACTCTCTTCGACTGGATAGTTCTTCCACCAATTCTTCCTGCCGCGGACGAAGCCGACTTACGCCCGATGATTTGACCACCGGGCCTGCGGAATTCGAAAGCCGGAACAGAGCCCCATCCGCGAACTCTCATACATCTTGAACACCGATCTACAGTACTTAATAACCACCGAAGGCTTCGGTCTATGAACTTACGAACGTTACGAACGCGATGATCAAAAGAAAAATAAAACGCCCTCGCTCATATTTCCCTTTCTGCTCAAACCACTCAGTGCCATGCAACAATCAGCACACTAATTTCGCTTACAACAACACCAAAAGTTCTGCACTGCCTTTACTCTTCAGGTTGACCCCTTTGGCGTTCTAAGGTCTCTTATATCTGCATTGGGTGGACAAATTGTTTTGCATGATACCCATCATACTATACCTCACTATCCTTGTCTTCCTTTCTTTCTTCTGTTCCGTCGACCCTGATAAAGGTGTCGATTACGAATCATGATATACTTGACTGTATTGCCTTTTAATAATAATATCCTCCAAGTATCTACAAATCTTCTTTCCCCTGTCTAAGCTAAATAATTTCACCGTACCTGCTAGACGAGGTTAGCACCATAGACTTAGAGTACTCCGTAGCGTCGGGCCATTGTTCCCTAGCCTCAGTAGCAAGGGATGCTGTTGGTCAGAGGCATGCATGCATCTGCAGCCGAGCCCGAGCACAGTCCATGATGCAACCTCGTAAACCTGACAGGCCCAGCGCACAAAGCTGCCTAATGCGTCGACTGGATACAACGCCCTGGAAAACTTTGCGCCGCAATGACTTTCAAGTTGGGTTGGTTTCCCTTAATTATGATACCAGATAGGTGACATTTCTACCCCTCACTCCACACTGCAACCCAACGCACCAGCCTCCTTCGAAAGCAAACACTTTTCCCATCGCAATTAACACAACATGAATTACCAGCATTCATCATAACCATCATAATCATTCCCAAACAACATATCGAAAGTCATTACACCATGGACATCGCAAAATCATGAATCAAAAATCGGGCCGTATGCTGGGATCCCCATCGACTCGAGCTCGTACACGACCTTCTTCGTGACAAACGGGTTACTGATGACGCAAATCGCCTCGGCGTCGTGCTCGCGCGCAATCTGTCGAATGAGCGGCACCATATCAAGACGGCCGGAAGAATTCGTGTCAATGATAACGGGGTTCGGATCCATGCGTCCCACCAAGTTGAGAACCTCTTTGCCGTAGGTTCGCTTAGGCGCTCGCGTTTGCCAGATGACACGCAAAGAGGGGCGATTCTCGTCTCCAAGGAAGGAGAGACAGGGGCCAATACCGGAGCCTGTTGTGACGACGACAACACGCTTGTACACACGCATTGCGTATGCGAAGCCGTAGATGAGCACACCGCGTTTCCAGAGGTGTGTTGGTTGGTTTTTGATCGTGGCGGCGGTCCAGTCGCCGGCTTTTGAGATCAGGCTGGAGAAGGATTTGCCGTCTCTGTCGACGTCCGGAAAAGTGGCGAAGCCGTGCCAGTCTTGCAAAGGGTGCTTGGAGAGTTGAATACCTTTGCCAAAGGTGGTTGTGGTGTGGTTGAAGTGGAGCCGCACGGCGTGCGGGGAGAGGTACTCTGGGGTGACCTTGACTTTGCGGAGGAGGAGCCATGGGTGGACGATGGCTACGACAACGAGCATGAGGAACCAGAACGCTGGGAGTTCGATGAGAAAGCGGCCCATCGGTTTGCCTTCGGCGGCGGAAGCTTCGTCGACGAAGACCATGAGGAGGATGACAAAGAGGGCTACGACAAGCCAGCCGGAGAAGCGATGCGTGAGCTCGAAGTAGTCATGCCGCTTGAATCGGAAGCCTGGATAGGCAACGATGATAATTGCAAGCAGCAGCACCAGGATAATGTACGCGAGAACAATTGGCGCTGCAGAAAATTGGGATGATCCACCAGACCAGTATTGTCGAGAGAACTCGCCGAGGAAGCCCAGGTACCAGATGAGCGATGCGACTCCGCATCCGCTATGGACACCTCCGTAATGGTACACCTTTGAGCAGATTCGGCGCAGCCACAGTGGAGCGGACCTAGGTATTGAGCATACTGTGACGAAAATGGTGTTGACGACAAGAGGCTGTCTTGCGAGACCGCATGCGAGCAGGTTCGCTGCTGCAGCATTGACAAGGGCCAGAAGTTTTCGGTCCGCAACCATCACATAGATGAAGACTCCGATGTTGGCGAGAAAGACGAGCGTGAAAAGCCGCCGGTAGATGTTGAGGATCGTATACCGGATTGGAGCAATCAGCTTCCTTGTCGTGCTTTGCGCCTCAAGGTCGAATGAAGCCTCGTCCGGTAACATCAACTCGGATACATCTTTGATGATGCACTTCTCGATGTTGACGAAGCTGGCTTCGCTCGGGCTCTCTGGAACGCATACTGCCGTTGGCGGCCTGGTCACGATGACCTCCTCTGTTTGAGACATGATGCTCGACTGCTGTTAGAGAGCTACACTTTCAACTGCCAGGGGTACCAAAGTCGTATAGTATAGCCGTGGGGTGAGATTGAGGTAAGTGTTTAGAGCAGCGATGGTGGCTTGCACTCATACACTGGAATACAGAACCGAGCCAACCATTGGGATTCCTCCTTGCAGGGCGCATGTGTCTTTTGAATGCATAACGCCGTCCTTAGTGACGAGACATTTCCCAGAGGGTTGACCTACGTCGGACTTTTCAGCCGTGCCCTAGGACCATCATTCTTCTCAGCATTCTCGGGGTCCACATTAGACGGTCCACCATGACACCGTTCTTATCTCTCTCAGTTGTTCGGCCCAAGAAGGCAAGACAATAAAAAAAGCAATTTTCGAGTTTGATTCCGAGGTTAGACCGTCAGGGTCGCCGCAGTCTCCAAGTGTTCGGACTCCGGTGTGTGTTCGCATGGGCCATGGCACTACTATCCCACGGAACCTTCCCCGTGCTCAGTTGAGTTGCACGTCTGCCAATGAACATGCAACACACAAATTGCACAATATATCCTACTTCTTGCCTCGACTGTTCTTTCTCCAGATACGGAATACTGTAAAGCCAATTGACGGCAAAGAAGGAAATAGTCGCGACCCGCTTCGTTGTCTGGTAGTGGTATTTGCGCGTAAGGACGCGGGCCAAGTTGAGGGGACGAGATGGCCTTTCGACCGGTTCATGCGGTAGCAATTCAGCCAGCTGGAGAGATCGACGGTGATAGAAACGACAGGGCCGACAGGCCGACAGCACGAGAAACCAAGGCGTTCGCCACAAGCTCACGGCGTTCGTCCGTGTCGCCCCACAAAGGACACCGTCAAAAGCAGACAATCGATCGGGTACTCCGAGCTCCAGGTAGTCTAGCAGCGCGAGCTTGTGAAGACAGAACTCGTCGATAGAGCCGAGGGACCCAAGAATCGTGGAGTTGAGTTACATTCTGCTGGCCCTGGCCGCTGGGGCATGGACTGATTCACGGAGTAAACAACTCATGCTGTCTTTCCGGCCTCAGAGCCCACAAGACCGACTTTTTCGGCATCAACAGAAGCTCTAATTGGCAGGACGCGGGCGAGACCGACTGTCTGGAGTCCTGGACTTGGTAACCTGATAAACTAGGTTAGTGGAGTGGATGTCAGCCAGATGGATGGCGTCGACGTGCTCTTGATCAGCTGCAGATCAATGCAATTGTCACCTGCTGGGCCGCTTTATCCTTGTTGATTTTTGCGCGGGCGGGGTCCTGCGACAAGCCGATGCTCCAGCAAACTGCACCGAATTACGCCGCGTGCGTCGTTTCCTGGGAACGAGCAAGCCAAGCGCAGCTGCGCAGAGCCTTGGGCCCTGGCAGGCGCCCCAACGCCGGGAAGGAGTGCATGTGCATTATTATGGATTGGGCAGGTGCAGACGCGCGATCGACTCTACAGGGTGGCGTCGAGCCTTGAATCTGATAGTTCAACATTTCGCTCTATTGCCTGTCACTCTCGGGACAGATCTTTCCCCGGTGCTGAGCTGAGCGACTATTGAATGTGTCACTTGTCAAGTTCAGCTCTACTATCAGCTCGTTCACGAAGGAAGTGGAGGAGCGGGAGAGGAGAAACCACTGAAGCAAGTTGATCTGAGCCAGAAGAAGCGAACCAATGGGGCGATCCCGATGCATCGGTCGATTGTCGAAGCACCCTCTGCCCAAAGCGTTGGATATTTCTTGCTCGAATCGAGATTGGAACGACGCTAGCATGGCTGGGGAAAAAGTGGAACATGTTCGCAGTGTTCGCTGGTCTAGCATTTTAGTCCTTTTCGCGACTCCACCACCGTGATCGGAATCGAAGCGGTCACCACTGCGATTTGGCGATTAGACGCAAGCCTCGCCTGCGGACCAAGACCAGGATCAGCAACCCAATCTTAGTGGCGATTGGGCTTGGTCTGAGCGGACTGGTTTCGAGTCTTTCCGGTTTCGACTGTCGAGCTGCTGGCCCTTAGGACTCACGGCGTATGCTCCGTAATTTGTGTACGCAGCGCAAGTCGGCGAATGAGGGCCTGCGACGCGCGCCAAAGCAAATTACGGGATGCGAAATTCCAAATCAGAACCCCAGGAAACTGGAATTCTTCCCAGCGAGGGCCCTATCTATAGAACGAAATGATTTCTAAAGCTGCAGAATGCAAACTATTTATCACCCGAGGCATCCCTTCGCTCGACGAGCAGTTTTTCTCCTCCTTCGACGCTCTTCCTCTACTTCGTCCTCCAAGCCCTAAACTATTACCATTACGAACTCCTTTTGACCGACACATAGCCCTGACTAATAACTCGACGAACTCATGAGAATGGGTCTTGGGGAGTCGTCCTTAGCGCGACCCCAATACGGCAACAATGCCAATGAGCAGGTATACACTGACTTGTTGACCTTCTGCTTCCGCGGCCCTGTGCCCTACGACGAAGAAAGGCCGTTGTTCATCGATGCAGAGGACCCCTCGCGTTCTCTCAGTGCTCGACAATTTAGAACCCTCGTGCGAACCCTTATTGCCGGATTGAAAGCCCACCATGTGCAGAGGGGCGATTGTGTGCTGGTCCACATGGGCAACAGTGTAAGTTGAACTAAACTCAGCATCGCAAGTCCTCCGCGATGTTGACCAGAAACAAATGCCTCGTCCGACCGGAATTCCGAGTTTCCTTCGCGTCGACTTTCTGTTTTTCTAGCTTGTTCACCTTCCTCTTCCAGTATGCTGATAGCTGACGATTCTTATCCTGGTGCAGATCATATACCCCGCACTGTTCTTCAGCGTAATCGGCGCCGGCGGCGTGTTCATGGGATCTAATGCACGCAGTCAGCCGCAGGAGCTAGAGCACCTCGTCACGCTAGCTGAGCCCAAGCTAATCATTACGAACCGCGAAGCGCTCCCGGCGGTCCTCAATGTCTCCACAAGCAAGGGCATGCTCCCCAGCCAGGTCTGCCTACTGGACGAATCCGCAACAGAGCACATCGCACAGCTACTCGGATCTGGAGCAGCTCCGTACATCGACAGTGGAGCTGAGAGCTACCTGAATTTTGAGCATCTCCTGGGTTACGGTGAGAACGAATGGATTACGTTTAACGATGAGACGATTGCAAAGTCAACGCCGGCGGCGATGTTCTCCACCAGCGGCACCGGAGGACTACCGAAAGCTGCGATCTTGTCGCATCACGCGATTGTGTGTCAGCACCTCACAATCTCGTACGATGTGCCCTACGCGGTCAGCCGGTTGATGTCGCTTCCCATGTTTCACCTCTTCGGTGCTCTCTGGACGCACATTTTCCCGGTCCGCTATGGTCAGCCGCTGTATGTTCTGTCCCGTTTCGATATCAGCAAATTTGTTGCGGCTGTGTATCAATACCAGATTACTGAAACCTACATGGTACCTGCCATGATTCATGCTTTCAACCGCTGCACATTACCAGTTGCCGACTATTTTGGGTCCCTACGCTACGTTGGCGTTGCTGGCGCGCCGATCGATGGAGCATCAATGCAGCAGTTTCGCGAATACCTACCGCTCGATGCCTATGCCTCTCAGCTTTGGGGCATGACCGAGGTAGGGGTTGTTTTCCAAAACCGCTACGGCGAGCTAGGAAATGCCGCCAGTATCGGCAGTCTTCAACCGGGATACGAAATCCGCCTTGTCGGTGCTGATGGGAACCTAGTTGCGGGCGACAACAAGCCCGGGGAGCTGTACGTGCGTGGTGCGGGCTTGCTTACGTGCTACCGGGGCCGTGACGATGCCAAAGATTCCCAGGGTTGGTTCCGCACCGGAGACGTGGCATACGTCAACAACGGGCTTTACTACATCGTTGGCCGAACCAAGGAGCTCATCAAGGTCCGCGGGTGAGTACTCCCTGAAACCCTACTCACATGTGCACAATCTAACAAACAGCGCTTAGATGGCAAGTCGCCCCGGCAGAGCTCGAATCCATTCTCCTCAAACACCCCGGTATTGAAGACGCCGCCGTAACCGGCGTAACCTCCAAGGACGGTAGCACAGAAGTTCCCCGCGCTTTCGTCGTCCGATCCAAGACACTATCTGGAACGCGCCTGACTTCGGAGGAAGTCTACCTCTTTTGCCGTCGCCAATTGGCTTCCTACAAAGCCCTCGATGGGGGCATCATCTTTGTCGAAGAAATCCCACGTACAGCGAGCGGAAAGATCCAGCGCTTCAAGCTCACCCAGATGAACACGTACCGGGAGATTGTCAGTTCCTTGCTCGCACGGTTTCGCGGCGCGAGCCTGCAGAGTGTGGGAATTATGCATGGAGGGCGTATTGCAGTTTGATCTGACGCTGGTTTTCGTCATTTTCAGTATGAAGTTACGACCACAACTACATTTTCACTGAATCGACTCAATTTGAGAGTTGACTTTATTCGTTCCTTGGCAATATGCATGGCGCACTCTAGTCCTTCACTACTGCTGGGTTTAGGCTTGTTTGTTTTTCTGCTGCTGATCATTTTTGTTTTCTCGGGTCACGGCTGGCGTTGCATTTGGGAGCTGCAGGTGGGATTGAATTATTTTCGGGAATATGCCTCATTCCTTGAGCTTCGGACGATCTGCGTTTCGCTGTTTACCATTGGTTATGATTGTGCTTTTTGCTTTCTTCGCTCCCAATTATTCCTCTCGTTCTGGCGATTGCATTGTGTTGGACTCACGCTCCCTTGATACCAACTAGAATACCCAAATTGTTATGATCTCACATTCATGGTCTCCGAGGTTTACAGGCACTAATTAATGTATCAGCCCGTTCTTGCATACAACAAGCTCGACATGGTAGTCTAGATCGAGTCCTGCGCTTGACAAGCCTAGCCACTTCGTCGGGTGCTACCTAATCTGCCCCAAGCCCCAAGCTGGTCCCGTGTACTTGTCACGGGCACCACGTAGATGTTTGCATGCAGACCCCGAATCTGCTAGCTATGTACGTTCCCTCCGGAGCAAGCACACCACAAATGCCGGTTGGACGTTTAGTGCCGAACAGTCGAACTTTCGAAGAACCTTGGAAATTGGGATATTATCATATCCTGCAGATTACGGTGAGCACTGAGCATACACATTTACGCCACTGACGCCAATATTAGGGCCTGGGCCGCCTGGTCTGCTAGCTTGCAGGGTTCGGCGCCTTGCACGCGGAGTATCTAGGAGAACGGTACTTTGTATGTACCACGTAGTACAGAGATTGCTGGGAGATGAACGGAGTACAAAGATATCTTGTTGATCCTTCTCTGGATGTTCTGGATGCTCTATGGACTTGCGTAAACGCTAGATCCTGGTGCCGGAGCCGAAGCCGGAGGGATGGGCCCAACAAGGTCGCACAGGGCATGTACTGATCTGCGTTGCATACAGCGCATCAAGCATACTCCGAACATGGTAAGCGCGTGCACGTAGGGTACCTAAGGTAGGGTACCTTAATTTCTGTCCACCGAGTGTAAGGCGGCGACTCTGCTTTGGAGCCTGATCATGACTCGTCAGTCGTCTCCATCATCGAAACATCAGAAAAAAGCAATATACGGTCAGCAGTGCGACACTGCGGCAGAACATGAAAGACATGTCCAAAGCTTCCTATCCTCCGTGGGGCGTGTCAGTGGTCTAATCTAACCTCCTATCGATCTCACCGTCTGCCGGAGGGTAAGCAGACCGCGACTAAGGTTTGACAAGTATGATCGATATTGTATTTGTTGGGAACTCGAACTTGGGGACTAAGTATGGAGTGAGCTGGGGCCACTCCACAAACTAGCAGAAAGGTGCGGTCCGTGCAAAGGTACTTCAGACGCCTGGCAGCCGTCACGATGGCGATCAGCCGAACCGAACCGAAGTTATATCCTCGTGTCGTCAAATTGCCTTGTTGAGTCTCGAGTCACTTCTTGCTTCGGGGCTAAACGGACATAGTTGTGGTGTTTTGTCCGGTTATATGCTGATTCGTGATTGGCCGATGCTAGTACTCGAATCAATAGTCAAATCGAGTGTCTGAGAAGTCTACTCCACAGTCGGCATTCACTTGACACTGCTTGGACCTTTGACGACTGATATGTTTACCGGAATATTGTGGGGTTGAGAAATGTACGATTTGTTGAGCGCTATTGATCGACGTATAGCTCTACCCTGTTGAGTAAATGTAGAGCCATCTACTCCGTAGTTTTGGCGCCAGCTCACATTCCGCTCCTGGTCGCAATTGGAATGAGAATCAAGATCGGCGGAGGTGAAGCGGATTGGGTTCTGGAGGCTCCAGTAGTCAAGCGCAACTCTACCCTGCTACAGTAGCTACCCGGCCTTGAAGATCTGCCAAGTATACGGTCTGTGATGGCAAAGTCACGTACTCCGTAGTCAATCGTCTGATGGCCAAAGCGTTGCAACGAGCTTTTGGACTCGATGATAGACAAGAAAAGATTTCAATCGAATCAAAGTCAGCTAGTTAATGGCGGTCCGCAACTGCAACGGTAGTTATAGATACGCCGTGTGACGTGAGCGCGACCAGCAGCTTTAACTGTTCCTAGAAAAGCTTGTCATCCTTCCGTTGTTCTCCGTACAGCCAGGCCTCACGGTTGTTGATGGAATACCAGACCTGGGTATCCCGAACAGGTTCTTCAGGGTAAAGGGTTCCTTGTCCGGCAAGTTGCATGATGCAGACATTAGCTTCACGATAGCTGCCAGTCAGTCTCGACTGCCGGCCGCGACCAGGTCTTGGCAATCATCCTTGACGCTGTTGTAGTACCACGAGATCAGGATTGTTGAGTCATGACCACAATATAGGAGTGTCGCCGATAGTCATGGCATTCCAAGAAGATGAACCTTGAAAGCCATCCCCAATGGGTATGCTGCATGATATGATGTCAAGGCGCTGCACGTTGAGCTCCAGACCAAGGCAGGATATGGCGAGAATCAGCAGGAAGCCAGCAGTTAACCACTTAGTCAACGGTTCATGCATGTTTTCGAGTCTGATCACTTGCGCTGCGGGGTACGGTGGTCAAGAACGCAAAGGGCTAACGTAGACCTAGTAGACATGATATGGAGCAACTCTGTTGATGAGAGTTTTGGGGAGATTCTCAAGCCTGCGAGGTGATAATGTGAGGTTGCGTCAACGTGCCGGGTTTACACTCCTCCTTTAAAGTCCAAACTAAGAAAGTGCACCCAAACACGCAGTATGCAGTCATATTACAAAGAAGATGGAACAAGAGTTGAACTCGCATCCTGATCGGCAGACGATGCTTTCGGAAAGGGCTTCGAAGGCGGAGCATTGTATGGGATAGACCTTGTGATGAGTTATGGTAGTCTCTTATCTTCTGCGTTGTTCGATGCGTCGAAGGGAACACGGAGCGAAGCCGGGGTCTCTCGATTATAGCATCACCTGATAGGAAATCATTGACGTCAAGCCATCGAGTTCCGGTGGCCGAAGCCGTTGTGTTTGCGATTTCAGGCTTTGAGACCTAGATGATGCCATACCCTTTCCACCAAATACCCCACACCAGAGGTACCAATGCTCCGAGGACAGCCGCCCCCACGGAAATCTCCAGAATACACCACACCCACAATGTCCCGATAGCTGGCGCTTGCTTCATGACGGCATAGTACGACTCCTCGTTCGTCATGGACATCAACTTGCTCCCGAGTATCACAGCACTCGGAAGAAAGACGATTGTCTTCAGAGACGGCGGAAAGAGCATCTTGCGCAGAAACGAAAACGAGAGTTTCTCTGGATGCCATGGGAGAAGCGATATGGACTCAGGTTCGGCCTGGCCCCGATGAAATCTAACGATGTGACCATGTGCAAGGTGGATGAGAAGTGTGAGCATCGGGAATGCGACAAAGCCGGAATTGCGGAAAAGAGCTTTGAGATCGATGCTCTGCGCGTACTGGTGAGCGGCAAGATAGCCCAGTGTCAAATGCAAGACCGTCAAGGGAAACGAAAGCAGAAGGGTGTCGACAAGAGGTGGAATAGGTTCTGCCTCCTCGTCTGCGTCTTCTAAGGATTGACTTTCGTTCCTATTTCCAGCGCTCGCGTGACTGGCCTCATCGAAAGGAGAAATCTCGCCTGTGTTGGGGTCGATAGTCACGTATTTCGTCTCGACTTCCTTCTTTGAACCTTGAGAGCCAATTTTCCCTTCGATTTCGCCCTGTTTCTCCGCAATCAGGTCCACCAACGTTCTTCCGTCCTTCTGGCCTTTTGAGGAATCAGTCTGCGGACGAGCGAGTGGGATTGAGGACGGATCGAAGGAGTCCGTTCGCGAAGCGGAGGCCGCAGCTCGTCGCTGTTTTCGGTTTCGAGGGGGATCCATTATGATATAGCTAGGCAGGGTGTGGTTAGGATGAAGTGTGTGTTTCGATGTGGTTGAGCGAATGTGATGGCTCGAGTTGGAGAATCGGCCAGAATTCAGGTCGGACATAAGCGGAGTTAGTGAAGCCTTATAGTTCAGGCCTCCCATCCATTGTGCCTGGGGGTATAGAATACCCTAAACAAAATAATGCATTGTCAAATGCAACATGATGAACAATGACAGTAACGGCTATCTGAGCCGGATACTCCGGAATACAGGATAGGATGGGCCACTCGTGGTGATGATGATGACATTCCATACGTTACCCCACCGCAGCGAACAGAGTATAAAGGACTCCAAATCCCCCTCATCCCCCTCCCTCTAATCCTCTATACCATCAACAACCGCAAGATCATCAAAATGTCGCACCTGGAAGCCTCCAACCTATACAACGTCAAAGGCCTCGTCGCCGTCATAACCGGTGGAGGAAGTGGTAAACCCCCTCTTCCACCCCCGCTCCATCTACAAAGATAAATAAACTGACAACAAAACCCCAGGCCTCGGCCGCACCATGGCCCTGGCACTCGCCACAAACGGTGCGGCCAGGATCTTTATCATCGGTCGCCGAGAAGGAGCTCTAAAGGAAACCGTTTCTCTCGCCCCAGCCGCCGCCAAAGACAGCATAATCCCTGTCCAGGGCGACGTAACCTCCCAGGAATCCCTGCGATCAGCATACGACAAGATCGCTTCGCAAACAGACCACGTCGACCTCCTTATCGTTAACTCCGGCATCCTCGGCCCACCCGCTATCATCAAGCGCAAGGACGATGGGTCCCTTCTCCCCATCTCCGAACTAAAGGACTACCTCTGGAACATACCCATGGCGGAGTTCACAAAAGTCTTTGAGGTCAACACCACTGGCGCATACTACACGGCCATTGCGTTCCTCCCGCTGCTGGATGCAGCGAATAAGCGTCGCGCCGCACCAGAGAAGAACAAGCTCTCGCCCCCGCTGGCCCAGATCATCATGACCTCGAGTATTGCGGGATACTCGCGGCGAGTCCCGTTTGACTTTGCGTACAACCTGAGCAAGGGCGCCGTGAATCATCTGGTTAAGGCGCTCTCGACGAGTTTGACAGATTACCAAATCCGCGTTAATGGGATTGCACCGGGTTTGTATATGTCGGAGATGTCGGTAGGCACGAACTTTGAGGAGGGGAACAAGGGAGTGTCAGATGGGTCCTTTGACCCGGAGAAAATCCCAATAACGAGGGCTGGGGGTGAGGAGGATATTGCGGGGTTAGTGCTTTGGATGGCGGGCGCTTCTGGGGGGTATTTGAATGGGAATATCACGGTGACTGATGGCGGACGGCTGAGTGTTTTACAGTCTTCTTATTAGGCGCCGCCATGTACATACATGGATAACACTAGATATATCGACTATTCTTGGATTTTCAAAACCGCTATGGACGCTAGGAGATAGTGCTGAGTAAACGCGCATAGATACAGTAGGGGCCGAGACAAGAGGTCTTCAACTGTTAGTATGTTGCAGAAAGGCGCTGTACCAAGTAGTCACCAGATGTTATTCCTGGATATTTCGCCATGCTAATATCCGCCCCTTCCCCGTAGGTACCGGGAATGGCCTCGATGAACTTATCCATGTTAGGGTTGCAGAAGTACGCAATACTGTACCGCTCTGGATACATATCGAAGTCCTTGTCCTCCTCGCCATGCGCCTTGGGCGGCTCGATAACCCTATGTTTCGTGCTCTTGATAGTATCATTCGACCACCTGGCCAGCAAATCACCCGCATTAATAACAACCGTATCAGGGAACGGCGTCACATCAACCCAAGTTCCCTCCGGACTCCTTGCCTGGAGTCCTCCCCGCTGATCCTGGAACAGAAGTGTGATAGACCCGTAATCACTATGTTCCGCAGCCCTCACTTGCCCCGGGTTCTTTGCGAAGACGTCCTTGTGCACAGCCGGGTAATGTAGAAGACGCAGGTTATTATCGCCATTGTCAACGTACTCGTCAAAAAAGTGCACGGGCAGACTCATACCCAATGCAATAGCTTGCATAACTTTGATATGCAGCTCCTTGCATTTCTCAAAGAACTCGAGCATTGTCTCTTTAAAGTCTTTCCCCTCGTCATCAAGATGATCCGGCCAGCGGTTCGGGAGACCCTCGACGCCCTCGCGGCCAATCTCCATGGTCTCTTTCATATCAGGGATCGTGCGGTCCGTTTGACGGTCGACCGTGCTTAGTTTCTCCCGGCCCGTGCGAACATAACCACGGTTCGCCTGCGGGGTCGTCCAGCCCAGCGTATCCTTCTGGTCTTGGGATCTTCCAAAGAATGATGCAGAGGACTTGAAGACTTTGGAGGTCACGGAAGGTGGAATGCCATGGTCTTTGAGGTACAGGAAGCCGCTATTCTTGAAGGCATCGACGACGGCCATGGCGACGGCGTGCTTGTCGGCTGGAGTGCCATTAAGGAAGGGACCAAAGTCGATAATCTGTCGTAGTTAGTTTTCCAAGTTATTTTGCAATATGGGGAGATCACTTGGGCATGTGATAGCGTACTGGGATGACCAGACCGTCTTTCGACACCGTCTCGGTGACGGGCCGACATGCCTGGACCGGCATATTGCCTTCCATGATTGCAATGAAGAGTTTATCAGAATTAGTGGTATACGTTGGAAAGGTTCCTGGAGACGAGGGTAGTAGGAGAGATCGAAATGGGCCGTGGACGAGATGCGGCTGCGGGGATAGATATGTAGAGATAAGGGTGTGGAGGGGAAAGATCACCAGTTATATCATCGGCCCTGCAGGCCCGGGGAACGCCATTGTAACATCCGATGCCCAGTCATGCATATAGCCGGTCACGGAGAATGTGGGAAGATACTCCGTAGATTAAGTGAAGAGAAGATAGCCTTATCTCTGATAACGGCCAGTTGGAGATAGGTTGGAGGTTGGAGTATCAAACGCAGAAGGTAACACTGCATAGATACGGTACCCCGCAGCGATGCATCTTGGTCTCTCCCTTATTCTCCAATTCCCTGACCCTTTCACTACCGTGTTCTCTCCTCAAGCACGCTTTGAACTTGAATTGAACTAGAATTGAACGCCATCATGCCTCTCATCGTCGACGTCCACACGCACGTCTACCCGCCAGCATACATGCAAATGCTGCGAAGCCGAAAAACAGTCCCCTACGTGCATGATCCCTCCAACAACCAAGATCCCCGCCTGATTATCCTCTCCTCGGACGATGACTCTTCTATCCCGCTCGACCAGCGCGGTCGCCCTGTTGACTCTTCGTACTGGGACATCAACGTGAAGCTCTCCTTTATGCGCCAGCACGGCATAAACTGCAGCGTGATCTCGCTCGCCAATCCTTGGTTGGACTTTGTCGAGCCGGCTGAGGCCCAACTGTGGGCGGAGAGAATCAACGACGACCTAGAAAAGACCTGCGCAGAAGTGAACAGGGCCGCTGACCCGGAGAGCGCTTTAGCGCTTGACCAGAAGCACACGTTGTTTGCGATGGGTGCGTTGCCGTTGAGCGCGCCGAGCGCCGAGCCTGTTGTTGCTGAGATTAAACGGCTAAAGACGCTACCGCATCTCCGGGGCGTGATTATGGGGACTTCGGGGCTGGGAAATGGGCTGGATGATGCGAGGCTTGATCCTGTGTGGAAGGCTCTGCAGGAGACGGACACACTGATGTTTCTGCATCCGCATTATGGCCTGCCGGATGAGGCTTTCGGTGGACCCGAGGCAACGGGTCGGTATGGACATGTTCTTCCGCTGGCGTTAGGGTTCCCTCTAGAGACCACGATTGCGGTGACGAGGATGCTACTGTCTGGTGTTTTTGATCGATTCCCGCGTCTCAAGATCCTCCTCGCTCATTCTGGAGGCACGCTTCCCTTCCTGGCTGGGCGGATTGAGAGCTGCATCTTCCATGAACGCAAGTTTGTTTCTGGAGGTGGTGATGTACAGGGTCCGCAGAGGAGTGTTTGGGATGTGCTCAAAACGAATATCTACCTAGATGCGGTGGTATATGGCAAGCCTGGATTAGAGGCGGCGATGGCTGCATCGGGCTCTGATCGTCTACTCTTTGGTATGCTTGGCCTCATGGAATTGTATTTTGATACTGACAGAGTCAAGGAACCGACCATCCTTTCTTCCCTCCCCTGGACTCTGCGGGTAATGACTGGCCGAGTGTGACGACGAACTACAAAGCGATTCACGCGACTTTTGATACAAACTCTGAGACGGTGGCAGATGTACTAGGTGGAAACGCTGCTCGCATTCTAAACTTGAAATGAGTCAGGGTATAACCCTCTCCGGCCTGCATAATATTATTCGAGAACGTGCTGCTTTATAGAAACAGGTAATTCATGACACATGTGCTTATTAGTCGATCTATGGGCAGTACATTAGCTTAAGAGCAAAAGAATCTCACAGGTACCTTGAATGAAGACATAACACTGAGAAAGAGAGATGATTTCTCCCTCCGTACGATATCCGGAAGATCCAGCTTTATGAAAGATCAATTTTCGATAATAATTCCCACCCTAGAAGTTGCCAGAGCTGTTGAGTATACCACTCGGGAACCGATAGCTCAGAAGGCTGATGATCCTCCAGAACTCTCCTGATGTCAAGACCTTTTGGCTCAACAGGCTGCTGCAAAGTCTGTCCAAAGTCCGAATTCGCACCGAAGACAGCCTGTACAAGAGTACTTTGGAGCCTTGCCCTGATTGTGGAAAGAAACTGTCCACCGAACTGATCCTCGGATGCCGCAGATGATAAAGATGGGGGCTTATCAAGTACAGCTAGGGCGCCCCGGACGAGACACACTAGGTATCTTGCTTCAACTTGTGCGCCCCCCAGGGATCTGTCATCTACCTTGGCGTCTCTTAAGCCAGCAGGAAGCGGCAGCTGATCAGGATCCGCCTGTAAATCAGGCCTCAGTTGTAGATCTTGAAAGACAAAAAGACACAAGACGCTCCCGGCACGGCTTAGTAGAGTGTAAAGAAACCCTTCTAGCAGCTGTCTGTGTCCGGGACATGCTAGATCAAGTGATATGACCATTCGGTTCAGTAGCAAGGTTAGCTGTGTCGCGGCTTCGTCTTCTACTTTAGACTGGCTGCCGGGCTCGTCACTCGATTTTGTTTGCATTCTTGTCATGCTCCTTGTCTGCATTGAGAACTCTTGGGACTCTGGCCTTGATGGGGCTGCGCGGGTATTGCAGTAGCGCTGTAAGCAGTCCATGATAGCTGCGTATAAGCAGACAACATGGTAGATGAGCAGCCCTGTTTTTCTGTGCGAAGCACCGGTTCCACACAATTTCTTTATTGTTTGAAAGAGAAAGCGTACGGAGGACTCGGTGCCACGCAAGACTAGGCTGAGGTGTGACACCTGGAACTCTGTCAATGGGCCGTTCGTGGTCCTGCCTTCTGCGGTTTCTTGGGTAATCGCCTCGGCGAGTTGGTCCTCGCAAGTCTTACATAGAGCTACCGCGGCCCGGACTACCCCTGTAGTGTCTCGCCTTTTTTGAAGGGCCTTTTGGAGAACATATGATTGCCTCAGGAACGCGGTGGTAGCTAGGGAGCCGTCAAAACATTAGTATAAGGGAAAGCCAGGAGCTATGGGACTACTTACGCTCCCTGTCTGACTCTCCTGTCATGTCATCATGGAGAGAAGAAGAATCTGTGCCAAATAGGGGGCCCATCGGAAATGATAGTGTCTTGAGCCGTTTCCGCGAAGCCTGGTTCGTGGTGGCAGTGCGCTTCAAGGGGCCCTGCACAGGCACCGCTGCAGCTGGTATCGTCTCGACCGGGACATCATCACGAGTGTGTATTTTCTCCACAAGCTCCTCATTGCGTTGTTCAAGTTCGAAAATCCGGTCCAGTAATGTACTTTTCTCAGCCTCCGACTTCTCGTACGCTCGCTTCCAGAATGAGACGCTGTCGAAGAACTTCTCGGGGGCGTGAAAGATCTCTGCGTTCTTGGAAGCTTTGATAGACTCTCGACATTGCAGAATAAACTCTAAGGCTTGTTAGTATGGGGTCTCACAATGACTGGGAATTTTATTGATACCCTTGATGTCTAGCCCTGCCGGCTTCAACTTAACAACAGCTAAAGCGAGGGCTATCTGTGTAGGAGATGGGGAGTATTCGCTCTCCATTACTGTCATTGATGCTCTTGATTGTTTGCTTGGTTGGGAAGATGTTTATGCGGCGGCGCAGAACGAGAGGTCGAGTCGTAAAGAGCTCGATGGTATTTTAAACACTTTCACCTTGCCTGGTTCCCAGTTAGCAACGAGAAGAAATCGCCTTACTGTGCAGCATGGCAAAAGAATGAATGTATCCTAGTACTCCCCTTGCCTTGCAGAGCGAGAATGAAATATACTCAGCTGGGTTGGTACTTATGCCGCTTTCATCATGAGGGCCCCTACCTTTCATGGGTCCCAGTGTCTTTGAGCATGGAGCCTTGTGGGCGTATAAATTCTCAAGATAGAGGTGGTGCAGAGTGCAGGTTTTGAGGAAGAGTCATAAAGTGCTTGGAGGAAATGGAAGGACTAATCATTGGCCAAGGAGTAATAACGTCGTTGAAATCGGAAAGGGTGTTGAAGTCGGAAAGACGAGAAGCCTAGACGAGAAGATATGGAGGATGCAGAAGGCCACCAAGCATGACAGACAGCCCCAAAGGTCGACCGGCAACCTTGCAACTCAATGAGTTCGAATCAAGTGTGGATGGTAAATCAACAGAGCTATGAATATATCCGATACAGTTCATTATTCCGTCAAGGATCTCACCAGGGCTATCCAGCTCCATTGATAGTTAGTGCACTGCAGTGCTTAGTTGGACGAGTACCAAAATAGTGTCCAATTGAGCCATCAGAACCCAGTAACTGTAGGTAGGGGATCTGGCGGGTATAGATCTGCCCCCACTGACATCCTTCGAAGCCCCGATGACAGCAATGGAATTGAGGTATGGCGAGAAATAAAAAGAAGAAGAAAAAAAAAAGACAGTGGGCCCGAACCGGGATTTGAACCCGGGGCCTCTCGCAGTTCAGTTTTTGAGACTAAGGGTGGACCCGAAGCGAGAATCATACCACTAGACCATCCGGGCTGTGTTAGATTTCATTTATCAATGTGCTCATCACGAGCAACTTTACTTATTTTAACTCAACTTTTATGACATCAGGGTCTCGACAATATATTTTAACTCTTTTAAGGTCAACCTGTTTAGTAATAATATTCAGGCAGTTGCTTGCACTTTATATTAAGGTGACAGCAAACCCTTGTAGGGCTTTGCTCCTTAGTTTCAGATTTCATTGAAATGCTGGGGAGTTTACGCCAACCAAGGAATTATGCCACTACCCACCCAGTCTCATGTAAATTTCCTCTTATCCCCGCTATTTTCACCAGCAGGGATACAGGCCTTGGATACGGAGTACTGCTTTCAACCTGCTTAAGACATTTGATTAATTCTTTTCCTGCCTTTCTTCTCATGTATCCAACCCACAGTTATCATCCCATGTGCAAAATGGCACTGCTCACTCACAACCCATAGTATCATGCCATGTGTATATATTAACCCGCGGGCTGGTCTATGCAAAATACTAACAGCCCACCTCGCAAGCAGGAGCGAGTTCTAGAGTTGCCTCCATTATCCCATCACAACTAAAAACCCCTGTACATCCACACACACTGTCAAGGGCTGGCGGATAATCAGCAGATTATCAACATTTGGTTGTGACCAACCAGCCGAGGGTTATTGTCATCCCTGATTCTTGTTATGCACCAACAACCCATTTCCGTGACCATGATAAGATAAACTGCACTGGACACAGAACACCAAATATCTGGAATACGCCGCCCGCCGATGGCACTGGATCCTGGCTGTGGCCGCCGAGCCTGGGTCTAGGTAAGACCGTCCTGCCACCTCCGAAGCTGCCTATCATTTTTATCGGCGAAGCCAACAGGAAAGCAGGATCTGCTACCATTACACGCCCATGACCAAGTAGCAGATAATAACTACACCTCGCATAGCCGAATACAAAGTCGGTAGACAGATCGGAGATAAACCAAACTAACATTCCAATATCAGTATAGTAGCTCTAACCGCCCTTGATTATCCATAGGAGTTTATATACTGGGAAGACTATGGCAAAAGTCCCAGAACCCGATGGTGTGGAAATCCATGGACCTTTTAGTATGATATCTGTAGGCACTAGCCCTCATATACGAGAAATTTGCCCTAGTTACCGCCGTCCGACTATTGACAATGACGTCTGATTTCCCATTTGGACACTCCACCTCCACGCGCTTCTCCAACGTCACTTCTCCTGATTTCTTTTCCGATAACCCCAGAACACCATGAATCCGAACCCTCAAACCCTGATCTCACTCGGCCTCGCAATTGCAGCGGCCTTTATATTCTGGACCCTCTCCTCAACCACCACGTCTCCCTTCGCGCGCACATTCCCGCATCTCCAAAACAAGCGAATATGTCTCCTCATCGCGCACCCGGACGACGAGGCCATGTTTTTCGCGCCCACATTACTGGCTCTCACAAAGCCGGAACTGGGCAACCATGTTAAGATCCTGTGCTTGAGTAGCGGTACGCTAGTTCCTTATTCCCTTGACTACGGTGCCCGATGAGGAATCGCAAAACTAACGCCCTTGTTTGTGCCTACAGGAGACGCCGACGGCCTCGGCCACATCCGCCGCGACGAACTTACAAAGAGCGCAAAACGCCTCGGAATCCGCTCCGACAACGACGTGCTCGTCCTCGATGATTCGAAATTCCAAGATGGTATGGGGAACGAATGGTCGAAGAGCGACATTGCGTCTCTACTTTCGTCAACATTCGCGCCAAACATATCCACGCGCAAACAATCCAGGACAAGCCACGAAAAGCCCACTGCAACAATCGACGTCCTGCTCACCTTCGACGCCCACGGCATCTCAAACCACATCAACCACCGCTCTCTCTACCACGGTGCGCGCCATTGGCTGTCTACAATGATGAAGGATAACCGGGGATATTCGTGCCCTGTGACGATGTACACGCTTACGACGACGAATCTGCTGCGCAAGTATATTGGGGTTCTGGATGCGCCGTTTACGATGGTTAGGGGCGTGGTGGATGGGCTGTTTTCTGCTTCGTCGAAGGCGAGGAGTGGAAGCGGGAAGAAAGCGGAGGCGCCGGGGAGATTGCTGTTTGTTAGCTCGGTGGGCGAGTGGATGACGGCGCAGTCGGCTATGGTGAAGGCGCATCAGAGCCAGATGGTTTGGTTTCGGTGGGGGTGGATTGGGATAGGGAGGTATATGGTTGTTAATGATTTAAGGAGAGAGAATTTCTAATCTAGTGTAGACGTAGCTCTAGATCATGTATAAAAATATGGTCGTTATAGTATATACTTCAGCAAAAGAAAACACGAAGTTGCGAGACGTTGTCTACTATACAGTAGGTATTAACGAGTAAGACATCACCTGCTTACTACCTGAACAAGTGAACATAGCATCATCTTAAAGGATTAAGGCAGGGAAAATATCTCAATGTTGACATTGATCGCGGACCGTGACTAAACAAGAGAAAGGGGTATCTGAATATCTAAACCGGCAAGCAAGGCCATCGCATCGCATCATACAAACAGCTGCGGCGTTCAAGTAAAGACACATTACACGTAGGCTAGCGAAGCTCAGACAAGAACAAATCCACACATAATCCAGTGCATTGGAAGTGCTTTCAAAGGGGTACAAAGGCCTTCCGAAGCGCCGATCTCTTCAGCTCAGCCGATTCGGCCGCCTCATCTACCCAGAAACCACGTGGACCATGGTCGGCGGATTGCTGATTGAAGCGGCCCGCGACGTCCTGATACACTTCCCCAACAATCGGCGGCATCTCGTCTACCGATTTCTCTTGTTCTTCATTGTCCCATTCGGGGTTGTAATCCAGGACGGCGGGTTCGAGGAGCCGCCTGATCAAGGGGCTACGAAGATCGCAAGCGGCCATTCTGGCTTTATACGCGGCCCAGATGTAATCGTCCTCGTACTCCTTGTCGCGCTCCAGTAGCTTGAAATCCTCTCCGAATGAGGGCCGGCGGACCGGGATGCGTGGGTGTTGGGGATATCTAGGAGAAGTGGCGTAGGTTGCACCCCTGAATTCCACGACGCCGAAAGTTGTCACGTAGAGGGTTCTACCTGGGATGAAGTCTCGCCATTCCTCTATTAGACGTGGTAGGACTTTGCGTTCCCAGACATCGTGGTTGGCGCCGAACCATCTGGCTTGGTTAGTGAAAAGCTTTGCGAGACGCTCTATTGTCCTTGTTTGCTGCAAGACCAGGGCCCGGAGGATATCGTAGGTGTGGATGGCGTCTGCGAAACCTCGAGATCGGAGGATCTCAGGGTCTATCTCTCCGTTCCCGGAGCGAGGGTAACGTAGGTATGATTCGATCATCTCTCGTGCAGCGATCCTCTTGCTTCTTGTATCGCTCAGTATTTTGTATGCCTCCCGCATGTGATAAAGGAAAGGCTTCAAATTGCGAAAGCGCCATTCTGTCTTGGCGAGTTTTGCATGCATCTCTGCGGTTGGTTCAACGTTGTATGGCTCTTTGGTCATCGTGTCAAATATATTTCGCATCAGGTTGGTGCTAACGAGACCTTTTGACTTAGCCCCAATGTTCGGGCCATATTTGGTTCTCGATAGAACAAACGCCCATTCAAATAGCTCGGCCCAGATTGAGTCGGGAACTTCAACATCGTAGGCGCTGGCAACATGTTCGATAATCCGTATGGCGCACTCAATATCGTTGGCCGCGCTATATGAGTGGGCCACCGCGCGAAGGAGCCGAGCAGAAGGGTAAAAGGGCGAAGACTGTTCATATTTGATGATAGGGATGTGATCCCCTCTTTGTAGAGCGTGGACGTCAATGTTCCAGACAGTGTGCAAAATGCGGTTCATTCCTTCATTGTCTCCCACTCGGCCGTTTGCCATCAAGAGGTTTACAATGCTCGTCTCATCACCTTCGTGGCCCAACTCTAACATCTCATCAAATATTGCTACCACTTCCGTTCGCACACTGCGTTTCGCGGTTCCGTAGCCTGTCCAGCCAAAATGTCCAAACTTCCGTTGCTTATAGGCATGAGGCGTAATGCGTAGACGATATTTTTCTATGCCCGTATATGCTGAGTCCCAGACCTTGGCTTCCATGTAGTGGTTGTAACACGGGATGTCCGGTTCGATTTCGTCCCGCTTCATCGCCTCCCAGATATGGTCTGCCATGGGCGCATCGCCCATAGACCTAGCGCAGTCAAGAAGGTGCGTGTATTCGGCAAGCCCTAGCACTTGATCCCCCGACCTTCGTATCCGGATAATGGCAGCAAGATTTCTGACAAAGTCATCAAAGGTCGTCTGCAGCGATTTGAGGCGCTTGAGCTGCTCAGTATATGGATGAAGCGGCCTGTGTATCTCTTTGAAGGGTTCAACGAAATAGGCGGGAGAGAGAAGGTGTAGGGCTTCGATAAAGCTACTCTGCGGCATGGTGGCAACCAGCTCTTCGCAGTCATAGTTAAGCAAAGCAGCCATTACCTGATCTGGTTGGGCAGTTTCCAGGATCTTGTAGAATTCTTCCCTCACAGTGGCTGCGCGTTGTGCCCTGGTATCGCGACTTAGAGATCTATGGTCTGTCGCATTCGACTGAGAGTCTTTTCCATTGTCGCTTAGTTCTTCTGCAGGAATGCTGACAGGTTTGCTAGGCTTGAGCGTGGGTGCTGTCGTAGTGTTCCATTTCCAGCCAACGGAGTTGCGGGAGGTCACAGTATCCGAGTCTGAAGATTCACCAGTATCCAGACTCGATGGCTGGCTCACAGAGTCGCTCGCTTCTTCGCTAGCTTTAAATCTTGGTGCCGACTTATCGTTCCAAGCCCAGGCGGCCAGAGAACTTCTGGTGGTAAACAGTCGCGTAAACTGAGGCGTTGAAACCGCAATGGGATGCAGTTTATAGACGCCATGGTGGCTGACATAGACAGCGCAGCTAAGACGATTGAAAGAGCGACGTCGTATTACCAACCTCATCGAGATTGACTATAGAGCAGGAGGAAGGTTGGAAGGGATTCAAGGGATGGGAAGAAGGGAGAGGAGAACATGGTGAAAATGAGGGGGTGTTACAGCCCCCCTGGTTATAACGCTGGCCAGTATTGCCCTTGCGTCTGATTTCTAGCCTATGTTAGGTACGCTTTGTCCTGAGTGAGATGCAGAGCCAGCAGTGGTGTGTTACTCCAGCCTAGCAAGTCCGGGGTAGGAAAAGGCGCTAATTTCTGTCTTGGCGCTCGGCGGGTTTTTGTCTTATCCGTCGGCCTGGTGAACTGAGCTCTGTTAACGCTACCATTCCTTTCGTTTATCCTCTTCCTTCACATCAAGATGGCCGACACCGAGGGTGCAGGCACCTCCTCTGTATCTGAGCCTTTGGATCTCGTCCGTCTCTCCCTCGACGAGATTGTCTTTGTCAAGTTGCGGGGTGACCGCGAGCTGAAGGGCCGTCTACACGTGGGTCTATCATTCACCCAAGCTCGTTTCATGACCTTTGCTAATACTCTATGCGCTTCTAGGCTTACGATAGTCACTGCAACCTGGTACTAGGCGAGGTTGAGGAGACTATCTACGTCGTTGAGGAGGACGAGAACGAGCAAGAGCACATTCGAGTACGCCGATCCCATCCCTCTCCGACGCGGCACCCCAAGGGTTCGATTAACTGGTTCTTTAAACTCTATAGACAATCAAGAAGCAGGAAGAGATGCTGTTCGTTCGAGGTGCGCTATCTTTCTTCGCCAAATTCTAGACTGCAGCTGACACAGCCAGGTGACTCGGTCGTCCTGATCTCGCCCCAAGCATGATCGAATCAAGCTGAGATATGATACAATAAGAAGAGCGAGTGCTTCTTACGGAACCGCTTGCCATAACGAGTCCCCGAATTTGCGACTCATTATACTGGGATTACAGTCCGGCCATAACCCAGGCATAGATGCAGGTTGTCGGACACCATTTCGGAAACAGCGTCCGGTAATAATGACTCCCGTTCCTGTTGCTTTCTGCCGGTTCTACCGGGTTTGTAATGCTTCAAGGCAGTCATACCAACCACACTACTTTATTCTTAGAGGTCGATTTTGAAAGCATAATGATATAATTGTCGAATCTAAGGAACGAATTATAGCAGAAGACGGCCTTGGAAGGCACAGCCTTCTCTGAGTCAATCAATTTGTTAGCGTTTATTGCTGTTGTGGCAGGGCGCTGTAGATTCTATGACTCAGGCCTGAGTCGCGGCTACTACTATCGATAAAGCTCCATCGCTCCGCTCTTATTTAAACCCTCGGGTTCCTACTCTGCTTCTGCTTCTACAACCACATTTACTTGACTATTCGTTGCACTTACAAAATTAGCTCTACCTCCAGCTCCATTTCGTGGAGAATGATCGTACGAATACGTGTTTGAACCGCCACTGGCGACTCTTCATTTCTGACCGTTAGTTCAACACCAATTACCACATAACGAACACATCATTAAATTATCGCAATCGTTTGGCCATTATTGCAATCGTTAAATACACGGATCATGCGGACCGACGCACTGAAACCATCCCTTGAAGACCGGCGAAGAGGCGAGCTCGTGAGTTGATGTCTTGAGTACCCCTCATTCCAGCTTCTCTAACTACGTATCATCATCCACAGGCGCTCAGCGAGTTTGCGGAATACGCGGACAAGCAACAATCGCTCCGCTCTGCGCAATCCGGTGGCACTAATGAAAAATCTACTGTGCACGAGGAGCATGCGGAGTTGGAGATTCTCGATCAGTTGGGACTTTCCGATGACCCGAAGACTATTAAGCTCAAAGACCTATTACTCAGCTCGGACGACAAACCCGATGAAGACGTCAAGGCCCTGGCTGAAATATTGCAGAGCCGCATCGATGAAGGTCATGGAGAGACAATCTTTGACCTGGGCGTTGAAGATGGAGGAGAGACCATGTCCCTGAGTCTTGACCAGTGGAACTCGGCCCTGCAGCGGCTGCGCGAGGCTGCGACAACCCTCGCCGCACATTGCCGTATCCTCTTAACCTACAATGTCGGTGGTCCTGAGGAGTCAAAAGCTACGAATGACCGGATAAAGGGTTCTTGGGGTAAAATCCTCATCCGGCAGCCCGCGGAGACAGTGGAGGAAATGGCAGAAATAAGGATGGCTGTGGTCGGTAACGTTGACGCCGGAAAGAGCACCATGCTGGGTGTCCTCGTAAAAGGAGGCTTGGATGACGGACGTGGTCGAGCTCGAGTGAATCTTTTCCGCCACAAACACGAAATTGAGAGTGGAAGGACCAGCTCCGTGGGCCTGGAGATAATGGGCTTTGATGCCCAAGGAGAGATCGTGAGCAGCTCGCAGGGACGCAAGCTTTCTTGGGAAGAGATCGGGAAACGGTCCGCTAAGGTTATCTCTTTCTCGGACCTCGCCGGGCACGAGCGTTACCTGCGAACGACCGTCTTTGGCATGCTGAGCAGCAACCCCAACTACTGCCTGCTGATGGTTGCAGCCAACAATGGCCTGATCGGTATGAGCAAAGAGCACCTGGGTATCGCCCTTGCTCTGAACGTTCCGGTCATGGTCATAATAACCAAAATTGATATCTGCCCTCCACAAATTCTGCAGGAGACTATCTCCCAGCTGACCAAGATCCTGAAGTCGCCTGGGGCTCGGAAGATTCCTATCTTTGTCAAAGATATGGAAGAGACAATTAACACTGCGACGCAGTTTGTCTCCCAGCGGATATGCCCCATCTTTCAGGTTTCTAATGTCACCGGGGAGAACCTGGAGCTTGTCCGAACGTTCTTGAATATTCTCCCCTACCGCGGGCAATATAATCCCGACGCACCTTTTGAGTTTCTCATCAACGACACTTTCTCCGTCCCTCATGTTGGTACTGTCGTGTCTGGAGTAGCCAAGTCGGGGGTAATCCACGCTGGCGATTCTGTGCTGGTTGGACCTGACTCTCTAGGTCAGTTCACGACTACTACTATCAAGTCCATTGAGCGCAAGCGTATCCAAGTGAACGCTTGTTTTGCCGGACAGTCTGGATCCTTTGCGCTGAAGCGTGTGCGGCGGAAGGAAGTTCGGAAAGGCATGGTTGTGCTCAAGAAATTGGATCAACAGCCTAAAGTCTACCGAGAGTTCATTGCAGAGGGTATGCTCGACGTCACGGGAATCAGATCCTTGCTAATTTGTTTAGTTCTCATCCTGTCGCACGCAACCACAATAAAACCTCGATATCAGGCAATGCTCCATGTCGGGGCAGTAAGCCAAACTTGCTCTGTCATTGATATTGATCGGCCTTATATCCGGACAGGTGACCGTGCCCTAGTCGCCTTCCGTTTCATGCAGCGGCCTGAATTCCTCGCTCCTGGTGATCGAGTACTGTTCCGAGAGGGTAAGACCAAGGGACTAGGTATTGTGAAGAGCGTCGGGTATGATCCGAACAACCCGTTGAACCCCGAAGCCAGGAAAGAGTATGAGCGGAAAGAAAAGCGCTGATTACTGCACGATTGTCGCCTTGATTTTCTGTGCCCTTACCACTCCAATTCGACCTGGGCGTCCTTGATGACTTTTTTTTGTTGATGGGTAGATTTCTAAGTCACTCTTTTTGCCTGCCTGGTATTCTTGCCTTCTATGCACAGCAGCGCTGAACAGGCCTGAAGCCTCCGTTCTTGTGGTATTCTGTCGCTGCGCACGGTGTTGCTTTCATTTTTCCCTTCTGACATGTCATAATGTGTACGGGTACTTGGGTAAACATCGTAGCTAGGATAAATATATTTTTGCGTCCCCGAGCCGTCCATTCATGGCCATTGAGAAGCAGAATGATTCGAGTTACGCTATAGTACTCGGTACTAGAAGCGGCGTGTGGCGGAAGCGGTGGCACAGGCGTGGCTAGGTAGTGGGATCCCCGGCTGACTCACAATTTTTTCCGAGTTACCAGCATATGGCAGTGCCCCTCATTTAATAGTGGGCTCCAGTCTTTATTCAGATGCGGTTTTTTATCTCTTCATTCAAGCCATTCCGTGATCTCAACTTGAGCGCCATTCGGAGATCTCTCATCCGCCGTCAGTGGGAAGCCCGGACCGTCAACCTTCCCCATCAATACTTTCGTTCCTTCACTTCTCAGATTCAGGAACCAATAGACATGGCGACCAAGGAGGGGAAGTCAAACAAGTTGAGCTTCCAGCTCAAGACGCCCAAGGGCACAAGGGATTGTTAGTTGACTGGCTTACTCTATGCGACTCACTGTTACTGACTTCCTATGCTAGGGATTGGTGTTGACATGATCATACGGTAAACATCACAAGATACCTATCGCGTCCGCGTGCCGCCCACTTACACTGTCGCAGTGAATCAATCTTCAGCGCCATCACCGAAGTCTTCAAGCGTCACGGAGGTACACAACTAGACACACCGGTTTTCGAATTGAAGGAGATCCTGGCGGGCAAATATGGCGAGGACTCTAAGCTTATCTATGACCTTGCCGACCAAGGTGGAGAGGACAGCGCTCTTCGATACGACTTGACGGTGCCGCTTGCTCGGTGGCTCGCCATGAACACGTCAGTGCAGCACATTAAGCGATTCCAAATCGCCAAGGTGTATCGACGGGATCAGCCGGTGAGTCATTCGTGGGGAGGGAGTAGACAGGGCCATTTTCAAGTCTAATATGTCGGGCTTTATAGGCAGTTGCGAAAGGACGGATGCGCGAGTTCTACCAGTGCGACTTCGATATCGCCGGTTCCTACGATGCTATGATTCCCGATGCCGAGATCCTGCGGATAGTGGTGGAGGTGTTTGAGGCGCTCAACATGCGCGATTATATCACGATTAAGCTTAACCACCGGAAGATCCTCGACGGGTTGTTCGGGGCGTGTGGCGTTCCTGAAGATAAGATTCGCGCGATAAGTTCCGCGGTTGACAAGCTTGATAAGGTATGTGGGGATTTACGTTGGCCGGGAACCCAGCTGACCGGCTTAGCTTCCATGGGATCAAGTTAAGAAGGAGATGGAAGAGAAAGGGCTGGAACCAGAAGTTGCGGATAAGGTTGGAAAATACGTGAAGCTGAGCGGTGGCCGTGAGATTTTGGACGCCATCAAGGCCGAAGAAGTGCTCATCGCCAACGAGAACGTGAAAAAGGGTGTTGAGGACCTGGAACTCCTCTTCAAATATCTCGAGGCTTTCGACGCATTAGACAAGATCTCCTTCGACCTCTCCCTTGCCCGAGGCTTGGACTACTACACTGGTCTCATCTACGAAGTGGTTACACCACTGTCCTCCGCCGAAGGGTTCGCCCAGTCTCAGAAGAAATCCAAGTCAAAATCAAAGCCAAATGGAGAGGACCAGAATATTGGTGTTGGAAGTATCGCTGCAGGTGGACGATACGATGATCTGGTTAACATGTTTGCGAAGAAGCGTCAAATCCCCTGTGTTGGTATCTCATTCGGTGTCGACCGAATTTTCACAATCATGAAGCAGCGCCTTGAGAGTGAGGCCGAACAAGGCAATGGCACTATGCGCGCCAGCGAGGTCGATGTCTTCGTCATGGCTTTCGGTGGAAAGGGTTTCAATGGCCTGCTCGTCGAGCGCATGTCTGTTGCCAATCAGCTGTGGAAGGCAGGCATCAAGGCCGAATTCGCCCAAACGGTCAAGCCCAAGCTGCCGCAGCAGTTCAAGCTGGCAGAGGCCGGTGGTATCCCACTCGCCGTCATCCTGGGAGAGGACGAATTAGCAGCGGGCAAGGTTAAGCTAAAGGAGCTTGGACTGCCCGAGGGCCACCCAGAAAAGGACGGTGCTCTGGTCGCGAGAGAAGATCTTGTGGAGGAGATCAAGAAGAAGCTGAATAAAGCCTCCTTGCCGATTCGCTAGGTGGCGCATATCTTGACATCAATTGGGAATAGTTGATCGGGCGCAAAGCATAGGGCAAAGGGGTGGGAGGAACACAGGGCAGCTGGCTATCCTGATAGGGCGCAAAAATAGACTAGATATCCGATCGTCACAACATTATCTCATTTCACCTTGCCATTTGGATTCCCCTTGTTGTCATATTCGATAAACATTCGATGGGCCCAGCCACGTGACCTGACTTGACGTCACTTGCGTCACTCTCTCAATTCAGCCCAGCATCCAGCATGAATCAATCCAAACATCATCGATCATCACTGAGGCCGATGACGTTGAGCAGCCGGTTTGGTTTCGACCCTCACTGACGTACCTGTACAGGCTCGGCTCTGGTCCCCGCACCAACGATCTATATAACAACCACATACCAAGCCCTTGGCCAAAGAGTGGCAATATACTTCAACTACTACAAGTCAAACACAACACTACTCACTGAGTCGATTTCTTAAACCCAGTCCCCACACTCCACCACTTGGCATTTCTTCTATTACACAACCATGGAGACCGTCCAACAAGTTGCTCAAACCGCACAGCAGGCCGTTCAAAGTGCATCGAACGCCGTCTGGAACGAGATCGATGCCCTTCGTAGCGGCCAGGAGACCGAACAGCGAGTTCCTCAGCAACAACAACAGCATGGAGACGAGCCCATGTCCGGCATCCAGGGCAAGGGAACCGCTACCGACCCCTATGATGCAGGCAACCGAGACGGTAAGTCGTCTAGCCTCCTGCGTTTCACCAAAGCCACACAGCCCTAACCTTTTCACTACAGAACAACTTGGAGCCCCCATCTCCAAGAACAACACCGCTGTCATGACCGAGCCACTCTCTTCCACAATGCCCGGCACTTTCCAGGACAAGTATCAGAACCCCAACGCAAACAGGGATGGCAAGGCCGCCCTCGTCACATCCAACATCGGTCCCTCGAACCCATCCATCCAGCACCCTGACCCTGTTGTTGGCAAGCAGCACACCTCAGGCCCCGCGGGCAAGAGCATCCTCAAGGACGAGCCTCTCAGCACCCACGGAAGCACCCTGAAGGACGAGCCTCTCAGCACACACGGAAGCACCCTGAAGGACGAGAGCCTCACCTCTCGTCCCAAGCCCAGCGAGCCTACCACTGCCTATGACACACGATCTGCCAACGCCGCACATGCTGCAGAGAAGGTAAATGAGGCTGGTTCCAGTGCTGGTCTCGGCTCAGGCGTTGCTGCTGGAGCTGGAGCTGGCTCTCTCTCCGGTTCTACTGCTGCCCCCACTGCTAAGCCTTCCTCCGAGCAGCGAGGTAACCTCTCATTTGGCCACGCCCAGAGCGTGGGCCCCAAGGACGAGGAACCCTCCACCTCCGGCCTTGGTGCTACCGGCAGCCTGAGCCAGTCCAAGGACAAAAAGCCCTCCACCTCTGCCACCCGTGCATCCGAGACCGTGGGCGAGAGCAAGGCCAAGCAGCCTTCCGGTGCCGGCCTTAGTGCCGGCCAGGCCCCCAAGAGCGTGACGGAGACCAGCGCTGGACCTCAAGCTACAGGTGCCGGTGCCGCGCCCACGAACGTCACCAAGGACGAGGTCGAGCGCAAGGAGCCTTCTACCTCTGGCCCCAATGCCGGTGACAGTGCTGAGACCGCCAAGTCTGGCGATTCCGAGGCGTCTACTCACGACGTCGCTGAGAAGAACGGTGTCAGCGAAGAGGCCCTCCGTGGCCCCGAGTGCCCTCCCCCTCGTCAGTCCTACGAGAACCAGATGAAGGGTGTGTCTGAGAAGAAGGACGACTCTAAGACGACGAAGAGCGGTTAGTACCTGTGCCCTATTCTACTTTCAAGTTTGTTTCTAGGTTCAGATCACTAACAATCGTTTGATGTAGATGACAATGACAAGAAGGAGAAGCACCACTCGAGCATGAAGGAGAAGCTGAACAAGGTTCTCCACCACCACTAAACTCCTTTCGCTCTTGTTGAACCCCCTGCCCTGGTTTGGCAGAGATGAATTACGCGGTTAAAAGGGATTATGATACTCTAATGTCTTTCTACTTGGTACGCAGCGAGTTTGGTTGTTTACTCTGTATCAGTATAATGATTGCCATTGAATGAATTAAATTTAAAAATCTATTGATGATAATACCGTAAGTAACCTTGGGTATAGCCAGCAAATATACTTCTAGTGTCATCACTACTCAAACAACAACTTCAGTTCCTCAATCCTTTCCTTCTTCTTGTCATCCTCATTCCCCCCTATCTTAAGCCCCAACGACCCCGCAATGCCCATCTTCCGCTCCTGAACCCTCAACATCCGCCCCTCAATCGAGTCCTTCACAATAAACCGCACGACATTCACATCCCGCAGCTGGCCCATCCGATGCACGCGGTCGATAGCCTGTGCCTCAGTAGCAAACGACCACCATGGGTGCATCATGTAGACGTTCGATGCGGCGGTAAGGTTCAGACCGACACCGCCGGCTCCAAGCGATATGAGCAGTACTGTCGGCGCAGGCGGGACGGATGACTGTTTCGGTGTTTTTGGCGTAAGCGTGGGCGTGAGGCCTGGTGTTTGTGTAGGCGTGGATTCAGCTTGGTCGAGTTCCTCCTGCGTGAATGTCTCTGTTTTCGAGAACTGGGCGACGATTTCGGCGCGGGCCTTCTGCGACATTGTGCCGTCGAACCGGACGTGCGAGATGCCCGCTTTTGTTAGCTGCGGACCGATGAGGTCGATGAAGGTGGTGAATTGAGAGAAGACGACGGATTTTGTGCCTGGTGGAAGGCGCGTCAGGTGAGAAAGCAGGGCGTGGATTTTGGCAGATGTGTGTGCTGAGGGGGAGAGGGGGTTTATTCGTCTTATTGAGATTCGAGGGGGTGGTTGTGAGCTGCTATATAAATCGTTGCTGTCTATAGAGGAGGGCGGTGGTTGTTGTTCTGTGGGTGTGGAGTTTGGTGACTGGTGGCGGACGACTTCGAAGATATCTTGCAAAGATAGGTCTGCGCGACATGAGAAGCATCGAGGTTTCACACCCTTATCTGTTTGGTGCTTGATGTAATCCTCTAGACATTTCTTGCAGGCGCTGTGCCAGCAGGCTGTAACGGCGGGGTCGATCATGGGTTCTTCTGAGCAGATAGGGCATTCCCCGCTGGAGTCTGTCTGGATCTGGCGGAGGGCGTGGGCTGTAAACTTCGAGGAGGGATCTGGGGGTTCATTCGAGTCGGCGTTTTCGGTAGTCGTTGTGAACCGGTTGATGAGTTCCTGGAGGTCCATGTCATCCTTGAGATCATTGTTCAGATCCGCCGCAGCTGCGGCGTCTTCTTCATCTGCAACGATTTCTTTTTTGCGCGTGAGGATGGGGTGGCAGCATGTCTGGCGGAGACGGGTTAGTTGCGCGAAGATGGTCGAGTACGATTTGAGCACGGTTCCTGCTTCGACGCTGCTGTTGAATGTTTGCTTTGCTCGGGTGAAAATGTGGTTATAAATTTCCCGTTCCTGCTCGTGGAGTTCGACTTCCTCGACCTGGATTGTCCGCTTGGGTAAGGGGACCAGTGGCTCCCCTTCAGGAGTTTTCATGAACTTGGTACGCCGGAGAACGAGCGGCTCAAGCACTGTCTGCACCACACTAATCGCGCGTATCACTTCCTTATTCTCGAAGGGTGTCGTGATGAACGTCTTCCAGAAGGAGAAGTTGTTCCACGGTTCAACCTTGAGGAATCTCACCAAGCTGAAGAGATCTTCCAGACGGTTGACGATGGGTGTGCCGGTGAGAACCCATCTGTGTGTTGCTTTTAGGTCATAGCAAGCTCTTGCCGTCTTTGACCGTCGATTCTTGATGAGATGAGCTTCATCGAGAATGATTCGGAAGAAGTCTACCGAGAAAAGGTTTCCTGGGGTCCAGGAAGCCCCCGGCGTTAGTGCCTGATGCGCTCGATGTTCAGACATCACAACTCCATAACTGGTGACAACTACGTTGGGAGCTGCGGCATTGCCAGCAGAGCACAGCTCCCGTAGGTTGACAGATTTTTCATTCCCATAATACACCAGGACCTTCATTGTTCCCTCCTTGGAGGCCTTCAATGCCTCACTCTCCCACTGTGCAAGCAAAGACATTGGCGCAACAACCAAGGTTGTGTACGGACCCGGTACAACGCCAGACGTGGGCAGCCTGGTCAAGTCGCCAGAGTTACGTATCGGTGGGACATTCCTGTGAGAATGAACCAAGCTCAGCATCTCAATGGTCTTTCCCAGGCCCATCTCATCGGCGAGGATGCCTCCTAGACAATGCTGTTCTTGGGCAGGGAAATCAAGGCTAAGCTCTCCGGAATAGGGATTGACGTAAAAGTGGTCAATCCCTTCGATAACCGGCAGGTCCTTGTCATCGACGTCTTTCAAGGGCCAACTGTATTCCTCCCACAGTGGGTGCATCGAGACTTCCCTGCCGGATTTTTTATCCTTTTCTTTCGAAAGCATCCAGTAAAGCGCTTGTTTCTGGTACTTCCGCAGATCCATGGCAAAAGAAGATGGAGGTTGAGCTTCGGGCATGCTAAAGTCAAAAGATTGCGCCTTTTTATACAGTGCATCAAGCTGGGCATCCTCGAGATCCCCAGGTTCATCTTCTTCGGTGTCGTTATTTCCGGACTTGGCAGTTTTCTTAGCCTCCTCGTCTGCCATTTCGGCTGCACGCAGCAATCCCTCTTTCCTCTGTTTTTTCATCTCATCGTCCTGGGTTGTAGATTTGAGACCTATCTCGTCAAACAATTGAACTAGAGCGACCTGACGCAGACGCAATTGTTTCTCCTCCGTGCTCTCTTCTTGTTCGAAGATCGTGGTCGCCCTGTTATCATCCGCCGTCTGATGTAGTACCTTCGGCTGGAAAGCTTCTATCCGCATGAAACACAGGAGCTGCAGGAAGACGGTGTCGTTCACTCGGAGCCTGTCCGGCGCAAAAACACAAACTCCGCGGAATTCACAAATCTTCTGATCGAGTAGGGTGGACACCCATTCAGCCGTCTCCCGAGGCAGTCTTCCAATTTCCTGGCCAGCATCGTTCGTAAAGCGCGTGAGAACATCCCCTTTATTGTTCACTCTGATTTTCCCGGTCCGGCCGCGAGTAGAAAGAGGCTGGGATCTTGCTCGCTCAATATTCACGGTGTCGCCGTGTTTGACCAAGCCAGTTCCGCTCCTGGTAGCCCAGGCCCCTACCCCAAACGCGCCGACATATCTTCGAGGAGGCTGCGATTTCGAACGCGGGACGTTTTCATCAGCGAGACTAGCCCCGTTACTCTTGGGTGCAACCTCTTTTTCAATTGACCTGGTCGACGGGGCGGGTTGTGAAGGGATTCGCTCGCGGGATAGTAACGTCGTCTGGTTCGATCCTGTGCGGCCTGAGTTCTTCCATGATCCGTCGAAGTAGATATTTATAGCGCTCTCGAGGTTTCCACCTGAGAGTTTTTGGATCTTCAATAGTGCTTCTGGTGAGATATCCTCCCCTATGATGCCGACAAACGCCTCCGTATCGAAACTTCTTGTATCTTGTTGAACAGGTAATTGTGGTTGATGCGCAGAGGTAGCAAGATCGGGTATTTCCGGACTTTCTTGCCCGGGCTTCTCCAGTTCATTTGCCCTTGAGAATTCTGTATCAGTCGGGATGAGGCCATCATTCACGTCTGTAAGCGAAGAAGCATGTAGCGACGCGTCAAGATTCGGGGTGTTTTCGGCGGCGGACTGAGGAGAATCGAAAGGGTCGTCGACAAAGAAGCGTCTTTTCTTGAATGGGCGGTCGTTGGACGCATCAAAGTCCATGATTCAGCGAGCGTATGTCTGATAATAATGTGCAAGAAGAAAGTGAGAAAAGATTGAGCATGGTTCGGCTCAGATTATGTGGAGGACGCGCCGAAGACGCGGTGGAAAATCACTTAAACTTCATTGGGCCGGCCTTCTGGGAAAAGTAGGCCACAGCTTCACCAGTGACCACCAAGCTCCAGATAGCCAGCTCATCTACTTTCGTATGGAGAAGATCGCTTCCCATTCATTATCTCTGGTCCGGCATTTTCCATATATGGTCGCACCTGTTGGTTACTATACTGAGCGATTTGCGCTGAGTCTGCACAATTCCCTCTGCGGAGCTTTCTAGCTACTACCACCACCAACTCGTCGACCACCTCTGTCGTCATACAGCACAGCCATGTCTCTATTGAGAGACACGGTGCGACCATCACGGTCAACCCGCCAAATTCGCCGTCTCTGCAAAACAGTCAACCTCACCCAGCAAGATCGCCGCTACAGCACAACCCCCGCCACCGGCGTCGCCGCCGCGGAAGTCGAAGCTTCGCACAAATACTGCCTCAATCTCCTTGCGTACGTCTCTCTGGCTTCAATGCATGCAATGCACGATGCTGACAATGTCTAATGCGCAGGAAATATGACCGCCCCTCCTACACCCTCAGCACCTTCATCCCGCAACCCGCCCGCCCAACATACATCGCGCTGCGCGCCCTAAACTCAACATTATCCCTAATCCCCGACACAACCTCCTCGCACACAATCGGCCTAATGCGCCTGCAATTCTGGCGCGACGCAATCGCCAAGACGCTCGCGGGCTCGCCGCCAAAGGAACCCATCGCGATCCTCCTCGCCTCCGCAATCGAAGACCTGCACCACCGCAGCAACGGGCGTGCAAAGCTAAGCAAGAACTGGTTGAACCGGATGATTAACGCGCGGGAGCAAACGCTTACAAACGACCCGTATCCGAACCTCGAGGCGCTGGAGAACTATGCGGAGAATACGTACAGCACGCTGCTTTATCTGACGCTCTCGGCGCTGCCGATGGCGAGCGTTACGGCGGATCATGTTTCAAGTCATATTGGGAAGGCGGCGGGCATCGCGGCCGTGTTGAAAGGGTTGCCCATTGTGGCGTTTCCGGCGCAGGCGCTGCAGGCCAGTTCCTCTGGGGATAGTATGGCGGCTTTCCAGGGAAGCGGGAAGCAGGGTGCTGTGATGTTGCCGTTGGATGTTATGGCGCAGGCCGGGGTGAAGGAGGAAGAGGTGTTCCGACGGGGCGCGGAGGCGGAGGGCCTACGTGATGCGGTCTTTACGGTTGCGACGAGGGCGAGCGATCACTTGATTACAGTGCAGCAGATGCTGAGCAATCTGCGGGCGGGACAGGACGTCGGTCATGACTTTGAGCACGAGGGCGAGGAAGACCATCAATACGCTGCCGGGGAAAGAGGGCAGGAGTCGCAGCTTGACGAGGTGAATCGGGCATTTGGAGTGTTCATGCCCGCTGTTGGGACGCGGCTCTGGTTGGACAAGCTGGAGAGCGTAGATTTCGATATCTTCAGGCCCGAGCTCCTCCGGTCTGACTGGAAGCTTCCGTGGAAGGCCTATATGGCATTTAAACGGAAGTCCTTTTGAATAAGTCTCTAGTGAGACAGGATGTATAACATAGTTTGCAATGTACAATATAGCACATGTATCCGGAGAAGTTGAACCCCTTTGAGATTGGAACGAGAAGCGACGGTCATTCTCGCTTGTATACGTTTTGTCTCCTCTGTCGTCTCGAGCTTGTAATGAGACGTCTTTGAGCCAAGAGCACGGCATACCGCTGGATTTTGTCACGCCTAGCAAGTCCAGTCAGCACAGTTGCGAAAGGGCAGAGGGGAGTCGCACATGAGGAAAAGCGTCGTTACAAAGACGAATGGCGGCGCAATTATCCAAAAGTACCTAGTCATTTAGCCGGGCTTACGGTACTATGCCAGTGGGGTACTCACGCATCGCTATGGTTAGTGACCCCTGTGAACCGCTCGAAGTTCATGCCAAAGTAACCCTGCCAATGTTAGTGAAATGCTTGTTTCTGACAAGGATTATCTACCGTTAAGAATGTAAGAGGGAGATATAAGCATGTCACAAGAGTCAGCTGCTTCATACTCTCGTTCTGGTAGGCACCTACTACAGTCAGCCACACAGGTCCGTGACCGAGGTTGGTACACTCACCAATAGTATTGAAAATCAAATCGATCATGTTGTCTGCAGCGCGCCTCATCTGGTCGTACCCCTCGACGATGGTGATGCAATGATCCAGTGCATCTCCTAAATATGTGTGGCACATGTTACTTATCGACACGCTCGTTCCTCCGATACTCATGAGATTCGGCGTAGCAATCCCTATTTGCCCTGGACCGGTAGAAGCGGGTGTCGCAATTCCGGGGGGCCTAAGTATCCCGAAGCCAGGGGTGCTGACGGGCTCGGAACGATGATCACGGAGAGCATTGATGATCGTCGCAATTGGTTGCATAGCGCTGCGAAGTATCGCAATCTCAGATGTCAGGATATAAAGGCTCTTGGATTGGTCCACGTCTGGGTCCGTCAAAACTTCAAGCTCCAAGTCACCAATTGCGTCCTGGTAAGCCGTGGTCACCGGTATAGCTAGATCAATAATGGCGTCTAGAATGGCTTGTACGAGCATGCTAGCATCGCATGATTGGCGCAGAATCGTCTCGGATTGCGCGAGACGTCTCGATATGGGAGCCTCTATCTCATCCGCGCTTGCTTCGAAGAAGGAAATCACCGTGTTGTCGGCGTGGAGGAAGATTGAAACTTGCTCAAGAGTTACTGCCAGACCCTTAGGTGCTAATACGGCATGACGCTCCATGAAGGCAATGCGGTCTTCGTTTGGACCGCCGCGGTACCGCTGAATACTGCGCGCTGTACCTGGAACATCAGCGATGTCGCCAAACCTTGGCGCCTTGTTAGAACCATTCATTCCAGGTCGAGATCCAGCTCCAGCCCCATCAGTGTCCCGGTTGTCTGATTTGGACTTTCGAAATCTGGTCCAGAAGATATCTTTCAATGCTGCTTGGATTACACGGCGCCTGGTCGGTTTCTTCAGAGACACAGATCTGCTACTAATCACCGAACTCCTTCGCTCAGGCCTCGAGATCACACTGCCGTCCACATCCTCGTCTTCCGAGTCGCTAGCATCTTGTCGCATATTGATTAGTTTCTGTAACGTAAGGACGATATAAGCGTGATCCGAGTACCAGTCCACTTTGGTGCGGTTTGTTTCGTTGATCAAATCTTCGAGGGCCAGCCTGTGGAGTCCTTTTTTGTTTCCCAGGACTCTAATAACGTCCCAACTAAGGCCGTTGACGTTAATCCATCTGCATTGGACCCAGGGTTCCCTTTCCCTGGACATGAACTGCTCTATTGTGTCATTGTCAAGTGCGTACTGGCGCATTTCGTTCTGAGAAAAGTCCACTACAGTTATCTCGCAACGGCGGTGTAAGCTCGTTGCTATTGAGGTCATCCATTCTGCGTTGTACGCTGGCAGAGGCCTGGTAGGATCGATACCGGGCTCCGTTCCGGGTTGCCAGTTTGGGTCATGGGCGACAGTGTCCGGACGGTATGAGCGGGCAGTATTTGCACGACGTGCACGGTATCTGACCGTCTCCTGCGAGTTTGGCCTTGGAGGAATAGTGTGTGAATCTGGCGACGCAGGTTCCCAGTTGGTGGGGGATGCTGTTTGGTGTAGTGGCCGCGGATGAGCCTCGATATCTGGTAGGTTATCGGGTACGGCTCCAGACCTTGGGGACGGCGAGCTCGCAAACGTTGCGTGATCGAACGAATGAACACTCATATTGTCGGGTAAGTCAGGGCTCTAGTAGAGCCGACAAGCAAGGAATTGTTTCAGGCACATGGAGTAAAAAAACAAGTCCTCTCCATGTGATGGCTGTCGCAGTTCAGCTCCCATTCGGATAGTGCATCCTCGGAGATGGAGATTATTTAAACTGACGGGTCACTTGTTTAGGTTGACGGGTCGCCCCCACCAAAAATCGCCAATTTAGGATGTCCAAATAGTCGCTTTTCTACCACCTTTTACCACCTTAACTATTATATTAAAGGCCTTTTAAACTCATTCCTGAGGGCCCTAACCTTTTTACCCTAACCTAACCATAAACCCTAAGGACCCTAATTACCCTAACCACCCTAACCTAACCGTAACACCCTAATGCCTTATGTAAAGGTGGCCTGTACTTTTAGCAGTTAGTTTTTGCAGTAATTTTGGGGGGCGACCCGTCAACCTAAACAAGTGACCCGTCAGTTTAAAATAATCTCTCGGAGATGACGTTTCACGGGAGAATGGACGCCATGAAGCGACCAGTTGATCGAAGTCTGGCAGTAGTACTGGAGATCCACGACACTTGTAGCCAGAGCAGACACATGCGATGCCTCAATCGGAGTCAAACAAAGGAATAATTCGGAGAGATGCGATGTTTTGGTTGATGTCAGCGCTGGACCCTGGTTGTTCTTGGCACTCTTAGCTCCCGCTCCCAAACAGGAAAGTATACTTCAAGCTGGCAGGGGCCGAGGGATCTCGACTCCTTGGAGATGGCTCTAGATTATATTATTCACTACGATCGATTCAGGCATAGGCAAGTATTGAACTGGATATCAGCACTTGTAATGTTCTAGCTATGACAGTTCAGAGATCTCACGGCTTATATGAAATGCTTTGTAGACGATACTTCCAGAGCATCGTCATAATCTAGGGTAATAGAGCGAGTTTTCGACGGGTTCTCTGGGATGAATGATGTATGATTGTGGCAGAATTTCAAGATGTAGTCACGTAGCCTTATTCTCTGCTGGATCCTTCCGCTTCTTGGTAAGGAGTTTGATCTCTAAAGGTACTAGGTTTCTTTTCGCTGATCCCTTCTGGTCCGCCCCGGATAGAGGCTGTCGACACTGCGGGCAGAGGCCCCTCGGAGCTTTGCCAGGACGGTCCGCTCGCTGCTCTTCTGTCGTGGCCAACCATTCCATGATGCACTTGTGACAAAATAAGTGACCTTAAGCCAATTAGCAAGTTGTATAGCTTCCTACTATTATAATATAACTTACCACATATTGTGGCAGTGGCATTTTTGGGGGTCTCCATGCATACAGGGCAGGTATATGCAGTCAACCTTGACCGGGCGTTTCCATTATTACCTGACTTCTGTGAAGAAATGGCTTCTTCCCTTTGCTTAGCGAGAACCTTAGCCAAGGCCGAGTTTCCATCGACTTCGGTGAGGTCAATTGCTTCGATCGGCCCGTTGTCTGGCTGAGGTGAAGAAGATAAGATCGTCTGATTTGTGAGTCGACGACGTTTACGGGACCCTGATGGGCCAGCCTGAGTAGTAGTTGAAGACCGTCGACGGCGCGGGGGCGAAGATGATGGAATTTCGACCGCCGAGATGCGGCGAGAGGAGGAGCCTGGCTCCATGACGAGAGGTAAAGGTGAGATGTACTAAATCACTCGGGGTCGAACTGAAGGACGATTATCCCCTCTCTGAAAGCTGCAGATTTTCGGGGCAAATATGAAAGTGAAAGGTTCATGGATGTTTGAATATTGCTTCTAACACAAAAGGTTCATTGTCTGGTGAACGCGATGGTCTTGGGTTTGCCCGCCTTACGATTGATAAGCGATAGGCAGTATCGACTGGATATGCGGGCGGTGAGTGCTCGGACTAGCTGCAGTCCGGAGCCCGAACCAGATTACTGGGACTTGCGACGATTCCTACGATAAGGCTACCAGAGCTATCCGTATCTTGCTCAGCCATTTCCCATTGATCAAAGTCAAGTTGGGTATATCATGGAGCTCATACAATCGCATCCTCGTCGGTTATAATATGCTAAGAAGTCACTGCGCACCCTGCACGAGGGGTGTACCTCGTTTTCATGCTCAGAGACTTCGCGGTCGTCTAGTTCCGCCGTCGCAGGCCTTGCCACTAGCTGCAAGATGTTACAGCACGCAGGATAGAGAACCTGAACCTCAGCGAAAGTCTCTGTCTGGTAAGCTTGTCGAAATTCCCTGGTCAAGACACTCAATACTGACTGCCTAGTTCCCGGTGTGGCTAGGTTCAATGAAATCGGTGTCCAACAACTGAGCGATCATGTGTACTCCCAGATTTTTTTCAATAAGTCGAAGCCGCCAGATCCGACCCTAGTCGCACTATCAAGAGATCATCTTGCACGTCATGAGCTACTCGGGAAAGCGCAGGAGCACGCGGATCCTGTCGCCTTTGACTTGCCCGCTCTCCAGGGGCAAACCTTGGATGAACACTTTTTCAAACTGGGAATGGATTCGTCGGAACCGTATCTCACTTACTCGAAACAATATGCAATCGTGAACTCGCCGGAACTACCCCGCAAATGGGTCAGGCGCAGCGGATGGACCAAGTACAACAGGGATGGAACTTCGGAAGCGGTGGATGCGCCGAATGAAGCAATGCTCACTTTCGACACGGAAGTGATGTACAAGGAGAACCCATTTGCTGTCATGGCGTGCGCTGTTAGCCCTACGGCTTGGTACGCGTGGATATCTCCGTGGTTATTGGGGGAGACGGAGAACGAAATTCAGCTTGTTCCTCTAGGCGATCCAACACAACCCCGGATTGTCGTCGGACACAACATCGGCTACGATCGTGCGCGCGTTTTTGAGGAGTACGACCTCAAGCAGACTGCCAATTTCTTTCTCGACACAATGTCGCTCCATGTCGCGGTGAATGGAATGTGCTCACAGCAACGGCCTACGTGGATGCGTCATAAGAAGAACAGAGACCTAAGAGACAAGATTGCAAGTGACAGTAACTCTGTTGAGCTTGCAGCTCTGATTGAGAATAAAATGATAAGAGAAGAGGAAGAAGAGCTCTGGGTCGGAAGGAGCTCGGTGAATTCCCTCCGAGACGTGGCTAAATTTCACTGTGATGTCACTATCGACAAGTCTCAGCGAGACTATTTTGGCGAGCTTGACAAATCGCAGATACTGGGAAAGCTGGATGAGCTGCTTGACTATTGCGCTGCTGATGTTGCAATTACACATCGTGTGTACAAAAGGGTCTTCCCGAATTTTCTTGAGACTTGCCCGCATCCGGTCAGCTTTGGCGCTCTGAGGCATCTCTCTTCTGTGATTCTTCCAGTCAACCAGACTTGGAAGGAGTACCTCGAGAGTGCTGAATCGACTTACCATCAGAGACTAGGCGATGTCCAGCGAAGACTTGTCGCGCTATGTGATGAAGCCTTGAGTGTTAAGGATGATCCCGAGAAGTATACTAACGACCCCTGGCTACGACAGCTGGACTGGTCCGGTCAGGAGGTCAAGATGGTGAAGGGGAAAAAGAAGGGAGATCCTCCTCGGCCGGCGGCTAGACAGAAGAAGCCCGGCATGCCGCAGTGGTATAAAGACTTGTTCGCTTCGAACAACGCAGACATCAATTTATCGGTGCGAACGCGAATCGCGCCTATCCTACTGAAGTTATCGTGGGACACACATCCATTGATCTGGTCGGATAAGCACGGTTGGACATTCAAGGTTCCTCGCGAGAAGGCCCACCAATACGAGAATCAACCAGTGGTCAAATGCGACATGTCCGAGGAAAAGAATGCAGAGCTACAGAATGACAGAAACCACATTTACTTCAAGCTTCCTCACAAAGATGGACCCACAGCGCGCTGCGTCAGTCCATTGGCCAAAGGCTATCTACAGTATTTCGAGCGTGGCACATTATCTTCTCAATACGCTCTTGCCAAGGAAGCTCTTGAGATGAATGCGTCCTGCTCCTACTGGATTAGTGCCCGTGACCGAATCATGGGCCAATTGGTCGTTTACGAGGATAGCGTGCGGGCTGCTACGCCGAAGAAGGATGGTCAAAGCACTGGGTACATTCTACCCCAAATTATTCCAATGGGAACTATTACTCGAAGAGCGGTGGAAAACACGTGGCTTACGGCAAGCAACGCCAAAGGAAACCGTGTCGGCTCCGAACTGAAAGCAATGGTCAAAGCGCCACCGGGCTACGCCTTTGTTGGTGCCGATGTTGACTCTCAAGAGCTCTGGATTGCAAGTCTTATCGGAGATGCTCAATTCCAGCTTCATGGCGGAAATGCGATTGGGTTCATGACTCTCGAGGGGTCCAAGGCTGCAGGAACTGACATGCATTCACGCACCGCTAAGATCTTAGGTATTTCGCGCAATGATGCAAAGGTGTTCAATTATGGCCGCATTTACGGGGCTGGTGTGAAGTTCGCCGCGACGTTACTGCGGCAGTTCAACCCAACCATGTCCGAGAGGGAAACTCAAGAGGTCGCCACCAGGCTCTACAAGGAGACCAAAGGTGCCAAAACTACGCGCCGCCTCTTGTCTGAAACCCCCTTCTGGCGTGGAGGCACAGAGTCATTTGTCTTCAATAAACTGGAAGAGTTTGCTGAACAAGAACGACCACGAACTCCAGTCCTAGGCGCTGGTATTACTGAAGCCCTAATGCGACGCTTCATCAACAAAGGTAGTTTCATGACATCTCGTATTAACTGGGCCATCCAGTCTTCTGGTGTCGACTACCTCCACATGTTAATCATTGCCATGGATTATCTCATTCGACGCTACAATATTCAGGCACGTCTAGCCATCACCGTCCACGATGAAATCAGATACCTCGTTAAGGAGGAAGATAAATACCGCGCTGCTCTAGCTTTGCAGGTTTCCAACGTCTGGACGCGCGCTATGTTTTCGCAGCAGGTCGGCATCAACGATCTGCCTCAGTCGTGCGCCTACTTCTCCCAAGTCGACATCGACCATGTTCTGCGAAAAGAGGTCGACATGGACTGCGTGACACCCTCTCATCCACACAAGATTCCACACGGCGAGACCTTAGACATCACCCAGCTCCTCGAAAAGAACGAAGAAGCCCGCCTCGACCCATCAATCACCCCCATCTCACCTCCAACACCCGAAAAATACACCTACACACCCCGCAAAACCGTCATGTCTGGGCTTCAAACCTCCGATAACCCCGCCCTCATCAAAGCCCAGATCACGAAAGACGACAAAGAGCTCCGCGATATCATCAAAGAAGTCACGAAAATCAACACCTCTGCCAAAGCAACAGGGACAACTTCGCGGTCGAGCACACGCACCAAAGCAACAACTAACCCTGCAGCTGAGCCCCAGAAGGCCATCCTCATGGACATTGGCTCAGGCTTGTACGGTGGCGGTTTTCGAGACTTTTCACCGGGGAGCAGGCCTCCCCAGGTCAATCTTCCCCGGCAGCCGTGGAAACCACGACCAACGGCCAGGGCGTAATCGTTCGTCTTTATTTTTGTCTTTCTACTAACCGACTAAACAAATTTCCTCATTTCCTATGTATATGTCCTGTTATGGTACGATCTTTTTGGATCTATACCACCTCAACTATACTTCGTCGATGTATTATACGACTAATGATGCATGGGGTCGGCGTCTGTTTTGTGCACTGGGCTGGGCTGGGCTGTCTGTGGTGCGGAGTCAGATTATAAAGAAGGGTCTTTCCTTGTTCTGGATATTGTATTGTTACTGGGAGGTGCTGTGAGTCTGTGACGGTGTTGGTGAGATGTGCAAAAAGGACCCTAGGTCTGTTCTAGCACTATATCTAGATACTATTCTAGTTTAACTATACTATACTATAACTCTAAAATGAAATTACCACACGGTACCTGCAAACTTCCTTCTATCTAATGAGCACCCCTCTTCCTCCCCGGATCCAACGTATTCCTCCGACTAACAGCTCCCCTTAACATCCCGTCCCCTTTCTTCCCCAGTACAACCTCCAGCGCTTGGATCAAACCGTTTGAATCATACCTCATGCCAAGCGGCACCTCGCTCTCACCCCCAGGCCCATCGTGACTCGAGACAATTTTCCGTCCGTAAAGACGGAGCGTCTCGATTCCCATCTCGCCCAGCCGCTCCCTGTCGACATGCGGTGTACCCGGTCCCTCGAGATGCAGGACATGCGTTACGTACGATGTATACGGGAGGGTGGGTGTTTCGTTTTCCGATGCTAGGGAGGGAAACGCATCTTTGCCGAGGCTGACCGGAGCTAAGGTAGAGGACGTGGAATGTGAATGTGGCGGGTCAAGCGGTGCCCTCCCACGACTCTCCTCCCCGGCGCGCGTAATGGCCTCGATGAAATCGGCCGCCGTGAACGGGTCCGAAGGCGGACCGGTCTCTCGGTCTAGAGAGCCGTTCAGGATGAGGATCTTATGGCGCGCTGGAGACGACACGATGGCCTGCCCGATGCCCTGCAGGACTAAGCTGGGGATCAGCGATGTGTACAGCGAGCCGATGCTGTATATGATTGCCTGGGCGTCGCGCAGGGACTCCAGCGCGCGCGGGTTTGCGCGCGGTCGGATTTCCTGGCCGTAGGGGTTGATGTACCAGACTCGGGTGATGCGAGCGGGGAGATCCTCATTCTCGGACTTGGAGAAGTTGATGTTTTTGTTGCGGAGGTGCGGGAGGAAGCCTGGGGGTTGGTCGTCTTCGTTGAGGGCTGTGTCGAGGACATCGGAGGGCTCGGTGTAGTCGATTATCGTTGCTGGCTCGACGTTGGCCGCGTTTCCATTTTGATCGGGTTGGAGATTTGTTCGGGGTCGGGGGGAGGCGGGGCGTGGTGGGAGACTAGGGTGGGAGATGCTGTTTTGGCCGACGATGATGGTTCCGTTGGCTAGTGAGGCTGAGATGTGGTGGGAGAAGTTGGAGTTGATGGCGGGGATTACGCGGATGAGGTCTGAGGAGACGTCGCAGATGCTGCCGAGGAGGTAGATGGCGCTTTCGAAGCTCCCGCTGAAAAGGCGCGCGCCGGTGAGGAAGAGGTTGCCGACGCTTGCTGATGCGAAGTCGAAGGTTGATGAGGGGGGTCGAGCACGTTTGAGGATCTCCAGGTTGAGGAGGTTGAAGAAGGACCTGATGAGTTCCTTCTTTGCCGGGGTAATGGACTTCCATAGAGGCGATGTCCCATCCACTATGGAGAGCCACTCGCTGTGAGCAGTTTCGTCTGCTGGTAGTCTATAGTTGAACAGTGTCTTGATAGCCGAACGCTCCGAGTTAGGAGGTGATGGTGGGATCAGTCGGACCAGTCTACCTGCACGGCATTAACGGTTGAAATAGACATGATGAGAGTGACAAGGCCCAGAATACTTACTCCTTACATCACCTATCCCAGGACCACCAAAGATCCGTATCAGCTCCGAAGATGAGCCACCATTGTCACTAATGGGGATGATGTAGCTCAGAGGGCAATCCTTGCTCTCTCGGACAGAATCAAACACGTCGACAAGGTTGTTGGCAGCGCTTCCTCCCGAGAAGACCACAAGGCCCCTGTTCGGAGCAGAGGGCGTGCTTGACATCTGCTTTGGACTCAGCTTGTGTTCGAAAGGGGGTTAAGGATGGACTTACCTGAAAGTTCAAATGAATTGCAGCCGGAAGAATAAACAGTACACAATAAAGGGCACAACACTTCACACATATATATCCTCACAAAGGCAGGGATAGCGCTAAGGCCACGCGACCACAAGAACTTGACGCCAAGATTGTAGAAGAGGGTTTGAGCCAGTGGCAGATGCAAACACAATCTAAGAGTGCCAGATCGTGGGGTGAAAGCAAGTGAGCACTGAGATCTAGTCCAGCTGGATGAGTTGCCCAGTTGGGTAAAAGAAGGAGGAGGAGGAATTGCAGGGAAGGAGAGATGAGGCAAAAAGTGGCGGTCACGCCGACGTCAAAGTCAAAGCCGGCGATAGCAAGATAGGGCTGCCAGCGCTATTTATATCTTCAGCCTGATAAACAGTTCAAATCCTAATGATCATCTATGTTACAAATATTCTTCTATGTACCTTTTCTATTGGAAACCCACCAATACCCCAGACTGCTAGTCTGACGCTCATGCATATGCGGCCCAGCCTACTCACACCTGTTAGTGATAAATGCCCTATAGATAAACTGATGGAAATGAAACATACCGCAGTATAAAACAGCAAGGTTTTTATCGTCTGTCGCTTGCTGTATCAATTCGTTCACCGTCGCTGTAACGCTCAGCGTCTTGCTCAGCTTCTTCGCAACAACAGTCAGCGCTCGATCCGCTTCGCTCGGTTCATTCGTCGGCCGTTGTTGATCGACCGCTGACCCAGGTAATACAGGAGGCCCATCGCCAGGGTCCTGCTCTTGCATCTTCCTCATTCGTAGCGGCGACACCGTCCAGCTGTACAGCGGGTCGTACCTCAGCACGTCGAGGATCGTCATGATGCTGTACGATTCCTGGCGCAGCGCTTCAAGGGTAAATTCGCAGCAGCGCCGGAAGACGCCCTCTGTCTTGGCGATCCCCATCCCGTCTACCAGGTCGCGCGTCAGGCGGAAGGGAACGACTTCAGGAACGGGCAGGACGCGTCCTTGTTCGAAGGCGACGCCCAAATCAATGTGTACGACTTCGCCTGTTCGCTCGTCTAGGAGAATGTTGTGGCCGTGGCGATCTCCAAGGCCGAGAACGTGTCCTAGTATTGAGATTGCGGCGGTGCTCTGGGTATACGATAGTCTTCGCCCGAACCAGTCATCTGGATTGTTGAACTTCTCCATGAAGAAGTAGCGCATCACTGGGTGGAATTTCTCGGTTACCTGACGGAATGTCCGAACTCGTTGCTCAAACGACCGCGTCTGTACTTCGGCGATGTGTTTGCGGCAGGCATTGGGCTTCATATCTTTGGGATAGTATCTTTGGTGCGCGGGCATCAGGAAATCATTAAGTGGTATCGTATGCGGAACAAATTCAATGATACCCGAGTTAGAGGTCAAGGGGAGCACCTTGTAGGCTCTGATTCCCAGATTCCGCTGCCTGGTAGCTTGATGGTCTCTGAGAAGACTGCTGACTTGTTCGAATACTTGCTCCATGATAGCGTCCTGCCGCAGATCATCATTGCCCCCTTTGAACTATGATATTGTTAGTCCCGATCGGGTGATAAATAATCAAGGATAACCCTTACCAATTGCTTATATCGTACACCATTGCTGGCTATGGCCGTAACAATCTTAGGCGCGCTCACACCAGACGCAATCGTGAACTCGGGAAGGTACTTGGTAAGCTTGGGCACATCACGATAGTCGCAGTCGATGCGAATATCAATCTTCATAGTCGGCGGAGGTAGTCGTTGATTGACAATATCCTGCTCAAGGCGCATGCCAGTTGCCAGTTTATTCAACGGAACCTTTGCACCGCTCTTGGCCTTGTCGCCCAACTGGTCAATAGCGAACCGATGATAGTTGATATTTGCGTTGTGAAGTGCCACCCATAAAGAGCTTGTATTCCTATCACTTTTCATAAAGTCAGCCAGCTTCGTGGCCGCTCGATTGCGCGACAGAGCCGACTGGTCTCTTCCGCCCCTAGACTTGCTGCTCGCAAATATCTGATACATCCCGTGGAACGGATGCTCGCAGCATATCCGGAAAATCAGGGCATTCAGCAGATCCTGAAAGTCCTCTTGGACATCCAGGAGACGCGACGTCAGCTGGTTCATTAGAGGGGCGAATTTGCGACTCGGGACGTCGGCAAGGTATTTTGAGACCGCGCTATTGGCGATTTCACTGTGAGATTGGGCGAGCCAGAGGGCGCAGAAGCGGAGCACGTCGTTGTTATATGCTTCGCTTTCCCTCAGGCAAATGAGGTAATTCTCGAGGCACTGCTGGAGGAAAGATTCCCGGCTCCGCTTTAGACGCTGGTACTCACGATCATCTAGGTCGAACCACTGTTTCGTCTTCGCCCGATGGAATTTGAGGTTGTCCCGTTCTTTCCCTTCTGCTGATCTGAGCATCGCATCGAGAGCCAATACTTCCTTTTCCTTGCGGTCACGAAGCTGCTCAACGCGTTTGAAGTCTTCCAGCCCGTCGGGATTTTGTAGCTGCTGGTCACAGAACATAGCAAATCCATGGTAGACTCGTCCAGCGTCTTCTCCCTCCGAGCGACCCTTCAGTTCTTTGACTGCAGGTGTCAGGTAGTTCTGGATAATAGCCTCTGGCTTCTCCAATCGGGCTTCGGCAATATGATGGCCCTGGCTGTGTTAACCTCGTTATCTTGACTCAGGGTCCGGATGCACTTACTAGGGTAACTAGAAGCTCCGCACGACTAAATGGAATATGTTGTTTGTGAAGGTCGTTCCTCTCCCTTAACTGCTGGAGCATCTGGATTGAAGGCGCCATTTCACCCTGATCCCATAGCACATTGGCTAAGTCGAATTTAGCCACGCCTTCCACATTGAGTCCCAAGGAGATGCTCTGATCCGCAAGTTTCGACAGATAAACCGCCGACTTTAGTGAAGCCTGAGCGATTCCGTGGTCTCTGGCGATTTGTAGGGACTGGCGAATCACCTGAACTTCAAGCAGTTGCGCAGAATTGTCGGTCACATTCAATGAAGACTTGAGATAGTCTTTCTGCTTTATGGAAGAGAACAGGGTCTCATGTGAGTTCAGGATCTCGCCAATCTCCTGGACGCTGCATGTTGTTAGTGATAGCCCGTTATTGGAGAAATGTACACATACTCAGTGTTTTTTAGCCAGGAGATCCTCCGTGACATCTTCGTCCATTTCTGATCAAGTTCAGTGGCTGATTTTGAATTGAGAACCTCCTCAATTTCGGTCAAAACCCCCAGCGTCCTCATAGCAGTGCGCAAAGACTTCGCCGACCGGCGATCGCTATCGATCAGAGTCAGGCTGGTCTTGAAGCTTTCGTCGATAGATGCCAACATGTCAACCAATGGCCCCGGCGTATTTATGCTTTGGAATGCTCTGAAAATCGTTGCCGAAGGTGACGTGTTCAATGGAGAAACGGGTATATCCCACTGACGTAAATTCGTAGCAGCCTTGAGCATACTGTCGAATGGAATCGCGGTGTCACTGGAACTTCCACGCGCACCGAGCATAGAGTTCGCGATTCCCTGGAGATTAGTGGAGTTGAGAGCTTTGAGAACGCCATAACTATTCCCAGTGCCAGCCATCTGAACCTGACTATCGTATTGCGCGCTCTGGAATAGAAGATTCTTGAAACCCGAACTTTCGTGCTCCAGTGTCTCCATGACGGAATCCAAGGAAGAAGACTGCTTTATGCCGTAAAAGAAATCCGGGTCGTCGATGCTCTTGAATATGTCATGCAGTAGGCCTGCTGGAGGCTCGTACTTAACGACAGATGATCGGCGAGAACCAGTCGTAGAGCGAGATGCATGGACCTCCAGGAACAGGAGAGCCGTCTTTGGCATCCGGCATCTACTGGCGGCTGAGGAAGCTACCGCGTAATCGATTTCCAACCAGCTCTCACGGTCAACGATCGTATTCTCCTTCGGCTGGGGTTGGTTGCGAAGATAGAGGATGCAGTTGATAATCAGCCGCGCGTGAGGGATAGTCCTTTCTTCAGTGTCTTGCAAGGCTTCGTTGAAGATTTGTGATATGCTCTCTCGTATATCATCCACATCGCCTCCAATCTCCGCCAGTAGAGCATCGTGCAGGATGTAGGGCAATATTCGGGTTGCCAGATCAGGAATGAGGTACAAAATGCTGCTTAAAGGTCCAATCACCGGGTCAACCGCAACTGTTTTTGATAGGAAGAGGCCAATGTTGCGTGCCCAGATGGGGGCTGAGAGGCCGAGGTCCCATCCTTGTATGCTGTCTAGTTCCTTCGCTTCTACCGCGTTTAAAGATATTTCCGGACATAAGTAAGGACTCCAGGTGAGTGCCTTCATGAGAGGAGGAGGAATGCTACCCAAGCAGGGCTCGAAGTCTGGGAAACCGGGCAGATTACTAACGATAAGCTGCAATGTGCGCTCAATTGACCCAGGTCGGCTGCTGTTCAACAGCATACTGCAAAGGACTTCCAGGATGCTTGCCTTAGAGCGACAAAGAATATCATCAGGTTGAGTTGAAGAAGTGCGAAACAGATCAGGATCCTGTTCTCTCAACAGAGCGTCGTTGATCTTACCGGTAGCTGCAAAAGCTTTCCCAAGGACTCTAGCTGCCCATGATCGGTACTCCGGGCCGGGGTTAAAGTCTCGAAGAGTTTGACTGACAGTGATAGCATACGATATAGCATCTTCGTCCTGTTCAATGGTAGTAAGAAGATATTCATCTGCAGCTTCTGGGGTGGAGCAAAGCAACGAAAGCACACGATCAGACATAGGTTCGCTCAGGAGACTGTCCTTTGACTGGCGGTCCTTGAGTACTTCGAGCAAGAGGTCATTTTCAGTCGAAGCGAGGGAGAAGGAATTGGCAAATCGCCAATAAGGCTCGGACGACTCCTCACTTGAAGCCGGAGCGTAGGAGTCGACATACTCAGAAAACCACTCACTAAATGCTCTAAGGCATACTATCACGTTTTGTAACTGATTTTCCTGCAGAGCGCTTTCGGGCAGGGATGCCCCAAACCTGCGCAGCAACAGCTTGGTCGAGACGGCAAAGCCAGCCATCAGACCTGGTCTCTTAGTCAGATATGGCTTTCCGGTTTCCAACAAATAATAGAAGATGGCGAGTGCATCCTCAGAACAAGATATATCCACAATAAAAGGCTGAAGCCCATGGATAATCATCTCAAACGGGTAGTCACTCAGCATCACGGGCCCCGCCACACATATCAAGATCTTGATCTTGCGTAGCACGGAACAAGCATGCAAGGAGCCCAGAGCGGGGTGGATTGACTCCAAAAGTGTTCGACAGACGTAAGATGCTAGGGTAGGAGTCCAGATAGTCTCAAGCTCGTATCCACTTCGTTTGCACAGAAACTCCAGTTCGTCGAGTAGATACCGCGCTCTGAACGACGGTCGTTGATTTGCCGGCAGCACGGTCGTCACAGAGCACTTGCTACTAATGCTCCTGAAGGTCTCAAGCGCTTCGCCGAAGCTTTCTCGTTTTGAGAACGCCTTTTCCACTTGCTCATATAGATCGAGTGAACCGAAAAATGTGGCGATGATTTGTGGAAATTGCGCCTCAATAAGTTTCACGAACGTATCTGCACCTAGAATCTTCTTGAGTCGATTCTCTACACCCTTCGGCTGACTACCCTGTCCAGGAGGAGTACTTATGTCATGGGCTATTGTGTACGCTTCTGCTTTGTAGAAGGAGTCTGTCAGGAGCTCGACAAAGGGCCGGCCCATGATCTTTGAGAGCTCCGCAGCATCACTTTCAGCAGCACGCATCATTACCTGTCCGACAATCTCGTCCTGAGCATCGCACAGCATGTCCTCAAGACTAGCATATCCAAATATGCTGAAGGGCATGGAGGTTACCGATCGTGTTTCGGTCCACGTGAACAGAATCTGCGAAGAGAAAAGCCGAAATATCTCTTTGGCGCCTTGGAGCCCAAGCGCATCCGAAACATTGCGTAGACATTTCTCGGCGTACCATAAAGAGTTGGGCACCTCAGCCGGGGTCTCAACGATGTGGTAAATGCTTCTTCGAAGCAACGTGTGCCATTTCGACGCAAGCTGGGCGAGCAGAAACAAACGAACGGCGATTCCTTCTTCCCAGCCACGATCGCTTGGCAAACACTCAAGAACGTCATTGAATATAGCATCGTGGTCTTTGAGAAGAAATTGTCCGAATAACTCTGGAAACAGGCTACCCGCATTGAATTTGACCAGCACATCGCCTTCTTTGATGATCTTGAGGAGGGTTGTCCTTGGAGACGGGCTTGACTGACCACTTGAGTAGGCAGGATTCAGGCTCATGATATTTCCCAGAAGTTTTGCGAATGCAATAAGGACGGACGATGACGTCCTCCCTTTTTTTAAGCAGACTTCCGTGAACCAGGTATAGATATCCGCGGCCGAGTCGCTGAGGTTGTCCTGAATCTCGCTGGTCCACGAACTAGCAAGGCTGCTCATCATGTAAATACAAAGTAAGTGTGAATTTTCACAGCGCTCCAACTCGTATGACTGAAGACACTTTTCGCCCAACTCTTCGAGTAGCCCAAGTAGGGATTCTCGGTCCATTTCTGCGCATGATCTATAGACATAAGGCAGAAGCTCATGCGCAGCCAGAAGATCAACTTCGTCGAGATCGTTCAGATACTGATGCAAAGTCACACCATCTGGCTGCTGCGAGTCAGAATGTTGTAAATATGCCCTCTCGTAGATGGAAACAAGGACAGTCATGTAGCGCTGGAAGCTCGCAGAGTCTTGCAACAGTGGGACATCTCTTCGGTTTGTCGATATCATGCTTGACATTTCTTCGAGCTGGTCAGTTGATTCCATAAATTGGTCATCCAAATCCATGGTCTCCTCGGTACTGGCTGATGATCTTTTTCTCTGGGACTGTCTTTGGCTCTCGAGAACTTTACTCAAGGGAACGACCAATCCGTAGAGAGCTTTGTGGACGGCAGTTGTTGGTTTGGAGAAGCTTGAGTCCAAAGGAAGAAAAGGAGGAAGTAGCAATAAGCTAGAGAGCACAAAAGCAGATTCGCGTGAAGCCAAGAAAGAGCAGACGCTCTCCCACATACGACGACTGTTTGAGAGCAAGGTCTGTAACCGAGAATCTGGCTGCTCGGGCAGGCAGGACGTATAGACAGCAACGGTAATGCAGAAGGATGTAAGGATCTGCACAATTTCTGGTGTAACATGGCGTGACTTGTCCTCGGATAGTGATTTCCAAGAGTGAAGGAAGTGTTCTGATTTTGCTTGCAACAAGTCGAGAATACTCAGGTCATTGGGATCTGGCTGCGTAAACCTTTCGAGACAAACCGTCGCTTCAACATCCCAGATATCGTAGAGATCTACCACGTCGTGTATATCAAAGAGATAGCGCCAAATCTGCTTGTTACTGTGGTAAAAGTACCAGCACCTTGCGACGACCCCTGCTGGCCCTTTATATAAAGTCCTAGGCAAGCTAAAAGGCCTGTTGGTACAAGCCAAGATCAAGTTCAAGACATCCAAAGGGCGCGCAAATACTGCGACCTGTGATGTCTGTGTCCGGTCGGTTACGGTTCCTGGGCGATACTATTAGCGTGCGAAGAGCCCTGAGTAAAATGGAAAGGAATGTACCAATAGACCATGCATCCCTGAGCCACGCGCAGATCTGGGCAGAGGCGTTTGAGACGGAACCTGGATTAATCTGGGCTATCATCCTGATAACGCTCGCCCATAACTCAAGAGACGAGTCCGACAGTGTTGACGGCCCGTTCAAGTTGACAAATGAGAGCATCGAATTTATCGTCTCTGCCACGGTGGAATAGTCTAGAAGACCATAATGGAGGATACTGTTCTGTAAATGACAAGCAGCTCTGGAGGTAAGCTGTGAAGTAGATGCGCGAGACGTCAATTCCCAAGCTTGCTGCCAATATCGCTTTAAAGACGGCGCATCTGCCTCGGGACTGGCCGCGATACTAGGGAAACACCATCAGCAATCCAATTCCAGTCAGGACGTTGAGTCCACCCACCTTGCGATAGCAATCATTGTCCAGGATGACGTCGTAGCATTGTCGTCATATATGTTGGGAATCAATCGTTCCAACGAAGCCGCCTTTGAGTCGACAGAGGCGTAGTGGTTGGGGAGGAAAGGAACCAGTTGCAAAGCACATATTCTTCTAATGCCAAAGGGCCCTGCGGAGTCGCGAAAAACATCATCTATCTTTGAGGTAAGGCGCTGCTTCTTACTCGGGGTTTCGTCCTCGGCAGGGGGAGGCGATGACAACCGCGTGGCCAGCTCCTCGGACAACTCTAGCAACCTTGCCATAACCCATAACACCGTCCAGTTGTGCTCAGACCTGGCACTCTCCAGCCTCGGCCACATAGTATGCTGACCAGGGGCTTTGGTATCAAAGACCAACTCGTCAACCTGAAGAATGTCCTTCTCGGGACGTCTAAAGTACTCGCGTTGTAAGGTGTCGATAAGTCCATCAATGGCAGCTAACAGGGTCTCTTCTGGGTTTCTTCGGCTCTCATCGGTCAGAACCAGCACAACCATCATCATGGTGACAAGTAATTCGTCCCTCAGACCTATGAGCTTGGTGATCCAATGTTTCCGAATTACTGGGAGTAGGTCCATTAAGGTGTCTCGAATGACTTCTGAGTTATCGAAGATTATGCGCATCGCCACGGTGTTGATAGCACCAAAGGCCGTTTGATGGCCATTTGCCGCAAGTGGAGACGAGCCTACGTATTTCGTCAACCCCCGTAGTATATCCTCTGCATGCTCTTGGAGAGGCGCATTGGAGACCCCTGAGAGTATCCTGATGCATGTGAAAGCCTCTTCGACAGCACCAGTAGGCCCTTTAGATTTTTCTCTAACGGCCAATGTGGGTGTCATTCTAGATGGTGTCGATCGGCCACCACTGGCTCCCAGGTAGTCGTCCATAATGGACGTGTGTGGACTCCATGTGCTTGGTTGGCTGTCATCACCGTTTGATGCATTAATCACGTTCAAGCAGAAGTCAATGACAGTCTTCCACTCCTCGGCTCCCAAATGCTCAACATGCGGAGGATAATGCAGAATTGTACTTAGACACTTTGTGTAGTCGACGCTGAAAAGCTCGAACACCGCACTACCCGGACTGACCAAGACGTCGGTGATATGGTCAATAAGGGCGCGCACTGATTTAGTACGCAGATTACGCAGGAAGGTCTCAACAGCCGTGCGAACGACAGAGGCACAGGCGGATAGGCGGGAGGCGACTTTTTTAGAAGCATCTTCAGAAGCCGCCCGGTTATACAGCGATTTCTCGGTAGAGATGAGCCGGAATAGTGATTCAAAGACCTTGTGGCAGGCTTTGTCGGTCATAGATTGCCTAGATGAAGTGTACGTCAATATACATCCGGACACTCCATTCGGGAGCTCCTTACAGTTTCGAGCTCTGTTTATTCTTCTGGAGAATATGTTTCAAATCTAGCGGGCGTTAGGCAGTGTGACAAATGTAGACAAATGCATCAATTGATCGTCAACGAACCAGCTAAGCCATTTGTGCGATCCTTGGGCTTGCCCGACGACAGAAGCGCAATCGCTCCATCGAGGGTGATTTCTCCGCCCATTGTAGGCTTCTTGACTACTTTCTTGCTCTGGGGGAAACAGTGGGCGCAGCTCGTTGCTCAGCCGGGAGCGCTCTGCAGCCCCATCATTTAGGAGCTTCCGAGTATTTGCACAGCGATGGAATACACTTCATCAGTCCTCGCAGGCAATCTAAGAATAAATTCGGCATGAAAATCCCGAGCTTGGGGGGTGTTCTGGAGCTGGATGGTGGTTGTTGGTGGGTCCAGCCAAAGAAGCTCTCGCCGCCTTTTGAGACCGCCGGCATTTTGTCGCGTTCTCCAGCCTTTTTTGGTGCTGGACAAACACCTCTTGCATCGCGCTTCGACAGTCGACCGTCCTGCGCTGAGTATGGAGAGCGCAGACCCCCTGGATGGCCTTCGCGGCCTGTACCAGGATCTTTCTGCTCTTTCTGACTCGTCCCTTGTCAACATAGACCGACTCCGCGTCGAGCTGGAGACTCACATCCATGATTTTAGGTCCCTGCTTGACAAGCCCACAAAGAGCAATGGAAGCCGAATGACTGTTCTTTCTGGTAAGAAAACTACAAATGCCACCGATTCTGGAGTGCATATGTCAAAGACATTGTTGCGCTAACTTGATTTGTGATAAACACAGGAAAGATCACAATTGACGATGTGGAATTCAAAGTCAACGATGACTTCCAGCAAGGCACACTTCAGGTCGCCGATGCGCTCGATCTCGACGAATTGTTGGCGGCATTACTATTCTTCAGGGCCCAGGATCCTTCTCAAGACTTTGATAGACCTCCAGTGATAACGGCCATCATAAATTTCCACCAGCGCCGGAACTTCTTGCTCGAATCGCTGCGCCTCATTTTCCAGGAATCGTTCGAGGTAGAGCGCGAAGCGACACAGGAAATTATGCAGGTGATGCTGGCCCATGTTGTTGAGATTAAGGACGGTCAGCTACGGAACGCATCGCTCTATACACGGAAGTGCCTGAAATCTATGGAGGACATCGAGAAGTGGCTGTCGCTTCTAAATGACCAGATCCAGAAAGCTTCAATCGTAGGGGAGTCCGAGGATCAGCTGGTCATGGAAGCTATAGAACTCCAGCGCTTCGCCTTGCTCCAACAGCACGAATCTCTCGGCGCGATCTTGTGCTACCTTTTCAAAGGGCCGTATACAAGCTCAGAGGATCTTAGGATCCTGCTGAAACACCTCAGGAAGCTCGATCGGTTCGACGGAGTACTTGTCCACTATGTCCCGGCTATCATCGCTTCCTTCGTTCAGCACGGGTCCCCTGAGCGCTCGGGCAACTACACTGAAGCTCGGAGCCTGAATACTGCCGTTATCGCCACCAAAGATGGCCAGAACTGGGCGCATCAACCTTTTCACTCGGCAGTCATTGCACTTTGGCTTGCAGTTTACAGTGCCTGGGATTATGACGGCCCGTCGTCCGCCCCACCCGGAGTTGATCTTGAGAAGGAAGCCGAAGAACGTACGAAAACATTCATGACTGCTTTAGACGATGGAGGACTGGATCTGTTGGTTTCAATATGCTCTGGTGTGAGTGGTGAAGAATGGGGCGACCCAGCTCGCAGCGAGTTAGTGACAATGCTATTGAGGGAAAGCGCATCGTGGTTGAAAGAGAGTGGATCGGCGACCCTTGACGCATACTCGTGCTCGCCATATTTAAAAACACTGTTGATGGAGAACTTTGAGGTTTTTGCGGAGTCGTGCATCGCTAATATGCCGGATGCTGTTCGAAAACTGAAAACCGAAGAGGACTTGCAGCGGCTGGATCAGATTACCGCACTTCGGGATGGGTTGACCTCCAACATTCATCGCGATTTAGTGGAGGCCCGGACGCATCTCGAATCGTTTCTGCTGATTATGGCTTTTGCTTTTGAAGGCCGGCCAGACGCAGCACAGGAGTTTTGGGCCGACCCCGATGGCAACCTATACGGCTTCCTTCAATGGTCTTCCAAGCGACAGACTGTGCCTAGGGTTAGCGCCTTCTGCGAACTACTTTGCTCGATTTCTGGAGGAGAAGACAATGCTGCAGCTGCACACCGGTTTTTAATGGAGGAAGATAAGTTCATGTCCGCGAAATTCAAGCGGTCTGCATCCATGAATTGGTCACAAATGTTTGCTGAACTTAAGATATATGCGACGAGGGTTACTGAAAAGCCGTCAACGGCGCCGGCCATTCAACGCGCCAGAAAGTTGGAGCCGGCTGATATGAGTGAGCCGGAGAGCCCTGTTATGCTTTCATGCTACTTACGACTCGTGGGACACCTCTCCAGACAGAGCACTGCCGTCCGGGAATGGATGCTCCATCACCCGACTTTCGACATTGTCAGCACGCTATTGACGCTTTGTAGTGGGCCTTTACCATCTCACTTGCGGGCAACGGTTTTCCAGGCGCTTGCTGGTTTGATGACCGACAGGAGCGCTGTGGATGGCAATGACATGTGGCTTTCGGTGGACCAATGGATCTCGAGCGGAGCTATGAGCGCCTCTGCACATAACAAGGTGCCCCTTGCCTCGAATCCGCTCATTTGGCATGAAAAGCAGGCATTTGAGAAGATCGGCGAGAGCTTCGACCAGGCTAACGCCTTCGTGGTTCTTATACTCTCTCTCGTCTCCCCGGCCACTGATTCAGCCGAGTATCCCCTCTGGGTACCATTTCCGGAATCACTTGGCTCTTCCTATCGTATGCCCGGCATCGAGCCCTACATCGACTTCATCTTGGGTCAAGCGCTCTCGAAAAAGATCCCTGAGCTCAATGATCGCCAATCCCGACTGCTCACTTACAACTCCTTGGACTTTGTCTTAACATGCCTGAAGTCCTTCAATGAAACCATTGTCACTACGCTCAACGGAACATCGGCTACAGCGGAATCCAATCCCAAAACATCGACACTCCTCCAATATGTTCGCCTCCATCCTTTCGCGCGCGTGGCCGAATGGCTATATAACGAAGACGTAATAAAGACTATCTTTGCGACAGCGAACCAAGACATTGCCGAAGTTTCGAGAGCTCCGCCTCACTCCATCTTGGTATCATCCTTGGTTAAGAGCATTGAGGTTATGGATTTGATTATCGATCTCCAGTCCACCTATTTCAATATCGTCCGACCATTCATCAAATCACAACCTGGGAGCAGGCTCAATGTCGCCAACTCTTCACTCTCCGCGTTTGAGGACTGCGTTCTGAACAACCTTCAAATAATCCCAAAACTGTGCTTGTATTGCGGTACAGGCCACGAACAGCTTACGGTCTCTTCGTTAGCCCTGTTGGCCAAGCTGTCCAGCTCCACCCGTCTCAACAAGCTTTCTTCTCCCGAATTGTCCAGGTGGCGTTCGTCGAATAAGATTGTGGAAGTTTTGAGCTCAGAAAACTTGGACAGCATCTCTCTTCCCTTTATATCTCAGATGGAGCCTGAAGTTAGGGAACTTGATGCTGGACCGCTAGCCACGGGCTTCATCGTACGTCAAAGTCTCATGGGGCTTATTAATAGCTCTTTAAGTATGATCACAGACCGACCTACGGTCGCCCACTTGCTTCTTGGTTTTGGTAGTGTGGGGAACATTCTCGACGTGCCTGCTGATGGCTTGTTCTCCAATGGAAGGTCTCTGCTGCACGCCATCGTAGGTTTTGTGCAAAGTTATCCTGACCAAGTCGAGGACAACATCGTGCCGTGGATGCTGCATACAAAACGTACAGCCTTTGAGGTGTTGAAGCATCTATGGTCGTCCAAGCTCTCTTCGTACTTCACCCTAACGGAGATGCGTGCTGCTGGCTTCCTTGTCGGCTTATTTACAAGCCAGCCTTTGGTTGGGCCACACACCCTCTGGGATGGCTTACCAGTTGCCGCAGAGCAATTCTGGGTCTGTGACTCAACGGATGCGCTTTCTGAATTTCTGCTGTATCGAAGTTATCTTTTCGACTATGCAGCAACGGAGATCCGTTCTGCGGCAAAGATCAATTCACCCACCTTACTGGCAACTATCCTAGCTACATTGTTTGGGAGTTCTACTTCAGATAACGGAACGACCATCGCAAACCCGACGGTCTTTGACCTTTTTGACTTTGCGGACCTCGATCTTCAGTTCCACGCTCGGCCGCCGAATGTAGAATACCTTAGCGGCCTCGACATTGACATGTGCGAGGACAAGGTAGAGGACGGCGCTATGCTATTATATAACGTTGACCAGGTGAAAGAACTCGTCAAAGCCAGAAGAGGGGAGCTACTGGCAAGTGGGGGGTTGCGTCCACAGGATGATGAACTGTTCATGGCTGAGGCGGACAATCTCATTGAATTCCTGCGAGCAAGAAATCAATCACGCCAAATCAATTTCAACCGGCACATGGCACTCGGCTCCTGGGCCGAGCTACTGACCACGATACTAAAGTGCTCCGAACTTGACGGAGGCCGAAAGTCAACATTTATCCTACACGCCATTCAACTAATCCTACCGAAGCTTGAGACTGCCATCGAGGATGACCTCCCAGAAGGCCTTGATCTCGCCCGATTAGCCGAATTTCTGGTCGAGAGTCTAGATACAGCACCAGCCAAAGTGGCCCCCTCCAGAAGAAACGGCGACCTAATAGATGAGAAACTCCATCAGCTATTCCAGATCTGTGTGCGAGGTCTTATCCTGTCCAATGGGGGTGTCCATCTGAAGGAGACTTTCCACAACATTTGCTCAATCTACGTTTCCCGAATCGTCTCTCCTGGCACCGGGAACGAGAGCATGAGACAGCACAGCCAGCAAGTAGTCCGATCTGCGGGCCGCGCTCTGATTGAGGCCATTTGTGACGACGCCTATACCGGTCAGGAAACTTGCCGAGTGGCAGCTGTTTTACTGCTCAATTCTTTGGCCGCTCTGGATAAACAGGCCGACGCGACTTTGGCTGAATCGTTGGCCCAGTCTAACTACCTGAGTTTGTTCCTGGATAGCATTCGAGTATTACCACTCGAGTTAAAGAATGCTCCAGCCAGCGGTAAGCCCGTCACCGATTCTTCTCTGCGAGTGTCGCTGATCAGAGATGCCCAGATACACCTATACTCTTATCATACTACCAGTCTTTGTTCTCCTTATTGCAACAACTCTGTCAAACCAAACCCGGCGCGACCCACGTATGGAAGGGTGGCCTTCTCCAAGCAGTGCAGGACTCACAGCTGTTTGCTGCGGATCCTGATCTTGGTATCGGTATGTATATTTTCGTGATAATAATCTCAACCTGTCTGACGGCAACAGATATTGACAACGCCGACGCCCTACGGAAATACTACGATCTACTCGACTCGGTCCTCCGTGTCATTGTCACAGCGACGTTCTCTCGGGGGCTGCAGAACGAGCTGATGATCGAACAAATTCGAACCTTTCTAACGGAGAACAGACAGAGCATGGTCGGTGTATTCAAGCGTTTTGCCAAGGTCGGAGGATCCGGTGCCGCCGATCATCACGACGCGCTCACCAGCATCGCGAAGTCATATACTGCCCTGGTCGCTGCCACAGACTTCTTAGAGGTACGTCCGCCTATGCTATTATATTATATTGAGCTCGAAACTGACTCTAGCGACAGGCTGAGGAGAGTGAAGTCGCGCAGCACATTGGGCCGAAGCTGTTTGCATAAGCTAGGTTTTGCATGAGACGGAGCATGGGATGTTGAACGATTGTGTTGTATTTATGGGATTAGCATATGGGAATTGGCTTTAGTATACGTCCTACAGGAATGTTCCATAAAATATTGAATGAAAATAAATGACTAGACTTCAAGCCAAATTCACTTCCACCACTTCTAGTAGTATGATGCAGCTTATGTCATCGGGTGTATTATCTTATCTCCGACGGGCAGTTGAATGTTGCGGAGGAACCCCATCCCAGCTTCTTCCTCCATCTCCCAGCTTCCCATCGCATCAGGCCACAAAGCATCGAGGTTTTCTCAGAATTGGACGCTGACTGCGATGGTCTTTGTGATCCGAGCTCACCTCGGATCGTTCCAACTCTGAGTGCTCCTCCTCGTCATCCCCCTCCAGGATAGAACCGGGTAGATGCAGCAGAATCCGAGAGGCGCCCCCGAACAGAGGAGCGGCAAGCGCAAGGCTACTGGCAAAAGGAAGCTTCAAGATCAAGGGGAGTCATCCCAACAACCTCCGCATCAGCAGGCGACCATTTCGCAGCTCCTCCACGGAAACCAAGCGCACGAACAAGACGACGAACACCTCCCGCCGACGAACAAACGAGCCCGACCGTCTCCTTCCTCCCCCGCACCCAATCAGTCCGGCCCTGGCGGAATGTACAGCTTCTCGAACTCAGGGCCAAGGCCGAGCGCTCCGGGTGCCGGTGGTCCCATCCTGTCGAACCCCGCCCTGCAGGCCCGTACGGGCAACGCGCCGTCGCATCAGAGCAACTTTACACCGCATACCGGCGCGAAAAGACTTGTTGTGAAGAATCTCCGGACTGGTCCGCGCTTGAACCAAGATTCGTATTTTGATAGAGTATGGAATCAGTTGGATGCGGCGCTCACGGCGATCTTCGGCGGCGGGAAACCGGAGATATCGCTTGAGGAGCTTTACAAGGGGGCAGAGAATGTATGTCGTCAGGGGCGAGCTGCGGTTTTGTCGAGGCGGCTCCAAGAGCGATGTCGAGAACATGTTACGGGGAAACTACACGATTCCTTAGTCGACAAGGCGCAGATGGCATCAAATGTCGATACATTGAGGTCAGTGGTCGAGGCGTGGAAAGTGTGGCAGTCAATGTTGGTAAGAAGAACCTGTCTTCTGTTGCGTGGAGTTGCTGACTTACAATAGGTTACCGTGCGCTGGATCTTCTACTACCTTGACCAATCCTTCCTCCTTCACTCCAAAGAACATCCCGTTATCCGCGAAATGGGTCTATTGCAGTTCCGACAGCACGTATACTCCGATCACACACTGCGGGCGAAGGTACTCCACGGTGCCTGTGATCTCGTTTCAGCGGACCGCTCCCAGGAGCACAGCGTCGTCGATTCTTCTCTTCTTCGAAACGCTGTCGAACTATTCCATGGGCTCGATGTGTATGTCTCCGGCTTCGAGCCCGTGTTTGTTTCGCAGTCGCAGGACTATTTGTCCCTATGGGCACAGCAAGAAGCGTCCGGCTATTTGGCGTCATATGTGGAGAACAGCCATCGCTTAATTGAGCGCGAGATGAGTCGTTGCGAGCAATTTTCTTTCAACCGGTCGACTAAGCAGAAGCTGTCCGAATTGCTCGATCAGACCCTAGTCACGGATCAGGAGAGTGTCTTACTGAGTCAAAAGGACGTTCTCGGTTTACTGCGAACAGGAAACAAAGTCGCTTTAGGGCAACTCTACACGCTCCTTGAGCGAAGAGATCTCGGGGCTAAGTTAAAGGGTGCCTTCAGTGCATACATTGTGGAAGAAGGCTCTGGCATCGTTTTCGACGATGAGAAACAGACGGATATGGTAGCACGTTTGCTGGATTTCAAGAAGCAACTTGACGATATTTGGAATGAATCATTCCATCGGAATGAGGGTCTCGGTCATATTCTTCGTGAATCGTTTGAGAGTTTCATGAACAAGGGCAAAAAATCAGACTCTACGGGAGGTACAGACAATCCCAAAGCTGGAGAAATGATCGCGAAGTACGTCGACAGGCTTCTACGCGGGGCATGGAGACTAGCGCCGAATCGAGATGCTGAAAATATGCCTCTTGCGGACGAAGATGCGGAAATCAACCGACAGCTCGATCAGGTGCTGGACCTCTTCCGGTTCGTCCACGGTAAAGCGGTCTTCGAGGCCTTCTACAAAAACGACCTGGCGCGCCGTCTTTTGATGGGCAGGAGTGCAAGTGATGACGCAGAGAAGAGCATGCTGTCAAGACTCAAGACAGGTTTGTCTACTTGATTCTTGGAATAAGCATCGTGACTAACTGCGTTCAGAATGCGGATCAAGTTTCACACACAACCTCGAGTCCATGTTCAAGGACATGGAGGTTGCTCGTGATGAAATGAGCGCATACAGTTCCATCAAGCGAGAGCGCCAAACTCCTCTCCCAGTAGACCTGCATGTCAGCGTTCTATCAGCATCCGCATGGCCAACATACCCAGATATCCAAGTGCGGATACCGACAGAGATCGCCACGGCTATCAACGATTTCGAGAAATTCTACGACACCAAATACAACGGGCGCAAACTCGCGTGGAAACACCAGCTAGCGCATTGTCAGATTCGAGCAAGATTCCCCGGCGGCAACAAGGAGCTTGCTGTCAGTTCGTTCCAGGCGATTGTTCTCCTCCTCTTCAACGAGCTCCCTGAGGGTGGAACACTGAACTACCGTCAAATTCAAGAAGCCACATCACTATGTAAGCCCCTCTGACCACTCTACCGTGACTATTACTAACGTACTCCAGCCGACCAAGAACTAACACGAACGCTCCAATCCCTCGCTTGCGCTAAATACCGCGTGCTATCCAAAAAGCCGAAGGGTCGCGAGGTCGCGCCCACCGACGAGTTCTCCTACAACCCGTCCTTTACGGACCCCAAGTTCCGCATCAAGATCAACCAGATCCAGCTCAAGGAGACGAAAGAGGAGAACAAGATTACGCATGAGCGTGTTGCAGCGGATCGGCACTACGAGACCCAGGCTGCTATTGTGCGCATCATGAAGAGCCGCAAGACGATTACCCATGCGGAGCTTGTGGCTGAGGTTATCAAGGCCACCAGGAGTCGGGGTGTGTTGGAGCCAGCGGATATCAAGAGGAATATCGAGAAGTATGACCCCCCTGTTCTTCTGACCTAGCTGTTAGGATGCGCTTGCTAACCATTTATCTAGGTTGATCGAGAAGGATTACATGGAGCGTGAGGAAGGGAACAAATACCAATATGTTGCTTAGCTTAGCGGAAATGCCTCGCTCACTCGCGCAGGCTTGGGATGTGTCATGTCATGCTATATGAACGGAGTCCTAGGTATAGCCTGCTTTTGTCGGTTTCTAGATCAGTACAGTGCAAGTGTAAATGATGACCCTGCTTATACTTACCAATATAAAGCCTCTAGCCCTATGCTTGACCACTCGTGTCTTGAGACAACCCCTGTCTCCTAGCTCCACACGTGACTCGCTTGGGGGTGTTGCCTGTTACAGCCACTCGACTTCTTACGGTTCCTTTGTCTATATCCTGTAGCCTACTGCCGAATCCTGATATATCCCGCCCCAACCCCTCATAGCCCCAACTTCAGACAACGATCTGACACTTGGAACTAAGACAACCTCCGCAATGCACAGCGCTCTAGACACCCCCGAAATCCTAGAGATGGTCCTGGCGCAGCTGGACATGCGCACCCTCCTAACATCCGCCCAACGAGTATGCCACAGCTGGGCAAGCCTGGCAGCACAGTCACCTGTCCTCCAAAGGGCCCTCTTCTTCACCCCCATCAAGGACGCCAATGAGTGGGGGATGAACGAGAAGATGCTGAACCCGCTATTAACGGAGGCGTTCCCCTCCATCTTCCCCGACCCTCCCAAGGACGAGGACGACAAAGAGAAGAGATTCAACTTCCGCTTCTCTGACCTACCCATTGCCACGCTTGAAGGCGAGGCTCGGGCCCGCTTCATCCGGCCCGATGCATCCTGGCGCAGGATGCTAGTCTCCCAGCCGCCCATGCAGGATATCAGCCTCATGCATCTCCGGCATGGTATGGGCGGCGATAGCGCCGAGTGCTGGCGTGTGCCGGTTAGTCCATGTCCACTTGCTTGTTCCCATCCACGTTCCAACTCCCAGAAGCTAATGCCTTCGCAGGCGGACACGACCCACGCCGGCCTCCGCATGGAGCGCCTCTTCGAGGTCCTCCTCTTCCACAACCCAATCCGCGACAGGGTCTCGACCAAGTCCCGGGTGTATTGGGTAACAGGAGACGGGGGTGAAAGGGCAGTCGCGTTCGACGAGGGTCACCGCCAACGGAACATCAAAGAGCGGTTCTATGCGCTTCTGCGCCAGAGCGGTGTTGTTGTTTATACGCGTGAGACGGTGCAGTGCTGTGAGGAGGGAGAGAGCGATTAATGGGGTGAAGAGGGAGGTTTTTGAACGTGAGAGGATGAATGATGTGGGATGATTTTGGTGATGTTGGAATAAAAGGTACCATAGGCTAGTCTACCATTTCAGACTCCATTCCTTCAGAAAAGGTGCCTTGTCTCCATCCTCGACATATCTGAGCCCTAAACCCGTCCATGATCTCAAGAGCCCTCACCATCTCGGAATGCGCCTTTCACTCCCCCTTAGTATCTAGGTATAGTACCCGAAGAACCAGTGCGCCTGAAACTATCGAAGTCCAAAAGGACAATATGTTGCCGGTGTACGTGCAAAACTACGTCATCTCCCACAGGGTCTCAGAACATATATGGACATTGGAATAGTAACTGAGACCGTGCACTGGACCGAACGTACAGATGTAGCCCTAATTGTAAGTCATGCTTCAAAGCAATTTAGCTATCATATTATAAAAGGGTCAACCTCAACATCAACAAGGTCTTGTGGTCTAATGGTCATGACATCAGACTCTGATGCACCAATCCGAGTCATATCTGGTAATCCCGGTTCGATCCCGGGCAGGACCTCTTACTTTTTTCCATCTTACTCATATCCCCATGGCACAATTTTTATCTTATTATCTAATCTCGCCCTCCCAAAAGCAAATCAGGACCCAGCACCGCGGTACGGTCCCGCTCGCCCAGGGCAGACCCGCTTTTTAGGTTTTTTTTTTTTTTTGCGCTTTTTTCGGCAGCGATATGCCCTACCTCAACAGTGCAAATTTCAGCCAGCGCTTCAACAACAACGGGTCTTGTGGTCTAATGGTCATGACATCAGACTCTGATACCTTGCCTATCTGAGTCACATCTGGTAATCCCGGTTCGATCCCGGGCAGGACCTCTTCTTCTTTTCGCTTCTTCGTCTTCTTTTTGCTTTTGTATATGACCCCAGACGGGGACTTATGGTGCTTGTTGGTGTCTTTTTGAGGTCCTATGATTTCGGTTGCGGCTTTCAGAGCAGTCTGGGAGCTTCTGGTAGCATGGCCGATGGTGCGATTCATGGTATGGGTATATCAAGTCTTTGATACCATCAGCATCGAATCTTGCAAGAAGTCAGCGGCTTTACTACACCATGCTCTGTAATGTGCAGAAATATAGACATGCTGCATAGCTACCAAGACAGTGGCGCTGCCTATAGATGGCTGTTGTTGACGGGCATCTATTTACAACTACCTACAGCTATCCAGGAGCATAGACTACAGATTGATCGTAAGAATAGACGCCCGCGAAGAAAAAAAGGGAGGGAAGAGGGACGGGAAGGAAATGCAGGTACTTATACCTGGTTTCATTTGACTTTTGGATTACCAATCCTTGCTGCCTGCGGGTGTGGTGTCCGATCGCCTTTGTAATACCGCTGGAACGTTCGGGCTGGGCTGAACTCTATTGTATATCCGTCTATGGTGTGGTAGCTGCCTATGCAGGTGGCTCGCGGGCACCGTCTGTGTGGCAGACAGCGTTCATGGCCTTGGGGAGGCAAAGGTCTGTCCCTATACGATGCTTCCCGGCAATGACGCCTCTTTTTCATGGCCTGGGTGCCCCGAACCCAGCCATTGCTACTCGGGCCTGACTGCATGTATATCTGTTGATTGAGCACATTCTTATGTCTCGACCATACGCGGCTGCTGGCTCAGTGGTAGACCGGTTCGACCTTCTCACGCCTGGGCACTGGGTGATTCGGCCATGTTGAACCTTCTGATCTCGGGCCATGTGCCCACTGTCTGGTTGTGACTATTGTTCGCTTTCCAGCGAAGCCTGGTCTCCGTCAAGCATCCTGCAGGTTCGACTACTTGCCCGTGGAATGGGTCAGTCGCCTTAGTTGGTCCAGCTATGGGGTCTGTTAGCCTTTAAATAATGGTACCTTCTTAACAGTCACTTTGGATACCTATTGACGCTCTTTGTTGCCCTATGGTGACAGTGGATCGTCCAACAGCAGGAATATATATATCGTAGCTAGCAGACCACTCGCCGGATGGTACGGGCCACTGGTGATGGATTATTGCGAAGCATGGAGAGTATTAGAAAAGGTCGGTGAATGGACGTGTGCTCTTCATAATAAGGGCTATGTACTGTGGTTGTTCTATACTGAATGAAGGGTTGTCCCTGAGTAGAGAGACGGGAAAGTAGCACGTAGTAGCTGCAGCAAGCTTTGTGATGTACGAATATAAGACATTAAAATAGGTGGCTTCTCAACCAATCAGGTCTTGTGGTCTAATGGTCATGACATCAGACTCTGATACCGATTAGAGTCACATCTGGTAATCCCGGTTCGATCCCGGGCAGGACCTTTCTTTTTCTCCTTACCAATTTTTTTGGCCCTTTACACGTGCAACGCTGCTAATGAAACTTCTCGTAGTGTGCTTTAGACTGCAATCGGCCGATAAGCAATAAAAGCCAAGACCCAGCGCAGCAATTGCAACCACCACCAGATACGGCAGGTTTACCGCGGCCTCTGCGGTGGAAAGCAAGTCCGCGCAGCTCCAACCCAAGGAACAGGCTCACGTGGAAGCTCGAGCTTCTCGATTGAACCCCCACAGTGTTCTGGAATGGCCGCGGCCCTGCTGGGACACATCAACTATTGGAGATCCCCTGCAAGCTGTCGTCCCATGACCATTGTTTTATTAACTACTCCTACATCGAAGACTCCAATACCGGGTATCATGATGAATGGCGTTCAACTCAGCAGCAGGTACAATTGATCCGTACAGCCCAATTATCTCAACATGATGGCATCGATGGCGATGGCAGCTGCCAATGCTTGGACTCGACTACGATGAGGTAGACGAGTGTGGGGTACGAGGTGTTAGGCGATAGAGTCTCCGAAAAAGAAACATGGCTCTCCATCAACCACCGCGGGATGTCCAGACACGGCAATCCGAAGCGCTGGCATCGGCTCCCCTCCGATCTGTTTCTGCTTCCGGATGCGACAGACCAGTTCCTGATGTATGGATGGAGTCGGTTGTTCATGTGAGCAGGAAAAAAGGTACGATAGTTTCCTATCGAGTGCTCATTGCCTGGCCAGGCCCGGTTACGCAACGCTGAGCAGTCAGCTGGCCGGACAGGGATTCATTGCTTCTGCTGCTTACGCTGCTCCTCCCTGACCATCTCCAGCTACTTATTTATCCGACCCCCTCCCTCCAGGTGTATCCGGTGTTCTCTCTTATCCGAAAGCTCTTCTCCCCTTCGACTCGACGATTCTTCCCTGCGCATCCTGTCACGGCTGCTGCTCTCGACTTATCCGGCCGCGCCTTCGCTGCAATTGACGTCTCATACCCCCCGACGGCGGTTGGAATTGCCCAGGTAAGCTCCAATGCGACCGAGAGGCGCGAGACCCCTGCCCATACGGAACCTTCAAGTACGCGACGAGAGGCTGACAGGAGAAGGACTCCGCATACCAGACTCCCCATCTCCACTTTCCCCGCTGCGCCCGGACTGCTCGATTCGGACCGTAACCGTCTTGCTGGTTGCTGTGTTGTGTTTCCCGGAGTTTCTCTCGCTTCGTTGCTTTTGCTCGGAGTAATTCGCCCAGACTCGTGCAACGGAGCTTGCGCAAGCATATAAGCGAGGGGAATCCTGTTTTCTGACGGCGTCTCCCATTCGCAAGTTGCGATTGCGCCGGCCCAGTCCCACCCACCATCTCTTGAGTTCAACGTCATATTCGGTCCCCAGCCGCTGATCCTGCAGTGTTCGCAATGGCTCAAAGTACGTCTCCAGTTCCCCTCTTCTCGCTGGAGCGATCCCAGCAAATGCGCTGTCCCGCAAAGTCCGCCTGTCATCCCCACGCTACTCTACCGTCTCCATGATGATCATGGAGTCGATACCCCACCAAACCTGTCGCGGAACTCGCCGAATCGTGCGCTAACGCTCCCCAGCAAAACACTTCTTTTCAGACCCCACCCACCTGGTGCACACGGCCTTGAACTCTCTGACCCTCACAAACCCTTCGCTCGCATTCGACCTCGAGAACAAGATCATTTTCCGCCGCCCTGATGTCGTAAAAAAGGGAAAGGTCGCCATTATATCCGGCGGAGGCTCCGGCCACGAACCCGCCTTTGCAGGATTTGTCGGACAGGGTCTCCTAGACGCTTCGGCAGCTGGGACCATCTTTGCCTCACCAAATGCAGAGCAGATTCGCATTGCCGCCATGGAGCGGGTCAACAACGAGCAAGGAGTGCTCATTATTCCCATGAACTACACCGGTGATGTCTTGAACTTTGGTATGGCCGCGGAGAAGTCACGGGCTGCCGGTATCAAGACCGAGTTCTTTGCTATCAATGACGACGCTGGCGTTGGCAAGCTAAAGGGCGGCAAGGTCGGTCGTCGGGGTATCGGAGGTGGTGTCTTGATCTTGAAGATCGTCGGTGCTCTGGCAGAGGCTGGGTAAGTTTCGGCTCTTACTCAGACTAATCAGTTCTGACATCATATAGCGGCTCACTCGAGGATGTCTACAAGATCGCTCAACTAGCCAACGAGAACCTTGCCTCGGTTGGCTCGTCATTGGAACACGTCCACGTCCCCGGTAGAGAGGTGTCTGATGATCACATCCCAGAAGGCGAGGTTGAGATTGGCATGGGCATCCACAACGAACCGGGATCCCACCGCGCGAAAGCTACACTCGTTGAGATGGTTTCGACAATGCTCCTCCATATTTTGGACCACAACGACCCTGACCGAGCCTACATAACTCGCTCACCCGGCGACAAGTTCGTGCTGCTGATCAACAATCTGGGAGGTGTCAGCACTATTGAACTGTCTGGTATCACCGATGAGGTTTACCGCCAGCTCGACAAGTCATATCAGATCAAGCCCGAGCGGGTTATCCAGGGCACATTCCTCACCAGTCTTAACGGACTCGGATTCAGCATCTCACTTCTCAAGCTAGCAGACACCGGGCTGGGCCCTGGCAAGTCCTTCCTCGAGCTCCTCGACGCCCCCGCTGAGGCCGTCGGCTGGTCCGCGCCCGTCAACCCTGCCACTTGGGAGTACCGCAATGCGCCTGGAATTGATGTCAAGAGGGCCAAGCCCACCCAGCAGCCGCCCAGCAACATCAAGCGTGAGTTCTCTTCTTTCCTACTGAACCATACTAACAAGCCCAGTGGACATTGGCAAGATCCGCACCGTCCTCGGCGCAGCCCTCCAGCGTGTAATTGACGCAGAACCCCTAATCACCCGCTACGACACCATCGTCGGCGACGGCGACTGCGGCATCGGCCTAAAGCGCGGCGCCGAAGCCGTCCTCGACCTCCTCAACGATTCCGCAAACCTCAACGACGACGTCATCAGCACAGTCAACAGCATCGTCAACGTCGTCGAAAACACCATGGACGGCACCTCCGGCGCCATCTACGCCATTTTCCTCAACGCCCTCGTCCACGGCCTCCGCGAACAGGACAAGGGCTCTGAAACACCTGCCGACGTGGACGTCTGGGGAACAGCCCTGAAATATTCCATCGCCGCACTGGGGAAGTACACACCCGCCCAGATCGGCGATCGCACTCTGATCGATGCGCTCGTGCCCTTTGCCCAGACCCTCGCGGAGAAAAAGGACGTCCATGCTGCTGCTGAGGCTGCACACGAGGGCACCGAGGCGACGAAACACATGAAGGCTTCGCTGGGCCGGGCCGTGTATGTTGGTGGCGAGGAGGAGTGGGTAGGGAAGGTCCCGGACCCTGGGGCGTTTGGGCTGAGTGCGTTCTTTGCTGGGTTGGCGGATGCGCTGTGATCTCGACAAAATGGGCTTTCCCAGCGTGCTCTTAAAGTACATATCACCCCTCCCTGCCGAAATGGTTGGTTTTAGGATAATTAATGATGAACCATTGCCATTTTTGCAAACCTGGCAACCTCCACCGGGCCCGAGCCGGGGCCGGCGCTTGCTCCTTCCGTGTTGGGAAAACTAGCTGAACACAGTTGATCCTGCCTCAACGGCAATTTTACCATTGGACTCCCAATACTCGGCCAGCGGCGCCAGCCTCTTTGTTAGGGATGTACATCGCTGCTTTCTCTTACCTGCTTGAATCCTGTCCTCGAATTCATCGCTCTAGCATGCATTGTCTCTGCAAGCAGTGCAACGTTGTCATTGACAAGAAGGAGCCCCTTGGCGCGTCAACCTCAACGTCCTGCAGTGCCACCGGCTCTGAATACAATTCACAAGACAAGGTTCCCGGGCCCCGTTGGCATGCCGACTGATCCGGTAATCAACAAGCAGTGCCACTGTGCCTGTGCTTGTTTCCGTGCAGATACATCCATGCGCCGACTTCCCCTGCGAAGCGCGGGCGGCGGCGGTATTCCAGTGACAAAGAGCACCTGCGCAGCTGGTTATTACTGAAAGCGAAAAGCCATGATTGAGACACGCTGGACTATTCTTAGCCCGTTCAGGCGGCCGATGCGATAGGGTGCATATCCCTCGATACAGGCGGGAGTGACTCTTTGCCCGGTCGCCGTTCGACATCCAAGTATAAGATTACTACCAAGCCTTGCGACACTACCTAACACAAATCATACGTCACGCATGCAATTGCCGATGTAGACAGTGGTAGCCCCTGAATAGAGTTCTCACTGGAAGGTGCAGATGTGTCACTGCCAGGGCACTAGCACTAGCAGCCCCGCGGAAATGGGACATTGACAGATCCATGGATCCAGGCTGAGAGGCCAAGACGGTCAGATGAAGTCTTAGGGAGATAATCTGCAGGGCTGTGTGGCGGACGACACTTCTACTCATTGGACGGACCGTTTTGTTTGGGAGATGGGAAAGAATCCCAACAGTCCCAAGCACCAGCATCCTACGAGTAAGGCCTCCAGACACAAGGCCTCCTGATCCACCGGTTGTTCTGAACTTAGGCTTATTATGTACTGTACTCCGCCCACCATCTTGAGGCCCTGTCTGATTGACAGCAACGACTCTTTTATTCACCTTGCGCCAGCATGGTTGAAGGCATCGGGCTCTTTGTCGGGTTGGCCAAGAAGAGCCAACTCAAGTCAAGCCCGACAAGCGATACGAGGGACTCAATAAGTCAGAACTCAATTCTATTGACGATCGTGCTTATTGACTTCCCGCAGCGAACCACGGACGAGGGCTGGTCACCGTTGGAGACTGCATGAGGTGGCTGATTCTTTGTCCCGACCAAGCCACCGGGCAGCGACACAACAGTGACACTACAGTATAACTCCCAGGCGTCCTGAGGAGTTGTTGCACTCCCTGCTGTGTAACAGCTGCGTCTAGCTAGATCTCTGTCAACATGATCTACCATCGGCATCTGGCTGCATGTCTCCTGCTCGGCCTTGCAGCGGCTTCCCTGCACCCGGACATCCGCGCAGACACCAACCGCGATGGCCTCGTTGATATTGACGGCGACTCGGACGTGGACGCCAAAGCAATATGGACCGACACCAGAGGGGCCATCTTCCTCCCCAATGTAGGCGACAAGTACCGACGCTGTCCACGCGAGGACCTGGCCGGCATTCCGCTCAGCGACTCGGAGCTGGCCGCCTGCAACGACGCCTCGGGGGATTATCTCCTGGCCCCTGAATACGTTGCACCCCTGAGAACGGTGCCGATGGTCAACATCTCAGACAGTATGTTTGCCCACATCTACGCCACTCCGCGCGCTGCCTCTGAGCGAGTCCGCATCTTTGTCCTGGAGGATGAGGCAGACCCCGAGGCCCCAGCGTCCTGGGCCTTCGTGGACCCCCAGCTCAACTTCAATGCCTCGCAACTCCGGGCTGGCCTGATCCTGGGCATCGACGGCCGCGAGTTTGTGACCGACAGTCAGATCTGGGACGGCACAGTCACAATAAACTTCAACGTCCACGACCTCCTCGATCCAGCTACCAACGCCAGCGACGCTGTCGCCCTCAAGGTTGCCCCCATCCTGACACACCACCCCCTGCAACCCATGCAGCAACTCATCACAGCGGCCGCAACAAAGTCCGTGCCCGCCCAGCCCTACTTCATCGAACAGCTCGACGCCGCCCGCGAGAGCGCCGGCATCGAAGCGCCCCTCCTCCTCCTCAAGACCGCCGGCGACATCTGGGCCCAGGACATCCTCGAGCCCGCGTACGCAAGCATGCCCGGCCCCAACGGCGCAATCTCGCTGCGCATCATGCTCCGCTCAGCGCAGGGCAACCGGGACAGCGCACGCCAGCTCTTCGAGCAACTCCGTGGCCCGGGCGTCGGGGTCTGGCAGCCCAGCCCGCAGCCTGGGAATCCAAACGCATCAGACGCCTCCTTTGCGGCCTCAGGACAGGGCTCCCACCCCGTCAACGCCCTCGGAAACCTCGAGACTACCCCCCCTTACACTTCTACCTCCGGCGTGACATACAAAGCCGGCCGCATCATCCAGGGAACGCACTTCGACCAGCTGCCCGCACAATCCGTGCGCAGTCTGATCGCCGGCCAGGGCGTGCAGAACACACTGTACCTCGAAGCAGGCTGGCTGAAGGTCGGACACGTCGACGAGTTTGTGCAGTTCGTCCCGTACGACAATAGCCTAGGCTTCACGATCGCCATCGCCAGCCCAGACGCCGCCCTGCGCATCCTCCGCGAGACACAGACCCAAGGCCACGGACACACAAACGCCCTCAGCTACGATCCCAACACGCAAACCCAGCGCCCTTTCTTCCAGGCGCACATCCCCAGCACACCCATCCCCGTGAACCTAACCGTCGACGCCCTCCTCGCGGATCCAGCCTTCCTCGACGCAAACACCTACGCCCAGACCCACCTCGCCGCCAACCTAGCCATCCTCCTCGCCGAGATCCCCCTCGCCGTAGAGGACATCATCCACGTCCCGGTCCTATACCACGACCCTGCCTCTGCCTCGCACGATTCAAATTCCACGCCCGAATTCAACGAGTCCACCCAGGTCCCACCGTACTCCCCCGCCCCGCCCGTCCCCCCAGGCGAGCACGAGCTCCTCACCTTCTACCCCAGCGCTGTTAACGGCATTGTACTGGGGTCTCAGTCGGGCTACATCGCGCCGAACCCGTTCGGGCCGGTGGTCGACGGCGTCGATGTTATAAGGCGTGGGGTGGAAGCGGCGTATGCGCGTGCTGGGATGGGGGTTATTTTCATTGATGACTTTTATTCGCATCATCTTGGGGCGGGGGATGTGCATTGTGGGAGTAATGCGCTTAGGGCCGTGGAGGGGGAGTGGTGGGTGTGATGTATCAGGGTTAGAAAGAAGGGGCACTGTAGTTGGATGGGATAGGTAACCCTGCGGGGTATTTTATTGATGTCTTGGTGTTTTGTTCTTGTGCTGTAGTTTCATGTACCCTTTTATTAGCTAGTGACTATCTGTTGTAGGCAGTGGGTAGCAAAATATAGAACATACCATTCCCACTTCTTCATCGTCAATGCAGCAACTAATGCCACAGCCTTAGGCCTCCTAGTACGGCACTGGCCCTTTCATTCTCCAGCTGTCATTTACAGTGGAGCTCGTCGTGCTATAACAAGTTACATACAAACTGGGCATGCTTCCCAGTTTTCCTGCCTGGAATCTACCATAGGCAACGTCTAAGCCCTAACAGAGCAGAAAGCGCGTCCCTTACAATGCAATGGACTCTTATTCATCACCATCTAGTCTGTGCAATTGCTTTGCTCTATAATACTCAAAAGCCCCTCAACGCCTCGACACACAACAAAGCACCCCAGCCCTGGCCAAAAAATACATACTCCCAACAAACCGAAACAGCGACAAGCCCGCCGTAATCCACAGAATGACCTGGAAGAACCCCTGCGTCCTCGTCGTCGACGTATTGGTAAGACACATCTTATCCACCCCCGTCGCCGTCATCATCAGCGCCAGCAGCAAATTACTAAACACCCACAGACACACCAACCCCGTCCGGAAATTCTTGTAGCTATCATCAGCACTCCGCTTCTCACCCCCCTCAGCCTCAACCCACGGCTCCAGCGCCCTCTTCACCGTCCGCTCAAACTGACAATCAATATCCGCCTGCGGCAAATCAACCTCCTCAATGAAATGCCCGCCGTCACCCACCGAATCCTTCTGCGTCGTCGCAGACGGCAGCTTATCCGCCGTATCAGCGCCCTTCGTGCCCCAGGAGACATCGTGCCAGTTGCAGAAGGCAAAGACCATCAGGATGTTGATGGAGGTCGTGCTCCCGAGGAAATACGCCCACGAGCTCGTTAGGATGTGCCACGGGTCCATGTACAGCAGCGACGCGAGCACGTAGATCCCGTACGTGGAGGCCAGTGCGATGAGCACGATTCCGCCGCCTGTTGAGCTGAAGAAGGAGGACAGGAATGCGGAGACTCCGGAGTCCAGATCGAAGTCCATCATTCCGCCGGTGAAGACGGAGGCGACGAGGTAGAAGGAGAGGATGAGCACGTAGAGTTGGACGAGCGCGAAGTAGAGAAAGGAGAGGGTGTAGGGGATTACCACGCTGGCCGGGGCGGTTAGTTAGCCCTACTTTCTATGTTGAGGGGTATATGGTTGGAGAGAAGGGGGGGTACCTCTTCGGCCGATTCCCCAGCGCCAGCATAAACTGCAGCATCAGCACCCACAGATACCCGTACTTCACAAACGTGTTGACGACCGGCGAGGCCGTGTTGCCCCACGGCCAGCCCTTCTCCTTGTTATGCGTGCTGGGCGTGCCGACGAGGTCCATGATGACCGAGCTGGTGAGCCAGTATGACGCTGCACGTCCATCCATGTTAGCACTCATCCATTCCAGCCAGTAAACTGCAGATCTAGTAGGGTAGTATTAGTATAGATAGGTCACTCACCCAGCGAAAACCACGTCATGACCAGCTGCACGACATTATACAGCATCTGGACATGCAGAAACAGCACGCGCAGCAGATTATGGCCGCTCCGATAGATGCGCCCAAAATGCATGATCGCATACAGGCTCGCCGCAAAGCTGCCGTTCAGCCAGCGCCGCCGCTGGTTGATGAACTCCGCCGCGCCCTCGGGCACGTCCGTCTCGCCCTTCGCGGCCTTGACGTACCCCAGATGCCACTTGAAGCCGGCCTTGGCCACAAGTTCAAAGCACAGGATCCGGTCCTCCGCGAGAAACATGTTCTTCTTGAAGATGTTCATCCCCTCCACGCCCTTTTTGCCGAGCCGTGCGGATAGTGTATGGTCGCCGTGGAAGTACTGCTCTAATGGCCGCCCCATGATTGCGCGGTAGCGGTACGCTGAGAATGCGCCTGGTAGGACGGAGACGTACCCGAATGCTGCTTCAAGCGGTTTATCGAGGATATTCGAGATCTTGTACTCGAAGTTCTGGGCGGCGACGAGTGGGTTGAGGACCTTGCGCCAGCGGGGCCCGAGCATGGCGTGGATCTCGCCGCATGCGCCGCCGAGTGTTTTGTCGTTGTAGAAGGCTTCCCAGAGTGCCAGGAGGGACTTTGGGCCTGGCTTTGTGCCGGCGTCCAGCAGGATGATTACTTCGGGGTTGAGGATCCGGGAGAATGCGTTTAGGAGCCAGCGGTGCGAGTTGATCTTCTTGCTGTTCTTTTGCTTCAGGCAGAAGATCATTTGGACCGGGGGGAGGTTGGTCGGGTCGTTTGCGTAGGGCCGGATCAGTTGTTGCGTGGATGTGACGGAGAGCTGGGTTGTGTATTCGAACTATACCAGGCATTGTCAGTATCAGATGGACCACCTTACCATAGGGTTACCCTATGGTAGACTTGGATGAAAGATCCAGAGAGCCCAGGTGAAGGAACAGACTCACCACATGCGCCACCGTCTCCCTCCCATCCACATCCCTCTTCATCACCCCATCCTGGTAAACCCCAATGGTAGCCAGCACATCCAGCGTATTCTTATCGCACGGCTCGATCCCATCAAAGATCACGCACACCACGATCTTCTGCCACGCCGGGCCCCCCTTCTCCCAGAACTCGGACTTCTTCAGCCGCACGATGTCGCGGATGTTCTGCATCACGCCGTGCAGCGTCCGCGCCGTCAGCACCTTGTCCTCGTTGTAGTACGTCACCGCGATCAGCAGCTCCGTGTGCCGGTTGTACATGGCCGCGCGCAGGTTGTACCCGTTGCGCAGCGTGAATTCGTCCGGGTCGCATGTTGCGGCCGTGTCTGTACGGTATCTCAGTTGAACGAGTTAGAGAGGCGGATAAGGAAGGGATGCTAGGTAGGGAGGATGGTGATGGGGGACGTACACCGCATATGCGTGAACTCCTCTGCAAACGCCTCCTCGGCGAACCGGTACTCCGGCTGGATGGCGTTCTGGATTGCGCTGGGCACCGGGTAGTCGATGCTCAGGACGGTGCCCTTGACGAGGTTGATCTTGCGGGTGCCGTAGCGGCGGAGCGAGCTGTTGCCGTGGATGCGTGGCTTTGTCTGGCTCTGGCTCTGGCTTCGGCTTGACAATGATGGTGACGGTGATGGGTCCAGCTGGGGCGCGCCGTAGCTGGCGAAGCCGGAGCCCGGGTCGTGCAGGGTGTAGCGCCGCTGGTCGGACTCTGTGGGAGAGTGCTGCTCGATGAAGGGGGAGATGGAGGGGGTGTTGGTGTTGGTGTCGGGGCTGGAGGTCGAGGTGCGTCGGTGCAGGAGGGATCGCTCCTGGTCGCTTTCGTCGGCGGTTGCGACGGGGTAGAGGGGGTGCTGGGGCCTCGTTAGACTGGGAAGCAGACTAGTTATAGAAGTGTATACCTCGTGGTAAGGCGAGGAGCTGCTCTCGCTGCCGTGCGGTGTGTGCGCCGATGTTGGGTTTATGCTCTCCATGTCGATACCGTCGGGACTTGGAGGAGGCAAAAGAAAAAAGAGTAAGGTAGGATATCAACACTTAAGATAGAAGATAGGTACAAGGCACTGAAGGCCGAGGTTGCTCAAATTAGAAAGTGGAACTGGAGTCGGGACCGTCAAAGATAGGGCTACGAGAACCGTGGGCTCTGCACTTGACTCAATGACGAGGCAACTGTGCTATTCCTAGAACCGGAATCTCCTCGGCATCACTTATCAATGCACTAACTAGAATTTGATATTCTGGAAGATGTGGATACTGGTTGAAAACGGCATCGAAGACAAGCACTCACCATAAACAAAAGCAGGCACAGCCGTCTCTGCGCCACGCATTCAACCGTCCACAGTCCAATCGGAAGCACGGGACGGCGTTCTCTTAGACCAGGATGGGGTGATCCGGACCGGTTACGTCTTGAGTGATGTGGCTCTCTGCTAAATCTCGGGAGCCACAGTTCATGCGTGGGAGCCCCCACTGCCGTCGGTGGTGATGTTCACTATGGCATCACGTACCATATATTCCAGTCTAGTTTCATCCAAAACTCCAGTATACATGGAAAAGGCAATGTCTCACATTTCCATGCAGCCTCTGCTCACTACTACCGCACTGTTCAGAATGAGCAAAGCGTGGAAAAAGTCGTCAGCCTGCTGCGCCCCACAGTTGTCGTATACAATCGTGGGGGAGTACGTAGCCGGAGAGAAAACCCACTTTTTCCGGTTTGCAAGTTGCAAATTAGAATTGTCTTTGTTTGCAGTCTATACAGTACAAGATTATGGTAACGGATATGCATCTGGCCAGACAGGCCAGCCTGTTATCCATGGCTATCCGTGCACCTATCTTGGACGCATCATACTAGCTATAGCTATGGCATTGAAGCTGCCAGTTCTAGGCACCAAATACACTAAAACTCCATAGCTACTATAGCAAGAATCTATAATTGGACGTGCTAAGCTTTTAGGGCGAACGGCAAATAGGTGGAAGCCTCCGCTACTGCTAGCCCTAAGTCGTTTTCCACAGTCGGGATGCCACTGAAGTTGCAAGTTGCCACAATTCCTGCGCCATGGACGTGGAGAGGGCAGGTGGATCTCATTCTCAGATTCGGATTCGATGCCTTTACAGGTGCCTAGGGCTGTACTTTGTACCGTCCTTCATAGGTACCTATTCCATGGTGGTCCGCGTACCCTAAGTCACTCTAGAAATTCCACCAAACAACCTCTCCACACTGTGGCTATGCCAATGCTTCTATTCCAGTACGTTAGCAGTCTTTGCGTCAGGAGTCTGGCTTGATGTGCGAAATTGAGTTATGCTTAACCCACGCATTCTATTCCTGTGTCCGGAACAAGAGCCGGGTTTCTTGCGTATCAATGCACTCCTTACAATGGATTAGGGTGCGTAGTGTGCATCTAGCATTGGTAGGTTCTTTGCATCCAGATAAATACCGTGGTGTATTGCATCGAGTATGATACGTTGTTGCCATGAGGTCCAGTCCAGCTCAAGCCAAATCAAACCAGCCCCTCATTCAATTCATCTGAAATGGCCGCCACCAAGACGCCATGCTCCTTCCTCCCCACGCCAACCGCCTACATCCCCGAGCTCCATGGATCTCCCGCAACTATTCCTGCGTACTCCGACTGCGACAGTTACTGTCTACCGCAGGGCCAGAGCGTTGGAGATCTTGCACGGTGCCTGGTCGAGGGCTCTGCCGAACCGGCACAAGTCCGGTATAATGTGGATGTGGATGCGGGTGCTACATCCATTAACAGTCTCATCATCAGCTCGGGTGCATCTGCAGCGAAGACTTCGAGTGAGGGACCGAGTACGCCTACAGCCATGCCCGCAACGGAAACGGGAGACGTACAGAGCAAATTTACAGAGAAAGAGATGGAGACGGAGCTGGAGACCCGAATGAATGGTGGCGAGATGCAGATAAACAGCGTTAGTGTGACGACGGCGATACTCCTCGCGTTGATGGTGTTTGGGGGTGCGGTGCGGCCTCCAGCTGTTCCTTGATCCAAAGGGCTCCTTGAGGTCCGACGCGTTTCAGACCAAAAGGAAGGATTTGGTGCTTTATTTATGCTTTGTTGTGTTTGTAACTAAAAGTCATCAACTCGTACCACTCTTATTTGTTCGTACTTGTTACTGTGTATGTTGGTTATGGTGTTTAGTCACGAAGCTGTTATAGCTAGGTATTCATTCTAACATTGAAGAAACTACAGTCTTCTGCTAAGGACATTCTATGACACAATCTAGAGGAAAGAATCACTGGGCACGGGCTTCCAAGGGTCGATCAAACGCACTGATCAGATCCTAGTTCATGATGTTGTCAGTTTTTCGCATGGATATAGGTCAAGACGCGGCGGAGTCGACTTACCCGTGTCGAACAGGGGAACCCACTGATCGGGACAAAGACAATAGAATCGTTAAACAGAACCTCCAAATCAACCATCCTCCCCAGATGTTCCGAGCTAATGTTGATAGTGATGGGCAGCCGGAAAGGATTCATTGGGTCTGTCTCTGGGACGGGCATGCGGCTGTTTAGGATCTTGAACTCTGATGTCTTGTCGAGAAGAAGGTCCAATGGGGCAGTGCCTCCATAAAGACGACAGTGTATGCTTCCCACAAAGCTGGTGATTTGACTCTCGGCCAAGTGCTCAATCTTTTCTAGATTAAAGTAGAACAAGCTGGCGCGCAGGTAGAGGGCCACTTCGGTCAGAGGATCTGAGATGAACCCTTGGACTCTGGTGTTGACTCTGTGCGGCTGGCGAAAGTCAAACTCCTGGGCATCCTCCGACATGCTGTCGATCTTGTCTACGGCATCGAGGGCTGGCTCCTTTGAATCGCGGAAGTGCGGGCTTAAACGGTAGGCTCGGGCGTTGGTTTGTGGCGAGGAGGTCTTCGTGAATGTCTTCCAGGCTTTCTGGCCGTCCATGGTAGCTAATAAGTTTGTAGACAGACTCTGTAGCCAATCGGGTATTAGCCACGTTGGAGCTGTGAATGTTGAAGGCTTTTTTGCTCTTCCAGAACCTATGGAGAGCACGATGTCAAGTGGTGACTCCTGTCCCCACAGCTTCACGCTCTCGTTGACGGCGTTCTAGACAGGGTTGTTGGAGTGTAGCCCCCCATCACGACAAGCAGCTCCGATGGCTGTTGGGGTGTACTCTTCGAAATACATGGGTGCTGCTGAGGTACATCGGGCACTAGATTGCTCTGGTTAGATGGGCACGGCATTATTCACGCAGTGCTGTCAACTTACGCTTCCCAAGTGAGAAGCCGAGAATCCAGATAACCATCATCATCATTGGATCCGGCATGGTAGTTTGCGATAAGCCTGCATTCGGTCCCAACCGTCGTCGTCACAGCCACCCGGGGTTGATGGACAACATCACGCACGGAAGGAGAGGCGGGAGATAGCCCGAAAAACCCTTGGTCTGGGTAGGCCTTTCTCAGCGAGGTCTCCAGAGGTATCGTCTTGTAGATTGAGCGTTGAAACATTCGGTACACCCACCGTATGGCCCATGTGTTTGCGAGGCCGTTTGCCACGAATCCGGACGCGCAGATGTTGCGGAATTTGGCGATACAGTCTCCAACACTCCAACGATGTACTCCGAGTCCTATCGCAATCATTCCTCCTACGTAGGGAATTAGTCTGTATTGCCACCATGGATAATATAGCACGAACCTGCACTAGTCCCGACGACAAGGTCGAAGAAGGCCCATATCGGCAACCCGATGCCAATCGAGCTTTCCACTCGCTTCAGGGTTTCGAGCTCAATAATCCCCCGCACGCCTCCACAATCCAGAGACAAGATCCTTGCTCCAGACAGCCGCGGACGCACGCGGACCGGACAGGCCACTTCGCTGCTGGGCCATCGTCCCGGCAGAGAATGCAGGATTGAAGTGAGATGATATCTGGATAGTCTGGGTCGCGCTCACCAAAGTCGCAAAAGCAGTCCTCACACACGGCATGCTGACAAGGCAGAAGATATTCAGGTCTCCCAAACAAGCACACGAAGCATGTGTTTGTACGTTTTGGGGATGTAAACAAGCCCATCACACCACGAAAGAGTCCTGCGACAATGGTGTGCAACACGCTGGGTGGTAGCCTGAACGAGACCTGGATATCAGCAACAGTAGGCATTTCCCAAATTTTCTGGTGCTCTACCGACTGGAGAGTCTTAACGTGGGAGGTAATCGCTGACTGCCTTCGGACCTCGTACACAGGGTCTAGAGCGTTGAGCTCCAGGAGGAATGTCTCGATTTTGCCTTTCACAAGGCTCAAGAACTCTGTTGTGCTCCAGGACCCGGGAACAAAGTCTCCGTCTGCTAAGCGGCATGCATCGGATTTTTGATGGCCTCTGGCGTGGCCCAACTTGGTGTTGACGCATTTGTCCCCTGTCTGCGGGTGGATGTACGAGCATGCCATCTTCTTATCCAGGAAATCTTCCATTGCAGAGGAGCACCAGTGTCTGACCTGGTCGTTTAATATTGACGCAGGGGCATAGAGCATATCTAATGCAGGTCAGAATTGGAAAGGATACCCCACGACCTCGGGGTGTTCAAACACTTACTCACTCGATCAAGCTTGATCATCCGGCGAACCAAGCATGACCCGATGACCTCTGCCGCGTACCGAAGGTTGCTGTCGACTTGGTCCCGCTCTTGGAGTGTCTGATGAAGGAACTGTGATATGTGGCTCTCCACGGTTTCTGGGAGCTCGATTTCCTGCCGGTACATGCTAAAGTCGAATGGTGTGCGAGTGCCGCTAGCAAGGTGTTGAAAGGCGCAGTCGAAGACGATCGAGAGTTGCTTCGCGTCGAAGCGAGTCCAAGCCTCGGCCCTGGCGGCCTGAACCCGTGCACTATCGGCCTGGATCCGGTCAAGGAGTCTGGAGTTTTGTTGGTGGAGGTGCTCTGGGCTGGAATGGTCCCTGCTCTGCGCATCTGGGATATAGTGCACGTGGACGCTGGAGAAGTTCCGCAACAGGAGCTCCTTTAACGTTTTGTCACCTTTCTATGATGGCAGAGTTAGAACAGTGCATTGTTCCAGGGTTTGATTGTCTCTTTTCCAAGGTACAAGCAATATGAAGTAAGTACTTACCTGCGCAGCTTTTAGACGGAGAGTGTTATTCGCCTCCAGTTCATGATCGACCCCGGTGAAGAACTCATCTGTCATTGCATCTAGATCATCAGCAATCGATCGGCCATGACCCTCTGGCGGAGCATTGATGATGATGATCGCCGCTGGAAGGGCGGCTGGTTCAGCGACTCCTGCGCGCCAACCTCGCTCCACTCGAGTAGTTGGATCGCTGTCTGCGTTCGAAGCTTCGGATTTCTGCTCACGATACATACGACATCACTGAAGATGTAAAGGAACTTGGGGTATATCTTCTGGACCGCGTCCATTCGATCAACAGCATCCTGCCCCTTTGCGGGCTCCACAACGTACTGACGGCCCTTGGTGTGCCACCGGTGTTGGTATTTGGCGGCCACGGGCTGGGTTCCTTGAAAGCCTTCACAGTCGACATAGAATCGCGGTGTCTCCGTTCCGTGCGTGAAAGGGTCGGGATAAATGCTGACTTCTCCGGACGTGGAAGTCATGGCAGCCTCGGCTGCGTCCTTGAGGGCGGGAATCGGCGCTTCGCAGTCATCGATGTTTTTCTCGTTGTGCTGCGCGGAATGCCAAATAAGAGATCGAACTATGGTAGTCCCTGTCAGTGAGAATCTCGCACTCCAAGGGAAGGAATGATACGCACTGATAGTAGACTTCCCCGCCCCAGTCTCGCCAACAAACGAGATCAAGCTGGGGAACTGGCGACTCGGGCTATGGGGTCCTGCATGAGCCGATGCCTCCACCAGTTGATTGTACCGAGCAGTCTCGATAATCCGCGCGACCCTAGCCTTGCCCTCACCCTTTACAACTCTTAGTAATCTAGGGGTACCTTTAAATAAGGGCTCCAGATGCTTTAAAATTATTATAAATATATATTTTTACTTTTTTAATTTTATTTTTAATTTTTAATTTTTTTTTTTATTATTCCCCATGGTATAATAACTAAAACTAAAATATATATTTTTAACTAGCTTATAAATATTAATTTAGCTAACTTTATATAGTTATAAAACCCCTTATCCCCCTTTAACCTTTATATTATAAAAAGGTAAAAAAAAAGGGCCCTAGCAAGCCTATTTTTTTTTTATTATTAAAAGTAATAATATGCTAACTTTTTAACTTAGCCTAGTTATAAAGGCCCTTTATAATTAGCTTAATAAATAAAAGTACTAAATATATATTAAATATAAAGTTTTTATAAGCTTTATAATTATTATTAATAATTTTATAGCTAGGTAAAAAACTTAAAATTAAAAAGCTTTTACTTATAATATTTATAATAAGTTTATATACTTTATTTTTTTAAAGGGCTATGCTAATATTAATAATATTAATTATATTTTTTTATATATATATAATTAGCCTGCTATTATAATAATCTTTAATAAAATTATTATTTAAAGGGAAATAAATTTAACCCTTAAAAACTTAGGGGCTTAACCCACTTTTTTTAAAGTAAATTTTTTTACCCTAATTAATATTACCTTAGGTAAAAAAGCCCTTTTAAGCACTTTAGTAACCTAATTAGTATATAATAACTTTATTATAACCTTAATAATATAAAATAATTATAAAATATTAATTACCCTTTTTAATAATAAGTTAATAACATGCCTAAAAATATATATTATTTAACAAGCCTTTATTAAGTGCGTGCTGGGCTTAACTATAACTATAATTATTTTTAAAATTAATATTACCCGCACGGGCTAGGCTATTATTTTTAATAATTTTTTTATTAAAAATTTTTTAATAATTAATAAAATAGTTAATATAATTTATTATACCCTAGGTATTATTAATATATATATTTTTTAAAAATAATATAATTACATGGTATAAAAAGTGCCTAGCATTATTTTAGTATATAATAATAATAAAATAAATATTACTAAGCTAATTTAGGATAAAATTATAGCTTAAATAAAACTAAAGCTAATTAAGCTTATTTTTTTTAAAATATAGGCCTAATTTTAATACTAGGTATATTACTTAAGTAATATTTTTTTTAAAGTAGCCTAAGGCCTTTACTTTATTTAATTAAAGTAAGTATTACTAGCTTATTAAAAAATACTAGCTAGTTTCCTAGTATAATCCTAGCTACTAAAAATATTATTACCTAGTATAATATAATTATATAATATACTATATATAATATAATATAATAGTTATAAACTACCTAGGTTTTATTAATTTAAATTATAAAAATTTTATATATTACGCAAACTACCTAGGCCCCTAGCTAATAAAATATAATAATTATTTAATAGCCCCTAGGTGCAAGAATAAAAAACTAATTTACTTATTTAAAAAAAAACTTAATAGCATATATTATTATAATACCTACTAGTATTAAAATATATATACCTAGGTTAATATTAATACCTAGCTTTAGACTAAAATTAAATAGTTTTTACTTTAAAAAAATCCTTAAAAGTATATTATAAAAAAACTAAAGGTAAATAAGTAAGGCTTTATAATAATTATTAATTATTATACCCTATGGTTTAATACCTTTATTAATAATTAAAATTTTAAATAACTTTTTATTAAATTAATTTTACCTGCCCTAGCTAGTATAAACACGCCTTTCTTACCCTAAATAATAAAAGTTAATATTAAATCCCCCTTTAAGCTTTAATAATAAAGTACTAAAAAAAATTATAATAATTATTATTAAAATAATATTTAGTAATAATAAAATTTTACTATTTACTAGGTTAATATAAGTAGGTTTATACTTAATTATATTATAATTTTATAACTAGCTTATAAGTAAGGCTATAATATTACCTATATTTAAAAGCCTTAAACTACTATAGGTATAAAAACCTAAAATTACCTAGTATATAAGTACTACGCGCTAGTAAATACCTAAAATAATTATAAAAACTAGCTAAAAAAGTACCCTAAAGTACTTATTTATATTTATAAAAAAAAGTATTATATATTAAATAATACTACCTAGTATAAAGCTAGGATATATTATAGCTTATAATAAATAATATTAAGGTTTTAAATATATATTAAAAATTAATTATTTATAAAATAGTTAATTACCTAGTTATATTAATTTTTACCTTAAACTATATAATTAATAAGGATTTTAATACTACTTATAATATTTTTAAGCCTAGAGTAAATAACCTATACTATAATAATAAAATTATTAGGTAGGCTAATAATAATAATATTAATTATATTAATAAGCTAGGCATGTTTATATATAAAGCTAGTTATATTTTTAATTTAATTTTTTTAAATATTTTTTTTACTTGCATGCTAGTAATACCTAAGTTATATAATAACTTTAATTATTAAATTTTAGTTATTATAATACTAAGGCGCGGGAAAAAAATATTAAAATAATATTATTATAATATATTAAACCACAAGCTTAAGTACCTGGCTAGGCTTATAAAAAATAAAATAATATTTTTTTTTAGCCTAAAAAACTTAAAAACATGAAAATATTAAATTAATATATTAAATTTTTTAATAATATTATTATAAAAATTATATAAATAATTAATAAACACCTTAACCTAGGAAGCTATAATACCTTTTAATAATTAATTAAATATATAAAAAATTACTAAGCCTGGGTAGTAAACCCTACCCTAAAATAAAAAAAGTATTTTTTAGCTATAGTTTATAAAACCAAGCACGCGTATTAAACTAAAATAATTAATAATATAAAAAATAATTAAAAATTATATTAAATAATAACATGGTATAAGCTAAAGCCTAGGCTTAAAACTTCCCTATTACTAGTAAATAATAAAATAATTAAAAATATATAAAAAAAGGCTAATATTTTATAAAAGGTAGTACTAAAGTATTTTAATATAAATAATAACCTAAATTTTAATTTCCTAGTACCAAAGCATTAGTAAAAAAATAAGTATTTTTATTAATTAAAAAAAATCTTATTAAAAAAGGTTAAAAAAATATTATTAATATAAGTAGCATTTTTTTAAAAGTAAACTAAGTAATAGCTTATATTTTAAAAGCTTATTAAAAATATATTAGGCAGGCTATATATAAGCTATATAATTAATATTTATAATTAAAATACTTTTTTTATTATAAAAGCTTGCGAAGGTAATAATACTTTTAAAAAATAATAAAAAAAATAAGTTTTTATTTTAATCCTGGCGCCTTATAGCACTACTCTTAGTATTAAAAAAAAAACTTAAATAAATTATAATATATTATATTACTTTTACCATGCTAGTATAAGAAATACTAAACTTATAATAATATAATACTTTACTTAAGTGCTTAGCTATAAACTTAATAGCTTTTTTTATTTATAATATAAAAATAATACTTTTATAAAACTAAAAAGTTATTATGGTTATTATAAATATTTTAGGCGCTTTTAATATTATTTTATTATAATACTTACTTTAATAAATAATAAAGCAAGGCTAGCCTTGTATACTTTTAATTTTAATTATAAGTTTTTTTAATAAATAAAGTATAAAAGTACGCCTAAAATTTATTATAATAATAATATACCTAGTATATTATAATATATTATAAGGCTTGCTTTTTTTTAGTATTATTTTTACTATATATTATTAAACTATTACTAATAAACCTAATCCTACGCTTTAGCTATATAAATAACTTTTATTTTAATTATATAAGTAACTTTTTTTATATAAATTATAAATTTTTAATAAAAAATATTTATAGCATGCTAGCCTAGGAAAAAATAAAATAAAATAGCCTTTATACTTAAAAAACTAAAAATATTATATATTACCTAAAAATAGCATAGTAAATTACCCTTACTAGTAATTAATAACTAGTTAATAATTACACTTATTATTATGGTACTAGGCTAAAAATAGCCTATATTATATTAACTAAGTATTTTTTTAATAAATAACTTTTTTAGCACTAGTATATTACTAAGTAAGCTATTAAAGCTTATATAATAGCTTAATATATTTATAATTTAATATATATAATATATAATTTACTTGTAAACTTTTTTTATAAGGTAGTTATTACTTATATTATTTTTAGCCTTTTATATAATATAAAGGTATAATATAATAATAAAATTAAGCCTAAAAAGCATGTATAAAATTTAAAAATTAGTACTTAACTAGGCTAATATATTAAAGTAATTAAAAAAATTTTAGTATTAGCCGCTCGCGGTGTACTTTTAGTTTTTTAAATAATATTTATAATAACTTTTTTTAAAAATACTAGGCTTTTCTTCGCGGTAGTAGTATTAAAAAAAGTATAATTATATTTTATCTTAAGGCTAAGGCTAGTTAATAGCTAAAACTTATTAATAAAGTATATAATATTACTAAAAATTTTATAAAACTAAGGCGCTAGCTTAAGGTAAAAATTTAAAATAAAAATATAAATAATAAGAGCTTTTTTTTTAAAAATATTTAGGCTAGTTCTAGTATATTTTTATTACTTTTAAAAATATTTAAAAAACCTTATTAAAGGTAAGGCTAAGAAACTAGCTGTAAAAAAGTTTAGGTAATAATAATAAATACTACCCTTAGTAAAGGTAATAATTTTTAATAATAGCTTAAAATAAATATATTAAAAAGTATATTATATAGGCTATAATTATATAATTTATTATAAATAATACTTTTAGGCACAGGGACTATTAATAATTAATACTTAATTTTATATATATAATACTAAAGTTATTAATATACTTTAAAAATTAAAGGCTATAATTAAAAAACTTTTAAAAGCGCCCTACTATTAGCTTTATATTAATAATATTTTAGTAATTTAATACACGCGCGAGTAGCCCTTGCTATTTTTAAATTAGGCCTTTTAAGTATTATATTAGCTTATAAACTAGTATATAATTTACCTATAATAATTCCCTAGTTATATAAATATTAAAAAAAATAAGCTAGCTAATAAGCTAATTAATAAAATAACTTTTATAAAGGTATAACCCTTAAATACTAATTTTTTAAAAATATAACCTACTATAAATAAAATATATAGCTTATATAAGTAAATATATTATATAGCCTAGGTTAAGTAATAAAAAAATATTTTAATAAAATTATTTACTTAATATAAATAATAATTTATTATAAAACTAAAACCCTACTAGGTTAAGGCATGGTTAAAATTAATATTAAAATAATTAATTTTATATTACTAGCTAGCACTTAGGTTCTTATATAAAAACTTTAAATAATATTATAAATACTTTTAATATAAAAATACTAAGCTTACCTATTTTTATAAAAAAAAATAAAAGCCTTAAATATTTAATTTTTTATTATTATTTTAAGTAATATTTTTTATAATAGCCCCAGCGCCTTATAATATTATTAATAATTAAAATTAAGGCTTTAAAGTATCTTCGCGGACTAAAGCCCAAGAGCTTTATATTTTTATTTAAAATTATAAACTTTTATAAGTTTATTTACTTATACTAGGGTTTCCCGTGCCCTAGCAGCCCTTATACTAAAATTATTTAACTTAATATTAAATAGTTTTTTTTTTATACTATGTTTTTTTTTTTTTTAAATATTTTTTTTAGTATAACTAGTTTACTTAATATATTTTTTTTATATAAGGGCTAGACCCTATAAACTACTATAATTAATTTTTTAAATATATAATAAATAATACTTATTAATAGCTATATATTAAAATAATAAATAAAAAATAAGCGCCTAGCCCACAAGCTTTAATAAAAATTACCCTTTAAAATAAAAAGCCTTTTTATATATATATATAAACCTATTTAAATAAGCTACTTACCTAGCGGCGGCACGCCCTTATACCCTAAAAAAGGTCTAGAATATTAGGCGTACGCCTAGTAGTAGTAGTAGTAGTAGTGATATTTAACGCCTCGGGGGTACTAAGGCTGGTTTAACACCCTTTCCCAACCTCCCTTAGGGTATAAAGGCGGGCTAACGCTAGGATAGATATAGATACAGGCTAAAGTTCCCTTAATTTTAAGTTCCCTTAACAATATCCATTGCCTAGATAGCCACTCGCGAATTCTCGTGGGTTATTATGTGCAACCGTCCCTATATATAGCTGTTTGCACTATTTATTAAGGCTTAGGGGGAGCGTGGATTTCGAGGCCTTTAATAAGGCGCGGAGGTTATGTCTTCCTAACCAAGGAAGACTTGGTGGTTTAAGGCCTTCTTAGGGCTTAGGGTAGCGGGTAAGAAGGCGCGGAGGTGTAGAAGCCCCTAGGGGGGGGGCTGGAGGTCGTGGCTCCGGGGGGAGCGTAGTTATTAAGGCCTCTTTATATAAAGAGGCCAAATTTCGACGTGGGAGTTTGTTTGTTGGTAGGAGTGGGATTCAAACCCACGGCCTTAGTATATAAGGCCCCTGTGACCGCCCACTCGGCCACTCCCACCAGGCGTACGCCTAGCAATCCCTGGGGCGTTAAATATCACTACTACTACTACTAGCCTTGCCCTTGTTCTCAACGTGCAAGCCAAACCACTTGGCCCCCTCGTTGTCTTTGAAGAGCTGATCCAGATGCGTGATGTCAGCTAGGTGCCCAGCTGCCCCTGTCGCCCACTTCCAGGCGCGCTCGCGTGTTCCTCCGGCCTTGCGATGGTTTTTATTACGGCCCAGGTGAAAAAGAAAGCAGACGTCGCAGAAGGTCTCATCACATGAGCATGTGTGGGTGGCAACTGCCTGGTCGCACTTTCCGCAGGTGTCCTTCTCATCCATTGTGGGCGGGAGGACGGGACGCTATCAGAGGAGAATAGATGCTGTTGTTGTGAACCGGAGTGGTCGATGAACGGCAATAGTAGACGAGGAGACTGTATATCATGTATCTCGGGTGATAGATGGTGAGGAGGTCACTTTGAACTAGGATGACCACTGTCAGGGATTGACTAGTAACACCTGGTTATCAAACGGCCGTAGAAACTACTAGTACTATGGTCATTCTAAGCCATGGCGGGGTTGTCAAACGGAGGCACCCTGCACCTCAAAGGCCTTCCGACAACCGACATAGCCCACGGTTTAAGCGCTTCAAATAACACTCTAATCAGTTGGGTATAATATGACAGGATCCTCGACCTTAAAGCCAGTGGCTGGAATCGCTTCTTTTGAGATATGGCGCTCTTCAATCATTCCACTCATCCCCAGGGACCAGCAGAGGTTGTAGTCTCGTGGTAGCCCTAATTAACACTTGTTGAGTACAGTTGGTCTCGAACGCGTGTAGATCTTTTTGCTCTGAAGGTACAGATAGGGTACCATAACTTCTATACCATTACAGAATGAAATCCAGCTAAATCCATCACTACCTATTCCAAACCCTCACATAATCAACCTCAACCTCAACCTCACCAGCCCCATCCACCACCAAAAAATGCCCCCGATGCGCAACCCTCTCCCAAGCCCCCCAATCACCCACATCCGCCCCAGCCACCGAGAACGTCTTCTCCCCATCGACATACCAATTCAGCCTGTTCTCCCTCCACTCCTCCACACCCGCACCATCCAGCCTCGTCCGATCAACCTCAAACCCAACATAGTGCCAGTCGCAATCGCTCCACCGCGCAGAGCCCCCCAAACCCTCGAACTCTTTACACGGGCCGCCCGGCGCAGAGCCACAGTGCAGCGCGTGATGAACAGCATTCTGACCATGGAGTACTGACGCAATATCCCACTCGCTCGCGGCGGGCCAGTTCAAACACATGGCGTCTTCGTACGCGCGGAATTCGTCGCCGAGGGCGTAGAGGCGGAATGAGCTTGCGATCCCCTGTTCTTCAGGTGCTGAAGAAGCAGAAGAAGCGCACGTCCGAACCCGCGCCTCAACAAACACCTTCCCGCCCCGTTCCGCCATGAAATCCCCCCGCACCGTCTCGATCCGCGCACCAACCCAGCCATCTCGTCCTTGTCCTCTCTGCTTCTGCGGCGTGATACGCAGCGTCCCGGCCTTCGTGATCGCGATAACAGCAGGATCATCCGAGTACGACTGCACGCCGAGCTCGGCATTGACTCCCCAATCCCTTGGACGCCCGGGGTAGGTGTATGCACTATCCGTCTCGTAGACCCATTTCGCTGTAGACGGCTGCGTCGCCCCGTTTGGCGCGTACGTGAACTCCTCGTGCCAGGTTAGACTGTACCCCGTCAGCAGGGGCTTGTTGAGGCCTGAGTCCAGGCCGCGCGAGGGGATTGCGCGGGAGCCGTGGGTGTGTGGTTTGTGGCCTTTGTGGTTGTGGGCATGGGCGTGGCCATGGCCGTGGCTGTCAGCTGGAGATAACAAGGAGGCGAGCGATAAGAGGGTGGTGAGTGGTGGTGGTTTCATTCTGGACGACGTAATTATTTATTTAGGAAGCTGGGGACCCGGGGGATTGCTATATAAGCTTGCAATTCAACCACATGCACGCCACGGATCGTCTAGCCGAGATGAAGGGCCAATGGGAGAGTTGGCGTTCCCAGCCTCCTGGAGGGAGATTAGGGCTGGAGGGCAGGCAAGGCCGCTGATTGGTTGCTTTTCTGTGCAGACCGGTCTGGCCGGCTTGGTATTGAAGCTGATTCAGTTGGTTTGATGATAGCTATGGTATACTCCGTACTCCCAGCTGTATAGGCTCATTTTGATCTTGCTGCTATAGCTTGGTCTCAGGCCATGTGGACAGACCTGGATGCTTATCAACCCCAACATTGGATGGGCCCTGACTGGTGGGCGCTATCTTCCCCGCTTGGAGAATTGGAGTAGGCACCTCCCAGTCTTCAAAACTACTTCATTCTTATTTCTACCTGGAACCTTGTCATCATCAATCCAGATACTCAAGTTGAACCACAACAGGTACCAGCCCAACATGCGCACCGTCCCCGCAAAACCCTGGCTCCCCGCCCCAGCCCCAACCCTCACCTTCACCAACGCAACCCTCATCGACCCCGAAGCAGCCAAAACAATCCCAAACTGCTGCATCCGCGTGGAAAACGGCCTCATCGCAGAAATCACCACTGAGTCCCCCTCCACCCAAACCTCCACAACAATCAACCTCCGCGGCCTCTACGTCTGCCCGGGCCTGATCGACTGCCACGTCCACATAACCGCCACCCCGGGCGGGACCTCGTTAAACGACATGTTCGCCGCATCCCAGACATCCCTAACCCTCCGCTCCGCCTACGTCGCGCGCGAGATGCTCCTGCGCGGGTTCACGACAGCCCGCGACACCGGCGGCGCCGACGCATCCCTCCGCGACGCCATCGCCGAAGGGCTCATCCCGGGCCCGCGCCTCTTCATCGCGGGGAAGGCGCTCTCCCAAACAGGCGGGCACGGCGATCCCCGTCCTTCGTATCTCCATGCCAGCGGCAGCGACGAAGCTGGAGGCAAATGCTGCGGCGGCCATGCCCTAGCGCGCGTCTGCGACGGCGTCCCCGCCTGCCTCGCCGCCGTCCGCGACGAACTCAGGCAGGGCGCCGACTTCATCAAGATCATGGTTGGCGGGGGTGTCGCGAGCCCCTCGGATACGCTGGCCATGGTGCAGTTTACGCCGGAGGAGATAGCAGCCATTACGCGGACGGCGGGGTACAGTGGGAAGTATGTCACGGCGCACGCGTACACGGCGGCTGCGATCCGGCATGCCGTTGAGAATGGAGTGGCCGGCATTGAGCATGGGAATTTCATCGATGCTGAGACGGCGCGGTTTTGTGCGAGCTTGGGGGTGAGCGTTACGCCGACGCTCGTGACGTACCGCGGGATGGCGACGGCGCCGTTTAAGCGCTTTTTGGATCTGGATGGGCGGGCGAAGAATGAGGCTGTTCTTGAGGGGGGGATTGGGGCGTTGAGGATCCTTCGGGATGCGGGGGTTAATATGTGCTTTGGCTCGGATCTGCTGGGGGGGTTGCATGGGCTGCAGAATGGGGAGTTTGGGATTCGGGCTGGGGTGCTTGGTGCGGAGGAGATACTGCGCTCTGCGACGGTTAATGGCGCCAGGGTGCTCGGGATGGAGGGGAGGTTGGGTGTTATCAAACAGGGGGCTATTGCGGATTTGTTGGTGCTTAGGCGTAATCCGCTTGAGGATATTGGGGTTCTTGATCAGATTGAGGAGAATATGGTGGGTTTGTTGAAGGATGGACGTGTGGTTATGTGGAAGCACGGTGAAGGTCAAGCTGGTGGCAGGTTGGCTGTTGATGAGCTGTATGATCCATGCCGGGTGCAGCAAAGGGATTACATGTAGAGGCCTGGGGGACTAATCCCTTTCCCGGATTGTCCGACCTTGACTCTTGTTACTTGAGCAGGATTGATAGCTCGGAGTATGGGAACTAGCCCATTGGATGCAACATGAACACGAGCGTGGTTTAGCATGGCGTGGCCTATATGAATAGACAGCAGCTGCATTGCAATTTAATAAGGAATTCGACCCTACTATCGATCTATGTCCTCGCCACAACCCTCGCCCCTCCATGCCCCCCAAGCAGCCGCCAATCTACCCTAATCCTCCCATCTCCCCCATCTCCCTTGTTAGCATTGCCACAGCACCCCCCATAAGACCCCGCAACACACCAGCAAGCACACCCAAACACTCGCTCTCAAGCGGCACCCAATGCCCCGCCCCCGGCAGCGTAATGACCTCGCTCCCGGGCGCAAGGTATCCATCCTCCGCTAATCCGTCGAGACAGATCTCGCGCTGCATGACATGGTCGCCTACACCCAAATAATCGTTGCGGGGACCTGGAGCCCTCCTCGCACGCTCTTTGGTCCCAAGTGTAAGTGCTTCTGTGCCTTTGGCTCGACGCCTTGTAGCTCTGATTTGGGGTCGGAGTGTGCCCACACCGCCGCAAGACGCTGTCCATTTGCGGTAGAGGCCCGTCATGTTCCAGAGGAGGGTCGCAGACGGACTATCGCCCATTGTTGTCCCCGCTGGCTCGGAGATCTCGCTGCCGCATTACCCGCTGTATCGACGGAGGGATATCTTTAGGGAGGACGCGGACAGATTCGTCCCGGAGTGGTGGCTCTAAGAACAAAATCAAGGCCAAGGATCCCAACAAGAGGTGCGGCGCATGAAGCAGAGGCAGTGCGAGGCATACCTCCCCTTTAGCATTGGCAAGCGGGCCTGTCCTGGGCGGCAGATTGCGCTGGAGACGGTGCGGTATGTTGCTGTACGGCTTATCCAGGAGTTCCCGGGTATTGAGGATGCGTCGGGGGGAAGGAATGGCGGGAGAATTGTGGTGCGACGCTGCAGAGTAAGTACGGGGCTGTGGTGAGGTTGAAGAGGGGAGAGAGTCAGAAGGATGGCGAGGTGTTGCAGGTGGATTCGGGGTATAGCTCGGACGTTGTGTCTTCGCGGTCTGTATGATATAGAAAGATCTCTAGAGAATCTACCCTGATGAATGGACTTGACACCGTCCACATGTGGGAACTATCAGGTCATCTTTGCCCTGCCATGCCTAAGGAAGTAGCCCACGGTAGTTCTGTCTAGCCCTGTACTCAAGTTGGATCTTGCGCCATGACTGCTTTCTGAATATAATTTTCATACGCGAATGTACAATGGGTGTTCACAATAACTTCCCGGTATACAAGCCAGCACAGAATGATGCAGGCCACGTTCAGCTGAACGTCTGCAGAACCTGCTCCCGATGCTTCTCAAGATACTCCGCGAACCGAGTCAGACGGATAGGGTATCTGTCCAGATCCCTGAAGTTGACCTGATACCCAACCTCATTCGCCCACAGCTGGCTCCAAATCCTCAGGTCCCTCACCGCAAGCTCCTCCGCCTCTTTCTCCCCATAGAATTGGAGCGAGACGTCCTTCCCAGAAACCCGGCTCAGCTCGCGCACAATCTCCGCCGGCGTAAGAGACTCCACGCCCAAGTCGATCACCTGCGCCTTGAACGCCGACGGCCCAACGATCGCAGCAGCCGCGAACTTCCCAACGTCCCCGGCATCGACCACCGTCATCGCAGTGGTTGGCTTGTACGCCGTCTGGAAGGCCCGACGTTGCACCAGCTCAGGGAACATGAGCGACGCGGTGGGCAGGTGATAGTTGTGCATCATGAACGCAGGCCGCAGGATAGTCCAGGATTCCACCCCAGACGCTCGCACCATTGCTTCGATCCTCGCTTTGTTCTCCCAGTACCACGCCAGTGGGTAGGCGGGGCCCCAGTTCGGAAACGCCTCGTGGCTGCCCGTCATGGTCACGCTTGAATAGACGATGGTGGTGACGGTGCCGCACGCGACCGCGGCATCGATGATATTCTTTGCCTGGTGCACCTCGCGTGCGGGATCGGATGGGATGGGCGAGACGTTGAGGAAGACTGCGGTTGCGCCGTCCAGCGCGGCCTTTAGCGAGGATAGATTGTCGAAATCGCCGCGGAACAGATGCGCTCCCAGGCGCTGGAGATCGGCGGCGGGCTTGGAGGACGGGTCCCGGACGAGGGCGTGGACTTTGACGCCTGATTTTAGGAGCTCGCGCGCGGTGGCGCCGCCTTGGTGGCCGGTTGCTCCTGTGATGAAGGCCGTGGGCTGAGACATGGTTGACCAGGTACAAGTGCGAGACTCTGGAGAGTGGGAAGATCCTCTTGAAGTAGTGTTCATCCATGAAGCGGTAGCTCACTGGAGCATCTAGAGTGGAGAGTTCCACACGCCATAAGACCATGGAACTGACCAGGCTATTCCAGATGCAGCAACCAGCTCGAAAGATCCCCTATCCAGACCGTCACTCTGAATTTCGACAACGATCTCCACTCGTGGGATAGACATGTGGATGGCGCCCTGGCATTGATACAGCTCCGGGGAGTAAGCCAGCTGCGGAACAGGGTAGGCCGATGTATATTCTCTGAGATTGTGAATGACCCGAACGCCTATGCGCCCAGTGTGTCTAACCATCAGCAGCTCATCAACTGTCTGCAACGTCGAGTGCGAGTACCGTTGAGACTCGTAAACTGGACCATCGAGACCCGCAACCACGAAACAGCGCAGGACGCACCCGCTGCCCAATTAGCCGGCATCATCGTCAACGCCTGCTCCGTTTTGGCCTTGGTCAAAGAGGAGATGACGGACGATGCAAAACACCCTCACCTGATCTCCAACCTGCTGTCGGTTGATAACGACCTCGTCTCCTGGTCTAACAGCATCCCCTCAGAATATGGACTCGAGGCCGTGACAACTCCAGACAGCTCGATCCTGACGTATCTCGGACGATACGATATATACCCCAGCGTTGCCATCGCGCACACCTGGAACCTGCTGCGCTGTGCACGCATTATCCTCCGCCAAGCCCTCGTGGGGGCTATATCAACACACTCGGGCTTCGTCCAGGTTCCAGCCTCGCCTCCAAGCTCCTTACCCATATCACCCAGACACATCCTCCGGATTTCCGACACGGCGATCAATGAAAACGCAAGCCTGATCTGTTACAGCGTGCCTTATATTCTCCGTCTTTGCGGTAAGCCGGCCAGCCCAGAGAATCCGCACCTGAGGGCCGCGTGTGCCGTGCACCTATTGTGGCCACTTTATATTGCAGGCACGGCATATACTAGGAACGATGCTCTGCGCGAATGGGTTATCGCGCGGATGGAAAGTATCAAGGGAGCAACAGGTATCCAGAGAGCGGGGCTTGTGGCCTCGCGTATTGTACAACGACGCTGTTCAGCCTCCTGTGTGCTTTAGGCCTTGTTTTGATTCCGCCTGGTCAAATGGGAGAGCTTAGGTGGGAGATTTATGTAGGTACCGTCCAACCATGCTGAAGGCGCGTTGTTTTGTTTAAAGACATCGCTGTCCAAGGAATGCGTAAGGGTTGATATCAGAGCAGGACTAGCTATAGTAGATACTTAACATCGTCGGATCTTTTGCACAGAGTAGAATTAGCGCTTGACTTGACCAAGCACTAGGTCAAGAGTTTAAAACATGATATAAAAGCAGTTCATCGCCTTAAGCTATTGAGGCCTCAGTTAGGGCTTAAGTCAAGGTTGTCATACCTTACCTAAAGCATCCAATGGACCAATTTACTAACAAGCTTTAGGATGTACATAGCATATATACTGGGCGGGGAGGATGTCCGTCCATGGCCAGTGACTCACGCCGGGAAACATGTCCGCGGCTGGCGAGATAAAGAGTCCTGCTTGCCGTCCACATCCACAGTTGTTCCTTCCTCGTCAACATCCACCGTCGTTCCTTCCCAAAACTGTAGACCCCCGGCCTCGCAACCCCGAACGAGTCTGGGCTTTCCCCTCAAAGCGTGAGGGACGAGGTTGTCGGCAACGGCGCCATGACCAAGGCATGCTTTCTGTGCGACTCCTGCGACGCCCAGGAGTGCGCCCATGTCGTGGGTAACCACGATAGCGCCGTAAGTGGTTCATGGCCTGGAGAGTGGAACCAAGACTAAGCAAGCGTTGTATAGGTGCCGATCCTCGAGGCCGAGGGCCTGATCAACTTCGGCCTAAGAAGTCCCCTCAATGCTGTCCCGCTTTGTGCGACCTGTCACCGCGTCTTTGACAACATGACCGACCCCCAGGTCACCTTCTACCCCGCCGACCTCGATTTCTTCATCCGCTTTGAGCTTCGCGACCGGGCGAGGCGCCGCAAACTCCCAGGTCCCTCGAAGCGGCGAGTCCCGACGGCCAGGCAGTACATCCAACACTCCGGCGGGGGTCTATATCGGCGGGTCTTCTTTCGGTGGAACAGGGTTGACCGGAGGGACGGCTGGGTTCCACCAGGTCCCGACCCGGCCCCCTGGAAGGGATCGCCGATAGCCGTCATCCGTCGGGCAACCGCCGTTCTGACGAGCCCGCGGGGTGCTGGAATCCCCCCAGAAGACCACAAAAGGCTATTTATCTTGTGGCAGCTGTACTTCGGGGGTGCGCAGGGGGACGAGGCGGCGGAGGCGGCAGGACCCAAATACCGCGACAACGACGACGATGAGAACTTCGGGCTGGGTGAGGACTACCAGCGGGCCGGTGACGAGCCCGAGCGCGACCAGGAGAAGGAGGGGGAGGAAGATGACGGGGAAGAGGGCGAAGAGGGCACGATGGACTTGGAGGCCGTGGATGCCGAGAGTGAGAGGGACGAGGAGGACGAGGAGGACGACGAAGAGAGCGAGGGGGAGGGGGATGAAGATTGGAAGCCTAAGATTAACATCCAGCGGCTTAAGCTAAAGAGGTTTGGAAGGGATTCGACCTCCCAAGACAAGATCAGGTCCTTAGGGTTAGGATACTTCTCTCGCTGAGAATAAGAAAAGGATACATCGACCAGATCAAGCCCTAAAGTCCAGCCAGTGACCATAGTACAGTGCCTATCTTAGATCTTGGAGGCAATGGTATGCTGCAATATGCCGATCTCTTTGCGGGCACATTGTTGTTCTTCCATGCAGCAGTTTGTGGTTTTGGTGCAAGTTGGACAGCAGGTCTTCCTGTCTGCTTAGCCATACTTGAGCCTCCATTGTGCTTCATCAGTTGAGATTGTAGATCCGAGCCCTAGAGATATGTAGCTGCTTGGTAAGCAGCTGAAGATACGTGTAGCTGCTTAGTAAGCACGCCAGAGCGGAGAATAATATCCCCTCCCCCCGGTCCTCCCCTCCCCTACTACCTACTACCACTCCCCTCCCCTACTACTCCCCTCTCATTCCAATTCGCATGCCTGCTTATCATCGGCCAACGCCGAGCCTGACGCGGCTTCTTCCCTCAGCTCGTTGTCTTCGCTTCCTTTCCCAAGCCATGTCTTCCACCTCCATCCAAGAAGAGAATCGACACCCAGATTACGACCCTGGGAAATATTACCCGGCTCGCCTGGGAGAAACCATATCCAAGCAATACCGCCTCGTCTCCAAGCTGGGCTGGGGTGCCAATTCCACAGTCTGGCTGGCCAAGGACATCACCCGGTCAGTATGCCCCCCCCTTGCTGCTCGCCTGTTTAACACCTTGCTGTAAAGCTGGGTCTGGCAGCCAACCCGATATGTAACCCTGAAGATCACAAACTGCGGCATTGACGAGCAACGATCCGCTCGGGAAGAGGTCGAGATATCGCAGCGCATATCGAAGATCCGATCGAACCACGAGGGCAGAAGATACGTCCGGCTTGTGCGTGAATCGTTCAGTATCCCAGGCGCCTCGGGAGACCACCTATGCTTGGTATTTGAGCCGCTCAGGGAACCTCTCTGGGTGCTGGGGAAACACCTCGGAAGCAACGGGGTGCCGCCTGCTGTCTTGAAGCCGTTCCTCAAACTATTGCTGCAAGGCCTGGATTTCCTCCATTCCGAGTGCCACATCATACACACAGGTAGAACCCGACCAGCTGCAGCCCAATGACTCTTTCTAAACCCAGCCAAGATCTGAAGGCAGATAACTTCCTCGTGGGATTCGAAGAGCCCGGCGTCCTCGCACGCTACGCTCGCCAGCAGGAAGACAGCCCTGCGCCGGTTTCCGACCATGGCGGGCGCCCTGTCTTCCAGTCCCGTCCGGATTTTGGGCCATTGAGGAAAGGCGTCGGTCTCGTACAGATCAGCGACTTCAGCGCCGCAGTTTTCGGCGACGTTCCCGAGCCCCATAACCACGACATCCAACCCCAGCCCTTTTGTGCACCCGAGGTGCTACTCAAGGCGACGTGGTCCTACAGTGCGGATATATGGAATCTGGGCATCATGGTATGAATCCCTGGAGAGTCTACCAGGGTTGCAAAAACCGGGCTCATATGGTACTGACGTCTTGGTTCCCGGTCCCCAAAGCTATGGGAGCTTCTTGGCGATAGTGTCCTGCTTGACGGACTGCAGCCGGGAAACAGCACGTACTCGCGAGCTAAACACATAGCCCAGATGGTACGGCTGCTTGGGCCGCCTCCACTGCAGCTTCTGGAAAGGGCAGACCAAGGTATCCGCGGAAAGCTGTTTACAAATCATGGTACGATCGCCTGCGGACTCCCGCTCGCGCCCGACGACTGACTGTTGACCGACTGACTGCTGATGCACGGTAGGAGAATTCAGGTTCCCCAGTCTAGTCCCGCCCGAGGACTTCAATCTCGCCAGCCTCACGCCATTTCTCGACGGAGAAGACAAGCGGCTTTTCCTCGGGTTTGTCGGCAAAATGCTGCGCTGGGAGCCGGGAGAGCGGGCAACGGCCGCGCAGCTGTACAACGACCCCTGGCTGGACTTCAGGGCTTGATACAGGCGTGGTGAAACGTATTCTGTGCCGTCCTTCTTGTCTGTATTTCCTATTATCCAACCCTCTTAGTATATACCGGAAGCAACCTTGGTATATGCATGTGCAGCCCCCTCTGCTTTTTCACAGGCAAGGTTGAAAGGCAAGACATTTACATACTCCACTTTCGCAACCTTGGCCTGGCTGGACTCGGGGTGGTGACGCCGTCATGCGGGCGACTGCCGCCTCCACTGCGTCCTCGGCTGCTGCTTCATTGATGCCCTGGACTGGACTCCGGTCGTTCCGGACTTCCACTGGAAGGTGAGGACGTCTTGCTCTGGTGGTCCAGGACTTCGGCGCGAAGAAAAGATGGAATGGCAAGTTGATTGGGATTGTGGTGCTGCGGGGTTGGGACGAGCAACGAGAGGTATGCTTCTTCTTGCATCGCCTGGGATCCATGCACAGGCTGGTATCTATATTCCATCCCGGTCCTCTGGGTGTAAGGTACGGCTCTCGTCGTACTCATGGCGCCGGATTCAGTTGGAGTTGGATTGAGATGGAGGCGTAGAACGATGGCTCGGCGAGAAGTCAATCACAGCAGGGCCATTCATTCGAGGAACTCGGTTGGATCCAGACGTGTCGTGGTGACCAACTGACTATGGTAGGATGCTACTCGCGCCTAATGAATGGCTATGATTGTGGCCGCAGGTCAGCTTGCTAACCCAGCTTAGTTACCATTAGGTGATATAACTGGATGACGGGGACCAGGGCGCTCCCTATAATTGGCTTGCCTTTGTGTCACCACAAGTGATATTTCCCCCTCTCGCAGGGCCTTTTCGACTCGTTCAGACTGTTCAGTTGTTTGGCTGTGAGACTTAGTTTGCGCTTGAACGCACAATGGTGGCTTTTCGTGGCAGGAGTCGGAAAAGCCAGTAAGTAGATTGATTTTCGCTTTGGTCCCGGCCCGACTTGAACAGAAATTGGAAGCTTGCATATAAATCAGACAATGATATAGTTGTCTTGGAGATGATTGTGGTCAGCAGAGTTGGCTGAGAGGAGCGTTTCATGTGTCCAGCCTCCTTCAGTCTTTGCAGGTGGGATGGAGATGAATGCAGGAAGTGTACGAAGTACTCCGGCAGTTGAACTACGGAGTAGTAGGATGCATTGCATCATTTCACAGGCCACTTAGGGTACATTGGAGGCGAGGTATACTGCTTGCAGAAGAGGGGATTTGCCAGCAGCTGCAGCTGAAGGGCTATCGGCACCACAGTGAAGAAGGAGAGGGTTCTGTGGTTCCGAGCAAGGCGCACATGCTTATGCCGAGTGTCGTAACCTGGGTGCAGACAGCATCTCTGAAGGGAGAAAGCTTATACTTGCTTCCTATGGCACTGCGTACGGCGCCGCTTGGGAATTGTGCTGAGCTTTGCGGGTGACAGCAAGGTAAGAAACTAGACTCTATGTGTCTGCGCTGAAATCCAAGTCTTCAAGCTCATAGGTGTACCCTTTTACTACGGCTTGTTGTTTTGGAAGCATAGCATAGGGTCCACTAGGGAACCTGGGTAGTTGGGATTAGCCGTGCAGCAAGATGCAACCTTCCCGACATTTTGTGATAAGTTTTGTTAGTAAAGTGGCCAAGCAACAATAGCCCGGATGGTCTAGTGGTATGATTCTCGCTTTGGGCCCAACAGTCTAATTTGCGACATGCATCATTACTGGTATTTCATGGCCTTGCAAACACCGAGGGGCTTGTCTAATCTTTGCAGGCGCCAGCTGCAGCCTCTATATGATACTATGCCCAAGGAGACCCTCTGTGCAGCTGTTTCCCCGCTCTGGGCGCCCGGAATGAGTTCGTTTGTGGAGATGAAGCGCATGGATTTCGCCGACTATATTCAACAAGTACGGGCGATATTCAATGGTCCACAGAGCGGCAAGATCTATATGCGGTAGACAATTCGACGCCTAGGGTATATGTTCTACCTAATTGCCACTGGCAGACTCCAACCTGGACCTTATTCCGGTTATCATTGCTTTGATCACTCGCACGATGGCCACAAGAACTCTTTTGCGCAGTGAGACTGATCCTCTGCAACTCGAGCAATCAGGTTTCGTCCGCCCGGCCATCATCTGGCTCCTGTGCGCCGGTGAAGGATGAAAGAGAGCTACTCCATCACCACTCTATCATAAAAAGAAATTGCCAAAAACATACAACAGCTGGGATTCGCATGTGGTCACCCACCATACTACTAACCAGCCGGCGTGTGGTTTAAGTACGGCTGAGCGGACGGGAAGCCCTGTTCTCCACACCCTGTGGTCGTATGTGCTAGAGTGCTCTTACAAGAGGATCACATAGAGCACATCTGCCAGTCCCACGAGAGGGTGGCGACTAATCTACCAGTACCATATGTAAACGCGAACAGGACAGCCGATAATCCTGTATCTGCCAGTGGAAGTACCCAAATGCAATGCTTCATCAGGTCTTTGGCGAAGAAGGCATGCGCTCGCTTGGCTTTGTAGGGGAGGGGGAAATGTAAGCAGTAACCGTCAGAGAGGCAGTTGCGAGTTACTCCAAGGTTCCAAATGTCTGGCTGCCCTGTCCCAGCTCTGTTTTCATTGGAAGGCACGCCATCAGCTAGATATGGAAGAGTCGTGGTGGCTAACGGGTTACATGGGCCAAGGGGAATCTATATGTGGTTTGTCCGTGCCAAAAGAGCCCGCTGCCCCTGGAAGGAATGTTACACAGCATGGCTGTGGCTTGTGATAATTGGCCGAGTGTGCTACACAAATGAGGCTGATCCAACGGCGGGAGTATCTCGTGTCCCAGCCGTAGCATCAAGCACCAGTAACAAGTATGGTGGTTTCTTAGCCCTTATTTCTCATTTCGCTCGTGAGTATCCTGGCTGCCAGACTGCAGGTGGGCTTGAACAGTGGGCAACCAAGTTCAACATCCGCCATGACACGGTGGCCGCCATCATTAATTTGATTTGTGAAGATGACAAAAACTAAAAAAGAAATGCCCCCGCGCGGGATTGAACCGCGGACCTCACCATGGCGTCTGTAAGAAAATACATACAAGTGGCGCGCTCATACCACTGAGCTACAAGGGCAACATCTTGATTTGCGAATACAATTTAAACCTATATCATAAAACGAGAGATGTTGTTATAATTTTAGTACAATGCACAACTCCGTACTAGATTGCCCTCCAAGGATCTCCTCACTTTGTCTCCAAGTATTAACAGAGCTGACTACCATGGGGTCCTGGCTGCGTCCTGCAACCTTGGGAGTCGAGCTGGAGGTGAAGATAACAAGATGGTGGCTGTGGAGCCCTACCTGGGTACACTATAGAGGGTGTATAAATTCCTGGAGAGCTGGAGCCGGACTTGAGCTTCAACTAAGTTTTTATACCGCATTTGCTAGGTATCTGGTCACAGCTACCCATTAAGCCAAATCTAGACTTTCTATATAGCTACAATATCCTCGGCCTCAGCCCCTCCTAGCCCTAGCTCGAGCCAGAAGAAGTATATGCACTGATTGGGCAAGATATATAACCTGTTTGCATACATATACCCCAGCACCATGACCACCCAGCCCAATTCCAACACGGTTCTCAACCAATTTTGTCCTTCTCCCTGCACAAAGCCAACATGAGCAGTCATACCCAGCCAGCCCAACTCCTAAGCCCCAGAAGAACCAGCAGCCTTGGCCCCTTCCGGATCATGAGCCACAACCTCAATATCCACTCGCATATCATCACTCCCAAGCCGCGTCACCCCGACACAAGTCCAGATGGGCTGGTGATCGGGCATGTACTTCCGAAAGTTGCGGACCATAGCAACCAGCGCCTTGTTATTAATAGGAACATGGTATGAGTTCACCCGGAAGACCTGGGACCAGCCCTTGCCTCCGGCGTCCTTGAGGTTGTGCTCGACGTTGGCGAAGGCGAGGTCGATCTGCGCGTTGATTTCCTTTTCGAATTCGCCGGTCACAGGGTCCCAGCCGCCTGGTTTGGATAGTTTATTAGCTCGAGGATTGATTGCATGTCTTTGGTTAAGTGGGAGGTACCTTGCCCGGCGCATTCGATGCGGTCTCCTATTCTCACGGCTTGGTTGTAGCTGAATGTGCTTCGGTTCCGGACTCCGACGCCTTCGTATGCGTAGTACTGTAGGTGAGACATGGCGAGATGATGAGATGCTAAACAGCTTGAGGGGATTGATTGAGGATGGACATGGCGAGTCACCTTACGGTGTTATATAGTTCGGAGTGAGAGCGAGGGCGGAATTCACATTCCGCTCGGTGGGCTAGATCCGATACGGTACGATACGGTACGGTAATACTGTGACTAATCTGATTTACTGCGTCGTACCTTCCTCCTCCTGTCTCTCGCGCTCTCTCTTCATCATCAGCAACAACGACGACGGATCTTAATGGATCCTCCCCCAAAGTCTCTCCGACGAAATGGCTCCGCCTCGCAAAAGTCACAGGGCCGTCCTGTTGGAGCGTAGTATACTGCTCGCCCCACTATAGCCCTTGCCTATTAGCTTAGTTAACCACACCAAGTATAGCTTTACTACCATAGCCTAGCTAAATATAATTTTTAAGCTTTTATTTTTAAAAGGTTATATACCCTAGGTAGCTTTTTTTTTATTAAAATATTATATTTACTTATATATAACTACTTTTTTTATTACTACCTTTTTTTAAAATTTATTTACTTTAAATATTTATTAAGTTAAAAATATTTTTATATAATATTAGGATTTTTAGCTACCTAATATAAATTTTTTAATTACTTATTATATATAACTTTTATACTATTTTTATATATTAAAATTATGTAAAAATTTATTTATAATATAATTAATATTATTATTATTATTTTTAATTTTTATAAAGTTATTACATGGCTTAATAATTAAAAAAATTATTATTTATAATATAAATTTTTTAAAATTATATTTTAATTTAAACTACCTTATTTTTAGCTTATTATTATTAAAAAAGTTTTTTTTTATAAGTATTTACTAAAGCAAGCTATTATTATTATAAAATATATTAATAAAAATAATATAGCTTAGGATTAAGTTATTAAGCTTATTATTAAAAATTAAATTAGTATTTAAACTTTTTAAAATATTAAAATAAAAGTAAAGTAAGAGTACTAAATATAATATAACTTTTTTTTATTATTATTTTTATAATTAATACTTTATATATAATATATAAACTAAATTTCTAGCCTTTAAAATACTACCTAAGCCTTTTATTATTTATAAAAGCTATATAATTTATTTAGCACTAGTTTTTTTTTTTAAAAAGCTAGTAAATATTTAATATAATAAAATATATTAATTAATAATTAAAATAATTTTTTATAAAGTTTAAAAATACTATTACTAAGCTAGTAATTATTTAAACCCTTAATTAATAGGCTATATAGTATTTTTTTATTATAATAATTTTTAACTTATATAATATATAGCCTTTTATTACTTAGTTATATATAATATTTTATTAAAATATTAATAATATTTATTTACTTTTTTTATAATTTAAACTTAATTAAATATAAATATTTAAAACTACTTATTATATTATTAATACCACTAGCCACCCTAGTTATAGTAGCTTTATCCTTATTAAAAATTATAATATTATATAGTATATATATTACTAGTTATATAGTAATTATTTTTTTTTACTTATATTAAAAATTTAATAAACACCTAGTTATAAAATAAAGGTAATAACTTTAAAAATACTAGTGTTAGTGCCTATTAAGGCCATAGTAGTAAATTTAAATATTATAAAAAAAAAGGTAAAAAAGGCCGCGGCGCCTTTACCTTTATAAATATTATATAAATAAAAAATATTATTACTAGTACTTTATAATAGTTAGCTTAAAAATTAACTTAAGGTTTTTTATTAATACCTTTACTTAATACTTTACAGGCCTCTCCAGGCGCTAATATTATTAATATTAACTTTAATTTTATATATATAAACTTTGTGTTTATATAACTAGATTTTAGTATTAATAAGCTAAATTTTTATATTAAATTAACTTATATAAATATTAAACTAGCTATTAATAATAATTAAATACTTAACTTTAAAACCTTTTATTATATAATATATTTTAAGCATAACTTTATATTATTTTAATATATAAAAATTTTAATTAAAATAACTAATAATAGTAAGTTCTTTACTAAAGGTTATAATAATATTATATTAGGTATTACTAATAAGTTTAATATAAAGTAAATTAAAAATTTTTTATTAAAAAATATTTAATACGCGCCTAGCTTAGCTTATAATTTACTATTAATTAAATAGCTTATAAATAATAATATTTATATAATATTTAATATTATTATTATTATTAAACTTACATGGTATAAATCCCTAATTATATATATTATTTTACTTAAATTTTATTACTATTTTTATTTAAATATAAATACTTTTTTTGTAATAATTACCGTGCTTGCGAATGCCTTTATACTTAATTAAAATATAATTTTACTTAAGGGTTTAATAGCAGCTAAAATAAAGGTTTTTAATAAAATAATTTTTATATATTTAACTTACTAACAAGCTGCCCATGTATTTAAAAAAAATTAAATTTTTTTTAATATATTATTAGTTTTAAATTATATAAAGGCCTGCTAGTTAAATAATATAAGCTATGTATTATTAATAAAAAAATAGTACTTTTTTTAATAAAATAAAATCTAACTAAAAACCTTAGCCACTAGCTAAGTAATATTATATATATAAATATTTACAGGCCTATATTAATATATAAGTAAATAAGTATTTTATACTTTATTATATTTATTAATAAGGCCTTTTATTTTTACTAGGTATTTATTATAAAAAAAAAACTTTTTAAAAAGTTTTTTTAACTTTGCAACTAACTATAAATATAATTAAAGTTAAAAATAAAGTATATTTATTATAATAATACTTTAAAATATTAATTACTTAAGTTATATTATAAAAACTATAGTATTATTTTTAATTTAATACCAAGATATTACTTAACACTAAATCTAATTACTAAGGTAAAAAATTATTATATTATTAAACTAGTTATATTTATTATAATAAAAAACTAACTTTTAAATTTTTTTAAAATTACCTAGTTCTTACTATTATTTATATTTATAATTATTTTTATTATAAAATTATTAGTAAAACGCCTTATAAAGTATTTAATAAAATATAATTAAATATTTTTATTAACATATGCTAGGATATAAATACTTTTACCTTATTTTTAAAAAAAATATATAAAATAAAAATTAATTTTTATATAGCCAAGGGCTGCTTTATTAAATATACTAAAAGTTTATATGTGAGGCGCTTTTGTATACTGCGCTGAGCTTAGGAGAACGTGAATTACCGCAATAGGAAAGCGTTGTGTATTTATAGTAGGAACTAATTACTAATTTTTTAAGTTAGAGTTTTAAGTTAAACTTAGTATTTTATATATTACATGGCTAACCGCCGCCTTGGCGCGCGGTTAGATTAATATTAAAGTTTCTTTATTAAGTGGCCTTAGGCTGCTAAATTATATTATTATAATATTATATAGTTATAATACTATAATAATAATAATAATACTTTTTTTTTTTAAGCAATTGCGCCCTCGCGATTTATAAATTTATGTTTTTTTTTTATAAAAAGTAATTTAAATTATAAATTTTATTAAGTGCTATAAAATAAGCTATTTTTAGGTTTATAAAGTATTATAATTTACATGTAATTTATATTTAAAGTTAAAAATAAAAAATTAATTTAATTACCTTACTTTATTATTAAGTTTAAATATAGCATTACTGCCTGCAGTAGCTAGGTGTAATATTTTAGTTTTAATACTAAAGCACCCTTGTAATTTTTTTTTTTTTTTTTAAATTTTTTTAATACTTAAAGCAAGATGGCACCTATAAGTATATATTTTTTTTATTATGTTTTTATTACTTTTTAATTATTTAATTATATTTTTAAAGTTAAAATACCTTATATTTATTTTTTTCCATGCTTTTTAAGCGCGGTATTATTTATTTTAGTAATATTAGCCGCGTGTTAGTATTATTAGGCTTGTATATTTTATTTTACTTTATACTTAATTTTTATAATAAGGCTTTAATTTTTAAATAGCTAAATCTCCTTATTTTTACGCTTTTTTTAATGCTTTTAGCAGTTATTTATAATATATGGTTATTTTATTTTAGTTATTAACATGTTATTATATTAGCCTTTTATCTACCTTTCTTCCGTGCCTTGCTACGTACTTACCTTTTTAATTTAATTAATAAGTTTTTTATATTTAATTCTTTTTATTTTTATGTTTTTAAAACTATTTTTAGTAATTAAATTAAACATGGTTTACCTTTATTATAGCCTTTATTATATTACATGTTTTTAACCCTATTTTATTTTTTAAGGTTTTTTATACTTACTTTTTACTTTATGTTTCTCTTGCTTTAATACCTAATATAATTTTATATTATACTTTAAATGCTATTATTAGCGGTTATTTAGCTTATTATAGTGTTTTATTTTATATTTTTTTTATTATAGTAGTTAAGCCTTGGTTTTAGCCTTTACTTTTTATTTTACCCTTAATATATAGGGATTATATTCCCCTGCTTATGCTTTATAGTATTAATTATTAATATATTTTTTAAAATAATTTATTTTTATTATACTTATGCCGCCGCCCCTATTACTAACTTTATTATTATTATTTTTTTATACCTTTAGTATAACTTCTAGCCCTGGCCCTAGCTTTCCTAGTGCCTGCCCTAGCCCTCCTTGCTTTACTACCTTTTAATTTACTTTAGGCTTACTATTTTTAATACATGCTTTTTATTACCTAAAAAATTAGTTATTATTTTTATATATAAGTAATAACCTAGTATTTTAAATATACTAAGCCTGTAAGTAAAAAATATAATTACTATAAAAATAGCTATAGGACCCCGGCGGAGTATATTATATTTAATATAATTATAATTTAGCTAGAACTACTTTAGGTCCTAAGCCTATATAATATTATATATATTAATAATAATAGTTTATAAAAAAATATAAATATTATAGTGCTAAAAAAAGCCTATAACACCCTTTTTATAACTATTTAGGCTATTATAATTATAAGTATAG